TATATGATCTATTAAATCTTGGAGTGGCATTTTTGATCTTACACAATAAATTTATAATCTATTTTAGAGATTGAAGTCATATAGATTCTTTAGAAATAATTCAATAATCTCAGATATCTATTATATATATTCTCTTTTTTCCTAGATCAATGGATTACTAGTATTGAGCAATATTCCCTTAATCAAAGTGAGTATCTAAGTATACTCTTCAATAAAATTGCATTCATTTTGCCTTTCTGGAAGTCTGAATTCATCTATGACTGATATCAAAAATTCAAAGACATAAAGGATATATTTCCAGTATTCCTTGTTGTTAAGCAATATTGAATTTCCTAAATTATGGCTTTTTTAAAATTGTTACATTAATTGCAAATCTGGAATAATAACAGAAGTGAACAACTCTTTAAGTTGATAATTATCTATAAGATCTCCTATTAGATTATTTGATTTAGCAAAATTCACATATAATTCAAAGATGCATTTTAAATAGGCACCCTTAACAATGTATGGTTCATTCTACAATACCGATGTTAATTATTCAAAAAGTAAAATTCTTTGAGTTTCAGATATTCCTAAATAATAGTTTTGACAGGTTTCTGAAATTAGATTTAAAGCTGCTGAATGAAGTTTGAGCTGATAATATCTCAGAACACTAGATTAGACTTGTTTATCTTTTTGAATTTTGTCTTCAAAATATTGCAAAGGATCTATAAGATTCCTAAAATTTTGAAGAATTAAATGTAAGATTTGCTTCTAATTACTTAAATGATTAAACTTAGGTTTTGAAGCTGTTTTTGTAAATCTTTATAAGATCTTTAGATATTATTTGCCAGCTCGAATATGAATTAGATTTTCATTTAAATTAAGGGATTTAGATATGTTCATAATTATATCAATAATGGTATGTGATGCACTCTAAAGTTATAGTTTAGAGATTTATAAAGATTTGTATAAAAAATTATCACGTTAGGGCTATGGCAATAATATGATTTTTAATAGATGATCTAATTGTGGCATTAGTATTTAGAAATTTGTTTAATTATCTTTGATAAAGTTTTCCCAAAATTTTAAGAAGCTTCTATAAAAATATACAACGTGTTCATCCTCAATAATTTCATCTGAACTGATAAAGAATTCAATAAAAATAAGGTGTATTCCTGCATTTCTAATCATATTTTAAAGAGATTTAGTATAAGACTGATTATAATTTCTGATACTTTCAAATAATGAATTTATTTTCTAGATATACTAAGTGATTTTTAAGAATGACTTCTAAAATTCATCTATTTTCTTATTATTTTATTAATCAATTTGCACATATTTTACTGCTTGCTTAACATATTATTATATTTCTTTTGGTCCTTGATCACCTTGTGCCTCATAATGTCCATTTACAATTCCAAAGTATTTGCGTTCTATTTCATCATCGAGGATTTCCACCTCTTTAATTTCTTAAAGATCGTACTACTAATTATTGAAACTTAAGATGAGATATTACAAGATTTCATTATTGAGGTTTGGTAATTTCATGGTTCCAAACAAACAATGAAATAATATAGAATTATGACTTGCAAATAATTCATTCAATGAACTCTCTTTTTAAGTCAAGTATTGTAAGACTTATAAATTAGCTTACAAATAAAATAATACTTAATAGATATTTAATGCTTCTTAAAATATCTATTCTATCAAATCTTAATCATTACATGTAGATGTAGTCCATAATAGGAAATCTGCAATCCAGGATTAATTAAATTTTAAATTGAATTTTTCAAACTATTCTGATATTAATTTACTTTTTGTATTTTGCATATTTTTTAAATTTAGATTGAACGCTTTATCTTCTTGAAATTCAAATGTCTTAAAATTATTATTTAATTGAATAATTAAAACAAAAAAGATGTTTGGCAAAGTCTCTTATATTTCTCTATTTTTATTTAATGTATTGTATCCTAAATCAATTGAGTCTTTGATGATGCGTATTATACTTAAAAAGAAATTTATTTACACCTTAGAAATTTCTTTGTATTTAAGTGAACTATTAGAATCTTCTGTTAAAATAGTTGGGTATTCTTATTATAGAAATAAGCCTATAAAATATTCATGATATTTTTAATTTGTAATAATATGTGATGAAAAGGATTTCAGAAGAAGGAGTTCTTTCATATTTTCTTGAGTTCTCATGGTATCTTATTAAAAATTTTGATATGAATCTGTTTATTTGAGTATATTGGAGGAAATATTTTCGTAGAAGTACCTGCCTGATTCTAATTCTTTATCAAAATCACCCAAAGCCTATCTAAGGTAGCAAGTATTCTCGAAGATTGAAATCTTAGTCAAAGGATCAATATCAAAATATAAGGATGAAAACAGTTCAATAATCACTTATTTGCATTGTAAACTATGTTTTGACTTTATTATGAAATCAAAGAATTGTTGATTGATACCTGCCACATTCTTAATCAAATTCATATTCTTGAAATTCCTACCTCTACACATCTTTGCATATAAATTCAATAAAATTAGTAAATATTGTTCATATTTATGATCCTACCTTAATTAATCATGTTTCATGAAATACTCAAGTGCTATTTGATTTTATTTTAAGTTTTAATAATGATCATGATGATTCTCACAAAATCTTCGGTTATTCTACTCAAAAATTTTAGCATCAGCTTCTAATTAAATTATAGGTAATTCATCTATTATGAGACATTTTATTAATTTGCATTGGTTATTAGAAAAGAGATTCTTCCTACATAAATTTTGACATTCTACACTTATGTGATAATTTGATGAAATAAATAAATTAATGATTGTTATTATAAACATTTAATCTTCTAAATTCTCTTCTGTAATCATTTATATTCTATTTATCCATTTTTTAGCAATAATTGGATTATACTTAGCCTTTGAAACTATTTACTTAAACATTTTTTCAATCTATTCTCTAAATTGATTTAATTGACTAAAAAGAAAGTCTATTATGGAATCCTCTTGAATGACATAGTTGCAGCAGTCATAATTATCCAAGATGATTTGATATATAGTTGAATAAATTTCTTCAACCAAATTAAATTGTTTCTTCTTTTTTATAGATGCAACTGGATCAAATTTTTACCTAGCAATTCGTTAAGCTGTTTTATCGCTAAACGAAGATTCCAATTTATTTTCTTGTGTTGAAATCAAGTTTACCAATTATTGTAATTTTATGAGTAAATCTAAAACATCATACTAGCACAAGTTAAATTGGCATTATTTTGTTTCTTATATTGAATTTTCTTAAGTTAAAAATAAATTCATATTTGTTAACAGCTTTTCAAATTAATTGATTTCATCTTGTAATTATTTTTAATTCTAAAATGCTATATTATATTAGTATTTTAGTTCTCTATCCAAAGCCCAATCTTGTAAGAATATGTAAAATTCAACAATTCCAAAGTAAAATGATTATATTTTATTAGCAGCCATAGCATCTTGATAAGGACCTCTTGCAACTTTGAAGAGTTATTAATCGTATTAGGTTTTTTGACAATTGGTGGTTATGTTTACTTCATTAAAATTGTTACATTAAATTGCATAAGTTTAGAATTAAGACAATTATTGATTTTCTTGTATTCTTAAAATTCTATAAAACTCACCTAAATTAATTTATTATTCTGTTTTCTATAGGTTTCTTATTTAAAATTCGAACTTCTGTTGTAGACGATCATACGAAGCATGTAATTATTCATTTTCTAAATATAAAAATGTCCCAGTTAAGACATTTTTAATCAAATAGCTTTTTTGAACTCTACTTTTTTCCTTTTTATTATTTTATTGTTGAGTAGATGAACTAGTTAGACCAATTAACTACCACAAGGAATTTAATTATAACTCACTTTCCAATGTGATATGAAACATCTAATTTAAATTTTCTTATTTTCGTAATTCTGATAAATTAATTGAATTCTATTCTAACGGCTAATCTTTTTTTTTATAGATTTATCTTTTTTGCATTAACTTTGTTGATGAGAATTGTCTTTTAATACTTAAATAACCTCCGAAAAGTCTATTCTTAAATACAATAATATCCCCATTCATTATAACATTTTCATTCTCATTTTCTGCATAATTACATATTCTCAAAGTTGAAGCTATTTAAGAGGCATGTACTTCAGAATAAGGACTTGTCTATTAAATCCCCAATCCCCATTTATTCAGATGAACTACACTGCTCTTTAAATATAGAATGTCTCCATACAAAACTGGTTCACCATAGCTTTTTGTATTAGATTGGAGCATAAAATTAGAATTAGAGGTTATATTTTATTCTAATCTAAGTTCACGACAGCAGTTTTCTTTTGCTAAGACTTAACTGTTGAGGGTTAAGAAACATTTAGAATACAAGTGTAGTAATTGTATTTCTTAACCATAAATGATATTCTTTTCGCTTTCGTTCTGCTCCTCAATTCCTTTTTATTCATCAGAAACGACTTCAGTTTTAGCTTACTCATATATGGAGCGATTGCTATCTAGAATTCTGAATAAGCATTTGAATATATTCCATTCAGCTTGCTTATTAACTAAACTATCTATTTGTTTATTGGCCAAAAATTCATTTGAATTGTAGTAGTCATTTGAGGATTTTTAGAGGAGAAGACACTCCAACTTGTTTGCTGCAAATCCCTCTCCAGAAATAAGACCCTTATTATCATCTGGTAAATACGATTTTAAAAATATTATATCGCCTTGTCGAACGTTATTTTAACTAAAATTAATTGCGAATATGCTTATACTTTTCATCCTCTTGAATAATTTACTACAAACTTCCCCAAGTTTCATCCTAGTCCATTTGATTTTGGATAAAATAATTAATTAATTAATGTGAAGGGTAATGATGGCATTTATTAATTACTGTTATCAATTTCAGAAAAATAGTATATTGAATAAGCGTAAAATTATAACATTACTTAAATATATGAAATTGATACGCGAATATATTTTATATGATAAATTAAATGGAATCTAAGTCAATCACTGTAAGTGCAAAATTACAACAGTCCAATTATTCTGCCATTTCAAATCTTCCCAAACATGTTATCAGCTAAATTAAAAGAGAAGGTAAATACAAGAAATAAATCATAATAAGGTGACTTATATATTTAAGCTGCTGATAAGTGTGAGAAAATTTGGAATGAGATGAGGAAGAATGATTTTATAACTGATGCTTAATTAAACTTTATAACAGTGCAAAGGGTTTTTGATGCTTGCAGAACAGAGATTGTTCAATTATTGAAACTGTAAAATGATTAAGACTTCTTTGAACTGTTTGATTAAGATAATGATGGGTATGTGTTTCACTATATTCTACTAGAATTTTAAATGAGGATGAGTAAATCTTGGTGTTTTCTGTCATTAAAGAGAAAATGCATTAAGTGGCTACAGCCTTACTAAAAATATAGGAATATATATTATTTAAATAGCTTATGAAAGAACTACGAATCTTGGAGGCAAACATAGCACACTATTAGAATTAGCTTAGATAGCGAATCTCATTAAAAGAGAGAAAAGTTTACAAAGAAATTGGGCAGGAGAAATTGGATGATTTCTATGATTAATATTATTAGGAGTTTTAATAACTTATTAAATATAAGATAGATAGAAGGTAAATTTTCTATCATAATTGAGAGCATAATTAAAATAAACTCAAGAAAATGAACTTGGCTTGTTGGAGGATCGCTTATCCAAAGATACAGAACTTATGAAAGTTAAGCCAAAGAAAAAGTTAAAGGATTTACAAACCTAAGAAAAATTAGTTAGTTTAGAAGAAAGAGTTGAAGAAGCCTTAGACTTTCGAAAAGAACTTAAAGACTTAGAGAAAAACGAGTAGGACAGAGTCTATAAAGTCTAAAAATATCGAATCGAAAAATAACATAGTGATTTATTATTCAAATAGTAGAAGGAAAGAGAGTAGTTAGAGGGTAAACTCTAAGAAACAGAATACAAGTTAATAATTCAAATGAAAAAGGCATATGATGTATTACTTAAACAAATTAATTTGCACAATAATGAAATCACGAGAATACAAAGCTTATCGACTAATTTAGCATTGAAGAAGGGATTGTATGAGGGAGAAGCAAAAAGATAGAAGGTCTAAGCTCAATTATAAAATGCGATTATTGCATAAACCAAAGCTATTAGCAATTAGGATAAAAAAACGAATGAATTAGAAGAATTTTAAGAGTCAGAAACTATAAGAAAGTTGGAAACTAGGAAAAGCATGCAAATATCTGGATCTCCAGGCTAAGTAAATAGAATTCATATTAAAGCCTATTGTAACGGAAGAAAGTGACAAAACACCTATGGGTTAGACATTTAAATTTGGGAAGAACAAGAATTTCTATTCAATTAGAAAAATAATAAAAGAATCAAAGAATATTACTTAATTTTATATTTAAAAAAAATATGGAGCAGTAATTATATTTCTTTATCTAGGACTTACCTGTTAATTTTGTGAAGAGTGCTCATAATCTGCAAGGAGATCAGCATGAAAAGATTGAAAGGTTTTTATCAGTTAAGAAGAAATCTCATCATGATATGTTGCCTCCAATAACCTAATTGTATGACGATGATATGCAAGAGAGAGTAAGAATTATAAATTAATAAACAAAGCCAATTAAAGGAATTACTAAGACTGATGAAGAAATTTAAAAGGAGAAAGCATTAAAACGGGCCTTTATAAATGAGAAGCTATTCAGGAATGATTGATTAATAGATCTTGATTTGCTTATTCCAAAAATACTTTCGTTTTTTCCCTTTAACTTAATATTACTATAATTATAAATATTATTTTTATAAACATACAAACAATGAGTAAGAATAAAGGTGTGAGTAAGGATGTTTAGACACCACAGTTTTTAGAGAAGAAGCCTTAAAGTCACCAATCATAAAATTTGAATCCAAGGCTTAAGTAACCTGATTTGAATAGGAAATTGTTGACAATGCCAATTGATGCCAAATATAAGGCTGTGTTAGGGCCAGACACTGATAGCTTAGTGGCATATTTGAAACACAAGAAGAAGAAAGAAAAGGCAATATAAAAATTGAAGGAATCAGGCAAAATTCAAATAGTAAAGGAGCCCAAACAATCAATCGATAAATCCTTGCCTTAAGGAATTTATGAAACTGAGGAAGGCAAATTAAAAGACATATCTGGAAAAATTATTCGACTGAATGATCAAGCTAAGTCTCTAAAAATAAATTAAGAAAGGTAGAAGCTGGAGAAAGTTTAAGAAATGTTGAAAATTCAAAACAATTTAAAGGATGCCTTAAATGACAAGGGACGATTCTTAGATAAAAATGTCACGATTTAAAGTAGTAATATTAGAAGATAAAAAAGAAAATTATTGGCTTTTAATTTTATTGAGAATGGCAATAAGGATGCTGAATAAGTGCAACAAGGATCTATTTAAATTGAAAACTAAGGGGAGGAAAAGGAGAAAGTAGTGGAGAAGGACACATAGAATTTAACAACGACCACAAGTCAAACTAATTTCAAAAGAGTTTGTGTGAAGATGAAGCATCATGATCCTATTCCTAATATAGAATGGTGGGATATGCCACTATTCCCAGAATATCAAGCTAATTATATTCCAATAAATATTGAAAATGAGCAGGAACACAAACAACCTGCCACAGCTCACACTTAAGAAGAAATTCAAAGGAATATCACATTTTTAGAGTAATTATAATACACAGATACGACAATTTTATTGGATAAGATAACCAAATTGCTTGAGCATCCAAAACCATTTGTTATTAGTGAATTAGTGTAGAATAGAGAAAAGGCTGCGTTGCCTTCTTTCTTAACGAAAAAGGAAAGGAAAAAGAGGTTGAGAAAAATACGTATGGATATTCAGAAGGAGAAATAAGATAAAATTAGATTGGGTTTATAGAAACCATCTCCACCAAGGATAACTTTGTAAAACATGATGGCAATTTTAGGAGCAGAAGCATAGATAGATCCAAGTAAGGCTGAACAAGAAGTAAGAAGATAAATCTAGGCTAGATTAGATAAGCATATCAAGTAGAATGAAGAAAGAAAATTAACTAAAGAATAACGAGGAGATAAGTTGAAATTGAAATGGTAAAAGGATGCTGCATAAGAAATTAGAGTTGCTGTATTTAGAATTGATGATGATTTGTCATCAGCTAATTTGGAATCCAAGAAATTGAAGTTTAAAGTGGATATGAATGCTTAATAAGTAAGTTTGCAAGGAGTTTGTTTAATTGCTGCTTAGAATGGGTAATAGGTTGTGCCTTCAATTGTGGTGGCTGAAGGAGGACCGAAGGGAATTAAGTTTTATAAAAAGTTGTTATTGAATAGAATAAAATGGAGAGGCGATGATTTAAAACCTGGTTGTACATTAGTTTGGGAAGGCGTGTCTAAATAACATGCATTCAACAAGTGGAAAACGATTGAAATAAAAAGTGAAGCTGAAGGGAAGAGAATTTTGGCAGAGAAGGGCGTTGAACAGTTTTGGGATTTGGCTATGAATAATCACCAAAATTGATTGAGTGATGTATTAAAATTAAATTATGCTTCAATTATATTAAGATTGATTTATGTTTTAATTGTTTGATCAACAGAAATACAAATTTTATATTCTGATTATAATTATAAATAACTTTATTGTAACTATGGGTTGTTGCACATTTAAACTGTATAAGGAGGAAGCAGGTATTTGAAATGCTTAACTTAAGTCTTAACTGTGGAGGATAGATAATTAGATGAGATAGACGCAGGGGTTTCACATCAAATTGCTGGAAATATTACTACCCAGATGTAATTTCACGATAAGGAATCTAATGCCATTAAATCAAGTTCCTTATCCAAAGAATAATTCTATTAAAAGCATTAAGAATAGCAGTAAGATTAACCTAAAAATAAGGAAGGAAATAAATCAGACATGGGTAGAAAATCAATTAGTGGCACTATGAAATTAACACCAGAAATGTTGGTTAGAAAGTAATGTATAACTGAAAAGTTCCTTTCTCATTATGAAATAGTAAAGAAATTGGGATAAGGTGGTTTTGGGGAGGTTTATTTGGTGAAACATTTATCAACTGAGAATTTGAGAGCAGCAAAAGTGATCCTCAGAAAAACGATTAGTTGTGAAGAGAAATTGTTGGAGGAAACTGAAATCTTAAAAACTTTGGATCATCCTAATATTGTTAAGGTTTTAGAAATATTTGCAGATTTCAAATATTATTATATAGTAACTGAATATTGTAAGGGAGGCGAATTACTCGAGAGAATCAAAACAATCTCTAAATATAACGAGAGACAAGTAGCAAAATATATGAAATAAGTATTTTCCGCAATAATGTACTGTCATCATAAAAATATTGTTCATAGAGATCTGAAAGTATTTCACATTCTTAATAAATATTCTAGCCTGAAAATATTCTTTTTGATTCAATCGATCCTGATGCTAATTTAAAAGTCATCGATTTTGGAGCAAGTGAAAAAATGATTAATCAATCCTGCTTAACAAAAAAAGTGGGAACTCCATATTATGTAGCACCAGAAGTGATATCAGAGCCAGGCTATGATCTAAAAGTGGATGTATGGTCATGTGGAGTGATACTTTACATTTTGATGATTGGAAGACCTCCTTTTAAGGGGTCCAATGATATTGAAACTTTAAGATTGGCAAAACAAGGTAAATGGAATACAAATAATGATCGTTGGATTAAATTAAGTGATTAAGTCAAAGATCTAATCTCCAAAATGATAGTTGTAGATCCAAAAAAACGAATCAACATGGAAGAAGCATTTAACCATGTTTGGATCCAAGATAATTAGAACAAGGAGATAGAAGATTTTAATATCATCCAAACACTTAGTCATTTTTCTGCTCAAAATAAATTAAGGGCAGCAATTATTTAATTTATTTCTGTGCAATTAGTTAATAAAGAAGAAAGCACGAAATTATTTTAAACTTTTAAATCTTTAGATACAAATGGGGATGGAGTATTGAGTAGAGAAGAATTACTTAAAGGAATTTTAGTTGCTGATATTGATCATTTTTAAGCAGAGAATATGGTTAATGATTTAATTTAAGAACTTGATGTAAATGAATCTGGTAAAGTAGATTTTACTGAATTCATTTCTGCTGCTCTTGTACTTTAATCGAAAATCACTATTAATAATATCAAGAATGCATTCAAGATGTTCGATCTTGATGGAAACGGAGTAATCAGTAAAAATGAATTAGAAAATATATTTGGAGGAGTTGAAATTGATAATTAAGCTTGGGAGGACATCCTAGAAAAGTTTGATTATAATAAAGATGGAGTTATTGAAGAAGAAGAATTCATTAAACTATTAGAAAATATTTAATTATGAATATTGTTATTTTTGTAACCAATTCTTATATTATTAATACACCTAATCAATTCAGGCAGATATTAGTTATAAATAAGAATTCAGAATGATAAAATATGTTATCTAATACACTAGCTCATTATGAGTATGCTCTTATGATATTATTATAAAATCAATTCTATTTCAACCTTATTAATTACTTCAATTCATTTATTGTTGTTAGTCTTGAATCAGATTTCCCTACAAAATGATTAAAACGATTTTACATAAATATCAAATACATATATATGCTAAAAAGTTGAATAAAAAATATGATTTGAATAGAGAGTGAAATAATATCCTATTTATAAGATATGAATACATCAGTTAAGACAGGTAAATCACTAAGTATCCATTTTGAAATTTTCAACTTCAAATTGATTTATTAAAATCTAAAGGTATGCAAAATAAATTTTCATTAGTTGTGATTATGAATGATTTTAGCATTAAATTTATAATTTAAAGTAGTTTATTAATTAGAATACAAGAAGTACTTGAATTAATATTTTTAAACCTCGGTTATCCTTTAAGTAGAGTATAAATAAAAATCTAAAAATGTTGTTTTTATTTTTTCTAACAATTTCTTAAAGATTATTCGAGCTAAATTAGGGTACAGAGATATTTGCTGAAGTTTCTTTTTTCAAAGAATTGCAAACTATGGTCTTATATCACATTAAAATATTTTTTTGGACTTATTAATATGTCATAATTCAATTGCCCTTTTATTCTTCACGAATCAATTAGAGGCCGTCATCAATATAGGTTTGAAGTTCATTAACATCATCAAACATGTTTAAGATATCTCCTATTTCAAATTGAGATGGGTCGATCAACATACCTAAAAGAATGATTAATATAAATACCAACAAGCTTTTTTGTAGATTCTTTGTCTTTAACAACATCGAAAACTTTCTGGAATAATAAATTACCCAAAACTTATCTTTGTGAATCAGTAGGTATTTTTAAGAAATCTTCCATTCTGCTTTGAACAGTTTAATAATCCATAAATTCTTATAAGAAATTTGGTTGGTATTTTTCAACATTTCTAATGGGTTCTGTTGGCTTAATCATATTAACAGGAGGTCTTTGTACAGGTCTTTAGGAAGGAGGGAATGGGTATCTTTGTCCTCTTTGAGGGTTTCTTTGAGGATGAGGATGAGGGAATGGCATGGGAGGTGGCATCATTTGATAATTTGGTATTTATGGTTACAGTAATTGTCTTCCTCCAGGATTAGCAAAAATATTTTAGCTTTGCTTTTTGATTTCCTTAAACTCTTTTCTCATGGTTTTTGATAATAAGATATTTGCAACAGCTCTACCATCCTTAAAGATTTCTTTTCTTTTATTGACGATTTTCTCATTGGCATCATCATAGAGTTCTGAACGAGCTCTCTTTGAATCTTCTAGAGTTTAATAGTGAACGAAGCATTATTGGACCTAAAATCTTGGGTTTTTGGTTTTTCTGATGGTTAAACGAATAACCTTTCCAAATTATCCCAAAAACTCAGAGATTTGTTCTTTGGTTACATCTTCTTTGATGTTTTGGATGATGATCAATCTTTCGTCTGGATTCAAATGTTTACTGTAAACCATATTGAAAAAGAAGTTGTCGCTTTCCCCCTTAAAAGTATCAAATGGGTCTTTTGACATTTCCTCAAAGAATGGTTCAATTTACTAAATAGTAAATTGTAAAGAGCCATCACTATTGGCAGGAGGGCCATTCTTTTTAATTAAATCAAGTGCAACACGAGCGCCTGAATTAAAGCATGGATGTTTTCTTTAACTTTCACACAGATCTAAGTTGACCTTAGCTTAATCAAAAGTGTCAAATGTAATCATTGCCCATGGTTGTCTTGTGACAGAGTCTATTTTAACAAAACAGTCCCTAACTTAATCACCTTACACTCTAGTCAAGTAATCTTTGATCACCAAAGACCATCCGTATTCAAATGATCTCATAGCACTATCTTAAGCACTTAGATGTTATGGTAATGGAGCTGCGAATGCTCTTAAGTAAATGGATGTTGATTCCACTTTTCTTTCAGATTAAGCCTTAAATTGTTCCAATTTCAAGAGTTTGCCCTTGTGAGTGAGTGGATGATTCTAGATTCTCTTGATCAAGTTCTCAGCATCTTCCTTTCTTTCAAATTAAACATAACCATAACTAAATTGCTAAATCTACATTTATACTTCAATTGCTTTCCTGTTTAGTCTCTATGTACATCAACTGATAACACTGTACCAAATCTTGAAAACTCTTGCTCTAATTCCAAGTCGTCTGCATCTTCAGGTAGATTCGAAATGAAAATATTTGCTTTCTTGTCTGCTCCATGAAAATTAAAGTAAGGTTTGACTCTGATGCTGTTTCGGATGAATATTTAATTATTAAATTTTTTTCTGGCTTCCTCAGCTGAGTCTGGATGAATGAATGTGATGAATGCTTGACCCTTGGACTTTTAGGTTGACTTGTCCTTCGTGATTTTTAAACTTGCGATTTCTCCCACTTCCTTGAATTTACGATATAAATAATCTTCAGATATTCCCTATTTATTGTAGAATGTATTCATACCTAATCTAAATTCTCAATATAGATGATGGTCTTCTATTATTATTGATTTGGTTGAGGAGTGATTTGTGGTTGTGTTGGTATTTCTTTTTGGAATTATTACATATTTTGATTTTCAAATAAATATTTTATTTAAAGATTTAAAGTACATTTTTGTAATGATTAAATTCACGATAATCATAAAATAATAACTAAATTTTCTTTCCTTTTATTCTCCAATCCCCTTAAACCTCAATTCTCACCATTTTCAACATCTAGAACTTGAATTAAAATATTATACCCTTCATTATGTATATCATTTATTTATAAGCCAAACAAAAATCCTTTTGATCACTTAAAATATGATTGTAATGATTAATATTATTTATATTTCTTGAGTCTTAGATAATAATTTGCCACATTTCCAAGATTTATTCAAATGATTTTTTATAAGATTTTGTGCAGTGAGATAGAAATATTTAAAATAATAATTTGATTTATATCATAATTATATAATACAATAGATATTATGAGGTTCTAACTATTTAGTCTTATCTTAATCTGTTTTGTCTATTGTGGTAATTTAATTTAAGGTAACAATAGATTGGGAAATTTACAAATCTGAACTATTCGATGCTCCATCAAGTGTGGATTGGATTGGACTAAATTCAGATTCGACGACGAGTCCATTAACTCAAATCAATCCAACTCTTTGTACGCCGACATCTTCTACATACTTGGCAGAAGGAAAGGAGAAAATTTGGAGAAAAATCTAAATGCCAAACAATAGAAAATTCTCTGCTATCAGAATTGAGCTAGATTTTTATTATATTGACTCGATGAAGGCAGTCAGCACTAAACTATACTTGAATTAAGTTATGGTCAATGAAAATGTTTAAACATAAATTGAGTTATCAACTCCAACTCCATTAATCTATTGTAATCGACCTGGAAATAATAATTCTGCAGATAGCTCTGTGTTTAGATTCAATCATTTTGAAGAATTTAGGGATAACTAAATTGACATACTAATTGAAACAATTGGGTTTCAACCTGTTATCATATATGCATTATCTGGATTTTATTTGTATGTTTAATTTTGTGATAAAAACTGTGAGTTATGTAATTATACTGGAGAATGTGAGAGATGCAAAGATAATCTCCAATTAATTAAAGGGTAGTGTCTTTGCAACTTTATCGGAGAACAAAGAGATTCTTTGTTTTAATTAGAAACTTCTAATATATAATGTTTAAATTCTTGTCCTAATGGATATGTTCCAGATTAAAATGGAGTATGTCAAATTGGCACTTCACATTTATTGTTTAATGACTTAGTTGGAGATTTCGACTCTTATCTCTTCTACATAATCAAAGACAAATATTATTCAATCGTTGATGATAACTCTTTGAGGATAATATAAATTGGAAATTAAAAAGTAGCAGGTCCCTTTTTTTACAATGAATAAATTGTTTTTCCTCAATTATCAATAATTTCTTTCTCTAAGATTATGATTAAACTAAGAATATACTTCCTAAGATATCATTACTCTCATTCAATTGGTGGACAAATCTCACTAAAATTTAATAATTATACAGTTTTATACATTTATGATTACGATCAACCTGGGCTATCATATTCATAAGGGACAGCTCATGTAAATAATTGGCAGAAGTGTCATTTTGAAGATTCTGAGAATTGTTTTTAAAGCGACATTTATTTTGAGATGTTTTTAAATTATGAAGTCACTGAAATATAATTTGCAGGTTAATTCACAATAGTAAAACCTCTTAGAGGATGGTGCCTATCAAATTTAGAGATAGTAGAATAACAAATAACAACGAATCTAAGTTCGTGTGAAAATAATTGCTTGACCTGCCCATATATGCAACCAAAATTCTGTAATACATGTAAATCAGGATATTTCTATTTCGCTAATAAATGCTTATTAAAATGTCCTTTATAAACGACCTAAATAGGAAATGAATGTTTAGAAAATTAGATGAGTGGCTAATTTAATTACATTCTAAACATTCTCTATGATGATAATAATTATTATGATTAAATTTTGAGAATAAGTTAATAATTAGAAATAGAACAAAAAATAGGCAAATTCACATATAATTCAAATGCTTATTCAATACTGGGAGGAATCCCATTTTGGAATTATGGATCTGTATATCATGATATCAAAAGTGATAGACCTTTTTACAAGGCTTTCATTAAGCTTAATGTAGTATGTATAGATTTATAATATGATGAAATATTTGAAATATTTGTGAATGCTACCGGAATTTCTTATTAAATGACAACAGCATCACCAAATTCAAATCAATTTCAGTTTATATCTATTGGAAATACAATGGGTTTTTCTTTGTGGAATGAATATGTAGCTGAAGGATTCATTGAAATTACTCTGCCTACATCACTTGATAGTTTGTTAGTAACATTTTCTGTTTAAGAATTAAAAAACTTGCATTAATATTATGGAATCTTCAACTACAGAGTTATGGTGGTGTCATGTCCAGAGTTTTGCAATAAATGTGATTCAGTTGGATAATGCTAAGATTGGATGGTTGATAATTCAGTGTAATCTGGAAGTTGTGCTCAAGGGTACTATTACGATCAAAATCTTCATTCATGTTCCTTATGCATTTCAGGGTGTTACTAATGTACTAATTCTTATTATTGCGATTCTTGTTCTCCAAAACATATTCAAATTCATGGATAATGTTATTGCTAAGTTACATTTGAATTAAGTAATACATGTACTTAATAATACCCGTGCTAATAGGGATGTTTGGCTTGTGGATTTGAGATAAGCAAGAATAGTAAAAATAAGCTTCAAAAATGTTTAGCTTGTGATGATTCTAATCATTACTGGTTAAACATTAATTAATGTAGTTGTTTAGAAGGGTATTATATGGAAAACAAAATTTGCTAGCCCTGTTCGGAAATATGTAAAGCATGTATTTATTCTCCAAAGTATTGTACTAAGTGTGATTCTTCATTAAATAGAATATTAAACCATTCTATATGTGAATGCCGCTAGGGATATTATTCAGAGGAGCCATTTCTAGAATGTTTTAAATGTGATTCCACTTGTAAAACTTGTTAAATCAAACCAAATATTTGCATTAGATGTTTTCCTGATTAATTTAGAAATATTTTAAGAAATTAATGCGTATGCAAAGATGGATATTTCGATTAAGGAACTGAAATTTGTAGTGAATGCGATTAAAAATGCAAAACTTGTTCAGATATCAATACTTGTTTGTCTTGTTATTCTGAGTAGAATAGGAAATTAAACTTATTGAATACTTAATGTATTTGTGAATAAGGATATTATGAAATAGAAAATAGTTTGGCTTGTGCTCCTTGCCACCCTTCCTGCGAATATTGTTTAAATTCTCCTTTGATAACTATGTGCTCTCGATGTCCAATCACTAGAGAACCATCATAAAATGACACTGTTTTCTCATGTAATTGTAAAAGAGGATATTATGAATCTAATATGAAGGAATGTTTGTCTTGTAAGAATTATATCAATCCTCCAATTTCTCATTATTGTTATACTAATTGTGGGGATAAGATTGTATAATGGAATGAAGATTGCGATGATGGAAATGATTATTCAAAGGATGAATGCAACTAATGTATATTTTCACATTCATATTGTTTTAATCCTTTGTGTACATAATGTGAAATGGGATAATGTCGCAATTGTATTGACGGCTATTACTTAAATATAAATAGTCATTGTGATAGGTGTGACTCATCATGTAAAACTTGTTCAGTAAGAGCAAATAATTGTCTATCATGTAATTTATAAAATGAAGATCTGCCATGTGCAATTTGTGAAATCTACCTAGGATATTAAATAAAAGATGGATAATGTTTAAACATTTGTGGCGATGGGTTAAGAGTAAGCAATGAATAGTGCGACGACGGAAATGAAAATCCTGGAGATGGATGTTTTAACTGTTTAATTGAGGATGGCTGGTCATGTTAAGATACTTGTGAAAAGTTAAACTATCCATATCTCATATTTGAAGAAAACATATATGATAATAGATATTAAGCATAAAGAAATTTTATGATAAAGTCAAGTATTCCATTAAAAACTTCTGTTTCATTTACAGAAATATGTTAATTCAGACTGAAAGATTCCAAAATGATTTAAATTAAGCAATATCAAGATCTTACTAATTATTTTGAAGATTATAATATTCTATAAGTTGATGTATAAATTGTACTAAAGAATAGAGAGGAAACTCCAATCTTATTATGTTTAATTGAAAACCCTTAACATTATCAATCATAATAAGGCTTAACTTTTAATCAGACGATTTTTGAATTTTAGTTATTAAAATATCTTAAACCCTCTTAAGATGTTATAAATGTTACTCAGGGCTTTATTGAGTTTAATAAATATGTGTTGTTTATCTTATTGGGTTTGGCTATAATATCCTTAATTATAGGGGGATTACACATCTTTTGGAATTTATTGGATATTTTATAATTAATATCCTATTTATAATTTTTCAACGTTATTTATCCTTATAATGTAGAGACTTATTTTAAACTATTTGACTTTGCCCAATTCGATTTCATGAAAATGTTCCTCAATATTGAAGATTTAGTTAATAGTTATGTTATTTCACCCGATCCTCACTATAAGTTTGCTTTAAAAGGTTATTCATCCACATTTTACATCAATGCCTTTGCTGTTTTTATTGCATTTGTAACTACCTTATCTATATATTTTATATGCATCATAGGATCCATGATTCTGACTAAAATAATGGCGTATTATTCAGAAGAGAATTTATATATTGATAATGAAGACCCAGAGCTGTTCAAATTTATTATTCTTCGAATTATTAGGAAAGTCTAAAGAGTATTCCTCAACACTATTCATTACTTTTGTTCAGGATTATTAAGAACCTTCATGTCTGTGGCATATGAATATAACCTTGCTATTTTTCTATAGTTATCAGTGCGAACAATCAAGAATCCCTTTTTGTCTTCAAGTTTCTTTATAAGCTTTATCTTTTTGTTGCTTTAATTGTATTTCATTATAAAAGGATTCTTCTTGATGAGCAATCAGCCTTATTATTTTGGTTAGCAACTTGTAAAATAAAAATACGGAGCTCTATTTGAAGGCGTTAGAATAAGAGGATCAAGACCCTACTCTAATTATTATAATCTACTCCTTCTTTGCAAGAAAGTGGTGTTTATTTTTGTTTTAGTGTTCTGCTATAGTTAAGCTTATATTACTATTTTAACATGTTCAATACTAAATATCATATTTATATTCTACGTTAAATCAAGTTCCCCATTAAAGGATGTTTATGAGCAATAAAAAGTCATAGGGGGAGAACTGTTCATTTGGTTTGTTGAGTTATTAATCTTGATACTATTTTATAAATAATAAAATGATCCGAATGAATAGGATGAATTAATAATTGGTTGGTTCATTATAGTTTTATGCACATTATTAGTTTTATATTAATGTGTTCTTGACTTTAAACAGCACTTTATTTTTTTGAAAGAAAATTATTTGATTGTTTAGAATCTCATTCAAAAAATAAGGAATTATTTTAACAAACCAATTTAAGTTCATTAGGAATCATAAGCATTTTTACATCAAACTCCACCTCAATACATATAGTATGATTAAAGGAAAATAGTAACATTTAGGATGGAATATTGAGAAATTACCTTTGGTTGATTTTTATTAATTTTATTTTGCCGAAATAATAAATTTATTGATTCTACATAAATAATTGTATGAATATTAATTATCTTATGCTAATATTTTGTGTATATCCATGTTTTTTGATCTCAAACTACATGATTTAATTATCAATATATCTTTTTGTTTTGTTTTCAAAATGCAAATCATTGTAAATTATGTAACAATATGAGTATGGAATTGATTAATTTTCATTTTGTAATCAATTGTTCGATGTAATATTTAAATATCAATTTAGGATTGTCAAAGAAAGAGTGTTATTATTGGAGAAATAAAAAAAAGAAAGAGAAGAAGCGGAACAATCTGCTAAAATTGCAAAATCTACATAAGCTACTCAAGTACTACAGGATTAACATGTAATATAAAAGTATTTCATTTGCTTAAACTTAGTCAATTAGGATAGCAAGAGATGGATCAATCTATTCAAACAAATGGAGAAAATGATGTTATAAGCACTTTAAATAAAATGCTTAATGAAAATCCTGAAGTGAGAGATTAGATTGAGGAAAAGTTATAAAAATAAAGTCAGATGTAAACAACACTTGCGCAAGATTCAGATGAAGAGGTTGAGAAGAATAATTAAACATTTGCTAATGATTTGATTTCTTAAGTAAGTGAAAAAGAATTACAAAGCGAAGACAGAATTTATGTCAGTATGATAACCAACGAATTAACTACTCAAATTAAGAAATCCCAACGATAATCAATGGATTTACAGTAAATGAATATGCAGGAGCGATCAGAATCTATTTTTAATTCAAAACTGATAATCAACAATTCAAACTAATTAATTTTAGTACGAGATGACAAATATTACTTATAATATCTTGATAAGATTCTATTTATTTAAAGATATGGAAGATTAAAATTGGAAAGAGAAAAAAAGGAGAGAATTGAAAAGGAAAAATAACTGATTGAAAAGATGAATAGATATAGAATAAATGTATTGAATGAGTTAATTTAAACAGAAATTAAGTATGTCTCAGATTTGGAGATCTTGAACATGATTAAAAAAGAATCAATTGAAAAATTTCCAAATAAAGAAGCTGATATAAAAGTGATGTTTCATATCTATGAGATTCTCAATTTTAATACTGAATTTTTGAGTGAACTACAAAAGTGTAACAATCTTAAGGATCCAAACGCTGTAGTAATGAAAAATATAGTTCCTCTACTAAATGGATTTATATTCTACTATGAATATTGTAAGGCTTACGAACAAACCAGAAGAATAACAAGTCAATATGAGGCTATGCCTGCTTATTAATAATTTCTCAAAGAAATTAAGTTACAGAATTTGTTAAAAGGTTAAACGTTAAATGATTACACAATTAAACCTGTTTAACGATTACCTAAATACGTACTGCTCTTCAAAGATTTATTAAAACATACGATGTCTTCCCATCCAGATTACTAGAATGTGAAATGTTGTCTCGAAACCATTGAAAAGATTAACGATAAGAACAATAGTGAGATGGATGTCTTTTTAAAATAAGCTAAATTAATGGAATTATATTAGCAGTTTGGCAATATATAGAACCTATCTGTCTTTAAGCCTAACATATTTTTCATCTTTGAAGATATTTGTTCAATCTATACAAAGAAAATTGAATAAAGAATTGTTATCTATGCATTTAATAATTTACTTTTATTCGCTAAAAAAAGCAAGCTAAATAGCTTAAAGTATAAATACCATATTTCCCTAACCTAACAATCTTATATTAAAAATATCAAGGACTCGTTGATTCTCAAGAATTCCTTTGAGTTTGTGACTAGAAATGAGACTATTGTTATTGTAAATGGGGATAATAAAACAAAATAAATACTTATGTCGAAAATTTAAAATATCATAGATTAATAAATTTAATCATTTAAATAAAAAAATGATATAAAGAAAGAGACTAATTTTTGTGTTAAGGTAGAAATTATAGGAACTGAAACCAATCCAAAATTACATAAGAATGTTACATTCTATAAGTTTAAATTTACTATTGATACTATTGAAATTGTAAGTTTAATAAGATTTAGTTAAGTTCTGAGTTTATTATAAATTGTTAATAAGTATGATAATAAACTGAAAATCCCAACAATAACAAAGAGTTTATCGGCAAAGAATTAAAAAGTAATAGATGAAAGAAAGTTGAGGATTGAGTAATTATTGTAAATTGTTCTCAATTCTCCATAAATAATCGATAACAAAGAATATTAGAAATAAGTCTTAGAAATAATGAAAATTGATCCCAAGTTTTATAGTTTACCAGAGCAAAAAAGATTGAAACCTGAGTTATTTTAAAATATGTCGAAATTGAAATAAAATCAAAAGAACTCATACTTAGAAATTCTTTAAGAATTGTAGCAAATAACTTTTAGTTAAAAAGTAAGTAAAGATGATTAGCAAGTAAAGATTGGAAATGAAGCTCCCCAATAACCTTATTGTATTGAAATAACTCTATTGACTGGATAACACTTATAGGTGGGATTCAAAAAAAATACATTGACTTGGTTCATCAAAAGTGCAATTGCCAATCACATCAATTTAAAATATTTTGTAGATTTTAAAATTTTCATTGTGGATACAGGAGGAATCATTAGAGTAATAGAAGATGATGAGAAAATATCTTCGTTTTTGGACAAGAGTAAATCAGGGTTTATGTAAGCGTTGAAAAAGATGTTTAACAATGGAACAAAATTTCAGTTTATGTTTAAAAAGTATTTATACTTACCTTAGAAGTAAGAGGAACTAGAATATCGACAGGATGAAACTCGATTGAAATATTTAATGTTTGAAATAGTGTTTCAAGCAAAAAATCTAACATTTCCTTTAAACTTCTTAGACTTTTGTTTGATGACTGCCTATTATTCAATTGCAACTCAATAAAAAATTGATAAGAATCTATTGAAAAAAGCAATTCCGAATTCAGTTATTAAGTAGCATTCAGAAAGGTTGTGGTTTGAACAGATTTAAAGAGAAGCAGCGTTCAGAGAAAAGCAACTTTAGGAATTTTCAACGCAATCACAGTAGATGTAACCAAATTAAAAGAATGGTACTATTTAGGGTTTGTCATGCTTGTTGATGGTAGCTTGCTTTTAGACTAATATGTTGTATGGAATGTAATTATTCTTTGTAGAATGTTCAAAAGAAACCTAATAACTAGTTTAGTAAAGCAAATTAGGCATTAAATTGAGCACTCATGTTTTAATAGGTATTTATAATAATTAATAATCGAAGGTTTGAATTACAATGGTTTGTATTTCTTAAAGCCAGAAAATAGAGCGTTGATAATTAGAATTGATTATGGTTGGGTTTCAGAAATTAAATCGTTTCCGATAGAGTTGACTTGCAAAATCAATAATTGCAATATGATTTTTAAAACTCAAACTCCTTATGAAGTAAAATATTCAGTTTATAACTTAGATTAAACACTTAATTTTAGAATATTAGGAATTAATTAAAATTCTAAGTTCTTGATAATTAATTAAAATTATTTTATAACATTCAATCTTTTAACGTAATATATTGTAATATAAATTATCTGAGAGTATAAGATTTATTTGTTTATTATTGAATCGTAACAGCTGTATAAAAGTAAAGGGGAGGGGAATCTTGGGAACCTGAGTTGGTTTTTTTGTTCTGGAACAAGATAAGGAGGTAGTCGACCAAGAAACATTCTAAAGTACGTAAAGTGAGTATATAAAAACATTAAATAAATAATTATATGTAAGAAAATGAGTTTGCCATTTCAATTTGTGTTCCTTCTTTCAAAAAGAATGATGATGTAGTCTATTATCAATTAATGTAAGAATTTGATCAGATTCTAAAATATAGTTTCTTCGAAAATAATTAAAGATGCTCCTTTTCAGTTGATTATCGCTATTCCCATCTTAAATTATTGCATGAATCCTTATCGACTCTTAAAGCGAGTTTGCCGAAGTTTCCTCCGACTAATTGGTGGAGATCCACCAATAACAACGAATAATTAATTGAAGAGAGAAGAATACAGTTAGATTATTTCTTCAAAAATCTCTTCTAAAGTAAAGAAGTTTGCAATAGTTTGATTATGAAAAATTTCATTCTCAAATCTCAATGTTAATATCTTAAAAAGGTTGAAAAAGTATGTAAATTCTTTGTATTTTAAGTAATAACGTAATATCCTAAAGAAAGAAAGAAGGGAATTAGCAACTCCATCCTAAAACAAGCAGAAATCCAAGTCCCAAGTAAATGCATTTGAAAATAGTAAATAGATGACAACCCCAATTTTCGGACCTGCTGAAGATCCGATTGAGGATCCCCGTGAGAGATCCCGTTCCTGGGAATTTAAATTAACTTAGAAGAAGTCTCAATAAGTGCTTGGGAGGGATTCTAAGTAATTAAACAATGTACATATTGTAATTCCATTTTTGTAGTTAAACTTCGGTGGAGTTCCTATTTTTAAAGGCATTCTTTTGAGATTTAAATGATAAAAATAGATTTCATATACAATTTTAAAAATATAATTATTCTTTTGCATAATTGAGAATAATACTCAATACAACAAACATTAAAATCAATATAATCATTTTTAAATTTATTTGGAGAGGTTCTATCCGATACCTCTGGCACTATTGAAACTGCAAACACTTTTTTAGTTCTTGGAAGTGTGAATATGTCTAGCAGTGGATGCAGTCTGATAGGAGTGAGTTGAATTAGAGAGATTGAATGCACTACCATACCATAGGCTGATGTCATAGGCACAATTCTCTTTAATTAGCCTAATTAATTCTAGAATCTAAAAACTGGAGGGCCTATCAAGTGGATTAGGTCTAGTCATTATTTTAACCAATTCGAACAGTTAACTATTTTCGCTATTTTGATAGGTTTTATTTTTTTGAAAACTAGCATTTGATTAATTTGATTATTAAAATTTGGTTCCTGTTAAAAGCATGTAGAGAACACAACCTGCCCCAAAGACATCGACTTTGAAATCGTAGTTAATTTTGGTCTGATGGACATTTAGGACTTCAGGAGCAACATAGCCTTCTGTACCGCAATTAGGATTTTCAATTAATTGTTTGCCGTCATAACAAGCAAGTCCAAAATCGATCAATTTGAGTTTGTTGTTGTGATACATGATATTGGCTGGTTTGATGTCTCGATGAAGAATCTAGTTCCGATGGAGATAGGTCAAAGCTTCTAGTAATTACTTCAATTTTATCTAATTTATACTTGCATAATTTCTAAAATTTCTTCATTTTTAATTTGGTTTGATTTATTGAATATTAGTTGTTTTAAATTATCTCCTTCAATAAATTCAGTCACAATTTAATAATATAGTTCAGTTTTAAAGACCTCGTAAATCTCTACCAATCTCGGATGTTTGATCGATCTTAAAATCTGAATTTCATTTTCTATCGTTTTCTATTAGTCTTTCTTTCCATTTAGTAAAATATGTTTGATGGCTACCTTCTTGTTATTAAAGCAACATTCATTTGTAGTAACCTATTAACTAGATGATAATTTCATACTTAACCAAACGATCCAGCTTCTAACGTAGAAAGATACTTATAGGTTTGAGCTAGATTGACAAAAGTCATCTTGCTCCCCAATCTCATTCTGAGTTAGATAAGGTCGGTCTGATCAGCGTAAAACTCTTTGTAGTTACCTCGGTATGGGAATTTGAAACCAACCAATCTCTGTTGCTTGATTAACCATTCGAAAGTGGTGGATTCTTCAATGTTCATGATATATTTCGGAGCATCCGTATTTTAATGCTAAAGTATGCCAAACTCAAGTACATAAGTCATGGTAATGAGGTTATTGTGTTATTTTAACTAATATACTCGATCCCTAAAAAAATGTTTCCGAACAACTCTACAATAAAACGGTACTTCTAATTGGGTTAACAAGAAAGGTTGATGTAGTGATTTTTTTTACATATAGATATAATAAATTAATCATTTTAAATCATTGATTAAACTCAAATAACCTGCCTTTATTCTCTTTAGAAATGAACCAAGATGCTAGAGATATTATCTTTCCCATATTCACCCTCAACATTCGATGCCACAATCGAATCGCAGATGGTTTCCAAGATATCAGGCAGAGGCTTCCCTTATTGAATTCTCTCCAAAATAACCTCTGATATCGCATTATTAGTCCACGTTTCCCAAAAGCCTAAAATTAATCATTAATTATATCAAACCATGACTCCCCATTAAAATCAACTCAGTCTCCTCTTTATCTACATACTTGATGCTCGGCACAGAAATTAGCAGTTACTTACTCTGATCTAGATTGGAATTGGATTTGTATTCGAAATTCCCCAAACCTCTACTGTATGGGAGATGAGCATTCAATCTATTTTCCCACACCTCTCCTCCAGCAGCAAGTATCCTCTGTTTCTCGTGATCGTTCATTGGATAATGTTCAACAGTCATAACCTTGTGCTTGCCTTCATATCGAATGATACACCTGGATAACTATTATATCGAAAGGGACGAATTACTCCTGCATTCGCTACATAAATGTTTTCGTTCGTAATCAATGTTAGCAATAAAGTAACGCCCTAGTAGCTGGTGCTCTCCTTAAATTAATTTTTTAGTTAATTGTCCAATCTTTCATATAAACCAACAATAGCTTTGTCGTAATTTTTCTATTTATATTCCGAGTCATTCACAAGTGCCTCCACTATATGATCCTGAATATACTTTCCATACTCCATCCCGCCATATTGTTCCACTATACAGAATAAACAATTATCTTGATCAAACTTCTCCTTTATGATTACAAATTCGTCTTGTTGGATTTACCAACCCTGCAAAGATGTGGACGTGTATGCAAAATCCAATACCTTCCCAGATTGCGTAACTTTTGTCGTATCAGGTTTTGCTAAATACAAACCCATATTCAATTATATACAAATAATTATGTATTGATAAAACCTGATATTCATTCTAAATATCCATATTTATATTGATTATTTTTTATCATTCAAATTTACTCTACATTTTTAATCAACATAAAATTTTGAATCAAAAGTCAATATTATTATGAATTATAATCATATATTTTATTGTATAGATCCTTAAAATAATTTACAGATTTTGACTTCGAAATCAAATTTTATTTATTACGTAAGTATTAGGATTTCTGAATTATTTCCTAACAAACAGAGGGAACATTTCATTCAAAATAATTATAATTTTCAAAGTATTCTTTCTATCTTTTTAAAAAGTTCAAAATTATATTATGTTGAAAATTCACATTTAAAATAAGTATTTGTTAACATCATTTCTGTTCAAATGATGTTGTAGTTAAAGACTTTTCAAATTAAATTTTAAATTTGAAGTCGATATAAGATATCTTCATTTTATATAATCAATCGCGTTTTAATAATTAAATTTTGTAATACTTATTGATGAGATACTTTGTTTTCATGAGATGCACTATTCAGTTAATGATGTTTGTTTAATATATTTTATTTCAAGAAAATATAAAATAAACTCCGAGATTATATTATAATTTTACTTATAAAAAAGGGTGCTAAGATTTAATATTGAACAAGATTCGATTTAATTTTGGATAGCTAATAGAGTTGACGATGAAATCTGGGAGGAACCTATGAATTTGGCGAGTTGATTTAATGTTAATTGTGTAATATACAATGGAAATATAAAATTATCAATTAAAATCTTTTAACATATTGTCTTTGAGTGTGGATCTTGGAATACAATTAAATTATTTTGAATAATATTAACTTATTTTAGTTTAAAACAAGATATTAGAAATTTTGAAGAGCATAATATAATTAAGATTATTAATGAATGATACTATTGTCAAGGAGGTAATGGCGACGAAGATTAGTGACACAGAGAAGAAGATTATCGAGTATCTGGAGGAAGAGTTATTTTTAGAGCAATTCACAGATCCATAGTTAAAGCAAATTAACTTTGAGTTGTCAAAGAAAAAAACTATATTCTCGTTTCGATCTATGGATTCTGACACCGAAATTTCTGAAGCCACCTCATGTTCTACGATAAAGAGCAGCAAACTACAATTGTGTAAGTCGCCGCTGTTTAGAAGGAGGGTCAGTGCCTTGGTTTTAGACTAGTTATATTGATTTTGTATTATTTAACGTATTTTGAATCTCAATAGCGGAAGAATGGAAGATGTGTCTCTCTACTTATATTTCTTACATTTGATATTATAAGTAAAATAATTGAAATATAAAACATTTGTAAATGTAACCATTGAGGCCTTCTTCGGCGAGTTCAACATTACCAAAAGTGGATCAAAAGAGTACAGCAAGGAAAAAATCGGCTCACCAATCCCTTTTTCAGCCAATCACCAAACCATCTGCTTCATCAATTGAAACTCCTGACTAACAATTGAAGAAAACTCAAGTATTGGAGTCATTGGGATTCTACGAAAAATGTACAATTGATATTAAGGATAGAACTCATGGCTCTAAAAGGAACTAGTCAGCAATAAAGTGAAGTGGATGCTCTGTTTAAACAGCTAAACAAATTTGCAATGGCACAAATTGAAAAGAATGGATTTCATGATACATGTATATTGATTCTACAATGGATTATTCAACACAAATCATTTTAGGAAATTCCCACATAGATGTACGTATGTCCCCTCTTATTTTTATAGTTGTTTGGCTTACAACAACATGGGCTGTGTTTATCGTAGAATCGGACAAACCCAGTTAGCATTTAATGCTTTAGAGAATGCTCTACAATTAGTTCAGATGTATGACTAAATCAAGATGGAAACAATAACATATTTGAATATTACAACTGTTTTAAGTTAAATGAATATGTAAGAATGTTTTCTAATTCCCAAGGCATGACAAGGCATTGAAGGCCTCCCTGAAAGCGATTCAATCAGGCAAGAAGGAATTCGATCCAAATCAAATTGAAACTGTTCGATGTTTGGCTTTGGCCAATCTTAACTATGCATTTGAATTGGAAGCCTTGGATCGTTTGGAAGAGGCAGTAAAACAATACAAAAGATCATTATAATTTGTGCTTGAACATCTAGGTAATCACGATCCTTTGTTTTAAAAATTCCATAGTCATCATCACTTGGCCAAATAAAAATTGATAGTCCAAATGAACTAACAATAGCCAGGTCTATTTAAGACAGTCTTGTAATTGAAGAAAAATTACGAAGTTCCAACAGATGAGAGTTTTTAGTAGACAACTCCCATTTGTTAAACAAAAAAGTACTCAACACTAAAGAGAAATAATTACATGGAGGATCTTAACAATAAAAGAGATAGCAGTGCAACAATTAAGAAAGGAATGACAGATGACGAAGCATTTTAAGAGGTCAAACCCTAAAAGCCTATAGAGAATAGAGAAGAACCAAAATAAGTCGAATTTAAAATGCAATCGGAGGAGATTCAGCCTAAGAAAGTTAGTCAGGTTATTCATAAGAAGATGAATCAGATTGAGTAGATACAAATAGACGAATGGTCCAACTCAGAACCATCAGATACAGAAGTTAAGAAATAGAGACTGAATGAGAGGTCTCCAGAATTGAAGGTATCTTCAGTCAAAGTGAATACAAAAGATCAAAGATTGAATTTTCTGAGTAAACAAAATACGTCCAAATAAAAAGTGGATGAGAATTTATTGGAAAAAGAATAATAAATCATAAGGGAGATAGAGGAATAGATATATAATGCTAATAGCATTGCGAAAATACAAGCTTAATTTAGGATGAAGAAGGAGAGGAAGAAGTTTTATTGTCTCAAAAAGGCCAAGAAAGATCAAGGAGAATTGTTACCTTCTGATGAATTGAAACTGAAATAATTCCAAAGATTCATCAAGAGGAAGTTGATGGAGTTGAAAATGAGGGAGATTACTAAAAAAATTGTATAAAAAAACAAATTAAAGAAATTTCCCAATACAGAAAATTAAGCGTATTAACGAATCATATCTTTATTGGAAACATATAAAGCCTACAAAAGAATGCTTTTACATAAGTACGTAGTAAGGACTAGGCAATTCTAAACCTTGCGGTAGAGCTATTGTCATCCCAACTAGATGGTTCATGAGAAGATAGAACCATTTAGAGATGCTTACATTTTTACCTTTGGAATAACAAACGATGATTCCTTTGTGCGTTTTTCATTAGTTAATGGTGTCAAAAACAAGAGAAAGGAGTAGTAATATTATTTCGAAATGGATACTCAGAGTTTCTTGAAGTCTCTTGGGTTGTTGCATTAATATATTGGGGATTTAGAATGCTTTATAATTGAGGAGAATTAATTGTTGAGGAATCTAAAGAACTTACAAACTGTGGCATAGCAATTTATCATAATGAATGAGGTGGATGGGAAATACGTAGTGAGATGTTTAACTGAATTCCAAACCTAGTTCAGATAGGCCCTTTAGAGAACAGCAGTGATATTGCAGGAACTTATTTTGGTTGATAATAGCAAGCTTTACATATAGGGTATTAACAATTTTGAATACAACGATGTGGTTCCATTTGAAGAGGAAGTTAGGGAGATCAAGCCTCCTCTTTACACTAAGAAATTGAGTGAAAATGAATTGGCTTCAATCAAATTCATCTAGTCATTTATGAAGGGTTATTTACAGAGGATTAGAGTATAAAAGTGGGTGAGTTAGAAGCAGAAGCAGATATATTCAACAAACTTGATAAAAACAGTGACTGGACATTATTTAAAGATTGTTAAGGCATAGAATATCTTGAATAAGAAACATTACCTATACATAATAAATCAGGAAACCTAGAAGAAATCAAATGATTTGGAAATCAAATAGATAGTGTTTTTAAATATGGGAGAGATCACAAGGGAAAATATATTTGAGATATTGAAAGTAGATTTGGATGGACCTAGTATAGAGTATAGTGATGAAGCCAATTATTGGGTATAAAAATAGGAGGACTATTAAAAGAGAGGAGGGAAGGAGACATACTCGAAGATTAGCAAAGACGATTCGATTGTATTAATTCAAAGAGCAGTTCTACGTTACTTATTAAAACGAAGATGCTCCATTAAGAAGATCAATAAAGCCAAGTTCAATACGAGCGATTAAAAGGATATAGAGAGAGAAATATTGGTCAGGAGGGCAATAATTTATGGATCAGATATGAATTAAAGAGCATGCTTGACCACATTATACTTAGAGATAGAAAGGACGGATCCGAATACATCTCTGATGGGTTAAAGTGAATATTAAAGTGTGTTGATTACTTCGAAGAACCTAGAACATGTGTATGCATTTGATAAATGTGTTCCATTTTATCAGAAATTGTTTTATCCATTATCTAGGACTGAGATCATAACAGTAGCATAAAGAATGGTTGAGGTGTCGAGAATAGTGAAAAATAAGAAGGGAGAACCTAAGGTCGAATGCAAGAGTGTTGATTAAGTCCATGGAGAGATCCTGTCAAAACAAGGAGAGGAGGATGATATTAATCAAAAGAAGGAGAATACACTGGATGCAAGATTGAAGATTGGATCCACGTTGAGAGATAAATACTTATAGTAATTTGTATCATGTTTGGAGGAAGATCCAGAGATGAAATTGAATCATCAAGCTGAAGATAACAAATAGAAAAACTTTGTTTCTACTCTACAGAATGTGTTTAGAGACTTCAAAGTTCGATTAGCCCAAAGAGTCAAAACAACTAAGCATGTTGATGAGGAAGACGAGGCATCAATCAAAGCATATGTTTAAAATGTGCTACCTACTACAGAATATGGCACCAATCCAAATCTATTTAATGACATCAATTAAGATTAATTGTCTGATGCGAAATCCTAGCATTCACTAAAGGAGGATCTGGATTTCGTGACAGATTTCAATATCACTTTCCTCGATGGCTTATTTAAATTGCAGATCTTCTTTTAATTGAGTTAGCAGTTGTTCATTATTCATGGATAGAATATCTATACCACCAAGTCCTACAAGACTTCAATACTGAAATCAGATCTCATCAGTAATTATGATCTCCCTTACAGTTACATCAAAGAAAACCCGTAGAATATCATTTTGCCGCTTATTGACTTTTAGGATGATAAGATTGTATTTTCAAAGGATGAAATCAAATTGCAGAAGATCGTGGATGACTATTTGGCTTATGAATTTAATGATGCTAAATCTTCAAAGAAAGGAGTCTCTGTTGATCATGAATAAGAGGAACTCCCATCTGATCAAATTACTGATAAAGTGGTGATTGCCATCTATCAAAAGGGATCAAGCACTTTATTCTTTGAATTTCACAGAGAGTATATGATTGTTAGAATAATCATTCATTTCAATAATACCAATGAGAAAAGGGTGATTGAGATTGACACCCATCAATTCCAATCTAAATATGTTGATGAAAGAATAAAAGATCTCAACAATAAACAGGTGATCAGATTCTTCAAGGAATTCAGTCGAACAATCACAAAGGTGATTACAATCAATGAAAAGGATCATACTCACAATTTTGAAGATCTGAGAGGGGATTTGTCTTTGTTCTTGAGAGAGAAGTTTGTTCAAAAGATATAAGGGATGTTGATGGTAAAAAGAATGGTGGAGAAATTCAAATTGTATAAATAATTAAAGCGTTCCAAATTGCATATACATAAATTCATTGTGAACAACGGCTAACATTATATTGAGATATCCTATTTCCTCATCAAGTAGTCTGGCAACCTCCAATTAAGTATGAGGGAATTGACCTTTGTGACTCCTTAGGGTCATTTAGTGGAGAGGAGCAAGACTCTTAAGAGTAAAAGGAGATTGAGAGAAAAGCAGTTTTTGATCAATTTAGAGAAATTGTCCTAATAAAGTGATCAATTAATAAACTCACAAACCAAAAGACAGGATCAATTGGACCTCTAGAGAATCGATTTCTCAGTTCTCTCTAATTATGATTAGATGAAGACTATCCAATATTATCGATCATTGATGACTCCGTTGATCTCTCTAATTTAGAAGAATCTGGTGGTCAATTTCAACAAGTTCCAATTTTCTTTGACTCTACCTATAATAATGATAGAAAGTCATATTATGAAAAAGAAGAAGAAGAACTACTCTCATGAAACTAAATTCTAATTAATGACTTATGCAGCCATTGCAGCTTAATCTACTTTCAGAAAGAAGCTGTTAAAGAAATGGTTGCAAACTAAATTAGCCAGAAAGAGACAGATTGAGGAGAAGAACAAGCATTTGGGTGAGTTTATAAAGAGATCTTTCAAGATAATTAGAGAGGATGACAAATCTAATTATTACATTATCAATGTTTACAAGTAGCCTGGGAAGATACCAAGTCAGATCATCTATACTTTTGAATTGATTCCAATAAACAAAAGTGATAGGAAAACAAAGATGAGAGCTTCTTATTCCCATGACAATTTCTAATTGATTGATTTAGGCTCGCAATCTTTGGCAAATCACTTTATCAATAAAATCTATATTGAGAGAGGAATAATAAAATTCGATGAGTATTCATTCTAGAAGGCTCAAGATGATGGGATTTCAACTACTTTTGAAGATAATCCTTAGAATGAACAATAAAACATCAATGCTGATGAAAAAATGATTGAGAAGGATGCCCAGGAAGTGCTGATTGATTAAGAGAAGACTGGAAATACTCTCATCAATATTGTGTACACCAACTCTAAGTAATTGTTGGATAAGAAATCGTATGATGACTCTCAAAACAATGTGACCAAATTGTAGGTTGATTTACAGAGCATCAAGAAGTTGTATCCCAATTTCAATGTGAAGGATCCAAATACTGTTAAGATTCTAAGTCAGAATCTGAGAAAAGGAGTGAGAATGGATTAATTTGCAGGAAGTCTTATGATTGACAAAAGCAGGATTCAATCATCCTTAATTAATCCCCTCAGTGTGGGAGTGGGCAGAGTGGAATCCCAGGTCTAGATCTAATCTTAATTCCAGATTCAGTCCAATTTCAATAAGAGCATGAGATTATCTTCTAGACCCTATGCCACAAATGTGCTTGCCAAAGAGACCATGAATTACACGGGGAAGAAATATTTGATTGTGATTAGTCAAGTGAAAAACAAGATTTAGAAGATTTTAAACCAAGATCGAGATTCAGTGTTTGAGGATCATGAAAGAATATTAGAGATCAAGGCTCAGAACTTGAAGGAGAGATCGGAACCATTCGCTTGGTACTTAACACCCGATGATGCTGAGATATTGACTCATGAGAAGAGTCCTGAGAATATGGCGAAGGTTCTGACCAAGAATTTGCAAATAATCAACTCCAAATTCATCTATCTATGTTTTAATTAATAGGATCAGCAGAGGGTCAAGTTGAAGCCTGAAGACAATGTGATATTGTTTGTGGAGAGTACGATTAGACCTATGCAGACCAAGTTTAGAAATAGGAGAATCTTTTCTAATTACAAAGAATATAGGAAGACTTTGATTAGATCCAGGGCTGAGGGAACTTTGATATTGCATTTGGCCAATAATTTGAATACCACGAAGCGAATGTTCGTGATATTGTTCATAGAGGAAAAGGAGTCATCCATTTAGATGAAGACTTGGGATGCCACTGAGTAGATGTACTTTTGCGAAACTGAGTTGCAATTGAAGAAGGTAAGAGTATGATAAATATCAAATAGTACCAATCGATTTATTTTTCAGATAAATAGAAATGTTTGAAGGCTTTAATGAACTTTTTGGAATTCAGAAGTGAGTAGAACAAGATATAGTTTTTGCATCCAAAGCCAGAACAAGTTTAGGATTATTTTGAGAAAGAAAAGAAATTATCAATTCATTCATCGTCTAAGATTGGTTCACCAACCAAGTCAGTGGATTAAAATAATGAATAACAACAACAGAAGTTCTTTTAGTAGGAGCATACACCCATGTAATCACCTATGATGGTCATTGAGGATTATCAAGACGATGGGATTGAGGAAATAGTGGAAGATGTTATTTAATAATGATAAAATAATCTATATATTTATTATAATATTAATAATATCCGTTTTAATGAGAGTTTATGCACTTTTATGTATAGTGGCAATAGTGTATTGCACCCAAATTACAAAGTAATGATGTCAAAAATATGATCAAGCTAGGCAAGTATGTTTGACGAGTAGCTCGGATAACTGACAAAAAGTAAATTAGGCAAAACCATATTAAACATGATATCATTGCAATAATTTACAGAAGTGGATTTTAGTCCACTGTTTACAGCAATAGACGACATTGTCGCATCAACACAATAAGCAAAATAAGAAGAAGCTGAATAATTAGATTCTTACTTTTAGTAATTCTTGAGTGATTCAGAGTTCTATTCAAATCAAGTCACAGAATACAAAACTGAAGTATGACATTCCTAATTCATCCAAGGTTGCATAACATTAGAGTGACATCACCACATTCAAAAAGGACAGAAACACTTTATAATAAAGTTTATATGATAAAAGTCAATAATTGACTGATTCTCAAAAGAATCAGGCTTAATTGCAAAGAACTGTGTAGAATAACGATTAGGCAACATCAAAAAAGACAGCAGAATACGACTCATCTATATCAATTGTTGATTAAGTCATTGCAAAGTTACAACTTGTCAAATGTAATTCCATTTATACATTCATATATAGAGTCCTCCTTTATTGAAATAAACAAAGAGGATCTGGCCGTTTCTGCTGCCACATTCTCACGAAGACTGGGTGAAGTGTCTCATCTTCCTCATCTCTTCGAACCTTTATCCAAGGTCTTAATCTAAATGGGCACCTCTGGGTAATGAGTTATTAATAAAGGCTTTAGTTTTGCTGATTAGGAACAAGCTGGAAATGCTATTAAGTTACTTAACAGCTTGAGAGAAGACTTAGTGGCTTCAAAATTGGCCTTGTAAATGAATGCTCAATTGGAGAAGGACACCAATGATGGATTGTTGGCTTCTTTGGAGGAGAATATCAATCTGTTGAATAACGAAATCATTCCTTAATTGAAAGCAGACATTGAAACCAAAGACGGTGAAATTGCAACCAAATAAGGACTCTTAAAGGATGCATAATCCAATTTGGATACTGCTTAGGCCAATCTTGATAATGTGAATGCTGGATGGGCAGCTAGGTATTTTGGTCGATTTATTGGATTAGATAGGAATAGAATAAGCAACTCAATGATGGTTGGGATAACGAGTTGATGTTGTTATCATAAGCAGAGTCAGCTTTGGAGAGAGGAGGAATTAGAAGATAATGAAAAATATTATTAACAATTTATCAATAATATTAATAAATTTTATTTGTGATGAGAGGTTTCTTTGCTATCACAAGAGCTTTTGTAGCTCCCATTGCAAAATCCACTTTCAAATTCTCAAGCTAACAACAGAAAATTCAAATGAGAATGTATGTTTAATATTACATCTTTTAGTGTGCTCAATCAAATAAATCAAATTATTAGACTGTCTTCCACTATGTCAGGATTGAGAATTGCTAACTAATACGATTTGTCACTATTTTCCTTATTAGAGGAGGCTAAAGGTATGTCTAATATATTAATTTTAGGTAATTTATTTATATATTATGAAAATTAAGATGACTCTGTTGAGGTGGATATCAGGCAGATTGGCTTACACTTAGGATGTTCTATTACCCCTTGATTAAGCAATATAAAATATATATATATATTTTAAAATATTCAAAAATTTCATGAAAAAAACAATATTATTATTCAAAATAATGCTCATATGCTTGAATTAAAATCAGTAGTACTCCAATACAAAAAAAAACTTATTTTTTTTGAGTGGTTACCATGGATTACTTTATAACCAAATAGAATGTAAGTAATAGCTTTTCTTACACCAATTTTTGGTTTGATCATAACTGTTCTCGAAAAAAAATTAATTTTTAATAGATTAAGTAAATTTAAAAAAAAAAATGAACTTATGAAATGCATTGTCATTGCATTATGAGTCCTATCTATATCTAAATTAAGATTTATAATCTATTATATAAATATTTATCTTTTTTTTTCATCTATAATAATGAACAATGAAATCTAGTAAGAAGAGTGCTTTAAGTCCACAGTCGATTAATTCTAAGAAGTGGACCCAGGATATGAGGTATAATCCCCTTAAATTCATGAACATTAATATTATAGCCGTAGCCAATCAAATAAAAAAAATAAAATTACTCAAATAAATGATTCCGACGATGAGAATATTGGTGATTAGATGTCTGAAATGCATTTGAACCCTACCCCAAATATTTTTAAATAAATCCAAAAAAAACCCAAGCCCAAAAAAGATGGCCATCCTAAAAAACAATCTGTCAACTCTCAATATGCAGAAGAAAACGATTACAATTAACCATCCTAGTTTGTGATTGGAGAAATTGTGTGTGGTAGAACTGATTGAATATTTATATAACTTTTCATTTTAATTAATACAATAAGGACGTGCTTCCTATGTTATCACCTAATCCACAAGTTCTCATTGGGTGTGGATTGATTACAACTGGAGCTAAACAACATTGATGTTAAAGTTGATCTTATAAATGCCAACAGAAGTTCATTTCCTAAATTAAATAATCTTGTTTCAAGACTGTGTCGCTTGGATATAAAATCAAGTCCTCTTCCTCTAAGGCCATCTAAGAGATTAAAAAAAAAAATACTTAAAGATGAGTCACGTTTAAATATTTGTCATCAATTTAATTGTCATTGAAAGATTTCATTGCTTGAATTAATCCAACAAGAATAGATCTGTGTAATGCAGGTTTAATTTCTCTCCAATTATGATTCGAACAAATCATTTGAATAGTTTAGGAATGGAAATGAACTCTTATATTGTTGTAAAATTAGATACCTTTCTAAACTTAATTCTTTAAAAAGCTTTATAATTAATTTTAATTGTTAGTTTGTATCAATTTATTGTTGTTCCAATTACTTCTTTGTAATGAAATTGTATAATAATTAAAGTTCTTATTCATTCATTCCTGTTGAATGCACATGTGGGAATATGTGTTCAATTAAGTAAAGTAATAGATTTTCATCATTAAAAGCCCCCATTTCAAAGTGAATCTTCAATTTGTTTTTCTATTCAATCAAGATCTATTCTAATTTTAAAATGATTTCTTAATATTCCTTTTTTGGTTTCTGATTCATCAATTGAAATCCCCCAATCACCAATAAATCAGGATTGATTGAATTGATATTTGCTTCCAAATTTTCCAAACCAGGGAATTTCATATTGTCTTAATCATTCTACAAGTACAACCTATTGGTATGTTGACATATTATGGTATCATAGATATCCCCTTCATCAAAATTGATCACAATATGCACATCCCTTATTTCTTCCCTCAAAAAACTCTGCGGTATGATTGATATTGATGAATTGAACAGATTCTCATAATAATGATTGGACATTATTGCAGACAAATAGACATCTCCACCTTCCTTGCATATTTTTAATCAAAACTTTACTTTGAATGCTCTGAGAGCCATTTGAGCTGCATTACCTCCCAAATCCTTGGATGTAGAAATTCTCTTCGAGATTTACACGATGTTGTCAAAACCCTCAGTAACATGCAATTCGGATCCCAAACCATTTTCGAAGTGAAATAATATGCTTCCGCAGATATTCTTCTTATTTCTATCCTCCTTGCTGCATTCTAACTCTCTTAACAGAGTTATCGCTTAAACTTGAATGTCTTCATCGCTTGAAAATGCAAAGAGGATTTTCTTCCTCAAAGGCTTATCAGTGTTGTTGTTAAGGATTCTCAGTGCTCTTGTGACACGATCTTCAGCACTGAGCCAAAACCAAGCCAACGAAATGGCTAACAAAATTTAGAATATAATTTTCATAATTATATCAAACTGGAACTGGAGGAGGGGGGAAGTTTTAACTAGGCATTGCAGAATATCCCACTATGATTATTAGAAACCCAGCGAAGATGATCAATAACCCCACTATGGATTCATGCACTATGTGTGGATCCACAAAGCTATCTATCATTAGGGTTCCACAGCTAAAATTATTCTCCACTCTTACAATATCACAAACATGCCCTTTCCGCAATATTCAACCATGAATCCAAAGTATTCCTTAACCAATTTTACGTTCAATTCAACAAGGATCAACAATAACCCAAAAATACTAAACTTTTTCATTCAACTTTCTTACATCCAATACACCGTCCAAATCCCCACCAAAATAGGAATGTCTTTGGTGAAGTAAAATTTCAACACTCCCAAAACTATTAACACCACTGCGACCAACACCGATATGAACTTAATAAAGTTATTGGCTTTATGTTCAGGACAGGCCATTTTAAATTTAAATTAATTTATATAATCAATAATCCATAATTATTATATCTATGTCAATTTTATTCTTTATATTTGTTACACCAACACGAGCTTTATTATTATTATTATATATATATAAAAATATATATTTATTATTATATGGCATCTCAATAATAATAATAATAATAAAGTGCTCCCCAATAGCCCTCACAACAAAAACAGCCTATCAGATAGCCAGATGTTAAAACCCAACTCAAATAACTTTACGATAAATCCAGTATTTAATTTGATGATGAAACAATTCAATTGTGTCCATAAATTTAAATATTGAACAACTTAGTGAAGTAATCATCATACCACATATTTAAAGATACGAGAATCGCATAGATCAAATGATTAAAAACAAGCGAGTTGATTTACAGGAATCTTTTATCTAACCAGGACAATATCTTAAAAAGACCCTCAGAATTATTGTCTACTCTGAACTGGTGTGCGACGAATGGAATCTTTTCATCAAAGGATAAGTCTTGTCAGAAGACAAGAAACCTTTCTCCTATTTTATCAGATAACTTGAAGTCCAATTCGATAAAACCTACTACCCTTCTTAAAATGTCATTCAATGGAGTAGAAATCATCTGCAATAGCAATAATAATAGTAATAGTCACAATCACAATCACAACAATAACAGGAAACAAGTGGATTTCACATCAAAAGAAAAGGACCAGCATGTGATGTGATTATTTCAATTAGTCTTTAAACCTACCCTTAGAAGTACAAATTGCACAAGACACTTCAACAATTGCTCGGAATCAAAGAAGGCACACGATCCTAGATCTTGTATTGCTTTTGGGAATATGTGAAAGTACTCTATTCAATTTTATATACCTTAGCTAAACAATCTAACCGATAAGGAAAGTAAAGATTACATAATAGCTGATGAATAATTGAAATAGTTATTTGGGTAGGAACGTATACCCTTATCAAATCTAAATATGCTCTTAAAAATGTTTATTGAGAATCCGGAACCTATCGTAATAAAACACCATTTAGGAGTTAGCAATTACATTGGATTTGATGTTGTGGTTGAACAAGAAATGAGTTATTAGCCAGAATTAATGCCATTCTTAGCTTAAAAGGTAGTGACAGAAGATAATTCAGAGAAGAAGCAATAAAGAGCAGAACATCCCTTCATCTAATTAAACTAGAAAATTAAGGGATTTGAAAAACAGATTCAAAAATACATTGAGTAAAGCAAGAGTCACAAATTAAAAAGAGATGCTTATTATTAATATCAAAAGAATCCAAGCTTGTTTTTGGAAAATTTATTCTTACAATAAAACTCATATCTGGAATTGATGTAAAATGATGATGAAATGCGCAATGAAGATCCTAAAAACATGAAATTCCTTATGAAAAATTAAGAATTGGTAGAGAGACAGATTCGTAAGTATTTGGAATAACAACAACAACCTTAATAATGAGTTATTGAAATATATGGTATTTTGAACGTATTAAAATAATTTTTAATTATGAAAAAATTGCTTGTCGTTTCAGGAATAACAGGATCAGGTAAATCATAAGTGGTTTCAATCTTAAGTGAATAGTTAAAATCAAAAGTAATACCTGTAGATTCTCTGTAAGTACGAACTCCTATATGATTGTAGATTTATAAGAATTGGCCAATCTCAAGTAATTGGCCTAAAACATTAAGAAACTATGAACTCATTGGAAAATATGATGGATTGAAATAGAATGTTGCAAGTTATCATTTTAAGAAGGATGTCTTGAAATTATTGAAATAAAAGGATAATTTCATTTTAGAAGGAGGATGTTGTTTCTTTCTGAATTATTTACTCAACTCAAGAAAGGAGCAATTTGACGAAGAGTAAATTAAAGCTGCCGATTTGGAAGCATAAAAATTATTGTAAAACTGCGGAGATCCACAAGCTCTATTGAAATAATAATTCAAAAATTATAATGACTCAATTAGTATCTCAGATAGATATAGAATTTAAAAGGCTTTGCGATTCGCTTTATTAACAAATGGAGAATCTATAACATCTCCATTCAATGACGAAGATCCCAGACTATGTGATTAGTTTGACGTCAGAGGGTTTTTTTTGACTGAACCTTAAGAAAATATTTCAAAAAAGATTTATGCAAGGTATCTTTATTTTTGTAAACTCTATCAGGTGTGATGAAATGATTCGATAAGGTGCTTTGGAAGAATTTTATAAATTTTATTAAATGTTAGATCAATAAGAGTTTCGCGTAACTACACCTATTGGGTTTGACGAATTTGTTAATCTATTAAAATGCTTTTAAAATATATTTGAAGGAAGGTATATATCCAATAGAAGAGCAGAAAAATAGAAGAGAGAATATGTTCTAAAGTTCATATAATAATTCTACATAAAATCACGATAATATGCTGCTTACTAGCGTAAATATTTCAGGTCCAATTTAAATGAATTTCTATGGGTAGACAACCGAAATTTAAATATCCCATAACTAATTTCATAATACTACAATTGTGATCGATAAGATTACCTATAGAAATTAGCTTCACCCTAAAATGAACAGTTGAAAAATGAATAGAGCTCAAAATCACTCGGTAAGTAGAATGATCCAGTCCCACCAAAAGATGTACAAGAAATAACATATAAAACAGTATAGGGACTAATAGAATAATGAAATCTAAATTTGTGTAATATTAATAGGATAGATATGAAATCCTCTTAATCTTATTCAAGCATTCTGCAACTCCATTTATCTAAAGTTAAAAAATTCAATGAGCTTATAGGTACTAATAAGAGATCCTCAATTGCAACCTTAATTCTTATAGTCAACAAATCAATCTATTAAAAGGCCTCTTTGACAATTATGTTAAGTATTACCTTACCTTCAATGTAAATCTACTGATCGTACATTGAGAAAAAATGAATGTCTACCCCCCATGCTAATTTTACTCTTGATGGTAGAACTTTATCAAAATCTTATTTACTTATTTACTCCAATCTAACGAAGCTTCATTCTCTTGCGTGTATAAATGCAATTAGTAAAAAGTGAAAAAACGAATTCTACATCATCAATAAATTTCTTCTGGATCCTATTCAATTAGTATGCATTCAATTTTAATTATTTTTTAACAAAATAAAATGAACTATTATTGAAAATTGTGCATATCAAATAATTAAAATTTCAAATTTATTTATATAATTTCTAAGTCTTTACCTCTGATGTTTAAACGTTGAAATTTCAAAATATGGAAATCGGATTTTCACTTAGAATCAATTTATTAGCATATAAATTATTCATATATAATATTCTTTCTTTTTCCATAATCTTAAGTGAGTTTAAGCTAAAATTCGATGGTTTTTTTCAAATATTAAACACAATTCATAAATAATTTTATGAAATTTATAAAGAAAAGCTTGAAATACTAAAAACTTTAATTGTAATATTTGATAGGACATTCATAGGTAGCCTTAGAGTAAGAGAATAGGCTATTCTGGGCCTTATGCGAATTTATAAGGATGTTTTAGACAATAGCATTAGTGTTGTTATATCAGTAAATAATTCGAATGTTGAGTACTGATTAGAAATTTGAAGAACCCTCCTACACTTAAGACAAGATGGAATTAATAAGTAGAATATCAATGCCAACAATTTTAATTCTAGAATATCTATCATTGGAGCAAATAATATATTTTCAGTTGATTTTTTTAGCTTTGCTTTTTTTAATGTTGTTGATTAATGTAATTGCTGTAAGATTGGAATACATTCATTTTAAAGAGATTAAATTTCAAAACAAAAAGCAGTTTTGTAAGACCGATGGAAATAGTTTTTGTATATATATTTTATGATATTCAATAGAATCCCTTAACTTATTAAATAGCACCTATAATGATAATGATTTTATAGAGCATTTCTTACTAAAATAGCTTATGATCACTGATAATGGTTCCCTTATTGAAATGTATTTATACAGAACCTCCTTACTAACCAATTATTTCACTCACATCTTATTTTTGCCTTAAATATATTGGATAGCAATAATATTTTATAGAATTTTCAATTCCTCCAATTACTAAGTTGTCCTATTTGCTTTAAATTTTACTCTTAATTTGATTCAATTATTGTTTTTAATAATTTTAGAAGCCTTGTCTTTGTATATGCAATAATCCTACAGATTAAAAGACACTAATTATTTAAGATTAAGAGTTACAACATCCTTTAAAATTGGATAGATTTTAAGAATTGTGCCCACAGTCTTATACTTTAGTGTCTTGTATCTAATGGATCACAAAACGATATATGACAATCTATTATTCTAATCAATAATAAGTTGTTTTGTACTTTTGAATCTCTTGTTTGATTTATAGGATTAATCATAAAATATTCCATTTGTTTAGCCATATAAAATATACGTCTTTCATTTTGCCTTTTCGCTTACCTTTGGTATTACTTTTACAAAATTATTACAATTTTCAATAACTGACATCATAACCTTAACTTTAATGAGTATTCCATGTACATGTAAAATGCTTAATCAACTGACAGATTATAATTTTAAGAATATTGTTATGAAAACACTTCATGCTGAAAATATGCCGCTTAAGTAAAAAATATTAAAAAGAAGTTCTTAAACTATCACAAAATCTATGGCTATAAATGACGAAGCTCATTAAATCGAGAGATTGATTTGGTTATAGAAATTAGAATAAATAAATACAGTTAGGTTAACTAATTATAAATATTTCTTACAATTTGTACGTTTATACGAGTTGTTGGATATTTAGAAGTAACAGGTTTATTCTCCTACTAATGTGTTTAATGCAAACTAATCAAAATTTTTGATGCAATGCATAATCTTAGTTAAGACTCATATTGAATTATGTAATAATGTCTATTGCTTTTGCCGAGGGTTTATGGGTGAAAAAAAACAGAGTTTAGAAATGAATCATGACAATAAACAAATGAAAATCTTTTCTGATTATACTTGTTCAAACTTATTTGTTTCAGTTGATTTAATCGATAGATATATTAGATATTACATAAAACTAATCTTGAATATTCAGATTTATGTTACATAACCCAATCTAACTTACATAACTTAATTGATTAGTTACATTGGCAAATCAGAGGAGTGTTATTAGACCTGGCTATAAATAATGGAAGTGAAATTGCAATTGCAAGAATAAAAGAAGCCATTCGATGGTATTGTTATTAATTTGATGACCAGTTATTCCAAATATCTCACTCTATAAAGGACACAATCTCATTTGAGTGAATTATAAATTAGAAAGACTATTTAATATGGAGATTACAGGAGTACTGAGCATTAAAGGACCCATTTCTTTAATAAGTTAATGGATAGCTTATAAATGAAATAAAATTATTTAATAAAATTAAGTAGCAATAAGTTGAATTATGAAGAAGTTTAATAACTGTATATTGAGTAAAATAAAACACTTGATAAATTGCAAGGTGGTTTGTTACAGTTCTATAATTAATCTCAATGTAGAACATCAACATTATTATTAATGTTTTATTACTTAGAGATACGTTGTGATTACTTTTCATTTTACCAATATAAAAATGTAAAAAACAACATATTCTTTAATTTTAGAGTCTTAGATCCAAAGAAATAAAGTTTTTCGAAATTCCAATACTATCTCATCAATCTCAAAATGTCAGCTATCTGAAGATAAATCTCTCTAGATTTTCGAAATACAAATGCAGAGGAGAAATCTTATCTCGCTCAGATAATTCATATAACTTTTTTGGCTATTAAAACATGGATGAATTCTGCAACTAAATTTAGACTGTTCATTAATTGGTACCACCATTAATTTCAAAAGTGCATAACACAATAATGGAATTGTTTTTGATGAGTAGTAGACCAAATGTACTTAGACAAGAACGCCATTTGATAGCTCAAAAAGCCAATCAAGAGATTGTATTCATAGAGATGTTTATTGATGTCTGTTTTACAATTACTGCTACTTAATTTCCTGTTTATTGTTTTATGTAGGAACTTAAACCGATAGGTAAATTTGAGAATGTGAGAGGCCATATAATTGTTGATGATTATGAAATCATCTAAGGTATCAGTTCTTATGCTTATCAATCACTTTTTCTCGATTCAACATAGGAGATTTGCAATCAAGAAATCTCTAAGTTTTATAATGATTTCAATGAAAATATTTAAAAGCTAAACTTGATGATGGATTCAAAAACAGTAAGAGAAAAGAGAAAATCTTAAGTGATGAATAACCAATAAATTAAGCGATAAAAGAATATTAAGTCTGTTTATAATCATTATAAATTGAAACTCGAAGATTAATTATTTGTTCTTAATTCTTAAGATAAATTTCTTATAGACTTAACATTGACTTTAACTTATGGAATTGTCAATAGTAAAATATCAAAAGTATCATTATTAATTTATATTATAATTTGTATAGTTCTACATCATCGAGTTTAACAAGGTGCACTAACTTGAACTTACAGATAACAGTTTCAATGATCATTCTATCTAGCTTTAAGACAGCATTCAGTAATCTTCTAAAAAGACAGACACACTTCCAAATATTTAAGACGATGAAAAAGCCAGTAATGAATCCTCAATAAGAATGCACCAATACTCTTTTCCTTAAATTAATGAGTAATGCATTACTGAATCTTAGAATCAGATTTAATAGTTGAATTAAGCTCCATTTCAGGAACGAAAAAGATTGACTTTAATAAGAGCAGAAAGAAAGTCAAAGTTCTTTGCAAGTAAAGGTAATGCTCGAATTTCAAATTCAGATAATTAAATTAATAATGAATATTATTCAAATTAAGACTAAGATTATCACTAAGCATCAGCTACATCATAAAAGCAATAATCAGAGGGATCCAAATATCTCTTTAAAGGCGTTCAATATTATGAATTTTGTAACTCAACTAATGAGAAAATATTATACATAATGCATCTGATAAATGCTCTGATTTTTGCAATCATCATAACATTCTTACTCATGTATTAACTAAGATACAACTCAGAAAGTGACACAATGATGCCTACATTTGAAATCCTCAAAGCCTTTACATCCACGAATTATGTAGATAGTATTTAACTATCTTTAATGTCTTAAAGTCCAAATGCCTCAAAATCAGATCAATTTTATTTACATCTGAATAGCTTGTTGGTTGAAAACTCAATGATTTTTGTCGATCAACAAAAGAATTATTTATTGACTTCCTAAATATAGGATGTCTTTAAAAATTCGGACACTCAGGAATTAAATTAGATGAAGATTGATGTTCTCTATTTAACTTTGACGACATTATATGATTAAATAGATTTCGTGTAGAATTAGGATTTAATACAGATTGACGAAGTGCCTACGTTTGTTAATTTAATGAAAGAATTCCCAATTCATAAAACCTTGTATGAAGAGATTAATCTATCATTTCAGCAGTAAGTTCAAGATTCGATTAATAACTTCAATGATTCCTAAAGAAGTCTTATCTTGGCTTTGGTAGTTTTGAGCTTTTTCATTTCAGTGGTTTCATTGATAGCTTATTATAATTATTTTAAATACCTAAGGAAGATTACTAGATGTAGTGAACAGGTTTCAATAGACTGCATTGACAGGGAAATCAATTTTTGTGCAAACATCCTTAGTAATAAATAAGTAAACAATTTATCTCCATAATTAGAAAATAAACATTTATGATCTCAAGATGGATTTCTCATAGCACTAGGAAAACTAAACTATTCATTCAAGTTATAGACCTATGAACAATAATAATAGTTTGCAGAAAATGAAAAGGTATCTAAATCTAAAGGATGTATTTACAATCAAAAGAACCTTAAACTTTCTTTACCCTTTATTTTGTTTAGCATTCATCTTAATTTATCTTCTATTTTCCTATTTTGACACTCTGGATGCCATGTAAACTTTAATAGACAACATTGACGTCTACAATCAGAGTATTAAATACTTGGAATCCTTTTCCATCATGTGTCAGAGTAGCATCATATATGAGAATAGGGATTATCTATTAAATAAAAACTATTTAACAAAGTAGTTATTATAGGAGTATTATGATTACATTGGTTCATCATTAACCTATCTATAAGAATCAAGTAAATTAAGATCTCAATTTTTTAGGTTTCAGAAGTACTCAAAGCAATGATTTATTGAAGGAGAACATTTGCAGCATCCTGAGTGTTTAAATCGATGTTTCTATTTGTGAATAAGTACATCAAGGTTTATTGCAGAATGGAATTTTGGAATCAGTGCAATACTATTAGGTGCATTACATGAATAATTACGTTTCCAATTATTCGAGTTTCATTGAGTATTCCACATCAGAAGATGCCATTGCCATTAGTTTTATAATCAAAGGGATCAATAATTATGTGGATTAATTGAAATTGGACTTAGAAAATTATATCGATGATAATTAGAATAGAAGATTGGATTGGTTTATTTTTGTAATTTCAATAGCCATAGTTCTTTAAATTACTTTATGGCTAGTTTAATCTTGGAATCTAAAATAAAAATTGCGATCATTAAAACAGTTTGTCTTTTTGTTGCCTAGAACTAGTTTATATATGAATGATAGTTTTTTGAAGACACTTAACTATGTTTAAAGACATTAAAATGATGTATGGTAATGAATTTTATTGTTTTTATTATTTTATTATTTCTACATAAAATCTAAATCAAAATTATCAATCCATCTATCTCTGATATTGCTATTGGACTTGTTTTAATTAGCGTTCTAAATTATGTTTTAATTATTGGTTGTTGGGCTCATGCTTAAGTAAGTCATCCAATTAAGCCTTCAAGCCTTTGATTAAAATTTTGGGTAGGTTTTTTGAATTGATCTTGGAGATTTACTCATAGGATGGACAACCCTCTCTTGGTCTGAGATCCAGAGTATCACCCTATTGATAAACTTGAAATGTGTACAGCTGAAGTCCTAAAGACCCCTTTGTATCCATTCACTTCATAGACTTTCCTGAGTCCTTGATCATTGATCTCGGATTCCCTTTTGAAAACAGCCAAATCGACTTTTCTCAATTTATATTTGGACAAGGCTTCTTCATAGTCAAAATCCGAAGGTGGCCATTAATCGAAACAATACCACCACCTACACAAAATTTCGTACCTCAAATCATCAGTGTCTGGATTTGATTTAATTTGCTTGACTCTTTGTTCAGGCTATTTTTATTTGGTGATTTATGGATTCTGAATTTTCTTAACTTTCTTTTCTTCATTCTACATTTTCAAATTATTACCTTCCTATTATTCTGACGAGTCAGGTTCAAACAAGAATTTCCATTTCTTATGATCCACCGTAATAGTTTAAGCAATAGGTAATTGTTGTTATGGTTATTACACAGGTTATTGTTGCTATTGCTCCTCTTCTTCAGAATCGATGTATTTATGTTTTTTTTTCTGAACTCCTGTGTCATTAGACATTTTTTTATAAAAAAAACAAATATTAGATTTCTTAATTCAATTAAAAAAAGTTTTTATAGATAATTCAGTACTGTGAGATTTTGGCTGTCGTTTTTCATATTTGTTCATCAAGCAAAGTCTATTGGGTTTATTCCTAAATAGATTGTGTTTCGACGAAATCATAACACCTTGACTAATGGGAGAGAGAAATTCCTTCTGAGGACTGAGCAAATCCTTTTGTTTATCCTCAATAATCTCATATGACTATAGTTTTGAATTGAAGTCTATAAAGTTGGGAAATTTAAATTATTAAGACAGACTACTTTGTCTTTCGTAATTCTAATTCTTATTGGAGGTTTTGGAGTTCTGATGACTATTGAATTAAGAAGCATTGTAATTTGTATCCTTGTCCAATAAGAGACTGCTGAATCGTCTCTACTCTCTCCGTCTGAATTCTCTTCTGATTAAAGATGATTAAACTTCTAGATGATTTAATGTATCCGCAAGACTTCTCTCATGTTCCTACTGATCTCTAAATTAAGTATATCAAATACTTCTTTTATTCCTTCCTCTAGATTCTTCTTATTTACTTTAATTGTTGCGAAGTGTTCTTAATGAATTCCATCTAGCAAATCTGTTTTTTAGCTTAATTAATCAAGTGACTCTTTTAAGATTCCTATGTTTACTATACACAATTGAATTGTGATTTGATCTCAAAGATAGGTTGAGAGAGATTTGATGGTTTCTGATTGAATTGTTCAGAATAATTGAGTCTCTTATGTGTCTTGATTGTCTTGCTCATTCTTTCATCATTTATTTTATGTCTCAATTCATAATTTCGTTTCAATTGTTTTTCGCATTAAGGATAAGATGTCAACAACTTGGCTAAATCTTTGTAAGTGATGGAATATGCAGAGAAATGCTGAGATGTTACTTAGGCTGTATGGATACGATCACTTTATTCGAAATATTCCAATTCTCCAAAGTATTGATCTTGACCTAATTCGCACAAGGGAAACAATTTGTTATTCTCCTTCTTAAATAATCTCACTGTGCCTTTCTTGATTACTATTAATTGTTATGGACTATCTCCTATTTTATATATATAATGGCCAAGTGGAAAATGGATCTTTTCAAATTTGTATTGAGTCTCGATAGCCTCCTTGTATGTAAGATTTTTCAAAATAGAGTTGCTCAATAATTTGGTCTTCTTTCTTATTTTTTCTTTTATTTATGGCAAGCATTACCCAATTAAGTATCTTCCAATAGGACTTTATAATCTTTTCTAGTTAAAACGGCCACATGCAAAGATGTATTGGCAATCACAGTACCAGTTCTTGTTGATTCTATCAGCAATCCTCTCTCTCCAAACATCTATCCCTCATTGATGCGAGCAACAAATTCATGCAAGAAAACACCTCCATTAAATAGAAACTCCTTATCCTGCAATTTCTCAAGTCCATGAGTTAACCTTTTGATAACTTCAACATCTTTATGTTTAACATCCTACCTGTCAGTTTGAATAAAAGTCTTAGGTTTGTATGACTTCGATATCCTAAAGTTACATCTCTAAATTACTGTTCGAAATCATCTTCTCTCAAATTTATAGTCATCCTCCTTGTAAGTAATCTTGGAGGTTAGTAGTATCTAACTATAGTACTTGGATGGCGTTCGATTTCCTCCTCTGAGAGAACCTTTAATTACTATTGTTCGTGATCTAGTTCTGCTTAAACTCTATCCTGCTTCTTACGCACATACACATTAACACTCCCATCTATTATTATAAAGAACTCATTCGATGAATCACCTTATTAATATGAAGCATAAGCAAACCTTCCTTAAATACAATGTCATTCTTCATATAATGTCTATAAATCATCATTTTACAACACTTTTAATGGAGCTTTTAGTCATGCAAACTCTTAAAAAAATCTAACTCCTTCGTTGCCTATTCCAATACTGCCAACTCGAAATCCATTCTTTCTTCAGGTGGCGATTTTAGAATGCACAACCCCACTTTCAACTAAATCATCGGATCTTTCACTTTCAAGAATGATTGACATAGTTTCTTATAAGTGCTTTGATTCCCATTCCTAACACTCATAAATTCATCAGCTGAAATCACTACATCCATTTTAAAATAATTAATATATATAATTTTATTTGCATTATTAATATTAAGCACAATTATTTATGGATAAAGATGATTTATTTAATGTGTAGGAATCCCTTTAATCTCCTGAAGAAGAATTGAAAAAGTAGAACGACAAAAAGAAAATGAAAGTTGAAATCTATATAAGTGAAGGTGTGTATGAACAATTAAGAGGATATAAACAATTAAAGCAATCAAACATCCAAAATAATTTCATCATCCCAACTCCTTTGAAATAAGCAAATGTCAACAGGTTTGCTGAATTGAATTAATAATCAATCGATAATGGACATAAATTGCGCAATATCAAATTGAACAAAGAATCAATCGATGGGTTAATTAAATAATATAGAGAATAAGAGTAATAAAAATTAAAATAAGGCGAAAAGAAAACAGAGGTGTCGTAATTTGAAGAAAATAATACATAGCAAAACCCAAAATAACTTATATTCAGAGCGATGAAGAATTTTATACCAAATACATAATCATAGATTTAATCAGATCTTTTTACAAGAGAAGACTATTATGATAAGAATGTCTTAAATAGAATTACTCAAATTTTCAATTTCTGAAATGATTTATAAATCAATACCCTTTATTATTTTATCGTAAATCATCAAAGTCTTTTAATTTATTTAATTTATTCTATCTTTGATTTGTATCCTCCACCTTCTATTAATTAGGTTCAACTGTCTGCATTGGAACCTACAATCTCGTACTCTTTTTATTTGTGTAGAGAATCAATAACTTATTCATTAATGATCCAAAGTTATTAATACATGCCTTACAAAGTTGTTCTGATGAACATTCAAGATGATATGAGTGTTTACAATCAATATAAACTTTAGACGCCATTTCAATAAGCTTCTAACAATGAGTACAATAAATATCAACTGATAATCCAGATTATGTTTATTTAAACAATTACACTAAATATTTATTACATGTCTGCTTTATAAGCATTGTTGATTATCCGTAAATGGCCAACTCATAAAGTTAGCCTGAAAGAAGCTAAGAAAATGTTGACTTCAGCTCTTGAAACTCAAAATATTTCATTGTCTCATTTAAATTCTATAATAAATAAATTTATTACACATTACTTCAAGTAAGCTTTTTATTTTTGTTTTCTCCAATACTTCCTCTAACAACCTTGTGAAATGTGAATTAAAACATCTTAAAACAGGATAGAATCTAATCTTATAAAACTCCTATCTTAATTTTGTCAACCTTATTAAAACCTAAAACCAATTGTTCTATTTTATATCAGTAATATATCTACATCACTTTCATCATCATTTCTCTTTGTATTCGCTCTGCAAATACTCAAAGTCGGCTCCAAGTTCTCATCAATGTAATTAAATAACTCCTTCTATCCCTCCAACAATTTTGGATTCTTCTGCAATTATTACTTTAACCCTTAAATAAATAGCTATATTTTCTTATAATCATCATTACATCAAATTGTAAATTAATGGCCTCCAAAACTGAACCGCTCCTCTCCAATAAAAAGGCCAGACCTTTCAAATTGCCATAAAATCTACACAATTTCAAACATTCATCCTAGGGATAACCTCCTTTTTAAAGTTCTGTTATAGCTTAATCAGGATGCAATTAACATATTAGTTCAAAATATTCAATCATCAACTTATCATCCTTTTGTAAATTTTAAAGGATTTTAAATCTCACTATTGGTATTTACTTGTCTAATATATTTCTCAATTAATCTTTGTTAAAATAATCAAGCAAATGCTCTGTCTTAACAGGATTGATTAGTGAGAGCTCCTTCAACTTTTAAGATAGAATCTCTATAAATTAATTATCCTTTTATTATAAATCTATATAATTAAAAACCAACTGCTTTGCTTGCCCTCTTAATTGTGTAAATTTATGAATTATTTTACTTTATTAGTTATTGGTAAAATAGGATTCCATATCTTCAAGGTCATCGTTGTCTTTGCAATATTATTATAATAACAATTATAATGATGCTAAATCTGGAGTCTTGAAGTTGATTTCTTCTTCTAAATTAAAGGTGCTATCTGCATAAGACAGGTACTATCTTTCATATAAAGTTTTAAACGAACTATTGAGATTATTAGATTATTATTATGGTTAGAATTGGATTTATTATTATTTATCTAGCAAGGCTTCTTAAATCAATTCCTCAATATATAATTTATGATCATAAGTTTGGAGTGCTGATTCTAATAACAGATCTTCTTCTGTTATCCCCAACAATTCTAAAATTTCATCTTCTATGAACTTTTGCTTCTTATCTTCGACCTTCTCTGTTATTTGATTAAAATTAATTTAGAAAGTAGAAAACTTTTGTACATTGGGGTGGATTAAGTCATCAATAGTGCAATCAGCCTTAACTCCTTAAGGCACCCAATATATGTCATCTGATATCATAATATTAATATTATTAATTCTACATAAATTTCATATAACACTATGCACTTATTTTTAAATTATTCTAAGTTTTATTAAAGAATTTCAGCAGAAAGGAAATCAATCTCACCTAGACTGTCCGCCTCATAGACACAAAATTAGATAGGAAAATGTGAATGAATTTAGCAAAATAATCAAATAAATATTTGAAAGTGTTTGTTGTTAAAAATGAGTTAAAAGTATTTAATAAAATGCTTGTTTTGCTATCTGTTAAGAAAAATAGAATTCTAACATATTCTTGACGCATCCTCAATTATATATATAGTAGTTTAAATGATAAAAATCTCAATATTATTTATAATTTCTAATATCTTAAACTTATGAATTTCTATGCTCTTGACTTTGAAGATTAAAATGAATAGGGTATTGATTATATAAATCGAAGCTTTGGAAGAACAGGAATAGATTTAAGTTGTTGAAGAGCAAGAATATGAATTTGAATAGAGTTCCAACATCGAGATTGATAAAAATAATACATTTGATGGTTATTTACCAGAAGAACCAGTTTTATTGTTTAACGTTGAGGATGAGGCTCCTAAAAAGAAATTAAAATCAATTGTTAGAAAATCCAAAAAAATAAAAAAATCAGACACAGAAACAGATGCCTAATCTTAAAAAAAAATGCCTAAATTCAAAATGTCTAATGATATTGCCAAGCTTCAATAATGTCAAATGTTAAAGACCATTATTTCCTAAATGGAGACCATTCTATAACATACTCGAACTTAAATTCTAAACCAGATAATGAAAAAGTAGTAGATCCAATGACTAAAGGAATTTATATTATATAAATAGAGTTATTATACCATAATTAAAATATAAGAACAAGTATTCTAATGTCAAAAAATACAAATATCATTGATTTATAAATATCTAGAAATTTCTATTTCTTAAGATTTTTTGTGAAAATTAACTGAAAAAAATACTGTAATTCAAAATAAATTTTAGAAGTAGAAACAAAGAAATTTTATATCTACTTTCTTTTTATATTTTAAACCCACATGTAAACCTGAACCACATATCGCCATTTTTATAATAAAAATATACTCAAAATTTTGTTTCAAGAAGGTTTTCATTATTATTATCTCATATTAATTCCTGATGATTAGGATCTATTATTCACGGAAATTTGTTTATCTCTTTAACCCTCCTGAGTAATTACCTACAATTTCTTCTTTTTCTCAAATTCTTAGATAAATTATTGTCTTTTCTCTTCTGCTTCCTTCCTTATGATTTCAGCTTATTTTGCTAAATTCTCTCTTTCTCTTCTCACCATTTCTGTTCTTTCATCATCTTTTGAAAGCTTCATTTCAAGTTTAGTTCTCCTTAACTCACTTATTTATTCCATTCTTGTTAAGTTATCAAATTTATCAATATCTTTGATTATTTAAATGGTTATTCTAAAATAGAATACACAAAATACCTCTATTTTTAATCCTCCTCCTTTTTTTGTTCAAGCACCTATAATTTTTATTAAGTTCTATCTAGTTTCTTTTGAAGCTCTTGTTTTTATTATTCCTACATCATTTCATTTTTTTATAGAATCATTTATATTTTTTATTCTTTATCCCTATACTTTTTCATTTTATCTTCCATTTATTGTCTTTGTTACTCATTCATAACTTCCTTTTTCTTTTAATATTCCTATTATTTATGTTCGTATTGTTATCTTTTCTCCTCTTCTTTCTATTAATTAGTTTACTAGTGAATAATAGAATAAAGATATGTTACCATAATTTTATTAATTTACTTCTATTTCTCTTCTGCTTGTCTGGCTTTCTCTTGTCTGACCTTTTCAAGATATTCTTCAAATTCTCTTCTCTTCTATTCGACATGTTATTCTTTCAAAGTATAATCATTTCTTTTCTTCTCAAGTAGATTCTCATTATATTATTTAACCATATGTAATTTTTTTTCTAATTCAGCTCTTTCTTTTTCAGCCTAAGTCTTCCTTTCAATAGTTCTACTCTCCATCATTTAGATTCTCTTCCTCTCCTTTTATTCTAATTATTATTTTTTAATTTCTAATTGTCTTTATTGTTCATTTTAAAATTATTCATTTTCCCTTTACATTAGTTCCTATTTTTTCCTTCTTTCCCATTCTCTCTATTCTGCTTCTTGTTTCTGTTTCATTATGCTTTCCAATTCCTTTTGGCGACGTTTCTGTTCTTTCAAATCATTTTCTTTTGCTTTTTGGTCCAACAATTCTTTTTCCCTTTACTCTTTTTTTTTTCTCTCCAATTCCTATTTTTATCGTAACTGTTCATTTTGATAGCGTTTCTTTTATAATTCATCTTGGAATTGTTTTTCTTTCTCTTGCTATTTCAACATTTTCTGAAGTGCTATTTGACTCTTCCTCTCTTTAAGTTACTCCTATTCGACCATTTTTTCAATTTCCATCTACTATCTTCTTTTTATATTTTCTAGCATTTTTTATTGTTTGTCAGCAAAACTCATGGTGGACAGATTTAAATTGGAGATGTGGTTTGAATTTCTACTAACATTATTGTCTTCTTAAAGTATTCTTTATCTTTAAGATCTAACAATGTTAATTCTTCTCTTTCGTTTATCTTCCAAATGTTTCTCAATCTCGGTTACCATATCTTCTGTAAGTTATGCCCCGACCGTATCACGTTGCTTGATTAATTGCACCACTTATTCCCTTGTCTTCCTAAATAACTCATTCGGATGGATGCCTTCCCTTCGACAAGCCTCCTGCAACCTCGGAGTAAGAGTTGCCTAGGTGATATTATAGAAATCTCTATCAGATAGAATCAATATAATACTATTCATAATCACTTGACATTAATCTTTTTAATTATATTCTATATTCAATCTTACTTTTAAGAAGGAAGTCTTAAAAAGTTTATAACATATTCAAAGAGTTTTTTAAAGTTTATGAGCAATTAATGAATTACAATCCTATCAATTGATGACCAAAACAATAATAATTACTTAAGAATCCATAATATTATATTGGTTTCATCAAGATTAATTCCTAACTTGAATAAATCATACAAATCATAAACAAAAACTACTGTTTTGAGTGATTAATTTTTTATTAAAATAATGAAGAATAATAGGTAAATACTTTACATTTAATATGGGAACTTATCTTGTTTGAAATTCATTTAAGATGTTCATATTACATAAAAAATATTTTAAAACTCAGTTAATCGTTACTTTAACATTGCTCTTATAAATTAAGATATATGGTTTAATATTGTCTCCTGTCATATTGTACAACTATCCCTCATATCTTGTCTTGTTTTCACTATCTGTCAATATCAACTTACTAGAATTATATATAATTGAGGGTAATACTTTTCATCTAAGTTAATCTTAAATGCCAACACTAATCCTTTCTTCATGTTTTTGTGAAATAGAGTCTAGATTGGTTCAATTTTCTCTCCTAATTATTATTTCATATGGAATGATCCAATTGCTGCTCCTCTCACAATATCGACAGCACAACATTGCTAAGTTTAGTACATTATTGAATAAGTGGCCATTTAATCCTTAACCAAATCTTCCACTACTCCGATGTAGACTCTATGTAAATGTTGGTATTCTTATTGTGCAAAGATCCCAGAGTTGCTGATATGACCACCAATAGTGTGTTAAGAGTAAGGATTGTACAATTAGGGAGAGTTACTAACAATTGATGCCAAACCTTCTTGTTATTCCTCTTGTTTAGATTATTCATTTTGTATATATTCGATGGCAATTTGAAACTCATAGATTCCTTTTGAGAGTGTGCATGATCCATAAATTAGCTGTACATCATCTTGATCATTGAAGATAAACTATTTTCCTTTGATCGTCTCCTAGATGTTGGCATCCTCTTCTTGTGATAGTTGCGATTTATAAAAAAAGATGGCTGTAAAATATTGATATTGTATTTACAATCGTCTTTTCTCATAAAGTTCTTCAAAGACTCCAATGAATTGCAGACTTCTGTCACCACCATGTCTTTAAACTCCTAGGGCAATCCACTCTATTTGGATCCCTGAGTTAGTTAATTTTGACAAACATTCTATAAGTTTTGTCTATCCTTGATAATTTGAGATATAAAATCATTTATCTAACATATAAGCGGATCATACCTATTCTTCAGTTGATTGACCAGCTTTGAATTTGGTTAATTGTTCCTTTAATTTCTCAAACTCGTAGGAATTGAAGTATGAATTAAGAATTTCTTTGTTATGTTTCATCTGAATTGTTTTTTACTTGGATTCCTACTCTAATAAATTCAATTTGATTTGCTTAAGATATTCTAAAGATTTAATATATATTTAAACAACTTTTTAATGATTGTTGCAATTGATTTGAAATTGAATTGAGTTTATCCTTATGGATTAATTCATCTTCTGAAAACTTGATAATTTGTTATTCATTTTGAGTATTAGCAAATAATTCCACACAATGTTATTTCTTTTAAATTTCAGATATCAACACACAACTCTTGATATGTGATTTGTGCAAGGAGAGTAGACACTTCTAACAACCTAGACGATCCTCTGTACATGCATTATATAAACACAGAACAGTAATTTTTTATTCAGGATGATAATCGCATATGTTCATTTAGTTTAATATATTAATTTTCAATCTTTTATGCTTTCAACATAAGTATTTAACTCTTTTGCTCAAAGACAAAGCAATGGAATAATCAAATTATTGGCTTATGGTGTCTTCTTTGGTGGAGCTTATGGATGTGCTTGGCATTAATGGAGAGGTGCTCAATAGAAATAACTCTATGAAAAGGTTGAAAATGAAATCACTGAATGGAAACCCGTAACTATAAATGGATTAAATGCCAATAGATATCCTTGGGCTCGCAACATCAAGAATTGGGAATATAAATTAGTCAAATTGTATGGATATTTCAGAGTATCCAATTGATATCACTATTATAGGATGAAAGATTTTTTGTTAGAAGGGAAAGAGAAGGCAGAGATGGATTTCTCGTTTTTGCTCCATTTGTAACAGCATTACAATTTAATGATACTGAATAAGATCCAGAACAAACCACTAAATCATAAGTGATGGTAAATTTAGGGTGGGTACCAAAGGACAATATTAGTGATATTCAAATGGGACAGGAACCCATTGGTACAACTGTATAGACTTTTCTTTGATGTTTAGACATTTGAAAATGTCCCTCACAATGAGGATGATGATTAATTGACAGGATTCAATAGAAATGTTGCCAATATGGAAGAAGATTACTAAATGCCATTTGTTGAATTCGTTGGCATGGTCAGAAAGGGAGAAGAGGAAGACATTTTAAAGGGACGCAGAAATTGGCCAAGAGAAGGTGTTTACAATTACATAGATTTATGGTTCATGTCGAGATTATACAGATCTTTCAATTTGGTAATAGTGAACATTTATTAATATAGACTGATAGCTCTTCTGCCTATATTGAAAGATTAGTGCAAGAGTATGATGAAGAATCTGCCAATTTATATCCCATCCCAGCCACTAAAGACAACTTCGATAAGCCATTACCAACACCTCAAACTCATTAAGCTTATTCCTTATTTTTTGGCCTATCATCCATAATGTCTCTAGCCCTTTTAGCCATTAGAAGATGATTACCAACATTAAAATATTACCATATTCCAAAATATATGCAGTTATTATTTTAAATTTTAATTTATCTAACTACTATTTTATGCCACACTATCCAGAAGATATTGAATATTCAGATAAATATTAGGATGATTACTATGAATATAGACATGTCATTCTGCCTAAGCATATTTTCAAAAAGATAACCAAAGGTAAAATCAAAAATTCATAACTCTAGGAAAACTCCTTAGCGAAATGGAATGGAGGAATCTTGGCGTTCAGCAATCCAGAGGTTGGGTTCATTACGAATGTCATCGACCTGAGCCACACATTCTACTTTTCAGAAGACCTAAAGGAACAGATCCTAATAGTGGCTTGCCTCCTTAAGGGTTCTAAGCTCCTTATTGATTTAGTTAATCCAATTTACACAATTATTATAATACTTATTTCAAATAAAGTCCAGTAACACTCTCAACTTAGAAAACTACTCATTAAAATGGTTATCTGGAATCTTAAACTTAATCTCCATCACTTCTGTACTCTCCTTTAGGTATATTAATATCGACCAAGTATTATTCTTTAGTTCATTTACTTCTATTTAAGCATTTTTTGGTTTCCTAAAAGCTATATCACTAAAATTATTAAATCGAATTATAACATAAATTCTAATTGATTTCTCATTCTAAGTGGGACCATTTTTGCATCACTCCAGAATTATTCCAATATACCTGCTATCTTCTTCTTTGATTGCTCTGTCTTTACATCATATATTTCAAAATGCAAAAAATTCGCACCATCATCATCTATCACACCTTTAATATTATCCACTCTATTTATAAGAATTTTTGAGTTAACCAATTTAAATCCAGACTCTTTATGAGTTATAAACTCCACATCTTCTACTGGGATTTATACTGATTAAGAACAAAATATTATTGAGTTTATTATTAAAATGTAATAAATTAGCATAATTAATAAAATATACTCAATTTAATTTAGTGTTTATAAATGATTATAAACTACCTCTTTTATGTTTATTTGATGGAGATAAACTGTGGAATGTTTTAAATGTTGATTGCTGAATCTCATTTGAAATATAGCAATCTAAATAAGGATTGGACTCTTTCTCATTCAATTGATAAATAAATTCATTCAAATCTTCATAAATCAAAAAACTTATCTTTGTTTATGGAGTTGAATTTCGAAAGGACAAGGAATCCCCCATTTTTTATTGTTAAGTATCCTTAAAATTGATTTGATTATTTGGTCCTAATTGACAGACGAGATATTAAGCCAAAGGTAAGCCCAAAGTGCTAAAAGGCTCTGTACTTCCTTTCAAATTCACCTCCTTTGCTTACTAATATGAAGCTAAATCAAGATCTAATAAAGAAATTTGGCTTTTTGTAACTTTCTGTGCTTGTAAGTTCAAATTATGAATCTATTCGCTTAAATTTTAAATGTTTTCATAATAATGATTGACCCCCCAATTTCTTTTTTTATGATCAGTATACGATGCGGCTTTTAATAATGCTTCTTGTATCTGATGTGGTATTTTGAGACTTTAATGTTTCATTATAATTTTCAAGCATCCAGGTTAATGTTTGATTCTCTTGAATTTTATTTAGATAGGAAATCCTGAGGGATGACATTCGTACAATTATTTTTCATCATTTGTTATGATTGCCAGCATGATCTTAATAAATTCAGAAATACTCAAAATAATTGATATCATTTTTGATCTATCTGTTTTCAAGAGTATATTTGATTTTAATTGATTATTTGTAAATTTAAGATCCTCTTTAAGTTGATAAATTAAATCCATTAATTAAAATTCATTGATTTTATATTTTAATTTACCGTAAGTTATCTAAGTGATATTATAGATGTTCAAGCTTTGATTAAATAGAATATAACTATTGCTGATCAAGTTACTAATGTGAAACAACTCTTAAACTCTTGATTACTACTTGAAGAACTTCAGAATGCCTATTTGATCCTTGATGTAATTTAGAAATTGTTTGCTTTGATTAACCAACTGTTGATCTCTCCACTTGATCTATTGAGAATAGAACTCATACAGATTCCCTCCCTATTCTATAAACAAAAGAAGTATGGTTGGTTCTATTGAATTTAGATAGATTTTGGTAATTTAGAATTACCACTTTTTTTCATTGTTTATAAAATAACCCAAAAACTTTGTTATTTAATTTGTTTCCTATTTATAGAGCAATTCTTTCAGCAATAGCTCCTCGAAATTAAATTGCCTCTTCTGGGATTCTTCTAAGGGTTGGATATTTGAATCTCGTAGAAACTCTCTAAACTTTTGATCAGTTACAATGTTAAAGGTTTCCCTCATTATTCTATTAATCTTGTCGATCCTTATTTAACCTTGTTACTTATCATATTTAATCAAAACCACCCAAGTTGGCAATTACTCCTCTATCAGATTCTCATATTATAATTAAGATCTCTGTGCCAAATAATATTATCTTCTTTTTTTCTCGACCTAGTAACGAAAGAATATAATAAACAATCTAAATAAGCCATGCGCTATTTGCTAAGCTACATCAAATTGAGATATTGAGATCTCCACTCCAAAGCCGAGGAGAAAAATCAAAGTTTGCAATCTAAATCGATTTCCCTAAAGATATAACACTTTTTTATAATAATAGATTCTATACTATATTTCATTATCCCCATTTCTATGGCTGTGTCTTAGATTTGATGGTAAATCATATAAATATCAATCGTAATGCCAAAAACGATTAGATTCAAGCTTTGAATAAATTCTCTTTGCAAAGGATATTTCTGATAGAAAAAAAGTATAGTTAATTCAATACAAAGGCTGATTGAAGTCGTTATGATGTAAATGACATCACTGTTGTAATTGACCAGATTTATTATAAGATAAATTGTGATTGTAGCAAGAGTAGTCTCATAAATGAATTGATTTTGTTCAATAACCCATTTTTTAAAGGAATATTCGAGTTCGGAAGATATAAAGCTTAAAGAAAATTTTTTGATCATTTTAAAAAATATATTTATTTTAAATGAAGAGTATGAGGGGTGTTAAACAATCCTAACTAAATCTTGACATTAATTCGTCGATTGAGATCGAAAATATTAAAACGCGTATCTACAGTTTAATTGAATTCAATTAATAATAGATAAATAATTTTGTATTATATTACATAGCACAATTTTTGAAATTGATTATTAGTTCTGTGCATTTCAAGTAATTAAATTACATATTCTCTTTGGTCTCCAATATAGGGTTTATATTGAAAAGCAAATTTGTCTATGACAAACTTTTGGATGAAGAGACATAATGAAAGTGTGTATAATAGCTAATTAATTTTGGGATGGCATAGAAAAATAGGGGGTTATTTGTAGACTTATTTCAATTCTTATATAAAATAAAATTATAATATAATATTATGAATCGAAATATACCGATTGGGAATAAAATCTGTGCCACAAAGGAAATATTTTAAAACTAGGTAATATTGAATCAACATCTCTTAACTATGAGACCATAGATTAATACAAGTGCTCCAAAATAATATGACTTTCTTAAGAATAAGAAAATTAAGGAGGCTATCAAATCATAAAAGCAATAGGAAATTGAAAGGGAAAATCAAAATCTCGTTTCCAAAATAAACAATATTGTCAAACAATCACAGAGTAATTTATTTATCTTATTTTATGTTCGCAGATAGCTCAATTTCTACTCTTCCAATCAACAAATCTAGTACATTGAATTTCGTTCCCAAAAAGTCTCTAAATAAAGATCATAGGAAAAAGGAATTGATTAACATTGTTATGGAAAATTAGCAGTTATTGAAGAGAATATAAGACTAAAAGTCGCAGTACAACGTTAAAGATTGGAATGAAGAAAGAAAATGGGTTGAACAACACATTGCCAACATATCAGAGTACCCTTATAAGAATTTCAAACCTACTAAGACTTTAGTTCAATATTGGACCAACTCCAGAGTTAGTGAGTCATAATTATAGAGTATATTTTTTAAATATTATATCTTAGAGAGAGAAAATTGTATAAGCAAAAAATTGGATCCTCTGGGTGAAAGCAAAAGTCAATAAACAAAGTACTGAGTATTATATATTCATTAAGAAAAAGAACAAGATAGGACAATAATATAGAATCTAGATAACTCTTATTTCATTAAGACTTTTAATATAGGTAGAGCTTATTTGAATCTGATTTTTAACCTTATGAGCCATACGAAGATAAAGTTACCAAAATTGTTAATGAATTGATCGAAAAACCCTAGAATTCCCAAGAAAAAGTAGAAAACAAAGAACAAACCAACGAATAATAAGAAATTTCTCTTTAAGAACAGGGTGAATAGATTTAGTAGGAAAATATCGAATCAAGTTAGTAAAAGAATGAATAAATGGAAAATAAATAATAAGAACAACTCAATTAAGAGACAATTAATAAGGATCACAGTCAAAATTTATAATAAAATTCTCAAAGGAAATCAATCGATGAAACAAATTAATAAGAAAATCAACCTCTCAATTAATTTCATTAAAATAATCAAGAAATTTAAACAATAGATTTTGAACAATAGAATGATGAAAGAAAAGATTAATAGGATGTTTAGGAGATTTAGGAATGAATAAATATAGAAATTTTTCTATACTCATTATATGGTCTAGTTCATTTATTTCAAGTTTTAGTATTGAAATCATTTTGTCATTTTTCAAAATTTGCATCAGTAAATAATACTAATAATTTAAAATAAACAATCGAGAAACATAATTTAATATCATTCTTTTAATTCTAGTTTTTCAATTTAAGTACATACATTAAGTAGTTCATTTTCTAAGTCTCCAATTTATTTCTTCAATAATTCTTTATATTATTTGATGTATTTTTTCATACACTTAAGATCCTAAAAATTATTTCTAAATATTCTCAGTTATCTCTCATAATGAGAGTAATCATCAGATTCCAAGCTATTGCCTTAAAAACTAAATGTTTTTTCCATTTATTATTTTGGACATTTAACTCTGAACATTTATTATAAGACATACTTTTTACTTTAATTGTGAATCCATATTTTATTACTAATTTATTATTTACGTTTTCTGAAACTTACATTAGTAAATTATTTCATTTTAATAACTATATTTTTTTGACCATTTTGATTTTGATTGATTATTTATTATTTTTATGAAACAAATATCCTAGACTCATTAGATTGTGTCTTCAAAGTTGTTTGTGTTTGTTATTGATGAAAAATCATTAGTGGATGTACTTTACTAACATTTAATGACTGCTTCTCAATTAATTTATTAGCGAATATTATCATCTAAACAACTTTTTTGAATTGCTACATTAATTTATCAATTTTATTCCTTCTGTTATGAATTAACTGTTCAAGTACTTACTAAGTACGTGAATGCTGTGTATCATAGATGATTGATTTTAGAGGTTTAATCATTCCTTTGTATCTTGTTACATCGATATTGCAGGTTTCTTTAATTTTCTCAAGCTTCAAAGTGTTAATAATCTCCCTCTCCCTTTCAAATCTGTTATAAATAATTTGAGCTTTCATTCTTTGTTCCCTATTGTGAGCAACGATTCCTAAATACTAACGAAGTGCTGGGAATGAGCTCATTTATTAAAAAAAATAATCTCCATTCAAAATAATGTATTCACACAATTCTATGGCAACTGCATAGTTTTTTCTAGTGTGTTATTTTGAGAACTTGAGTTTTTTAAAATACTCTTGCTCACCAAAAACTGATCCTTATTCAATTTGTAAAAGTATTTTTCCAAATTAAGTCCTATATTATAATTTACCTCTAATTAGAAAATAAATTTCATTTACTACTTCATCTTTGATCCAAATTTTACAATTTTGTTAAGTTTTCATGAGCATCATCTTTGGCAAAATGGATACAGAAAAATTGAGATTTAATCGAAAAAAATGAATCTGCATCATTTCTATATATGAAACATAGAGAGTAATTTCTTTTTACCTAGTTATCGGTAAATTTTAGAACCACTCTTATAAGCTTAAGGACCAAGCTTAATTTTATTTGATATTTAATGCTAAATACAATTGAACTTTGGTTTGCACTTCTTTAATGACTTCAATCTTTTTGAAAAATAACTTCAACGTATTTTGCATTTCCACATACACGCATTCCGAATTTAGTTTCTTTAACCATTCGGACAAGTTCAACAATATCACACAGTAAAACGAGGCACCCAAGAACATCCACAATATAGCCACTATATACTATGCGTAATTTTTTGCAGCATCATTCCCATAACCTATAGTTGAAAATGTCTGTAAGGCCCAAAATAAACACCTTATGTATTCTGAATTTTAATTCATTAGACTTTAATAATCCTGATCTTCTTAGTATTATTCATCATTGGTATTCGATGCCAAATACCAAAGACAAGAAAATAGATGCAATCCATATATAAATTTTACGATAATCCTAAAGATGTTTAATTAATAGGAATTAAATATATTAAAAACATTTTCCCAATTACTAAAAATAAAAACTATTAATATAAAATAATTACTTTTTGTTTTAATGAAATGTTGATACTTTAAATATACGATTGATACGAAAAACTCTAAGAAATCTAGGGAATTTATGATATTGAACGTGAAAACTATCAATTTTATAACTAGATACTGATAAATTGAATCGAAGGGGATGAGTGTGATGATATCAGGGATCAGCCAACCCTTTAGGTAGTTCAAAAATATAAGCCACTAATTTTGGACTAATACATTTTATCGATTATAGTAACAAGATCTCAATATACAAAGTATGTCTGTAACTATATAAAATGATAGATACTCAATACAATAGATGATATCGTTTATTAGGTCTAATTCATACACTCCCTAGGACCTTTTATCCATAAATGCTATTCTCAAAGGCAAATATATGGCTGTTTAAATATAGGTAATCAATAGGATAATATCCCAAAACCTTCTGGATGTGTCACCCTAGTTGAATTCAAGATTTACTGGAAATATAAGAAGAAAAGATTTCTTTTTTAGTCCTTCATCATGTCTTTCCAAAATTACTCTTTCATGATGATGAAGTAACCGCATTACATTATAAATTAGTCTGAATTTCTTGGCCAATAGGTTCCTAAGATGTTCTCGTTTTTATTATTATTTCAATGCTTTATCCTTTTATCTTTATATTTACAATAAATCGCAAAACCTTTTTATTTCAACAAAATTTAATAAAGAGATGTCCTAATCTCTGGGAGTGTTAATTGAATCGATAAATTATTCATGATTGACATTCTTCATCGTTTTGCATCTTCTCTTAGACCTAATTTAGTTCTACATTAAATTTTAATAAAAATAAATAGGAATATTTATAATGGAAATATGTTTAAAACTCTCTTGATTTAATCATAATTTTCTCATTAGAAATATAATCATTTTACAGTTGTTTATTTGGTAATTTCAGGCAGAGAAGCTCTTTTTACTTGTGAATTAGGAACCGTTTTGGATTTCATGAGATATTGGCTGGCTTCATCATGTTTCATTTTCGATGGGATCATCCTAATCGTATTAACAATTTAACATTTGATTGTTTAATACTCCTCTGGATCTAACACACATTAATACAAAATGCATACCTTAATCTTAATAAGTTTATTAATTGAAATTTGCAACTTTTCCATCATTGAGAGAAGAAGAAATTATCAATGAGTCGCTAATCTCTACAATAGTTGGTAAAAAGTTTGGATTTAACTATTTATGAGTTTGTTGGTGTTTAATATTTTGTTGTATGGTTACAAACCATTGATGTTTAATGGCTCTTTTCAAAGTAATATTTGGAGATAGTAATTATTTCAAAAGATCTAATTAACTAACTCTATACAAAAACTGATATTCGTTTTATTTATAGTTTTAATCAGCCATCTAATTATGGATCCTATTTATTAGATCCAAATCAACGTATTGTTTAATTCTGTTGGTCATGGTATAAAACGTAATTTGATATATTAATATTCCCAAATTATAAAGATCGTTTTCAATTGTGTAATTACTATTTTCCACATATCTGGGAAACAGAATTACTACCTCCAAGGTTTCATTTTCGATATTGATAAAAACAGATGAAAGATTGATATTCCCATGATATATGTTTCTCTGTTAATACTTCTGTAAATTTTGCAAGATCATATATATGATTGATACGAAAGGGATTTCTCGAAAATCGAATCCATTAAGCAGCAAGTTCTCTAAAGATTGAAGCTTCATCTTTTCCCCAAGAATATAGTACTTGTAATTGTCCTCATAGAGTTTTGGAGAGCAAGGTTTAGTTTTTAAAGCGTGCATTATTGTAATGGAATTGTGGAATATTTGGAATTCTTTTGGATCTTTTAATAGTTTTTTTTCATAAACTTAAGTGCAATGCTCCTCGCTATTATTCTAATATACTAATCATTAATACTTTGATCGCTTAAGATATGGGAAGGCAATTCATTTATAATAATTTATATTTTCCAAAAAAGTTCTTGTTAATGCAAAATCTTTTCAATAGAACTTAAATTCGTTTCATTAATTCTTCATTATTCGCAATTAGAAATTCTCTTCCCTATCCGTATTGCAAGATGATCACATAAAGACCATCGCAATTCTTGGTTTTTGTAAATTTGATTTCGTGATAACATTTGCTCAATTCAAAATATAAACTCTCTATGACAATTGCATTATCATATACACGAATTTCCTTCGACTCAAATTCTTTGACCTTGTGCTGATAGATCGGCAATATTTCTTTAATTAGTTCCTGCTAACAAATTTTTTCAATTAGAGATTCCTACTTCTGTCTTAATAAACTGTTTGATTCATTCATTTTTAGCTCATCAATCAGCTATGAATAGTGTTATTAAATTTACATATTTTAAATTATTCATTATTTCCATTGAACTTTTTATATATAACTATACCACATCAAATATATATATATACAATATAAGAATTGAATCAAGCCCATTTTGACTACCAGAGTTTGAATATAGCAAGGTTTCCAATTAGATGGCTTAAAATACATGATAAGATTAAAAGTATTAATTTTTAAATATCGATCTTTTCAAATTATTTTTTAATTCATTTCTTAATTTTCAAATTCAATATAATTCAGCCTTAAAAGTCCTTGATCTTTAGAAAACGATTTACATATTATCTCTTAAAACTTTAGAATTCTTTCAATCAAATTATCATATTAGAATTTCCTCGAATATTTTTCTAATTTTCCAACAATTAAAAAATATGTATATATACACTTTAGATATAACAAATATATATTTTCAAGTTTTCTAGAACTGCATATTGTTTATTGATAGTATTTAAAATTATATCTCACTTATGCAAACTTTTTTTTAATTGATTTTCTCAATTTTTAAATAACAAATTCCAATTGGATTATAGTTAATTTTACTCAAATTTTTTGGTTATAATTAAACCATATTTGTTGAATTTATTTTCATGCTAAAACCATGTATTTTATTTACTATTAAATTATATTTATGTAATTGAATTTAAATATCCCTATATTATCTTTTAATTTTATACTTCTTTAAATTGATAACAGATACGACAGTTTTTGATATTATTATAGTTCCAACTCTTAGATTTGGATTTAAAGTAAGAATTTCTTGTTTAAAAAAGAATTAAAATTTAGAATTTATCAGATGCTTATTTAATAAAAATTTATCAGTTTATTAAAGAAATAAATTATTAGCTAAATGATATCAAAAGACGAATATACATGTTCCATTTGTCTTGGAGTTTTCGTAGATCCTTGCAAATTGAAATGTAATCATGTATTTTGCCATTCTTGTCTGTTGGACCTGATTGACTTTAATAACATTAAATACAAGTGTCCAATGTGCAGAGTAGAATTCGTTAACAAAGAGAACCCTTTGTCTATAGATGAAGAATTGTAAAATATTGTTAAGGAAAACTTTCCTAATTAATACTAATAAAGATTAGAAGAGTTAAAGAATATTTAATCTTTGCTTCCAAACGAATTAAAAATCGAAGTGAATTATGGAAATTACTATAAATTTGAGGATGATGAAGATGATGGATTATAACATTAATGGACTGCGCATGTTAGTTTAGATTATACAAAAAAATCTGATAAAATTGCGTTGAAAGATTTGGATTTGAATAGTTTAATTAAGAATGTGACCTTTTAGCTCGATGAAACATTCTTTCCTGATGTCATTACAGTTCGTTAACCTCCCTATTTACTAACAAGATGGGGATGGGATGTTTTTACAATTCCAATAAAAATCAAGTTTAAGAAAGAGCATAAGATTGAACCAATTGAATTTGAACATCATTTGGTTTTTGAAGGTGATGGAGTAGAGAAACGTTAGATTGTAAAGATCGACATTAGCAATTTAACTTAATTTTAGGAATTGAAATAGTATTCTTAGTAATAGTAAATATAATAATAATGATGATTTGAATTATTTATTTTTCATTCTTTAATTATATATATATAATAATTATTTACTAAATGATTAGCGGGTTTTAAACAGGAAGAAATTAAAAAATATAGCTAGTTGAAAATGAGAAATGCAATAAGATTGTCATTCAATTTGAAGATCTGTCAGAAGAAGAAGAAGTCTATAAATCAGATAATAAGCCAACAAAGAATGATTTAAATTTACTAAATTCACTTTCAAAGGAAGCTATTAAAATAAACAATTAACTTTATCATCCTAGTAAATTCGCTGAATAAGAATTTAAGTTCATGAGTAAAAATCCAAGAGACTCACTTTCAGAAAAGAAAATTTCATATTAAACAGTGATCATGGCAGATGAGATATAAAAAGAAATTATTACACCAATTAAAAAAAAAGAACGCAATACTAATAATGAGGTATTTTAGATGAACACCATATTGCTTTCAAAGATTAGCAAATTGCCTAAGTGTTTAATTGGAGAAAAATTTTATGAACTCTCAAAACAATTTATGAAGAATTCTTAATTGAAATTTAGTTCATTTAGTAGGTCATAAAAAATACCTTAGGATTTTGATTGGAAATTAATTAAGGAATATTTTAAACAATATGATGCTGAAAAAGATTGGTTATATGAGCAAGCAAAACTAGTATTTTGGAAATTATAAGCTAAAAATAATTATACTGATTAAAAATTAATTTTAGAGTTAGAATATCGTTATTTTATTTAATATAGATTATAAAGTCGAACAATAATTTAAGAGATTTGGACAAATGATTAATCATTAAATCAACATATGATTTTATTGGTTGTTGCAATAGAGTAATATTAAGGTAAAAGGATTTTAGAGTTATCTGATGGATGGTATTCAATCTTCTTTATTTGTGAATAAAGTTATGAATAAATATACAATAAGATCAAAATTGGACAAAAACTGCATTTAACAAATTTAAAAGAATATCCTATTATATTTAATACTTCTAATGTATAGTTATAGTATCATCTAGGTTAAAATAATAACATAATATCCTTTTACTAAATTGTTGGTTACTACTAAAATTAATTCAATAAAAAAAGCTTAATTAAATACCAAATTGGGAAGATAATAATAAAAGTTCTTTCTTCGATCACTCAAAAGTCTGAGAAATGGAACCATTCCATGTATTGATGTCTTTATAGTGTCTAAATCTTATTTGATAATGGTAAATCAAAAAAATTAACGTAAAGCCATACAATTCAACTCAGAAACTGAAAATGAAGAGGAAATACAAAAGCTCAAAAATTGCAATCTATGTTTTTGGATTACAGTTATGGATAGTTTAAACTATTTTGATGAGAGAAAGTCTAAAATAACTGAATTCAAGGATATATTAGTCTACATCAACGACCCATTATAATATGAATTGATATCTGTGGGTCAGAGAGTGTAAATTATTAATGCAATCCAATTCAATTCAGATATCAGTGTCAAATTAACTAAATCCTCAGGAATTCTATTTGAATTATAACAATATTAGGACTATTTCAACAAATTGTAAATTCTTAGTAACAGACATGAGATGTAGATCAAGGTAAATAGCCATATAAAACTCGAACAAATGGATGTAATTGAAGGAAGTAATGATCAACATTAGAATGTGAAAATAGAGATATAAAATAGTTTTTTTGGGGAAATTTTAAAAGATTAATAAATGAAAATTTTGAAAGTGACTCAATTGATTAAAATTAATAATGAGAGATTTCAAACTACCCAATTGAGTAAATTGATAAATATTATAAATTATAATAAATGAATTATTAGTTTTTGAAATAGCCCTCAATGATAAATGACAAATCTTCTTTTATTTCCTCCTCCAAGTATAACAGTCCAAGATAGGATTATACGGACAATTTATTGTAAAATTTAAACATCTAATAATCAAGTGAGAATAACAGTGATCGCAATAGTGTGAATGAAAAACGAAAGTTTGGGGGCGCAAATAGATATAAAAAAAAGCACAAAAGACATAGCAGGGTTTTTGATGATGATTATCTTTAAAAAGAGAAGCGGGTCTTTAAATAGAGTTTACAACGTCTTTATGAAGAGTCTTTTATAAAAAACATCATAGACAATTCATATATAAAAAAATTAGGCTCATTGAGTACGTATCAAGTTTAGGTCCTTGATGATCTTTAATTCGGAACAGATAAATAAATTGATGACATTGATAATGTTTTTTACAGTTTCTTTTCTAGTTATTTGGATAGAATATCTGTAATATATCCATAAAGCAATTTTAAAATATTTTGGAACACAATTCAAGTATCAACTTTCATTCTGATATTCTTGTGGTTGCCATATAAATTAGCTTTTGAAACTAATTACATCTCTTAATTTTACGATGAAGAAAAAAAAATGTCGATAGAAATAGCTTTATTTGTGATTTGTGCTTTCGATATCTTTATTTGTTTGAATGAAGCCTACATCCACAAAGGAATTATAATCAAGTATTAATAATGTATTAGATTATTTAGTCAACGGTATCATATCATAATGAATTATTTGAAAACCACTGCATTAGCAGATATGATAAGTATATTTGCATTACTTTATGAATTAATCATAGTGCATTAATATGAAAATCAATATATAACCTTACAAATCTGCTTGTGTTTGATATTCGGAATGATAAAGACTTTTAAGATGAAATAGATATTTAATTAAATATAAGAATATTTCAACATCAAGGGTGTATTAAAGGATTGCTTATAAATGACTCAAATAATTTGTGGACTGATGTACTTTATACATTTGATTGCATGTCTATGGCATGGATTGGGATAACCAACCAGTAAGTATACATGGTTGGATATAAATCGTTTGAGAGGAGCCAATGATAGTATAAGATATGCAGAATCCTTGCATTGGGCTGCAGTGTATCTTACAAACGTAGGTTCTACTGAGATCAAAATAGCTAATCATGATGAGAAATATTTTGCTGCTGCAATTTCATTTTTATCTCTATTCATAATGGCTATAATAGTAGTCTCTTTAGGATACTTCTTCCATAAATCCCAAAGAAATGAAATATATTCTGAATCAATGAAGTTGATGAATAATTTTATGTCGATGAATAAAATTGATTTCAATTTGCAAGTTCGAATTAGAAATTATTTAGATTACATTTGCAAGGTAATTGTAATCAATGCTAAATTAGGCAGAATAATCGATGATTGATGAAAATGTTTCAAACATTGTAAACAAATTATCAGAGAGATTATAAGCAGAATTAAAATATCAATTAAGAGCATCCATTTTAGAATCTTGTGATTTTATTAAGAAGAACTTTTCAATCAAATTTTAGTAAGCATTGGTTCCCTTTATGGAGGAAGTAAATACCATACCTGAAGAGAGGATAGTTGAAATGAACAATATTGATGATTGTTCTATATACATTATAAACAAGGGAGAAATGGAAGTAGTGTTTGAAGCTAAGAATAAGATGAATGTAAAGTTCAAGAGGAATAATATCAAAGTCTTAGAAGTATTTATTGAATTTTTTTGATTTAGAGAAAGGAGAATATTTTGGCTTTTATAGTTTTATTACAAATTTGCCTAGAACAGCCACAGTTGTGTCTAAGGGATTCGGAAAACTATTTAAGATTTCTAGAGATAACTTTATAAATCTGTTGGATCAATTCCCAGACGAACGAGAGATCTTTCACATGATCAAAGACAAAGTCAAAATAAGTCAAGACTTGTCAGATTTACAAATCAAATGTTATGGATGTAAAGCCAACTCCCACATGGTCAATCTATGTCCCATTTTACATTTCAATCCAAATTAAGACAGAGTCATCAAGTAATCACTCTATCCTCATCAATAAGAACGAGACGATCCTTAATAGTATATTATCTTATTTATTAATTTACTAAGACCAAGAAAGTCCAAATTCATAAATGCTTTGTTACAATAGTAAATCATAGAATAGATTGCCAAAGAATATCAGATGCAATTGATTCAAGAAGAAACTCAGGAGGGAACATAAGCTACTCATGTGTTATTGCAAGATGACGTCTCTGACACAGATAGTCGAAGTATCATTAAATATCAAACATAGCATACTCACAAATGAGAACACGATCAGTCTCTAGGGTTAACACTCATTCAATCTTGTCAATGCAATAATAGTCTTCTAATTATAAAATTAATCAACCTCATCAATAAATGAATGCCCAATAGGCTAATCTACTTCCCTAAGTTGATGAGGATGAAGTTGAAATGATAGAAGATCAAGATCAAGATTAAGATCAAGACCTCCAACCTAATTTTGATGAATAGATGAACAATAGAAAAGGATTCAATAGAAAAAATGATCCTAAACATACAGTAGAAACTGCTGGATTTGGAAATAAATTTAATAAACCTAATAATGTGGAATAAGACATGGACAATTTTATTGAATCTGAGGATGATGAGGAATATTAAGAAGAATCAAGTGGTTAACCCTAACAATAGATGGGTAAATCAATTTCAAAAGGATCCTAAAGTCCACAAAATTCAGGAACAAATCCAAGAAATATCCAATAAATGGGATAGAAAGTCACCTTTATTAATCCATCAACAAACTAATAACAACAAAGTGGAGCCAACCCTAATGTTAGACCCAGAACTTCAATCAAAAGGGGAACAACCAAAACTAATAACACGGCTATAATCTTTGATAATGTCTTAGCTCAATTATAGGAGAACTAATTATTAACCATTGAATTTGTAAATGATCTCAAATATATAGCCTATCATAACCTTTCCCTCTCTTGGTGATTTCGATAAGATTATGACCTTTAGAAAGTATTTCCCTCAGCATAATATTTCTGCAGTTTTAAAACTAGTTGAGAGATACTAAAAGCAAGTCGAACATTTTCCCATCTTTTCTCTATATTCCTTCATCTATACTGCAATTTATAGGGGCAAAGAATTAAGGAAAAAGGCAGAAGTAGCAAAACAACAATAAAAGCAAGTGTTGTATTATCCTAAAATTATCAATAAGCCTTAGAAATATTTTAAGTATTATTATTCTTTAAACCTCTAGGAGATAGATTACTTAAAGATAGGTTTGATTATTTTATAACTAAAAATAACATTTACAGTTATTATTATTCATAAACATTATTTTCTTTTTGAATTCGAATTATTCTAATACCAGAAATTGAATGGATATCACATCTAGGTTCATGAGCATGAGTAGAGCAAAAATTAACAATAAAAATCAAACTGAAATGCCAATTGATAGTTTTAATAAATCTTCATAGCATATTGTATTTTGTGGCTTCATTTTTATAGCATAATATGACAACCACTATACTTTAATTTATGAATATTTAGAAGGACAAATACACTGCAGTGACTCATTTGTCTGGCCATCCTTTCTCGGATAAGGAAAGAGATGAGTTTGATCACTAAGTTTCTTCTTAGATTGCTAATTGCTCTGAAAAAATAAAGGAACTTCAATAATTTCAATCAAATTCATAAACTAAGACGTAAAGTATAACAGTTATGTAGTGAATATGCGCACAAGGAAGTAATAATTAGTTATCTAATTGCTAAATTAAATCAAATTATATTATTCTTTAGAGAATTTAAATACTATAGATAGAAATAAAAACAACTAATTTCACAATATCCAAAAAGATTGAATAATAAAATTGATAAAAAGTATATGATTGAGTTTAAAACTAAGAATATCCCCCATTCATCAAATAGTTAACTATCTGTTCATTCTAAATAAGTGAATATCTAAATTTAACACTCATATTAGAATGATATCAATGAACTAATTAGTATCAAAGAATAAATAAGTGATATTTGTCTGTTTATTCAGAATATGCAAAATTTAATAGTTTATTAAGAAATGAAAACTGAAGAGATATTGCTAAATGCTACGGAGAGTTATAAACATATTGAAGCAGCTAACAATCATCTTTTCAGCTCAGTTATTTTGAATGAGAAATTAGGTTAGCAAATAGGATCGTTCTTCTTTTTTATGGGAATTATGTTATTAATTTATGATTTTATACATGCTTGAATATATAAAACACTAATTATACTAATAATTGTTTAATTTACTCCTACTCTTCTAATAAGTTATATTGATAGATATTTACATTTTTTAATTAAGTATCATCTTTTTCTTAAGATAAAACAAAATCTTTATATATTTTTATAAACTATATACTCCCATAGTATCGATGTGAAAAATATCATAAATATGGATGACCCATTTAAGGAAATGAAAATTCTTATTTTGATTTTATGTTATAAATAAATCATAGTGATGAGTATATTCCCATAAAGTATTTTTGCATTGCTTTAATAAATCGATCTTAGTATTCTGCTGGTTTTATAATGGTTGGATCAATCCCTAAATTCATGGCTGTTTTTAAACTAAAGATAAATTAGAATTATTACGTAGTTTCCATTTTTTTCATAAAATCATAACATTGTAAGTAATCAATAATTGATAATTTAATCTAGTTGTTTTACTTATCTATTATCAGTAATAATGAATAGTCCACAACGGCAACATCAAGCAAAAACTGAGAATCTGATTCAAGAGCTTTTTCTAAGAAATGATAATCTTATTCTTGAATAGGCAAAGGTTCGCCATTCCTATCAATGATATAATTGGTATCAAGTAGAGTTTTTAGATTTTTACGATTCCATCTTTTGGCCTTACTACCTTTGAGATCATACACAGTCAATTCACCCTCTAAGCCCCAAAATAGGTTTTCCATAGCAATGTAATAGGTAGTTCCTTTGGAATTTTTAATGGTGAACATGCCGTAAATTTTATTAAGAACAGAGGGCTTTTAATAAAAGATATTGGAATAAAGATGCTCAAAGTATTTAGGAGCAAATGATTCAAACATATTAAATTCAGATTCTTTAACAGCCTTGAAAATAAATAAATTATCAGATGATTTGAAGAAGGTCGATCCACTCTTACCTCCTGCTGAATTCCAATTAGAACAACTTGCAATAGATTTAATAAACTATTTGACTTTGATTCCATTTAACATTCTAACACATTCAAATTATTTTGGGTAATACAGCTGGATGGAAATAGATTTAGATGGTTTTTTAGGAGACTCGGCAGATGGTTGACCTATGGTTTGTTCTTCCTCCTCAATATCTTATAAGTTATTGGAACTAGTTTTCTTAATCTATGAAGTGGATTTAGTTATTTTCTATTAAAATTCTTCAACGATTGCAAATTTGGATTGTTCTTTTAAGATTTTAGCAGCTTCAATTTCGACCTCTTTTTGTTAAGACTTGTTTTCAATCTTTTCCCACAATTCAGTAAACCTATACTTATATTCATACAGATCATAATATCTTGGATGATTCAAAGCAGCTGCAATTAAGCCTATATCATTTTGATTATATATTGGGATGTAGTCAAAAAATGATTTAAATTGCGAATTAGTTTGATCAGAATTGATGGATTATCTTGGCCATTTATCAAAAACAAACCTGAATGAAGCCTGAATGCTTAATTCGTATTCCATTTTTTCAGTTCCAACCTCTGATTGTTCTTCGAATTAGTTTAGATTCTCTTAGGTAGGAGATTCAGGTGATTAAGTGTATTGAATGGGAGATTGATTTTAGGTGGGGAATTAGTTGTCATTAGTAATTTATTAGGATGCAATTAAGGTAGAAGATTCCTTTTGAGTTTTTCTCATTGAGTATTTCATGGATGGAGCACTTTCACTTGAAACTAATGAGAACATGGATGTTTTTTATCTTTGAATATCTGATTCACTTTTTAATTTGGCAATCCTTTGTTATTCAGCCAATTCTATTTAATATAAGCGTTAATAAACTTGCATGCTCTCTTACTCTAAAGTGATAAAATCAGGGAACTGGTATTATGATAATCTTTCGATGAAACTCCCTACGATTCCCAAAGAGGTATCAGTATTTTTCTCTAGAATTGTAAATGAGGATTGCGTGGATGATGTCATATAACTGCTTCTAACACTCTTATCCCCATTTTGAATTGACAAAAACAATTTTTGCAGATAGGATATCAAATAATCTTTTCTTTTATCGATCTCCTCTTTATCACTTTTTTCTATATGTTATTTAACATCCTAGCAATCAAATTGAAAGTGTTTAATTCTATAAATATCAAATAAGTTGGTAAACAGCTTAATTTAATATTCATCACATTCAAACACTCTTTCTGTTTATGTGTGATTACATCCATCTGATTATTTGTCCCCCAAATCTTTGACTTCTCCTTCAAATACAAGCCAGTCTTTCTTATTTGTCTTTTTCAATCTTAAGGAGTTTTTGATGAGATATTGCACTAATCTATAGAATGAGAATTCCAAGTGATTCTTTTCCAATTTAAAAGACTTAGTCAATTATCTATCGCAATTAGCATTAAGACACTTGATGTAAGTAATGACGTTTAATTCCACCTATTGTTGAATTTTGGGTTCTAATTCTGCAATAACAGTATCAGCTTGTGTAGCGGTCTCATCATTGAGGGATTGAGGGTAGAGGAAACTTGATGCCTTTTTGAGTTCTTTTGATAGAATGGTATTAGCTTTAACTTATAAGTTTTGTTATTTTTTCTTTTCGACAACGCATCGAACAAATGCACCTGGGCCGTATCTAATAGAAACATGATTAATCTTTTTAGTTTAGCAGTGTCCACATTTAGATTCACGTATCATAGCTTTATCACTAATATACTTCCCTAAACTTACGTCTTCTTAATGTAATTCAGAGTTTTCATAGAAATTGACGATCTCTTTTTAACAATCACACAATTAACAAAAATAGGGTATTTTCTTATTATTAATATTTTTGATATTTTCTTAGATGTAATTTTCCAGACTTTCATCACTGATATTAATGATTTAATATTTACTTATTCTTTTTTTGTATGTCATGTATTCTATTGATAACGGCTGGATAGAATCTCAATTTGCACAGTTTGATTTATGCATTTTCATACTCCGACATCAGTTAAACTGAAAAATCTGGGATTTCTCCACAAGTCATCATAGGAGAATTTTCATTGTCAATTTGTTTGTATTTGAATTCCAAATCCAATTTAATTTTGTAATCTAATAGAATCATATCGATTTCTAAGGACATCTAATAACAAATACAAAACAGTTCTTGAAAGCATTGCTTCACATTAATCAACTCATTGATTTTGGGTCCACTCAAAGTCATCTAAAAAGAATTGCTGGATTGAGGTGTATTAATGAATAACAAAGTGTTGTCTCTGCCTCTCTTCTTTTCCAGATGTGCTTCAAGTAGAGACTTGTCCTTGTCATCCAATTTATTATACAAATTAAGGTTTTGCTTGATTGTTTCTGGATCACAACAAACATAAGATGCTGTATCTGCTCTACCAAGACAATCCTTATCACAACACTTATTAAAAACATCCACCGCCTTCTATATTTTACCTGAGATTGCTTGCTCAACTTGAGAGAGTTACTTGTATCTGCATTGAATGGAAACGGTTATATCCTTTTTGACCAATTCATTCAATAAAATGGTGTTGATACTCTTCTCCACCAAAATAATGTTGGGATTGAGTAACTCGATTTGTTCCAAAGCTTATTATAGATACTTGTTCTGATTCTTAACGACATTATCGAAATTCTGGATGTCCAAATCCAAAGATCCGCTCAGTAATAAAATCAAAGGGGATTTGTGATGAGTTTTCATGCGTTTATGAGCTATGTTTTTTCGAATAGTGACTCCTCTCAAATATTTGGTGGCTGCATAATTAATAAATGGGATTATTTTGATTTTGATATATCTCACTTTATTTTTTACTTTAGATTAGTTGTCAATCTAATGGTACTTGAAATCTTCGATGGAGTTCGTGATAAATTTGGTCATCACTCCTTACCAATTCTCATTGATGCCGCGGGCTATTGTTCTTCTTTCCACAAAGTCTTCTATTGTGGAAATCATCTTCTATTCTAATTTCTTTTACTTTCGTTCGATGTCATCACCTATTGTGATCGTCTCTGGAGGGTGGACCTTCAATACTGGCAAAAGGGGCTTTTGATCAGGAATTGTCTGAGGTATTAATTGTAAAGTGGGAGGAGTGGACTACTGGATCTATCAAAAATACGCTTTTATACTTCCTTTGCAGATTCTGGCAATTTCTCATTTACAACATTAAATGATTTTGAATGTCTTCTCATTTGTTATGACTCGGCAAATCCTAATGTGTTCTTATTTTCAACAATTTCCCCATTTTCTCTTAACTTCTTGCTGATGTCATGAAAGCAATCCTAACACAATCGAACCTTATTATTCAAAGGACAATCATACTTTGTTTTTTTTGATCTCTTGAAAGTTTTTAAAGTTGGTTTTATCCACAAAGAAATTCGAACAACTATTTTAAGTTCTATGACAAAATCGATACCTATCGCAAAATACATCTCCGCAATTCCGACAGTGATGTTTCCTTCTGAATATCGCCTTAAATTGGGATGAGCATTTCTTACAACATTTAGCCTCCTTATCCTGCACCCACTTCGTAGAGTATAATAACTATTGGTTCTTCATTCCAAATCTCTTACAATAAATAATAAATTTTAATCCGAACAATGTATATCTTTAATACAATATATACGAAAATGGAATGTGTAATTGATCGGCAATTAATTAAGAATTGATCAAAAACACAATTAATTTTTGCATCTTCATACTAAAATTCGCAATTAAACCCTATATTTTGCAAATATTAATTTTATATGGATAATTCTTAATACTTGCAATCTCTATTGGACAACATCGACAACGATCAAGGTTACCACAAGATCCGAGAATACGGACGAACCTATGGATTTCACAACATGTATGCTCATATCTCTTCCCTCACAATAGATATTACAGAAGACTCATATGGACCAAACTATTAGGAATTGATTAGCAATTACCTTACCAAGAAAAGGAAAAATGCTTACAACATGATTAATTATTGAAGGACGTCAATCGCTCCTTGAATACAATATCACAAATCAAAAACTTTAAAGAAATGTATTACCTCAATTTTTTAATATAGAGATTAATTAAGAAAATGCTTAATGGATGTACTCGACACCATCTTCAGCCACTATCCCAATTACTCCTACTATCAAGGCTATCATGATGTCGTATCAGTCATGATACTTGTCTTAGGCGTAGAACAAGGTTACAGAGCATCTGTATATGCTGCTTAGCACTTCTTCAAAGATTACTTAGACCAAGAATTAGCCACTACAATCACTCCACAATATCAATTCATTAGAATTCTCCTATTACGACACTCCAAAGACACTAATAATCAAAAACTCAGAGATATTATGACTATCATCGAACACCCCACTTGTGTCATTCCGTGGATTCTAACATGGTTTTCTCATTCCTTGGAAAATATCAATGACATCTCTAGAATTTGGGATTTCCTATTTTGTTCCTCATAAAATACAATTCTGTATATCTGTGCAGCATTTATTGCCATCCATCATGACACCTTAGAAGTGAGAGATGAAGAGGATCTTATTGGAGAATTTTAAGACTTTTTTTAAAATCTTAATAATAAAGAAAGAATTTAAGATATAAGATTAGAGAGTATATTGTAATTAGCAAAATTGCTTGAGGATAAATACAAGTTTGAACCTATCTGCCAATAAGAAAATATTTAATTTTCATAGAAGTATTTTATTTAACATTATGATTATAGCTCTATTGTTTACTAACATAACTTCAAGTCTTAATTATCATATTACAATTCCCAAGATAAACTATATAAAGCAATCCCAAAAAAAGTAATCAACTACATCCATGACAGATCAGATATCATATTAAATATAGGTGGAATCGCTTTAACTTATCTTATTCAATATTATATAGTTAAAATTTGATATAATGTATTAATATTATTATTTATCTGTTAATGATAAAACAATTAATTTCCTCAATAATTGAATGTGAAAAGGCTTTGGAAAACATTAGAATTGAGTTAAATCAATAGTCCTTATTTTCCTTGAAACCCATTATGGAGAGATTCGACCAACAAAATAAAGGACACATTACTTCTTACGATATACTTCAATTTTGTTAAGACAACGATATTTAATGCCAGCATTATGATGCTTTTTTATGTGTCAAATATTTTGATGTTAATAAAGATGGCAGAGTCACTTTTGAAGAGTATTATGAGACCATTATTATATAGCTTTACTATTTAAATGCTATCAAAAACTAATCGCGAAATTAGATTTGTGGCTGCAGTCAGAGAACCTTACTTTATTGAAAAATAGATGTGTTTGCCTGAAATAATAGAGACTGGCCTATCTTACTTTTTTGGAGAATTGCTAATCTATGTAAGGGAGCAATTGGAAATAAAGATGCTTTTAGAAAAAGAAAACTTTAATTACTTTAAACTCTTTCAACAGTTAGATAAAAGTAATAATGGAATAATTCACATGAATGATTTTTAAAAATACTTTAATTTATCTCAGGAAGACACAAATTATTTTTTTATGATGGGTAATCTCAATGAAACTATTGATTAAATTAATTTGTTGGATATCTTTGTCATAACCCAGTTGAAATCTGAGAATGTCAATTAAGATAAACTGTAGTCACCATTAAAACAAAATAAGTTTCAGCAATCTATGGATGAAAATGATAATTCATTTCAATCTCCTGAATAACGATCAACCGTTAAATACAAAAAAGCCTAACTCAAACTTTTAAATAGTGAATAAACTCATAGCAATGCCAGTAGTGTTTTCGTCGATGAATTAACAAAAAAATTATAGGATTTTACATTCACTCCCAAATCCAATGATAAGTTCTAAATAGAATTAATTAATTTTGACAAAGTTGCTTATCAATAGCTTTATCAATTGCTTCTAAAATGTAAACTACTGACTAAAACATAATTAAAATTGATTCAGAGGTTTGACTTTTGTTGCAAGTCTATTTTCAAACTATTTGATTACGAAAACAAAGATTTCATTACAGAACAAGACTTTTATTCAGGATTTCGAAGACAAAGAATGCAAATCAAAGGACTAGCAAGGGATCTTATATTAAGTTATGGTTAGGATTCTAAAATAAACTATCAATAATTTAAAAAATTAATCTATATCGATCAGCAAATGGATTCTAATGAAACTTAATAAAGTAATTCTTAACTACTCAGCAATGTTACTATTGATTACATCAGGTAATTGTTTTAAGAGCAGATCGATATTGAGCATTTTAAAAAAGCATACATTTAAAATCTATTAAAAAAAGTTAAGACCTATGATGATTCTAAAATTATCACTAAATAAGTTCAAGATCTTTTTAATAAGTACAATGCGTTTCCGAACGATAGAGAACTAGCAATATTAACAAATTAATTGTAAATATTATAATTTTGATTTTATCAATATATATATATTTAAACTTTATATTCCTGATTATAATTTAGTAAATAGCTCTACATTCTAACCAGATTTAAATATTGAATATGGAGACCATTTATGTTAAGGTTTTTGCAATAGTAAGAACTACAATATAATTCGTTTTGTTATTAATTAATTAATAAAAATTAATGAAGACCTTTGTTANAGATTTGTGGCTGCAGTCAGAGAACCTTACTTTATTGAAAAATAGATGTGTTTGCCTGAAATAATAGAGACTGGCCTATCTTACTTTTTTGGAGAATTGCTAATCTATGTAAGGGAGCAATTGGAAATAAAGATGCTTTTAGAAAAAGAAAACTTTAATTACTTTAAACTCTTTCAACAGTTAGATAAAAGTAATAATGGAATAATTCACATGAATGATTTTTAAAAATACTTTAATTTATCTCAGGAAGACACAAATTATTTTTTTATGATGGGTAATCTCAATGAAACTATTGATTAAATTAATTTGTTGGATATCTTTGTCATAACCCAGTTGAAATCTGAGAATGTCAATTAAGATAAACTGTAGTCACCATTAAAACAAAATAAGTTTCAGCAATCTATGGATGAAAATGATAATTCATTTCAATCTCCTGAATAACGATCAACCGTTAAATACAAAAAAGCCTAACTCAAACTTTTAAATAGTGAATAAACTCATAGCAATGCCAGTAGTGTTTTCGTCGATGAATTAACAAAAAAATTATAGGATTTTACATTCACTCCCAAATCCAATGATAAGTTCTAAATAGAATTAATTAATTTTGACAAAGTTGCTTATCAATAGCTTTATCAATTGCTTCTAAAATGTAAACTACTGACTAAAACATAATTAAAATTGATTCAGAGGTTTGACTTTTGTTGCAAGTCTATTTTCAAACTATTTGATTACGAAAACAAAGATTTCATTACAGAACAAGACTTTTATTCAGGATTTCGAAGACAAAGAATGCAAATCAAAGGACTAGCAAGGGATCTTATATTAAGTTATGGTTAGGATTCTAAAATAAACTATCAATAATTTAAAAAATTAATCTATATCGATCAGCAAATGGATTCTAATGAAACTTAATAAAGTAATTCTTAACTACTCAGCAATGTTACTATTGATTACATCAGGTAATTGTTTTAAGAGCAGATCGATATTGAGCATTTTAAAAAAGCATACATTTAAAATCTATTAAAAAAAGTTAAGACCTATGATGATTCTAAAATTATCACTAAATAAGTTCAAGATCTTTTTAATAAGTACAATGCGTTTCCGAACGATAGAGAACTAGCAATATTAACAAATTAATTGTAAATATTATAATTTTGATTTTATCAATATATATATATTTAAACTTTATATTCCTGATTATAATTTAGTAAATAGCTCTACATTCTAACCAGATTTAAATATTGAATATGGAGACCATTTATGTTAAGGTTTTTGCAATAGTAAGAACTACAATATAATTCGTTTTGTTATTAATTAATTAATAAAAATTAATGAAGACCTTTGTTATTTTTGCGATTCTGTTAGCTAGCATCATTTTGCCAAGCACTTGTATTACAATTTTGTTATCTTAGAAATTGAATTAAATAATTAAAATGTCGTATCAGATTGCGAGTGTTTAGGATAATTTAATTGCCCTTGTGGAAATAAAGATGTACATCTTTCTATTTAATAAGATATTATATGTAATGAGAAGCGGATAAGACAGACTTATGTTTAGATTAAATAATAAGGAGAAAGAATATATAAATGAACTTAATAAGGAATCAAAGTAAAAATAAAAGCATAAATGAATTTATCTATTTAAAATAGAAACTAATAGCAATTAAAACTCAAGCAAATAATTAATAATTTCTTAACTTCTTTCTGCTAAACCAAAGAAAATATAAATTAAAGACTTATCATTTCGGTTGTAAAATATTTACACTCTATAATAATGAATAAATTAAGTCGTCTTATTTGAAAATATTATTTCTAATTTACATTAAAGTTTGATTTCAAACTTCAGAATAGGACACCGTGTTGTAAAAAAGAATATATATTTTTATAATAAAAGTTATTAATATATATATTCATTTGAGCATGGGATTTATAACATCATTTCTATGTTACTTCATTCCTGGAGTTGGACTCGCAACATATTATTCATTCAGATTAGGTCCTTAATTGCCAATAGCTTGCAGAAAGATGGGGTATTATTTTACATTATTAGTGATAACGCATTGGATTGGGTTATGGAGCTTTCAAAGCAATTTTAAAAGTGAATTTACCAAAAGATATTGTTAAATCAAATGAATTCATTAAATTGATGAGGTATTTATTATCACTCACCTTTAGGCAAACTGAACAATAAGCTAATGCATTAAATAGGGAATTCAAAACTAGTTTACATAAAATCAAATAAGAATTAAAGGAGTAATTACCAGAAGAAATTACTTAAAATCCTCATTTATAACTCCAATTAAAGGATTACAGAAAAACAAATAGTAATTAATAAGCAAATACCATTTATGGATCTGATACTCTTGTTAGTTTATTTTAAGAAAGAAGCAGACTAAAGGAAAGCAAAATGTAAAAAGTTAGATTAAATGATTTTACAAGAAAACTTTGAGAATCATGAAAATTTGAATGGCATTAATTATAATTAAAAAATAAAAAAGGATTAATATATTATTTTATTGTTAATCCTATTTAAGAATTTCGAGAGAATAGATTCAGTATATTATGATTTCAATATTGATGCACAACAAGTTTTTAGATTTTCAAATGGGAAGTTCTTTTGGATTGCTAGAAAAGAGGGGATTTTGGAATTTCATGTTACTGAAATTATCAACCTAAAGATGTATTGTATAAATAAAGAGCATTTTCTTTGGATATTTTGGTTGTAATTAGGTATTTGATCTGGTACCTTAAGAGCATTTATGATTGAATATGAATTGTTCGATATAATAATTAAATATTTGTTCTTATTAATGATCACTCATTAACCTCTATAAAAAAGAACTCCTTTTTCTAATGTTAGAAAGGCTACATTAATAAAGGATGAAGTTGATAATTACAAAGTTTATCGATTTGAATTGTTCTCGACGAAAAGTAATTATCAATTTTAGGTAGAAAATATCAGTCTCCATAAAAATCATGCTTCTGCTATAAACTTTTAATAGAATGATATTGTTTAAGATCTAAATTAAAGTTGTGTATGTGAAGAATGTGGGGGTAGAATTGCAAAACAAGGAATCATGATGATTGATCAATCGGACAGTAAGTAAATACTTGCGTCTTAAAAATAATCTTATTCTCCTCCATCTCAAAATAGACATTCAGTGATAGATTCTAGTCTACTTGGATCATAATAATTTAGTATTTAATCAAATTAAATAAGCTGACAGACAAATGATGTTTAGCCTTAAGAAAAGTGTAAGAAAATCAATAAAACCTGTTTTGTAGGTTATTTAAGCTTAGAATATGATGAAAAAAATGGTTAATGACAATCAAATATAGGCGAGAAGAAGTTTACAAACAATAGAAAAATCAGAGCCATTATTTGAGAAAGTCTAAATAAAATTAAAATCTCAATTTAGAAGATCAATAAATAATTCACCGATTCAAATTAGAACCAGGACTGATGCATCAACCTATCTGTTCCCTATATTAGCAAAACCAATCACATAGTAAAAATAATTGGTTAATTCAAAATCGGATTTCCATATCGTTATCAAGAAATAACCTTAATTATTGAAAAGTGAAAAATTAAACTAGGTTAAAACCTTATAGCAACGTTTATTATTAACATATCTAAAAAAATCAACCTCTCAATAAAATTAAGAAAAAACAAATATTTTAAAATCTAAGTTGAAAAATTGATATTAATGAAATCAAAAAATGATTAAATTAAATAACTAAAAAGGAAATAAATAGAATTTATACTCATTTTTTCTGTTTTTTAATAGTTTTTTTAATTTTTAATGGTTTTTTATTGTTTTAAGATTGTTAGTTCTTAAATTCTATAAGAATACATGACATGTTATCTAATCCCCAAATAGTTTGATCAGTCATGGAAGGAGCTAAAATTTCATTCATGATTGATTTTAATTTCTCTTCAGCTACAAACATTGAATATATAGATTACATTTTTCTTTATTATTTTTAAATATCTTTTGAGTAAGACTCTCACCATAATCATTTAAACCTTCCCATATTCCATCACAAGCCATAAAAATCATTTGCACATTTTTAAACACTCTAATTTCAGGCACAGCTATCACCATGTCATCCTTATATTGATAATCTCCAAATGCTCTAGAAAGTGAAAGTGCTCCACAAACTCTACCATCAGCCACAAATCCACCTGCATTACAAATTCTTGATCTCTCTTTTGCATGAGTAGGTTTGTGATCAAAACTCATTATAATAGGTTTTCCCTTTTAGATGCCAACTGATCTAGAATCTCCTATGTTTGCACAATATATTGAATCTTTGGTTATTAACACTATGTTAGCAGTTGTACCACTTTCATCAATAATTGAAGTGCCAATCAATTCTACAATTTTCTTGGGAGCTAATTTAGACAATTCACTTAAATCGAAAATTTGTTTATTGAATTGCTTCTTCTAATTCTTAATATTTTGTATCACTTGAATATGATTAAATAATGATACCATCATCAACAGACATTTAAAATCTCTCCTCCACCAAAGCATTAAGTCCCTCGGAGGTTATTAACCATTTATCAATAGCAATAAAGGATTCGGTCAGACCCTCTTCATATTGTTTATTTCTGAATTTTATATTTGATTCCAAAAAGCGCGGTAAATATTTGGAAACAACCGAGGAAACCTCAAATCCTCCATGGCCATCCAATATTCCAAATAAATATTCTCCAGTTGATAGTTTTTCTTTGATAATTGCATCTTCCTACATAAATGATTAATACTCTTGATTACCATAGTTTTTCTCCATCCTTACATAGAGGCACAAGTGAATGTAAAATCATTGTTCTATCCTGATTCAATAGTGAATTTAGTTTTAGGTTTTGTTAAATAAATATCGTCAATACACATTATTTTCAGCTCTAAAATATTTGATTTTATTAATATAACAAAATTATATAATTCTCCTAGAAATTGATAGAGCAAATTGAATAATCAAATAATATTTACGTGAATGCCTACTTGAGATATTTGATTGAGTTACTCTAAGTCATTTCATAATGAAAAGATTTTTAATTTGGGTCTTAAGGATATAGTAAATGAATCATTTTTATGGATTTTAGCCCTCTACATATGGGTTACATCTATTGATTTGTAAAATAATTAGAAAGATTTCTGAGTGATAAGACATATCAACAATATTTATGGATCTTTTTGGTTATTGTTATTATTGATAATGAAATTTAGCATATATATGATTGGTTGTTTAGTTTATAAAAAGGATTCTCCAATTTGTGAATAAATTTTTATAGATTATAAATTAGTAATGATAATAATAAATAAAGAAAATTAATATCAATAAACAAATACATTCTTAATAGATTTCTTATTGTTATTTATTAAATACAAATTATTATTATTTCTGAAACTAGTTTGCTTCTTTTTGATAGTTCTATAGGCATCCCCATTGTAAATATCTTCCAAGTCTATGGAGGCGGATTTGTAATTTTATTAAATTTATAATCGTTATGAAATCCTTTTTTAATTCATGGAGTAAGTACGTTTGGATTAGCTAGCATCTTTACTTTTTTATTTTTGGAAATCAGGCAATTGTAATTATCTTAACTTATTATTTTGAAATGATAGATTAGCATTTTGATAAGTGTTCAGATAGGTTGAGTATAGATTTGATTAATAATTCTATGAAGATGAATTTGATCTATTTTCTCTTTAGGTCAAGTCTTATTTAGGTTTCTCTTGGCTGTTTGAATTGTGGGACAGGAATTTATTTTATTTCTAATTGCTACCATCTATATGATTATTCGAGTATTCTGGAATTCCTTAATCATTTCTACCATCATTGGCATGGGAACCCTAATAATGACTTCCATCAATATGTGTTATTTTTCCAATGCCATGCTTTACATCATTTTAATATTCTCCCTAATTAGGAATCAAATGTTACTTCGTAAATGATGCCATTTTTATTAATGTATCTACCATAGCCATGTCTCATTCCTTCTAAGAATTGTCCTTAATAGATGGAACCATCAACCCATCTATATTCCCCTTGTCCCTGAGGCTTACCAAAGTAGTAGTTTCCTATATACTTATCGCCATTCTGAAATTGCTCAACTCCATACCCATTTTTAACTGAATTCTTCCATTGACCAAAATAGACATCTCCATTCCACTTGTGTTCGCCTAGTCCATCTTATTGTCCGTTGACCCATTAGCCAATATAATAGTCATCTTGTGTTCCTTTCCATTGGCCAAAGCCATGCTTCTGAGCATTTGACCATTAACCTATATAATATTCACCATTGTCCCATTTGAAACTTCCTTCTCCATTGGGTTTTTTATTGTGAACTTGACCATGATATATGCATTTATTGGGAAAGATCTAATAGGAAGTGTTATTTTCATGATGGTTGTAAATGAATCTTCCATTCATAGCCAATTTAATTTCAGCATTGTTACTGATTATGATTATTTGATTTTCTTTTCTAGTTAATTGATTAAATTCTAGGGATGGGATGGGCACTTTATATTGATTAAGTAAGGCTAGCAATTATTTTTTTAAAGATTCTTAACTTTGAATAGAGAACAACCCTGTAAGGTCTTTTTAAAACTATTCAATATTGGAGATTAACGGATATTTTTTTTGAATTCTCTGCACTTATAATTAGACATTCTGGATTAATTGATACTCTTGTAGCCTAGAGATAAATTAGGATGTTTACATAGAAATATATTTAATAATATAATATTAATATTTATATGATGTATTCCTAAAAACTAATTAATATTGAATCAGAATAATTTAGTTTAATAATAATGTTTACATGATGTAACTTCGCGTGACCTTGCAGTATTCTTATTTATTAGATCAGGAATGTTCTCATTTTATAAGGCAATGTCTATATAAGTGATAAGGAAGTATTCATACAATCAATAAATTCTTTCAATTTCTAAAAGTAACTTTTGCGATACTGGACATCAGTATCAATTCCAGAATGCCCAACATTATCAGGAATCCACAACTCATACAAGTTGCTTGATTTCTAAGCTAATTGTTTTGCGTGCTCATCAGAAATGATCTTGTCATTTGCTCCATGCATGATAAATATAGGGCATCTGATGAATTAGATCCGATCGATATTTGGGAATAAATCATAGTAAGGAGTGTCCTCTATTTTATTACTAATGACTCTCAATCCAGAACTGAATCCACTCTCTATAATCAAGCCACCTATGGGGAATTACGGATTGGATGATAGAGTTACACTAGGTCCTGAACCGATGCTGTAACCATAAACTATAATTTGAGTTGGTTTATATCCTAATTGATGGACCAGGAAGTTGTAGGCCACTTGGATATTGCGAATAATGCTTAGATCATTGCTCTTCCCTTCGCTTTGACCATACCCACTATACTCGTATGCAAACACGTTGGTTTTGGTGTAGGACACGAGTTCTATATGAATAAAGGGGATGAATACTAATCAATTTGTCTATCATGGTTCCCAAATCACAGGCATTGCCATGACTGAACAAGATTACGTAATCACTATTCTTATCCAAATGCACTGATGCTATTTATTAATTATTGTTTTAGTTCAGAAAATATGATGTTACTTTGCATGCATCAGATCTCACAACTATTTCTTCATCCAGATGTATTTTCTTATTCGGTATTTTGATGAAATCATATTCCGGATATAATCTTCACATAAATTCTAATCTTACTCAGGATTCCTCACTGTCTTTCTCCTCCTATGCAAATATTATTAATCATTTGATAGTGTCAATTATTATTCGGAATTGTTTTACAAGTTTAAATACCCGCTGTCATCGAATGAGTAGTATCGCTATTTTTTATTAACCCTCTATTTCTTCTGCTCCCTCAATCTAAGTTCATATGTGGCTTGAGGCGGACGAAAGGCAAGCATATGAACAAGCTTATTCCTGAGGCCACACATGCTAAAAGATTGAAATATTCCAGTTACAAAATGTTACATTCGATATCAAATACCTTATTTATTTAACAATAAATTTGTATTTTTATAAAATATTACAGAAATAATATATATATATATATTTATCATCAAAACTTGTTATTAATCTTTTTGACTGACTTTGTCAAAATCAGAGTGGATTTAGTGGATGGAGTAAGGGTGATACTCATCTTCTTTTTGAATACCCCTCTATCTGTTTTTAGAGGAGACAATCTTGGCGATGAAATACTTTTTAAATCGAAAGATAATATTGAATTTTGATTGCTAGTGCTTATTCTGGTTTTGGTGGACATGTTGGTTAATAGATGAGGTTTTCTCTTTATTGGAGTAAGATATTTGATTTCACCTTGACCCTTCTTCTTCATAAAAGGTCTCAATGTACATGCTTGCTCCTCCTTTGGATGTGATACCTTTGTAAATTATTGATTCACTTTAAACAACTCTGATACTAACACAGATCTTTATTCGAATGATAGACGCGTATTCTTTATAATTGATATGAATATAATGATGAATAGGTACTTTTATTTGCCATATCAGATCAGTTCGATTGGCACAATAAGACAAATATCTCAGTAAATTTACGAAATCGGTGGAATAATAATTCTCATCTCCTATTTCTCTCATCTTCCTCATCAATGTCCTAAATGCTATTCAATACAATCATTATGTTTACTCTATGAAGTTCTTTCATCCTTAATAACTTACTTGAACTCATCCAAATCAATACATTCTTAAGTTTATTTATAGACTATTACTATTCCCGTCACGATCAGTCATTTCAAAAAATTCCTTCAAAAGCCTCAAATTCACAGGATAATTGTTTTTCTTCAACATAGAATATAATTCATCCATCTCAATCGTATCTGACAGTTTTATTCTAATCTTATACTTGAATGATCTCTGTCAATCAAATGGAAAGTTTCTGTAACAATTTTATCATCAAATAATTCCTTCTCTGTCTTCAAATACTTCTCCTTCACTTTAGATGAATGTCTTGAATTGAACCAACTCTTGGTCTCTTAAAAATGTAAAACTCTCTCTGCTGGTGGCAATACTTGCATTAATATATATGTGATTTTTATATCAAATTATTTATTAAACTATATTTATTGCTAAAATAATTCCTGATTATAATATTAGTATTCCTTGTATAAATTATAAAATTGAGTTGTTATGATTACAATTTCTAATTCAAACATCTGAAATGTAAGATTCGTCTTTTACTATTTTTGGTAATGTTCTAAAACTATCTTTTGGTAACTAATTGTTCTGATGATTTTAAGTACTCTCCATTTTAATATTCGGACTGAAGGAAGAATTATTTAATTAAGATGTTCTAAATTAATCGCTAAATTTCATACACTTTATTCTAATTACAAATCTGATACTCCCCTTTCTATTGTGATAGTTGTATTTTCTGTTTTTATTGACTGTTTTGTAATGCCAACTTCCTTATGCCATTTTATTTATTCATTAAGATTGGCAGATCTGTAGAGTTTCTTTTGATGTTCGTTACTACTTTCTACTGTATAACAACCTTGTTTGGATTATTTGAGTTCTTTTATCAATTCAAAATACTACTTATGCAATCTATGAACTTTTCGATGAACTCCTCATTTGCTTTTCTTTCTCTTTCTCTTCCTTATCCTTTTTCATTACTTCAGAACTTTTTAGCTATTGCTATTCACTCCCATGTGCCATTTTCAATGCTTATTTAATATTCACAATTGCTTACCACATGCCTTGGCTAGTTTCTTTAATTGTAGTTTTCTGTTATTAAAAGTACCAAGAAATGATATTGAAGAGACAACATAACTATTTTTTATAGGCCCTCCTTTATAAATCAAATCGAAACCTCCTATTTGTTCCTCATTTCCAGTCAATATCTTTTCAAGATCAATAATTGTAAAAACATCATCCAATAATCCGCATTTTAATTCAAAATCAATAGGAGTATTAGATGTCATAGAAGGACTTTTGTTAATTTACTTGTTTTATACCTTGCATTCACTTCCAAAAGCCAAGGCTTTAATTAAGAATCAAATAAGATATCAAACCCATAGAGTTCAAAACAATGTTTATCGTTTATGATGATTTTTTGGACTGCTAATAAAGATTTAATCATCAGTTATTGAACATTATAAAAACATTCTTAAACCTTATCCTACCCATACTTTGTCATCAGGTATAGCTTCAATTTTTATAAATCCCATTTGCCTCCTAGTTTTTCATCGTAATTTTCTGAATTCTTCTGGATGGCCACGTTTGTTAAATGGACATCTAAATCTTCATGTAATAAGTATACAAGCATTTGTGATGTCTTCATTATCATATCTGTGATGAGTGAAACGAGCAAACCCTGTACGATATAGGTATAAAGTTAAAGGTTGATAGGATGTACACAGCAAGTAGATTCTAGTATCAAACTTCTTGCCTCCAATCAATAGGGGATCAGCTATATATCTTTAAACTATATAGGATTCTGCAGAGGGATTCTCAGGATTAAACTTCACTTGATTCTTCCACTAGGAAATCTATGATATTTTATTAAATAAGAATATGCCTCTTCCCTAAGATTTGCCTATCTAAAGAAGGTAATTAGATCAATATTTTACTGGTTTCATAATCCATGCCGTTTTGTTATCGCCTTGCTTTTTGAATTCCTCATTAAAGATGGGATATTCACTAGGTAAATGGTAAGTAAGTGGAAAAAAATTATAACTAAATCGTTAAATTACTTTAATTACGCATTGGCTTCATCAATTTTACCTTCTTTTTCTAAGGCTCTCCTTTATTTCTTTAAATTCTTTATCATAAGATCTTTGCGAGTTAACTAAATGAAATTGGACATGATTACCTCATAATGATTGCGAAAATGATTAATTTTTTAATGAGGTTATAAGTGAATATGATCCATTACTTCATGAATCCATTCCTTCTCAGCCCACATAACATCCCAATCGTCACCATCAGTTTCTTTCCAATTTCTCCTCTTAAATGCCTTTCATTATTCATGCAATTATACTTCTAAAATACAATTTCTAAAAGATGTTTTATATTTGATATTAGTACTAATAATTAGATATATTAAAATTACTAATGATTTCCATAATTCTCTTTTTTAATGTATTTCCTAAAATATTCTGACATTATTGAATAATTATATATATTTAATATATTTAATTATCAAAAGAGGAGTCAATTGATTTCTTAGAATTCATTTTTGAGTTTACTCAAAGTCATTGAGTTCCTCATAATCAATTCCATTATCTCTTATCCTGGGATCTATGAAACATTTTCATCATCTCGGCTAAAATTATAAATTCAATAGCTTACAAATATTTATCATCATCATCATCCTTATTTTCATTGTCACTTTCTGCTTAAGATAATTATTACATAAAAGTGGTTTCAGTATTCTAGAATTTCGATTAATTCTTATTAAATTTAGTTTGATTGTCTACTGCTTCATAATTCTCAACATTACTATCATTAATCTTTAATCTCTGTAACTCTTAAGTTAAAGCACATATGTGTTTTCTTAACTCCTCAGCAGGAGAATCTTTGAATATTATCAAACTCTCATAAGCACTAATCTTTGACCTCATATCTTATAGTTATTCCTCTAAAAATGGAACTTGGTCAGCAATATTTCTGTATTCAACATTCTGCTTCTCCAAACTATCAATTTTCTCTCTATTATTAGAGTTTATCTCATATAATTCCTCTATTTCTTCTTCCAACTACTACTTTTACTGTTCCAAAATTATATTACATTCTGAGTAATCATTTTATGAATCTTACAACAATGTATTATTAGGATTAGTGGAGGCAGTTTATGGTCGAATTCCTTTAGGAAAATTCATACTCTATGACAATTGGGACTCCTATTTTCTGTCCCTGAATGTCTAGGCTAAATTGTAATCTTATTGAGTAATGATTTAATTATCCAATTTTTCTATGAATACTGTCCATAAAATATCATATTTATATGCATATTTAAGAGTGCAAGGATTGTTTTCAATGACTAGATCCTTAAGACTAGGCATTAGTTTAATACTGTTGATCAAATGCTCAAAGTCAGTAATTTAGTTATCTCCAATTTAAATGGATCATTAATCCAAACTCTATTGAGTCAATTAGATTATGATTAGCATACAATCTCTAAAGTCTTTTACAATCGCCTAAAGGCTATAGAGTTGTTATTTTATTGTTGTTGACATTTAAATCCACGATGTTTTACAATATGCTAATTCCTATGACATTTATCAATTTGTTTTATGATAATGAAAGACTCTTTAAGGCACTACTAATTTAATATAGGATTACTTTAATTCAGAGAATGGGACTTCAGTAGTGCTTTCAAAAATCAAGAGGTTTTTATCTATAAGAGACAAGTTTGTTACTGATTTCAAATCAGATCCATCACTGTTGGTGCAAACAAATTATTTTGTGATCATTTTTCTTGCTTCCATCAAATCATTTGCTGATATAACTGGAGAGGCTTCCATTATCTTAATAGTCTATTACGTTTTTTAAGTATCATTAAATTCTTTATCTTTTTAATCATCAATATTTTATACATCATCTATTTTTCTATTATAAGAATTTAGACGAAGAGTTGTATTTTTTTTGAATTGCAATTATATTTTTTAAAAAGGTTTTGAGGGTTTTTATTGTGGTATAACTGATTCTGACATTTATTATTACGTTGTTGAAAATGACGATTGAGTTTCCGAAAGATTATTGCGTAATTATGGTAATTTTTATCTTAACACATTCACTTTTCTTTGCATCACATTTACATTTGTATTCTTAGATAGGCTAGGATATGCTTTCTATTATAGAAAGTGTCTTGTTTTTATATGGTCCTCCATTCGTTTGTTATCGTTAAAGGTTCTACCACAACCATGAGGACACTCGAGTTGATTCATTAAATTTAGATTATTTTTTAATTAATAATATGTAATTTCATAGACTTATGCTCACATCATCTATCTATTAGAGCGAGGAATTTGTTTCTTATTTTTGATTCTTTTTTGGATTGTTATGGTATCTTTTTAAATGAGTAAGAAGCAAAGTATGAGATTAATAATCTTTTGAACACAAAAAGCAACAAAAAATATGATAGTTTTAACAATGCTTCTTTAAAATATGGGGAAAGAACACACTACTTATGCCTGAAAAGTCACATGATGGACATTAGAACATTTCAGATTAATTATCTTTAGATTAAATCTGTTATAAATTCTTAATGTTTTTCACAAACAGTTTAGTTATCGCTCTCAAATATCTAAACTTATTTTTACTGTGATAAGATTTAATGTAATCAAAGTCTAATTGGAGTGATTTATTGGCCAAAGAATTCAACTATCGAAATTTCTACACAATCATATTTAGTTATTTATAACATTGTTCAGGTTACAGTAGTCCTTTTGGAGTCATCTAAAATAATTGCTACAGTTTTATATCTTCTTCACTTTGTACAAGAGTATCATTGTAACTTATTGGCTTTGAAGATTTCTTGCTTCTTCTTTTAAGGCCATCTAATTGTATTTTAGCCTCCTCCAATAAATCAGACTTTTTGTTTTGTTGTTCAGCATCATTAGATGCAGGATTCTTTTTGAATAAAATGTTTGTTAATAATTATGTGCATTCCAATTACATTTCCAATATCTTTTTTAAAAGAGTTTGGGTTTCCTCATTCATTTTATTACAATAATTTGCATTGTCTCTTCATATTTATTTTGTAGTTAAAATCTAAATATAATATTACATTTTTTACAAATTATGAAAAAAATAATATGAAACCAAAATAAAAATCAAGATGAAAATTTTTAAGCCAAAATGTTTCTCTAAATAACATGATCTTATAATTATTCTTTTTTATATTTCTCTAAAAATTCTTATTCTTATTTTAATTTTTCATTTTTCTAAGTAATTTCGAGATTTTTTTATAATATTTTATTTTGTTTATGAATTTTTTCTAACATATTTTCCATTTACTTCTATTTTGCCAATTTGAATCTGTGTTCATTCTTCTATGACAAATTATTTTTTCTTAAATCCAATAGAGATTGATGTCTTTCATACTATAAACAACTTCATACCTTTTTAATCCTCCCTCTAACTTGACATCTGTTTCCTACAATTTAGAATTCAACTCTTCAAATCTCCTTTAATCCAAAGACTCCTAAAATTATTCAATCCTCTTCATTATTCTGCTGTTCTTTAATGATAAACTCTTCTACTATTTCAATTAAGAGATTTCATGCTTATTTATTTAAATCTAAAAATAAACAATCTCTCTACTTGTCTTTAAGTTGATTTGCTGAAATAATTTTAAACATTCTAATTTTCCTTCTGCACATACGATTCCTATAATTTCTTCTATTTCTCCTCAAAAACCTTCAAATTTTATTCATGTCTTTTCTTATCTTCCTCCTATTTTTTATGTAAATAATCACTCATATAATCAGACTTCTTCTTAATTGAATCCATCACTTACTCGATCATACTCTACTCCAAATTCATTTGCATTTATCTCTTTTACTATCTCTCTCTTTCCTTCTCCTCCTTCTTTCTTAATTGCTCCAACAATTCCTCCTATGCTTATTGCAATTATTTCTGTTTTCTTTCTTAATGAAGATTATGATCTTTCTCCAACTCTTAAACCATCTTTTAATGTTCTTGATATTGAGTCTATTCTTCCTTTTTAGCCTTTTGACAAATCTGATCTACCTTTAGATGATTTCTTTTCAATTTCTTCCTCACTAATTCCAATTGCTTTTATTTCAATCTCTCAGCTTTTTAATACATTTCTGGGGCAGTCTTACTGTAATACTCATCCTATTTATTAATTTGATCTTGGACTAAATTGAGAAACCTACATAGCCCTTATAGTCTTACTTATTGTAATTCTCCGATGCTTTGATCAATTTCTTGTCAAATAGCTCTTTCTTTTGAGTTGCACTTAAAATTGTTGAGTGTCCCTCCTCATAGATATGTTTCTTCGTTTCATTTTATTCCAATGATATTGATTCATCCTTAAACTTAATGTTTTTAGAGTTCATTTACTTGGAGACTTGAGATTGGATGTGTTTGATCTAATTCCTCTTTTTTAGGATATCATTCAATATTTTGTATTTATTGGTTACATATTACAAATATGATATTAGGTTCTGAAGCGGATCTTTTCGTTTTTGATAAAATTCCTCATAATCTTTCACTTAAAGATCTTCGACATTCAACTTAAGCATTTCCATTGCAGCTTGAGTTCTTGGCGAATTTGTATCAAAGTGCATTCTAAAAACTGTTAATTAATTTGGATTTCGGATGATATTATTTTTTTGGTCAGCCTCTAAGTAATTGGCTTCAATGGCTGATTTCAATAATGCATTAGATATCGTTGGAAATCGAAATTACTTGTGAGTACCCAATAAGTTTTTTGGACTCGATTCGCTATTCTATTGAAACGAGCTCATAGACATTTATTTTGTAATGAGAATATCGCCTGTTTCCTTTATATAATCAATCATAATAATATTAATTTTTATTGATTAATGTCTTTTTAATTCCTTAAAATATGTTTTAATAATGATCTCAGAAGACTGAGAAGCATAAGGAGATTTTTGTTTTACAATACCTAGCCTAGTGAATTTTATAGATTAGAGGAAGTTCGCAAAGAAATGCTTAACATTAAGATAGAAGATAGAGAATCAGTCAAATCAACAGCAGGTACGACTTCTTGGGTCTTGTATTTAAAGAAGAGATAGTAATAAAAATCAAATTGGTAATGGTGGTGATCCTTTCAATTTTTAATTGATTATCTATATTTTCATAAATACAGGAGAATATATTATAAATTAAGAAAATATAAACAAAATTACATCATTAACAGCCTCACTTTTAAGGAATTGGTTTTCTAACTAAAACTAATTGCTTCTTCCATTTCCTATCAGGAATGGTCCTCCATCTTTTGGTGATCACTTTAATCATGATATTATGGGGCATTTATATTAACATCAAGGCGAGACTAACTGCCAATGCACAAGGAATCATATGACTAATATTATTATATGAAATTCTTACACAATCAATCCACTAGCCACTATCTTCAGTAATAATGAGAGAACATTTAAAATTGGACATAATTTAACTATCTTCTTTTTGTTTATCAAAGCTGCGAAAAACAAAATCTTTTCTCCTATCAAAAGGATGTCTGAAAAAATAAAGATTTAAAAGGAAACTAGCATTTCGTCATACCAATTTAATTTAAGGGTTGTGTAGATGATGGCACATCCAATAAATATAAATACAAATCCAATAAGGTTGCTTAGGATTAGACCCTTTGCAAATTTCACTGTAACTTTGTCACCCTTTGTCAATATATATTTTCCAGGTTTTCTTGGAATCTATGGATGGTTCTTTGGTTTCTCTTCTTAAATTTCCTTTATTTCTGAATCCAAATCTACGTTTGTTTGGCCTTCAATTACAATAACTGGGCCTTCATTTAATTCTTTCACATTAACTTCCATAGTAAAATGTTGGTTAAATTGCAATTTATTTAATTATTGTTTTTTTATCACAATTCTAAAGCCCTTTTAAATTCTTTTTCAATACGAAATCATTAGAAATTGAACCTATTTTATATACATTTATCATATTTTTAACTTAACAATAATCACAATACGTCATTTCCTCAACCATTTCAATTAGTTCAGTAATATTCTACTACTTGATCAGAGCATTATTTCTAAAGTTGGAAATATAGGATTCATGTAGCATTGATGAGAGAAGAGAAGTAGCATTTAAAATATCATAATAAAATTTACATTTAAAATAAAAAAATAATAATTCTAAATATAGAATAAACTTGATTTATATTAAGTTCTTTGAAATTGCACAATTAAAATCATTATCCCTTGTATTACAATCATACACATTTTAAATAATCTTCTCCCTGATTAATGATAGGTTTAAAATGGCTAAACTCATCAACAATCCATTCAATACTATTTTTGATCATCATTCTTCTCTCACCTCTTTTCATGTTCCTCATTAAGAAAGGTTACTTACAAGATTTACAGATATCTTAATTGCATCCTCCATATGCTGGTAAAATTGAAATAAAGCATGCTTTGTGCCAACAAGCAATCTAAAATTAATCTATCAAATTACTCTATAGATAGGTTTCTTTTCTGGTTTATGCCTAGAAAATGCCTGATGTAATTTAAGCAATTATTCTTCTTCTGCTTATTCTTAGAACTTACAAAAAACAGAAGCTTCTAAATCTGAAACCTTAATTCCTTCACCGTTTACAATGCTAGATACAACTTAGAAGTATTTATCAAGATCTCCTTCTACTGATACTGATTTTTCAAAATATGACATTGTTACAACATCTGAAGCACAAACAGCTAATTGCTTAGCAGCATCATGGAAAACCTTTTCTAATGTTGAAAATATGAAACCCTAAAGTTATTAATAATCTATTTACATGTTTTCCAAATAAGCTACGCAAATGATCTTCATATTTAAAGTCTTTGGCCTTTAATGAAAGAAACAAAGCAGATTTAAATAAATTATATCTCTTATCTTATCCTAGTTTATTTTATTAACTAATGACATAAGCCATTTCCAGTCTTTGATAGATTGTATGTAAAAATCGCAAAAGTATGTAGAGATTTTATGTCACATATGTAGTTGACTTAACTTTTGGTTGTAAATTCAGAAATAGACCTGGGGATTCATTTTCTATAGCAGGAATTGAGATTGAAGCATCCTCTGGATTATAATGAATATCATAAACTTCAAGTTCTTAAATCTCATTTTTCAATTTAGTATCTATTAATGTCAATTACGATATTTGCATAGGCTTCATTGAAACTTAAAAAAAGTGATTGATTAACTTGATCATTAAAATTGTTCCATTTCTTTTATCCAAAGAATTGTTACCTCCCATAATTTGGAGATAATGAATAACAAATTAACCACATTCCTATAAAATTTATTCATTTCCCATCCACAACGAAATTAATGGAGCAAAACGAATATTATCCTTTGTAGAGCTTATTAATGGCATTTGTTTCGGTAGAGTAGGTCTGATATTAGTCATTTATGCAAGAGAATTTAGAAAAGAATTTTCAAAAGTGTACTATATTTAATCTTGTTTTCTTTTGACAAATACGTGCTCTTTTGATCCCAAATGCTTTATTAAGACATTTTTGGCATATTCTTCTATTTCTCTTGCGAATCTTTGTCCATTTATGACCAATTTATCATTCTTTTTAAAATAAAATGATCTGTGATCAAGGGAACGATGAAAATTATTTAATGAGACATTTTCCCAAATTTATTTAGCTTTATTATTTCTTGCTGAAATAAGTTCATTTAACTTTTATTTAACCCTCTTTATTAGGATTTTAGCACTTTCAGTCGGCTTTGTTTAAAATATCTAAAGCACTTCATTTTAATCTTAAGTTTAATTTCGATATAATTATTGTAAGATTCTCATATCAATTACTTTAGCAATCAAAATTGGATCCTCTTTATTACCATCGATTATTTCTTATAATAAATTTATGGTTCTTTTTATTTATTAAATATTGACATCAAATTCAAACCTTTCGTCCTCGCTTTTAAAAAGCTGTTCTTCAAAAGTATTTTTTCTCATAATTAAGAATGATTGGTCCTCAGAACCAAATGGCACCGATACCCAAGAGTGGTTTAGGATTTCTTAGTTATTATTAGCCTTTGCATATCCAATAGGCATTCTGACATATGACCTTGTTACTCTGTCAACTTAAGCAAAATCTGTATCTTTCAAAGGTTTAAAAAAAGGTGTTTGTATTCTTCGAGCTATCACTCTTGTTGACAACATAGACCTAATCTCATCAATGTATTCAGTCTCTAACCATTCTTACTAATTGATTAATTCCATCACTTCCATCTAAGTTATAATGCATTCAGAATATAGATGTATAATCTTCATAAATTCATTCATAAATTGTTGAAAATCATTCGGATACTATTGAATTACCCTCATTCTAAATTTATCCCAAAAGAGTAATTCATTCTAATATATTAATATAAGTCTTACCATGTCTACTACTCCATTCTTATCCAATAGTTTTTAAAAATAATTTCTATTTTCTTCAACTTTTTTTTTTGGCTGAATTTAGTCATGCTTCTTTTTGAAACTCTACAAGAACTATTATTGTAATTGTGGCTCATTGCTAAATAAATCCAAGATATGATCTTTGTTTTGATGTCCATCTAAATGTCCATTTTAGATTTATTTCAATATCGTCTCCAGTGCCTTGGGTTTGTTGCTTTCATTGGTGATAAACTCGGTCAATTTTTCTTTTTGAGTCTTGAATTTGACATCTTCTTCCAAAAGGGTATTCACTTCCTTTAATATTTCTGGTTCCTCACTTAACATTTATCCCAATTACTCTTTAGCAACTTTACTATTTTAATTAACAATATTGGAAAATTGTCTAAAATTGATATTAATTCGAACTTATAGAGCTATTAATTTGTTCGTCTCAATTTTTAGCAAAATTGTTCACATTTTTCATAGAGTTGTTGATCAAAGTCCTAAATAAAAATCTAAATGAAAATATACTTCTCCAAATTCACCCATATTACTTTTGCTTAATATATCCTCACTCATTTTATTATCTAATATAAATATAATTAAATATTTAACAACTTATTATTAGGAATATTATATAATATTTAAAAGAAAACTAAACTTATATCAAAGTTGAAACCTTGCAAGTTATTTTTTGGGTTGATCAAAGATGCTCTATATTTATTGTTGTTGTAAAATGATCTCTCACTTTGGACTATCAAATAAATACTAAATAACTCTTCGAAAATAATAGGCTAGTAACTATAATATTAAATTAATTTTATAATGAATGATCTTTTTGATTAATTTAAAATAAATGAAATAAAATAAATAAAATATACACAAGGTTATCCGCAAGAGTAAATTTAAATTTATAATGTCCTATAGGACCTTGGACGGATGAAGAAGATTTTAGAGTAATTGAATTGGTTTAAGAATTTGGTCCTTAAAAATGGACTTAAATTGCTTTATAATTAGATGGAAGAATAGGAAAATAATGTAGAGAAAGGTGATCACGAATTTTATTTAATAGATGGCACAATCATTTGAACCCTTTGATAAAGAAAACTCCATGGGAAGAGGATGAAGAATGGGTTTTATTCCTATATCACAAGGCCTTAAGTATTAATCCTGATTATCGATCAAGGTAATAAATGGGCTGAAATAGCCAAGCATGTCTAAGGTAGAACCGACAATTCAATCAAGAACCACTGGAATAGTGGAATGAAAAAGAGGATGCCTGAATTTTAAATGAGACTGAGTTAAATTAAATAGAAATTTAAAAGAGAAGGGTATCTTATGAACATAAAACAGAATTTCAATTTTGAATGATTATGATCCATTATAAAAAAAAGCTCTAGAGATTATCTTAATGAATAAACAATACAAGAGTATAATTAGTGAATCTTCTGAAAACGAAGATGTTTCATACCCCACCAAATAATCGAAAAAGAACCGAGTTCATCTAGAACTGATTGAGTTGTAGAGAGAACAATAGGTCAAAGGGCAAAATGATGAGATGATAGAATAAAACTACATCAGCGATGATGAGTAAGAATAGAGTAATAGGTGATTTATTAAATAATGTAATTTCTAGTGTACATTCCTTCTAACTATTAACGACTTCTAAGAAGAAGAGCAAATGTTAATATGAAGAAAATAGTATTATGGACTATTGAAGTCCGATAATCCACAATTTTGAAACAATAAATATATAATATAAAATTTTCCTAAAATATTCTTAAATAATATTTCTTCATTTGACTTCTTCACTGATGTACCTTGCTCTGTATTTACGAGGAGATTGAGATTTTTCCTAAATCTTACCCTCAATAATTTGTTGCAAGAAATAAGTAACATGAGAGAAGAAATCTTCATTCCATACTTTTTCAATAGGCTTAGTGCATTTTTTGATTTCTTGTTAAGAACCAACTCTAGCTAATTTTTTGTCTGAGGTTTAAGGCTTTTTAGTATCTTTAATCAGCATATCTTTATTAGAGCTTTAGTTTTCATCCTCATCTCTTATGACCTCCAATTTTATTAAAGTTTATCCTAATTTAGGTCTTTCTTGATTTTGTAAAGTAGATGAATCAAATTCTAAAGATTTTTAAATTAAATTATTTGAAAATATTTTTTCTTTAAAATTTGAATATCCTTTGGGCACTCTTATATTATTACTGGTTATAAAATATATTAACATACTCGTAATTGTATTCAGCTTTACTAATAGCAATTTCAATAGGTGATAATTCATCCGGATCTTCTCTATATAATATTTCACTATTTAATTAATTATTTTAAATACGAAATATCGTGGATGGTCAAATCTGCTTATGCACCCAGCTTTAATAAAGTTGTTGATATTCTAGCATTTCTCAAACAAATTTCCCTCAATTTCACCTTTTCTCTCAAAATTTCAGCATCTTTGATAGGATCGATCTTTTCAATAAAGCTTTTTTCATCTTAAGTAAATGCTTGAGCCATTTGTCCCCAATGGTACCATACAACTTCATCTCTACATATTTTGAAAGAATCTGGAAATGTATAGCCATGATCAATCGGTATAAGAAAGTAATCATAATTTTATCTAGTTTACCCTACTGATTGATTTATTTTTCTTAAGAGATATATAATATAATATTACTTTTTTCTAACCAATATGTTTTCTTCATTTCTATCACAATTTAAAATTCTAATATCTAAGATGGCTATTTTTTTTGCTTCAATAGAAGGATACAGACCACTTCCAAAATTTCCAACATTATCGTCATGTTTTATGTACAATTGAAACGATCCCTCTTTTATGGGTATCTTCTCATACTAAAATTATTTGTATTCTTCAGCCTCGTGAAATGCAGGATGACAAATTTACACATAATCAGTTATAGGTACTAAATTGCTTATCTTCAACATTACCATTATGATAATGTCCAGATAATTGATCTATCAAATATGCTGCCACTTCTCGATCAACTCCTTCTCCAGACAGTATGCCTTATCTAAGTCCTGGAGAATTCATCTTGGCTCTCATCCCTCTTGGATTATTAGGACTATTCATGAATTTAATCTATACGCAAATGCCTCTTCATCATAAGGTTTAAAAATGGCCACTGGTTTATGATTTAAATCCTCCAAAATATAAGTGCCCTAAGTACCAAAATCAGTTAATTTTGGTGTTATCCCTTTCATAAATGCTCCTTCCACTGCCCATTTAGCATTCTAAAATTGCTCTTAAGTTTTTTTAGATTCCTCCAATATATTGTGAATGCTGTTGATAAAATACAACTATTGTCCCTACTTTCGAGCCATTAATTTTAGAGTGACATGATTCTTGATTCCATAATCCTTTAATGCTTATAAATCGATTTCTTACTTCTAAATCTTCGTTATTTTGAGAGAGTTCTTGATTTTTATAAAGTATCCTAAAGTCTGCTTCATCTAATTTAGTTGTTTTATGAATTTTCTGTTTCAATATCGAAATCTTCATCCAACTATACATTTTAATTGTAAAATCATTTCCCTTTTAAACTTGATTTGAAATATGCAACACCAATTCTTTCTAAGCACGAGGGTCGTAAGGATTTGAAGAACAAAAGCCGAAACCTACTTTCATGACTCAATTAATACTCTCAAATTTCCTTTTGACCGAGCTTTATTTCATTGGTTATAATTTTCAATTTTTATTATAAATAATCTTTTAGTTGACAGAAAATAAATTCAATTACTTTTTTTTTTGGGAGACTAGTTTTCTATTCTGCCATCTGGGTAAGTGATTTCAACTTTCCCATCAGGATATTCAATGTATTTTACTTTATTAACATCTATTTTTTAGTATATCCCATCACTAAACAAAGTCTCTTCCCCTCCATTTGCAAAGATATACTTTTTGGTCCCATCAGAAAATCTTATCTATTTCTCACCATTTTAGAAATGGATTTCTATTTAGTTATTTTAAAATCGATATATCTAAATAATTTACAGTATAATACCTAAGGTCCATTTTAAATTGTAATTTAAGTTGTTTTAGCTTGCCCAAAATAATAGACAATAGTACCATCAGGCAGAGTTTACTTTTTGTCGTTATTCGTAAAATGAACAATAGTAAAGCCATTTGAAAATACTTCTCTTTTGACTCCATTATTAAACACCACTTCCTTTTTGCCGCTTTGGTATGTTCTTGAAATTTTACCATCACCAGACTGATTTTACTAAATTACTTTATCATCATGTTTCAAATATTCTAAATATTACCCATAATATTTATTATTTTGAAATTCAAATTCTGATTCATCTATCAAATCATTAATCATATCTATAGAAATAGTAGGCTAGTTTTTTAATTATATCAAATCAATCTTGATTCTCTCTTACTCATAACTATCTCCATTTTGATAACTATTTTAATCATCTCCATTCTAAGATTCATATTCTTCTTCCTCATTAATACAACCTTGCTTATTATGCATCATGGCATATGAAGATGTTTTATTTTCTGAAAAATTAGACGCTTTAGTAGAATAATTACTTTAAGGAGGAGATGATTAAGCAATCAATTTGTTAATATTATGAGTGCTAATGTTTTGATTATTGCTCATTTATTATAATTATTACTATGATTTCTCCAACTACAATTTTAATTCCTTAATCTCCTCATTTTATTAAGCCACTCTTTTTCTTAAGAAATCTAATTCTTCCAATTGTTTTGTTGTTAATTATTGTTACCTTTATTATTGAATAGTATAATGTTTTTTTGTTATTCTCTCAATTTTTTTCCTTTCTTCTTCCTTCCATTTCTCAAATTCCAATTTCTCTTATTCTAGTTATTTTTATTATTGAAATTTCATCCTTTACAATTCCTTTTGTTGCTGCTCTAATTGCTACCTCTCTTTTTTTAAATCATTTTTATCATCATGTTATTAAATAATGGTTTCATCATTTTTACTATGGTCCAAAATAGAATCATTTGCTTTTTGTGTACATTATTTACCTTTACCCTTCTATAAAAAATGAACAGGGAGTTTTTTTTGTTGTTATTGTTCAACTGCATTTTCATTATTCATCTTTAAGATCTCCTCATGTTCTCTCTTTGATAGTTCCGATCTTGTCTATGCATTGGATAAAAACTACCGAGTCCCCTTCTTTAAAAATTCCTTCTTATTCTTCTTCTCCTATTATACAATACCTTGATCTTATAATAATTATTCAAATGGCTTTTATGCTCCTTTTATTGGTATTTCATCAAAGATGTCTTGGTACTTATTTTACTGATGTTAAGGTTCTTCAATAAATTCATTAATGAATGAATTCTATGAAGTTTCTTGTTTGTATTCAAAATGCTTTTAACTTCTATTCTCAATTTGTTATTCCTTGACTTATACATTGCACTTGATATCATCATCTTTCTAATAAACATTTGTTACATTTAGGAATATTGAGCTGATTATAAAACTTGGACATCTCCTGCATTCTTGAAATTAAGTATTCTTCCAAATTCATAAACTACATATATGAAATAATATATTAATAATTTAAATGAACATCAAGCAATTCTTTATAAGTGCATATTCTATTCTCAGATGTATAAAAATGATAAATAGTAAAATCTACTCTTTCTAGAATTTAACTTGCAATATCTTATGGAAATAGAACTATAATAAATTATGAAGGTAATAATCTAAAATCATTTTAAACCGCATTGGGGTATCAATCAAGATGAGTATTAAACTTATATATAATTTATAAACTACATAGTCAGAAAAATATCTGATACTAATATTAATTTAGTATCTTGAAGTTCTATGATATTTTATAATATTTGAATTTATTTTATATATAAAAAGTTGTTACTTAATGTGAACGATTAATTAATATTTATATTTTCAAACTTAAATTCGCATGAGCACCAATTAATCAATTAATAGCAAAGAACTTTCTGATGAAGGTAATAAAATTATCCACCATTTGTATTAGAATTTATGAAACTTCATGCAAAGTAATTTTATAGAACTCATGGATAATTGATTGGCAGCAAGCAGTCCTATATTCCGATTCCAAAAGAGTACAATCATAATGGAAAATTCACTGATGTAATAATTTTATTAATTTTAGCACTTATTGATGGCCACCATGTATAGAAACAATAGTTTGAATACAACTTGTGATAAAGAACGTTGGATTAACGGTTCAAAAGATTGGATGGAACATCTATAATGAACTTATAATATCCTAATATCTATCAAAATCAGTTTATATCATTTTCAAATTAAGTGATATGTTTCTGAATTTTCAATTACTATTAGGTTTTTAGAAGTATAGTAAAGTACTATCGAATTTTGAGCAATTATATAAATATGAAAATATTCAGAAATACACTGTCATTATTGAAACATACATCCATCCAGAATATAATCTGATGGCATAGAATTACCTATTTTAATATCGCTTATGATGATCGCATTTTTATCAGGCTTCTATTATATCTCTCCACCTCCTAACTTTATTAGATATTCAATTTCAGCTTTTGAAGGTGTCACATCCACTTTAACAAAATATTTCCCATCAAAAATTTTTACTAGATTTTCATTTATTTCAAAATAGGAATCCCTACTTTATAAGATTTGCTAAATGCTGAATCCAAAAGTATTTAAAAACTCTTCGCTGTTGGGAATATAATCCTCGAAATTTTATATAACTTTTCCTTATTTAAGAGAGGTAGCCAACCAATCAAATGTTACTATTTCAGCCCCAAGCATCAATGCACTTAAAAATTTGAAAGTTCTTTTTGGAGGATTATTCAAGATTAGCAAGTCAAATTTCTCTAATTGATCACTCACAATTTCCAAACCTAATAATTTTAAATCATTTGATTTTGGTATTTCATGTTATTAAAATCCACTAAATGCAATTAAATGAATAATTTTATCTTTCTTTAATGGTCTTTGATTTTCCTTTTGTCTATTAATAATAGAGTTATGTTGCGAAATTAATTTTTTTGATGGTAATTCCATTGAATTTGCGTGTCTTATATTTTATTTTTATTATATCGGTTCTCCAGAGGTTTCATCAGAAATTTCATCAGTTATTTTTTTTAACAATGCCACTTTCTTCAAATCGCTTTTGCTTTGTTTTTTTCCTTCTTTCCCAATTATTGAGGTTAATTTCTAATTCTAGCTTTTCAATTTTATTGGAGTTAATTCTTTTTAATCTTAAGATTTATACTTATCATAAAAGATATCCTCGTACCTATTATTTAAAATGTTAGATTTAGGCAAGGTGAACTTTTTAATCGATTTTGGTTATTATAAAATTTATTAATTTGGTAATTCAGGCAAACTTCCAAAAAGATCACTTAATTCAATTTTTGAATTATTTTCTAATCTTGAAAATGTAATTTAAACATTGTCTGATTTGGTGCTGTTTAAGCGTTTAAAAGTGGATTCTTCTTACTTAACACTCTTGTTATTTTATTCTGAAGAAAAAGCTTTCTCCAAATCTTCGTCAATTATTGTACCTCTTTACTCAGCTTTTTTCTTCAAAAATTAAGAGTTTTGCATATCATCTGAAATGTTTTATATTTGAGAATCAAGAATTGTTTACTCAATTTGGGTAGACTAATATTAATGGTTATTAATTAACAACTATGATGTTTATTATATCTACGGAGTTTACTTTTTAGATTTAAATAGTTCACTAAATAAAGTTCTAGATTTCTATTATTGAGGTTCTATTTCCATGTTTTCTGTTTAAGTTGATGTATCTATTGTAGAAGAATTCGATTTTATCATTTAATTAATTCTTGGATACTGTGATATTAGTTCTTGTAAACTTGATAAGGTAGAAGAATCATGTTCATCAAAATTTAATGATGATGACACAACCTGATCTTAGGAACTTAGAATTTAAGTTGTTGAAACTTATTAAGTAGCTGAAATTTTAGTTATAATTTATTAAGGGCAATCCAAAATATCATCCAAAGCCATTGTACCACCAAATTCTTCTAAGGCTTATGTTGTTTGTAAGATGCATTAGTTATTAAACTAAGTATTGTCAACATAGTTAAGTAATTTGAACTTAAAGTTTTAAAAATAATAATTTCTAATTGGAACCATTTCAATTATGAAATTTTTTGGTATCTCGACCTTTTAATCCTGTTATAAAGTTGCTTCCTTAAAAACTTAATCTGAACTGCTGAAATGAGTTAAATACACATCATTTTTCAGTAAAGCCTAAATTTCTAGAAATTAGATTTACGACAGAGAAGAGAAAACCCTGAACATTTCTAATGAGGTGTTTACATTACTTTGGATCACTACCAAATCTATTTTCTCCTTGTAGCAATCTATATTTGTATATTTCTCTATCGTTTTGATCAAGGACTTATATCATGTATAAATTAAGTTGACTAAAAAATTAATTGTAAAATCAAATTCACTCAAGAAATTAACTAATTCATTTTTTTCTTTTATCAGATCCAAACAATTTCTAAAGATTAGATTGCTTGTTCAACTAATAATTAGTAGTAGTTTTAGGATAAATCATCTAAGTGATCTGTTCGGTCTTGATTCGATTATTTTAAAATTTGGAGCTTTGGTTCTCAGGCAAGGTAGCATTCCTCTCAGAACTAAGTTGCATTTTTGTAGAATCAATCATCAATTTAAGTGACTAATTTTGAATATATATAGCTTACTTTTAAATCAGGATGTGAATTTTATTGTTACATTGTTTTTGAATAAGCATGAGCTACTTTGGAAGAAGTAATTAGAGAAGCGGATTTATTATTATTATTTTAATTATTTCGTTTGAGGACATCTTAAACTTCTGATTTCCCTTAATATTTTTAAACTCTCCTCAGATCAGATGTGAAAACCTAGATTCCAACTCTTCCTGGAGAATTCTAATCTTCAGGCACACCTTCTAAATGAAGCTGACTTAAATTTATAACATTTGATCTTTTGGACTTGTGTTCTGATTTTTCTGGGAGATCTTCTCTTGAAAAATAAAAATTTTGTAGAATGAGATTGCCATGATTGTCATTAGTCTAAAATAACAACATAATGTTACATATTCTTTTTATAAATTGACATTGTATTATTTTCTAAACTCAGTATCTCCTTTATTAAATTCTTCTTCATCAAAATTATATTATAAAGGTTGTGGTTTGTAAGGAGGCTTGATTTTTTTATTAACTATGGCTTCAAAATCAGCATCTGCAAACCAAGGATGAGTAAGGATTTCTATAACACCTTAATTCTATCCTATTCTTTATGAAGGCTCTTTCTCTAGTAACGAGTATATCAAGTCCTTTAATTCGTCTGAGATTTGGACATAAGGAGGAAATTGAACTTATTCTGTCAAGATTGAGTTGTAGATTTCTTGAGTATTATGAGAATAGAATGGTGGTAATCCTGTTACTAATTCGTAGAGTAATGCTCCTAAACAATAACAATCAACCAAATAGTTGTGACCTGTTTTGAGAAGCATTTCTGGAGCCATGTACTCAGGTGATCCACAAAAAGAATAAGCCAACTCTTCTGGTGACATATTAGGTTTACTAAGTCCAAAATCACTGAGTAAGAGATGTCCATGCAAATCCAATAATATATTCTCAGGTTTGATATCTCGATAAATAATATTTTATGAATGTAAGTATGCCATACCAATGCAAATTTCAACAAAATAATATTTAGCATCTTACTCACTCAACCTCTTTAGTTTTCTTAGATGGAAGAACAATTCTCCTCCTGAACAATAATCAAGAACAAATGCAATATAAAACTTAGTTTCAAATGCAAAGTGTAATGGAGTAATGAATTAATTATCCATCTTCACCATTATATCTCTTTCATTCTAAACTATAATTTGCTTCTAATTTTCCATTATAAATTTCTTATCAATCAATTTGAGTGCATAAAATTTCCCATTGTCTCTTTTCCTCACCAAATACACTCTCGAAAACCCGCCTACACCTATACATTTGACAAGATTGAAATCTTTTAATGTAACTCTCTTGCCAGAAGGTGATTATGCCATTAATGGTTACAATTACAAAGTTATTCCTTAAAAGACGTTTAATGGTAAATTTGGAAGACTTAGATAGTAATCATAAGGCACATTCTTCTAAACACAATAAAACTGGCAAACCTTATTGATTTCTAAATTTTAGAATTATAGAATACCTTGTTAAATGTGATCTTCTTCAGTTGATCCTGTGCCTCCTCCTTGTATAACAAAAGATTTCTCAATGCTAGCTATTTGTTGGATCAAAAAATTGTATAAGTTATCAGTGGTTTTATTTTGATAATCAAATAAATAGTTGTATCTAGATATTGATATACAAATACTTTTGGTTCTTGTAAAATAATATAATTTTTAGTTGCTTTTTAGAATCAAAATGATTTGAGTCCTCGGCCCTATTCATTTTTTTTATGGAATCACTTCTTTATTGAGTGGATTGATTTATTGACCGTGGTTCAGTTGAGTCTAGTCTCTTGACCACCTTTTTGGCATCTTACTTATTTTTGGTTAAGATATATTCAATTGATTATTTTAATGTTTGAGATTCTTGTAACAAAGAATTTTTGTTTGCCCTAATGTTGAAATATTGTTGATAGTCTAAGTAATGATTATTTTTATATTGTTTTGCACTTTTTATTTGTATATCTTAAAAGTATTGGTCTACTGTTGATTTTGGTACCTTGTGATTGTTTTAAGGTGTCTGATTCACTTTAGCTTATAAGATAGGTATCTTCTACTACTTTGATTCCATTTGAATTGTAGCTAGGGAGAGATTCTTTCCCTTGAGGATTTATCTTTTGATGCTATTTCCCTCATCTGTATTAATCCTTTAGTCTATAGACAAAGGGAATTATTGATATTGGGCATTAAGTGTTTTAAGTCTTTCGCTCTTCTGGCTAATCAAATTGTCAATAGATCGATTTTATTGAAGTTATGTTTTAATACTATTAGTTACTTAAGCTAGAGTATTTCGTTCTTTTTTGAAGTATTCCAACAAGTCTTATTTAGTGTTTTTGGCGGTTGTTCTTTCAGTATTAGCTATTTTCGAATTACTTTTTTTGGGTTTTAACTCCATATAATAAGGAGTGTCTTATAAACTTCCTTTTCCGCTTGATTATAGTGGGTGTGACGCATAATTCTTCATTAACGATATTTATATATTTAATTATAACAACTATGATGGATGAGCAAGGCGTCTTCGTAAGAGATCAACTAGTCAATGATATTAAGTCAATAAAGAAGACACTGAAAAGTTGGACTAAAGTGTTTACTTAAATCATGGAATTATAAGTATAGAATTCTAAACAACAAAATCAGAATGTATTATCATATTAATACAACTTAGACCATTCTTATACAGCAGATATTGTCATACTTCTCAAAACCAAGCAAGAAACCTCAATAAATGCCAATCTCTCCTATTCGAAGGATGGGACATAAAACAGAGCCAGATGATTTCTTTCTCAGAAAATTAGAAGATACAGAGATATACAACAATGATAATCTTCAAAATGAACTAAATAATCCTAAAAAAGTGAACATATTCATATTTTAGATGTCAATTGTTAATTATTAAGGAACGCCATTTGATAGTGCTTATGAGAGTATCAACCGAGAAATGCAATAATATTATGAGCCTGAAAATTAAGTGACTGAGTAATCAGCAGAAGTATTCAAAAATTTCAACAAAATTGGGTAGTAAGGTATTAAAGCAACTCTCAATATGGAGGGTTTCTCATTACCTTAAAGCACAAAAAATAACACTGATCGTAAAAACCTTATATAACCTTGTACGCTTTCATCAAAACAATTATAAATCCAAGAATCTAAAGAGAATATGAAAAACTCTAAATAGCTTGATATGAAAAAGATTAAAATTAAAGATTAAAGATTATCAACAGTTGTTGAAGAACCCTCTGCATATTTAAATAGTTAATAAAATACCAAACGTAAAACTTCCTATTATTTTAGAGGTTCTTCTTAGTATTGGTGGATCTCAAAATATTGTATAATCCTGTTAAAATAAAAATTCCATAGCAGGATTTGAATTTTAAATCCCGCTGCAGTCATCTGTATCAAAAACTCCAAATAATAACACTAAACCCTAAAATTATTTTGCAGACAATACTCGATCAGGCTCCAAATCCTTGTATCAAAATAACTTTCCTTAAAACATCCAATATATCAATAATTCCAATAATAAATAAAACCCAATCAAATATGAATATCTTAGCTCAGTAATTATAAATATCTATATTATATTTAGAGAGCCAAAAGTTTTAGTGATCAAAATAGTAAGAGACAACCAAGTAAAAAATGCTTAGATTTGGAATTAATTGATAAATAATACGAAAATAGTTAAGAGATTTTAAAAAAAACTAATACTTTGCGCAAAACATGAAATATTATATATATATGAATGCAATACTAAATTCATTCTTCTACCTATTTTTTCATTTCTAACATTTTTTATTTCGCTTCTATTTTAGTATTATGAACTTATTATGTCATTAACGAAATAAATATTGGAACCATTATCATTGAAATACAAATTATAATTATGTATTGTAACTATTAATATATTAAAAACGTTTACATATCTTGTATCAAACGAGTAGCTTATTTCTTTTACATAATTATTAAAAAAGCCTTGTTGATCAATATCGTTGTGCATCCCATATTTTAATGTACATCTTAACAATCCTATGAAGGTGAAAAAGAAATTATCATGATTAATCAATTTTCCTTGTAAAGTTATAGACCAAGACATTGCACAAATACTAATTATATAGATTAAAACTAGTAACAAAAACCATGATTCTTTATTAAACTATTAGATTTTATGAGAATTTTACTCTAATCATAACTAAGCCATAGCATTTCAAATATGGACTCCAATTACCAAGAAATCTGACTATCGAAATCATCAAAAATAGTAGCAACACAGCAGAGTAAATTCTAGTCAATAATAGTGGCCCGAATAAAGTAGTAGTATCTTGAAATTAACTTGATTGCAAATCTATTAAACTTAGTGCATCTCCATATTGCACATCAATAGTCCTTTTAATTACTAATCCTAATTGACATATTATGTCTAATTTATATTTTATTATTACATATGATATCAAATATTAGAGGTATTCTAATAACGATGAAAACCACTTTTAGATTTATGATAAAATATTCACTAAGGATTAATTCCTTTTATAACATAATTCTATGATCTTGTTCACTTATTTCTTTCTTTTTAGCTTGCATTTTCTTTTTCTTGTTGAGTAATTCATTGTATGATAGATAGAGTTCAATCAAATGATTCTTGGTACCAGCTAAATATAATCCAAAAAAATCTCAAATATATTTATTTCAATACCAAAGAATGATGATATTAAGAGGATAATTGCGCAATAAAAAATGATATCTCTGTATATGATGAATGCACTTGGTTCTTCACTTAAGTCAAAAGCTTCAGATTAAATACTATTATAATTCAGCAGATTCTATGAATAGAATAAATTTAAACATCAGTGAAGAGATATAAGGATGTTATCACAACTTGGATTAATCTTTTTGTTGGACTATTATAATAATTTATTATAAATTTTGATTGCTTAATATTATATTAAACCCAATTTTCTTCTACTAATCTATCATAGCTTTCTTTAAAACTCTCTTTTGTACTCAGATTGAATTCCCATACATATCCACCAAAATTAGGATTGTATTATTAAGGACTGAAATTAGTCTATGTGTAATTATTATTAAGATCGTCTGTTAGAATATCATTATAATTTAAGCAAGACTAATTTTTTTCAACAAAAATCTCCTTTTGATTTTCATTCAAAATGTGACAATTATCAAAGTTTTCCTAAATATAAATTCATAATTACAATACCAACAAGAGTTTACACTAGTAAGGCTGATTTTAACGGATGTATTGGGGTAATGTGATAATCATCTGGAATAGTGAAAAGAATAAGTTCAGAAATATTGTTGATCGGATTAATGTAGGACTTTTAGATTGAAAATTATGAATTTAGAGTAGTGAGCAATTAACTATTAGTTACAAATTTAATTTCATCAACTTCTATCAAAACATATAGTATTAATAGAGATAAAAAGAGAAATGATTCCAATAGATATTTAAAACTTGTTAGATAGTCTAAGTATTAGGACCAATTGATTTGCTTTTACACTCTCTTTGTTTGTCTAAGCTATTTGGTCATAAGTTCATTAAGACCGTCAAGGCCAAAATCAGCTTCTGTGAATTTGGTGTCATCTTTAATCTTTTTCTATTTCACAATTTAAATCCCAATTGTTGGTTGATAGTTTCTAAGTAATTCATAAATAGGGGGATAGAGTTCATTAATTACATTCATATCTGGCTATAATAAATTACCTAAGTAATCCGTATAAAAGACTTCCTTTTCTTCTGCCATAACACATGACTTGACTATTGATTTGAGTTCTTTGAATGTTTTGATATGTAAAGGGATTCTCACTTCGAATTAAGATTCTCCTTATCTCAAAGTAACATAATAACCATTTTCGTTTTTCATTTCTTGAATTTCTTGTTCCTCTTATTCTTTAACCTAAGGGTTTGGTTGATCCAAGGTCATGACTAAATTACCTACTTATTTTGATTTCTTCGCAATTTCTTACTCTTAGATGGCTTCTAAATATTCCTTCTTGCTTGTATTTAAAAGGAAGAGATGCAATGTATCGATAACATTTTTCTCTATCGTTTCATCAAACCCTTAATTTTAATCAGTCTATTTATCATTTTTCATTGAATGAGTATGTCGATGAAAGTCCTCTATCTATTTGACAAGTTGTTCAAATTCCTAAGTTGACATTATATATTTTTACTTTCTCTGCCCGACCAATTTCATCAAAGTAAACATCATTAAGTTATTCTTCTTGTTAATATTCTTGAACAAGTATTTTCAGCTCATCTTTTAGAGCATCTCTAGTCTTTTTGAATGGGGCCAGCTTTTTACTATTGTATTGATTGTTGCTCATTAAAAAATTGAGAATTTTTAGGTAATTTGAGATTTTATTGAATTGAAATAATATAAAAACTAATAAGTATATATAAATAATAATCATATTATTGAGTTCAAGTATGACTTAAATGATTCTTAGCTAGCCATTAATTAGGAAATATTTTGTTTTATCTTGTAAGACTTCATCTCTAAATTGACTTTGCTTGAAATATGTTTGTTGTTCTTTACTATCCTTTGATACTCTTGCTGCAATTCATCATGCTCATCAAATAAATGTTTGTTTCCTCCAATCAGATTCATGCATTTCTATAATAATTTAAACATGTCCTCATTTCCCTTTCTTTAGTCATTCTTTTGTTTCTTAATTAAAATTTACAAAGTATTCAAGCTTTTCTATTTTAGAGCCTATGATTTTGAACACTACATATCTGCCTCATTGTCCTATGTCTTTTGCTAGGTGATTTAGTTCATGCTTTCATAGAGCAAATTCGAAAATGCTTTCTCATTGAATGAATACTTTGGCCTATGATGAGCCATTTTTGCCGGAGGAGATTGTGCTTAAGATTTTACCTAAGTTTTCTTATGCATCTTTATATACTCAATTAAATTCCTCATCTATGAATTACGATGCAAACGAGCATCGATCTAACTGGATTTTAGCGTTTTAGAGTATTTATCCAAAAATTCTAATTTAGAATTCACAAATTCCAGACTAACTATACTCAAGTCATCTAGCATATCATGTATTTTCATGACTAATTATTTATATTCCTCATCTAAGCATTCACATTGCGTAAGTATTGATTACATTTATTTTAACGAACAAAAAATATTAATAATGACTAACATTATTGAGGAATCTATGATAATTAATCGTCTTACTTCTCCATAAAAATTAAATAATCCAAATTAATCCCCCTTGCGTCTAACTCCAATATTACCCAACTCCTATAAGCACTCTAGTAGATAAAGCAGCAAAGCCAATTTACTGGATATTCACAATCATAAAAATGTAGATCAATAAGATTCAGACAATGTGGCTAATCCCATGAGTAGTCAAGTCGATTTAACATAAGATGAAGCCAAAGAGAACGACATAGAATTAGATGTCAAGCAGGTCTTAACTGAAATCAATGATCACCAAACTAATTCGTATTAAAATCTGGATGAAATTCAACCTGATATTCAAGCCTAACAGCCTCAATTAATTGTCATGTAAACTGCAAATACTATTCAGAATTAGATTCAGAAACACAAGTAAATAATCATTAAAAACCCTCACATTGGTAACACAATCTAAAATCAACATCATTAAAAACCATAACAAATGGTGGAGAAAGAGGATATTTCCCAAGACAACAATAAAAACAAACCAATTGATAAGCAAATGATAGAAAATTTAAAAGAAATTTACTCATTTTACTCCAAATAAGCAATTACAACAAATAAATACAACACATTTGAGAAGCTGCAATAATTGTCAAACATTATGATATTATAAAAGTTTATGTTCTTCTGTAGGGATTTTGACCTGATTGATTTAGAAATTAACAATGATTTGATTTTAAAACTAGGTGGTAAAATAGATGATGTAACAAATAAGAAGAAAAATCAGTTTAAATTTAATCACAAGCAGAATTTTATCCTGACGAAATTTAACCTAGTGGAAGTTTACAAAAAAAATGCCAATTCTCAAATGGAGTTGACCAAAGAAAACTTTTAAATTGTTATCATAAAAATTGCCTAATTGATTTTTCCTGATCAAAATGAACTCTTGTATGAATATTTGGGTTTAAACAATCCCAAATAATATAGAAAGAAAATGCAAATCATAGGTAAGCCATTTAATTCTAAGGAACAAGGTGAAGTACTTACATAAGAAAAACTGTATGAAAGAAAAATTTATTTACCTCCGAAACCGAAACTAAGAGTTGAAAGTGTAAAAAAAGAGAGACTAGTTATTGAATAATAATTTCCTAAGGTTAATTTGACTTAAAGATGCAAGAGGAATTTCAAATAAATTGAAACTGCTTTGAAGGATGGAAATGGACTTAATTGGAGTGATTTAGATGATTTATAATCGCATTTTGATCCTAAAAAATTTATTTTAGAATAAGATTTAAGTGATAAGGAAGATGATTATTATTTATAAGAATATTCAAAACATGGTTAAAGTTTAAAAAAGAAAATATAAGATTAGATGATGAATTAAAAAGAATTATAAATTAAGATTCCACAAATCTCTATCTATAGCAATATCTTGAGTTCCAATCACAAATAGGATAATAAAACGAGCAATATTATGTTGACTTCTGGGAATACTCGGCCTTCAAATAATAAATCATTTGATTTGCAAGAAAATTAATAAAGAAAACAATCAGTTGGATAGTCTCCATAAAATATAGAGCAAACCAGTTTGGAGAAATAAAATTAAATTTATAGGGCCTTTTTGAATTAATAATCATATCGGGAAAGAATGGTTAATAAAAAGAAATTAATCGTGATTTGATTACTTAATTAATAATATAAAATGCAAGTTTAAAACAATCAATAAAGAATTTTCTTTCTTTGGGTATTTGTAAAGGCTGAAATTGGAAACAGGAAATGTACAAAATGTACTACAATCTTTATATTTAAATATAATTATTACATAGCAAATTGAAATTTTATTAATTATATTTCATTAAGTAGAAAATATTATGAAGGTGGAATCCTCAAAAAATAAGAGAGCCAAGTAAAATGCCATACAAAATCATAAAGAAGAGTCAATTAGAGAAATATTGGGATTTTACATTAACTAGGTTGATTTGAAATCATTTATGAAAAAAAAAAAAATTTTTGAGAAGGTTGGAGATTTGGTTGATAAACATTAAAATGAGTTTTTGAATCCTGCAGAATTCCAAGAAATTTAGGATATTTATGAAGATTATAATATTGGTGATTTAGCAATAGTATTTCCAAATCCTGATTATGAAGGTTATACATAAAAGGCTGTAACATTTAATGAAGCAGCTACTATTTTCGATGAGATTTTAACAGTAATGACAGAGGAAGTAACAAAAAATTAAATAAAGAAAGAAAGGGATTCATTTCTTCTCACTTATTTGACACTTGATGATCTTATAGATAATTAGAATGAGGGGTAGGTTAAAAAGAAAAAGAAATTAAAACAGAAGAAGGATCCTGAAAAAAAGAAGAAGATGAACAAAAACTAAAACAATTATACCTAAGAATTTGCTCAACCTAAAGACGAGAAACCAATAAAGATTGAAAAGAGTTCTTATGAAAAATATTTGGACTTCATGAGGATCTATCATAAATAGAGAGAAGAAGAGTTAATGAATGAAAATGAAGGGTTTGATATAAAAAATGAAAAGGGATTTCTGGATGAAATAGGTGTGGGATAATAAGACTAATAAAATGTTGGCCAAAAAGTAATTGATCCAATTAAAGAATTAATGAAGGTTGATGTTAATGATGATAAATAATTTAAAAGACTCAAGAAAAAATGGTCATAAGGAGGATATTTAGTCAAAAAGATGTGTGAAGACGGTGTTGATTACGATTGGATATCAAATAATGGAGCTCCAAAAGATATGATGACTTTGATTAGATTTACGATTTTAGAAAAGCTCTCAAGAAATGGATATTTGCATTGTCGTTAATTTGTATCTGGAACTGGAGAACATATATATATAGTAATAAAATCAACTAAAGAAGTAATCTAAAGATAAGCATAGAATATGAAAGTTACAAAATAAATAGAAATGGGTTTTGCTGATTTATTCTCCTTAGAACCAGTTGATGCAAACTTTAGACCTTTGCGTCTTAAGAATTATATAAAATAAATTATGGGTCCAAATTACGGAGATTTGAAAGAAGCAATGGATTTAATTAAATTAAATGAAAAATTCCATTTTACAACTTTGAAAGAAATAGATGAATATTGTGAAACTAATTATAAATAAGAAATCAAACAATTAAAAGATATCGAATTAAGAGCTATGGTAATTAAGAAACTGGAGCAATTAGAAGAGTATTTTAAGATTATTGCAAAACAATTAAATATTGATTAATCTCATGAGAAAGTCGAATTGAATTCTGATTATTCCATAACTGATGAAGAATGGTAAGTGTATTATATCTATTTGGATCTGCTTTCGAAGTTGTTAAATCTATTGTAATTGCATTATGAGGAGTCGATAAAGGAAGCCCATTTCCAATTTAGGGATAATTTACCCTTCTTATATAGATTGATATTCGGCAAAGCATTGAGAAAAGCAAATGAGATTTGGTATTCAACTCATAAAAGTTGTTGGTCAGACTTATTAGATGAAAAGATAATTCTTAGAAATATATGGGATATGCTTGGTATGGAACCAGCAGCACCATATACATAATATTTTTAATTGCAAAATGATTTTGGTAAATAGATGTGGAGGAAATATGAAATAAATGAATTAAAAGATAGATCAGAATTTAATAATATGGAAAAGATTAAAATCACTCATGCCATCACATTGAAACATGTGAATATGTCAAAATTGTTATAATCTCTTATTGCAGTTGGGTATTTTCCTATTCATGATACATATGCTCTATTTGGAGAGGAGAAAAAAGAGAAATTTATGAAGAAATTAATTGAATAGGAATTTATTATGGAGAAAACATTTGAAGGCAGTAGACAATGTCTCTTAGAATTGTATAGGGATTTACAATCATATGCTGAATCTACAGATTTCGATTTTTAAAGTGTTAAACAAGATCTCAGAATAAATTTTAGATGTCCTTGGTACATTCCAGTTCATCATCTTAGAGATTATTTTGGTGAAAAGATTGCTCTTTATTTTGCATTTCTAGGTTTTTACACTTAGTAATTATGGTACATAGGATTGGTAGGTATACTATGCTAGGCTCTATTATCAGAATCAACAGGATAGTACAAAAAACCAATAGTAATTCTATTCTCATTTACAATAGTTATTTGGAGTTCCCTTTTCATAGTTTATTGGAGAAGAAAATAGTTTTTATTCAGTGTTTAATTTGGGTAGTTGAATTTTGAAACAGGGGAAGCATTAAGACCAGCATTTTAGGGAGATTTCTTAAGATCTATTACTGATGATGATCTAAATGAATAATTCTACCCTCCAATAAAAAGAAAAATAACTTAATTGTTTGGTTTGGCAGTTAGTTTCTTAATCATTTTATGTGTTATAGGATGTGTGTTAGGAATTTTCTTTTTCAAAAATTACATGATTGAAACTAAGGCAGATCCTTTTTTCTCTTAATAATTGCCTGGATTACTAAATTCAATACTAATTGCTGTGTTTAATTTCATTTATCAAAATCTAGTCATGATCTTCAATTCACTAGAAAATCATAAGATCTTATCATCTTATGAAAACTCTTTAGTGGCTAAAGTCTTCATCTTTCGATTTGTAAATACGTAATAATTCAAATATCATTTAGTTTTAATTCATTCTTTATTATATCCTTTCTGAGCAGTTACTTTTCATCATTGGAATTATGCAAGGTCAATGATGGCATCTCTGATTGTTTTCAAATACTATCTCTTCAATTAAGCACTATCTTCATTTCCAATTTCTCTGGATTAGTTACAGCAGTTGTAGTACCTTATGTTCAAGAGAAATTGATGAAGAAAATGAAGGCAATAGATGAAATACCTGTTCCTCATGCTTTTAATGATATTGACCCCTTTATTGAGAGCCAATTTGCATTATAACCATATCAAACAAATGAAGAAGTGGATGGAAGTGTTAAGGATTATATGGAATTAACAATTCAATTCTGTTTTCTTGTTGTGTTTGGAGTTTCATACCCTGCTTGTTTTATTTTAGGGTTCGCACAAAATGTTGGTAAGATCCAAGTAGATAAAATCAATTTTGTAAGTTTGTCAAGGAGACCATTTCCTTAAGGAGCAGCAAGTATTGGTAATTGGTTGGTTATTTTGGACATTATTACCTTTTTTGGTATTCTTTCTAATGCTGGCTTATTAGTCTACACTTCTAATTCTATAGAAGACAATAAAATTGAATTCTTTGCATCGATTTTAGTAATCTTTTTTGCTTTAAACTTCGTAATTAAAATACTTGTATCTCCAGAATCTGAATCAGCTACTTTATTACTCTAAAGACATTAATACATTATTGATAAGAAAATAAAAGTACTTATTAAATGTGATCATTGTAGGGCTTTACTTCCAATCAGAAGACAATCTTTGACAGATCCAAATTAAATATATAGATAAAGAGAGTAGGCTATCATTTATTTAATTCTGGTGTTATCAATAATGAATTTCTAAAAACTATTAAGGGAGAGAGGGGAAATGCAGATGATTGAAATTATATTAATTAATTAAATATAATTACATAATTTATGTAAAAAAATTTGGAATAATAGTATTTTGATGCTTTGGAAAAGAATCTATTATTGGAGAAGAATAAGGAAGAATAGGCTAAATAATAATTTATAAATGCAGCTAATCAAATCAAGAGATGTTATAGATCATATAAAAAGAGAGAGAAACTTTAAGTGAAAACCAGATCCATAATTTAAATTTAACATTTTTACAGGAGATGGATTGCAAAGAAAAGAAAACATAGACTCATTCAAAAATAGAGATAAATGAAAATCATACGACCTTATTTTTTAAGATTAAAAGTATTTAAACTAATACCATCATTGACTTTAACTATTCAATAAAAATAAACTCTTAAACCTCTTGTTAATTTCATTCTTAATTTTTCCAAAATTAAATCTGCCAAAAGAAGATTCTTTATACTTTCACTTATCAAATTCAAGAAAATATAAAATTAGAAAACTCAAATAAATTCTATGCTCTCTTAATATAAAATCAACTATTACAAACAACAAATAGATTATCAACAAAAAAAAATTGCCATCCTAAATGAAATAGAATTTATCAACAATATACAATAATTGAATAATAAATATTTTGAAATAGGACTTTAAAATTATTAAAAAGAATTAGAGTAATTTATTAAATCTAAAAGTCACGAATCAGATTTTATTGAATTAAAAGATTAAAAGGGAAATTTATATTGGTAAAATCTCAAGACTTTAAAAAAGTTCAATGTTAATCCTATTGATCAATTGATTCAAAATAATTTTGCTAAAGTTGAAGATGAATATGTTAATAAATATTAAGAATAGGTTGTGTATTTAGAGGAAGGAAAAGAGGAGCTGTTACATCTACTATAATAAATCAAACCAGAAAAAATTCCTTTTCCAACTTTGTCAGAATGAGTAGTTTTAGAGTAGAGCCTGATTGGTAGTATGATTGAATCATCATAAATATTTCTTAATTTGTTTAATTAATTACTTTTAACTTATATTTCTTATAAACTATATAAATCTTATTATACCTAATTTTCTTATTACCTATATTAATTCTATATTTCTAAAGATGGATTAAATCAACTTGTAAGGAGAATTAACGCATTGAAAATGGAAAACATGAATCAAAAATTCAAAATCAAAACTCTTCTGGAAGCAAGGTAAGTCGCATTAGGAAATAACGAACAGATCATGAATCACGAAGAAAAGATATTATAACTTAAAACAATTATTAATAAATGAAAAATTAGTGTGATAATCTGATTTATAAGAATGAATCGCTTAATGATGAACTGTAATTTGAGAGGTATTAAGATAATAATATTGTTGTAAAGACACAAATTCTAAAATTTTCCGTCCTTTGATAAGAGGGATTTTATCCCCCCTAATTTCTAAGAGTAGATTAAGAATTTGAAGAAGAAATTAGAAGTAGATTTTAAGAATAACAATCAATTTTCACAAGAATTAGAAAGGATTATATGTAATAAATATGAAACAATTATATAATTGGATTTAGATAAATAGAAGCTGTTAACCAAATTGAAACTATAAACAAATTCATGTATCATAATCTAGGAAGAAGATTCTTAATAAAATGTTTATGAATTACAATAGAATCTAGAATAATCAAGAAAATAGATAAAAAAATAGAATAATAACTTCGTGAAAAATAATAATAATTCAATGAATTGATTAAAAATATCAACAACTATTCAATTAATTTTAATAATAATAATAACAAATTCTTTAATCAAACAAGCAAAACCAACTTTATTAGATACTTTACACAAATCTATTATTCAAACATAACAAAGCTATGATATACATTAAAGCCATTTTAGAAAGTCAATAATCTAATCAAAATGAATATATTTTTTATATGATTTATAAATTTTAAATGAAATCATATTAAAAAACAGTCAAAAAATTCAAAAAAAATATATATTCTCATAGATAAATTATCGCAATATAAATTCTGGAAATTTTAGATCAGATCTCCAGAATAAATTATTTCTTTTGAGTGCATTTCTTACAATAAAGCCTTTATATGAATTTAATATGACGAATTATAAAAATTAATTAGGCTGAATATTGAAACGTCTGAAAAAAACGAGTCAATAATATTAACTTTAAATTTATATATTTTCTAGATCGATAATATGAATATTAAAATTTCATGCTTTCTTTTCATATCTCTTTAATATATCATCCACACTTTTCCTAATATCATTATTTGAGTAACTTCTAGTTTGTCTTTGCCCAGTCTGATACTTGTCAATAATTGATTAAGAGGGTCTATTTTATGAAGGCCTAGTAGGTTATTAAGTATTTGTAATATTGGCAGGATTTGGATAAGATTTCATAATTTAGCCTTGAGGATTATTAAAAGTTGGGAGGTTATCTGTTTTAAAATGTGGTGATCGAGGACTCTCCTAACCATCTTGGGTAGTTTGAAGAAAGCTAATAGTAGGATTAATATTACAATGGTTGAGTATTATTCAAAGGTTAGATGGGAGGAGGTGAAACTGCAGGATTTTCTAACATGTTGGCTTTTCTAGTTGTAGGAGTTACTGATGAGCTTTTTCTGGTTGGTTGATTTTCATCCATTAATTTAAAGGAAACTCTTTTCTTTTAATCTTTAGGACTCAATGTAGAAGTTCTGTCATCTTCAATTACACTCTTTCTTAATTTAGATTATAGTTCTTCACATCTCCATATTTCGATAGTTAATAGCTAAATATGATTAACATGTTATACTCTTTGAGAGTTTAAAAAGTAACTATTTTACTGTCCAATCCATAATAAGTATCGATTAGTCTTTGAATCAAAGTTATAGCCAAAGCCATTGGCATTAAAATTATTTTTGGATTTAGATCTGTAAATGTAAAAGTATGGTGCTAATTAGAATGCAATTATATTATCAGAATCTTTGCCATCCAATTGCCATTATTATTTATTGTAGATGGCTATAGTTTATTTTTTATTTGTTTATTCGTCTTAGAATGTTGCCACAAATAGAATTTGGGTTTATTGCATGAAGGTTAGGATTTCTTGAAAATTGATGGATTGTAAGGCTGATTAATATAATAATGTTAATTATCCATGTCTGTGTAACTCTGATGTTGCCAATCCCATTATAGCTAGCCATTCATATTTGAGACTAAATGAGTCTTTGTCAATTTTTGCAACTCTCATTTAATTAAAGGGTTTTTGCAATAACCTGTACTAAAGGTATAAACGAATCAATTTCTGAACATGTGGAAAATTGGCTTCCATAATTGATAAAAACTCATTAATTTTCATTTGTTTTTCTTTGAAAAGTGAGTTAACCAAAGTTTCCAAAACGGAGGCATCAATTTACTGCTTTCTGATACAAAAAGTTAAAAAGATAGACGTTATTAACTTAAAAAGTTAGAAGTTATTTCCATACCCCAATAAATTAGAATGCTTATTAAGCTGTGATAATTTGTAACTATGAATCGTAATTTTCCATGCATATCTACAGACAGACAGGAGTGATATCTGTAGTACTTAGTACGCCTTAAACTATTGATCAATTCAAATATTAATTACGTATATTGATACACCCTTCCAAGGGCAAGGGGTTAGCTTTTAACTAGGATTGACAATACTCAAAGACTTATTATCCAAAGAGGGGATTATCTTGGAATATTCTTTCAAAACATTATTAATCTAAATGAGTTGATTGGTTGCCTTCTTGCGAGTGCTTTAAAACATCGCATAATAAAAACACTTCCTTTTTATCCAGAGTATTAGATGGTTATCTGATTCTTACAGAACAACAGGATTAATTATTGCCCATTTAAAATCGATGATTAATCAATAATATAAATATTATTATTTGCAAATGTAGGATATATAATAGCCTCATACATCAAAGCTTGAATAGGAGTCTGCCACAAGTGCAAAAAATCACTTATCCTTGGTGACTGTAATTATCTCACTTTACACTTAGAATATTACTGATTTAACTAATGAACTGCTATAAAATTATAAATAGGATATCGATCAATTGAAATAAGAATTACATCTAATGAAATAAAGGATTACTAATAATAACGAAGAAATTAAAAATACAACTTAACCAACTTTGGATGCCATGTTACGAGATCTTAGATAAGTATTTGATACTCAAATCATTAGGCCATCAACACTTAAAAGGATGAAAATTCTAAATTGCAATCATAACTAACTGAGTTGAAAAAAGAAAAAAGTCAGATACAACAATTAATATTGGCTGCCACTTAAAAGATGGTAGCATTGGAATAGTAAGTAGGAAACTACACCTCCTCATGATTTATAATTATTATTGAACAAAATCATAACAGTATCATATTTTTATTATTGCTTTCTCCTTAGATTCTAATGCTTTCTCAAATTCCTCTAATGAAAACTACAATTAACAAATCAAACTTACAATTTGTGTAGGCAAGGTCTTGAAACATCCCTAAATGTTATTTAAAATTTCATTCATCATCAACTTCAATTGAATAATGTTTTTACTTTATAAAATATCTACAAAAGAAAATCTATTAAATAATAATCACAATTACCCAAATATTTTTTTATTTTAATACATTAAATTAGCACAATAGATTCCTTCAAGTGATTTTTTTGAATAATTCGCATACAGATAAGCTCTTGAACCATTGGGCATAAGATTCAATATTTTACTTAATAGATCACCTCCAACTGAATCAAATAGAACTGTTGTACTACCTATTAATATTAAGTAGAATACCTATATGAAGAAGCCATCAATTTGAGTTTTTCTTCAAAATCCTCTTGATTAAGATTTAATATAAGTTTTGCTCCTTCATCTTTTAATTGTTTTTCCTCTCCTTACGATTTAACAATATTAATCACATTAATTCCTTTAGATTAACAATATCTCATTAACATTCTACCAAGATTAGTACATGCACCAGTAGACACAATTCCAGATGAATTTCCAAGTAATTAATACATCATTAATACACTCATTGGATTTATAAAACTACAACAACCCTCTTAGAATGTAATATGTTTAGGCAATTCAGCACAATAATTGACATCTGCTATTGCGTATTAACCAAAAGCCCCAAATTAATGTTCTGTGTAAAATGCTACTCGATTTCCTTTTAATTACCAACCTAATAAACCACCACTTAATATTTAAAATTCTTTGTTACCCTGAAGCTATAACTGTGCCTGATCCTTCAAATCCAGGAACAGCACTTACTAATGGTTTTTACCCAATTTTGTATCCATTAAGAAATTCTTTGTCAAACGGGTTGATGGGAGCACACTCAACCTTAATCAATACTTAACCGTTTGATGGTTGAGGAATAGGGATATCTTTTAAATTGATTGAGACATTGTCCTCAATATACAAAGATTTCATCATTCCACTCATTTTGTATAATGAAAAATTAAATAATTAACAAAGTTTAATTCAATAATATATTGAACGAGAAATCCCTCTTGTGGTAACATCCAAATAATTCTTTTTCTTGGGATTATTTTTATCTTTCTCTTTGCCAGCCCATTACACAATCATAGGATACTAGCCTGGACCTGGAACTGGAACTTATTTGGATTTTGTTTTTTTTGGATCCTTAAATCTATCTTCTTTTCCAAAATTCTATAATTTATTAATTGATAATATTAACATGCTTATCTGACTTGTCCTTCTTCTTTGAGAGCTATTACAACTTGTTAAAGGATATGTATTCAACTGGTTCTGGATTGTAGGTACCAATATCGGGTAAACATGACTTGCCTCTCTTTCTTTCTTATTCTTTGTGCTTAGCAATTTGATCTGATGGCTTAGTCTCATTTACTTTTAGTTTCTTTTCAATTCTCTATCAAAATCATATGCAGATCTTACATGAGGATTATAATTTCCAGGGCCTGGATTGATCACAGCTAAATGTTAAATTTCATTCAAATAAGTTGGTCTTTCAACAGGTCTATTGAGAAATCATTTGAAACTATTACGTTATTTTTTTTTTCTTATCTTCTTCTACTTATTTCAAAACCTCTTCAAGAGTAGGTATCACATTGTATTTGCCAGCTCCAGGAACTCCTCTTAATTTTGCTTCTTTGAATATTTAGTCTATGAATGTGCATCTATTTAAACATATTTTTTGAATAAATACCTCTTCTGAGGAGCACTCTTTACTCTTCCTTCTTATTTTAATGGAACCCATGGCTTAACAATATCATACTTGTTCGGTGCAGGTAACTTCTCATATAGCTTTTACAAGTCTTCCAAATAATGACCTCTTTTGGTGACGTGATTTCGATTTTTTTAACCTTTAACATGATGAACACAAATTACCTTTCTTCTGGGTTAAGAATTTTCTATCTTCCATTTATTTAATTGGATCAACGTACTTTTTTGGGGCTTCATATCCCTCAATTCCAAAAGCTGATGTTTGTCTAGTTGCTATTTTGAACATATCCTCCATAGGAAAATCTAGATTTAGTAATGACTCTAAATACCGAAATTAGGTGCTGCAGATTACGCTCTTTACATTTTATATTAATATTTAAATATAACAATAATTTTCCTTTTTTCAAATCATTTTAGTTATACAAAGGGTTAGATATAATTATGAAGATTCTAAAATACAGTAATAAACCATTGAATTGTCAGAATAACAAATATTTAAAGCATCTTTCTGAAATGTAAAACAGAGAGAGTTCAATAAATTTGGTTATTAGATCAAACAATATATATAGATCTAGAATAAAAAGGAAATGAATAATCAAAACGAGAATCTGAAAAACTCAATATCTAAAAGTGTAATTTATTTGAGAATTGTTAAATATTGATAAAAATAATAATAAATAATAATTGATTGAAATGAGTTAATTATCTACTTCTTTATCTAAAATATTTGGAATCATATTCGTAAGGGCATAGGATGGTACAAGATTATACTCAAAATATTATCCTTAATTGTTTCCTAAGAATTTATTAAGAGTACCAGAGGGTGTACTTACTAATATTGACGTGTAAAAATAATTTGAACATAATGTTTGGGAGAAGGGAAAGAGAGTTGGAGCTCGTTTAACAAAAGGAAGTGAAAGTATAGATGATGATTATGATTTAAAGCTGAGATATTTCAATACTGCTAGTTCAACATTGTAATGAAGGCATTTAATGAAGTCCACTTGTTTGTATTGGGTGATTTTGAAGAAAATGAGATCATATTGTCTTAAGTCATAAATGGAATCTACGAGTCATTAAATCACATAACAAAAGATCATATCAATAAGAAAACTTTATTGGAGAACTTCGATTAAGTCATAATTATTATTGATGAGATTTGCGATCAGGGGTATATAGTTATATAGAATTATTAATATTAGAATAATTATTACAATGGATCCATCAGTGATTATAGCAAGAGCAACCATGAGAGATACTGAATCTGTAAGTTTAGATAAATAGGAAACTAGTGGTTCTACAGGAGGAGCCTTTTCATCAGTATTTGCATCAGCCAAGAGAACATTTGCTCAATAATTTATGGGATCTGGTTGAATGTTATTTTAGATGTTATTATTATAAGACCTATGATTAAGTGTTCTTTAAATATTGTATAATATAAATGAGAGGTTTGTTACTTAAATTAAATTACAGAACAATCACTGCTAAAATACCAAAATGAAATGGGTCTACAAAGAAGCTAATATTGAAGTGCCAGTTGGCGTAGCCAATTCTAAAATTCGTAGGCTAATAAAGATATATTGAAATTGATAGGTATCATTAGTTGAATGACAAAACAGTGAAAATCTATTTCAATAATTTGTTAGCAACCTTTACATAACTATTGGATTAATGCATTACTGATGAATTTAACCAAAAAGTTATAAATAGAGGATTTTTATATGCTACTAACATGTTATGCTAAAATTACCGCGGATATCGAATCTGATTAAAGAGCACAAATATAGCAATTAATTATAAATTATTCGAAGAAAGATAAAGCTCTATTTGGAGAACAACCAAGATAAAGTTTACTATATATTAAAGTAGAATGTAAATGCTCTATAGTTCAATCACAAGTTTGCCATCCACTAAAAAGTGAATTTTGGGATTGATATTGGACCTTTAAAATATTATTATTAATAGAGAGTTGAAACCATTCTGAAAGAAAAGGATAGATAGCAACTAGCTAGAGTATAGACTGGACAGTTGTTATGCTTAAAATAGTTATTAGCACTCTTGAGGTCATGCATAATAGCAATATTATTCTGGAATAATACATTTGATATTCGAAAAGCTACTGCATTATCTAGAATTGACTAACAACTTATAATATTTAATAAGATATTTGAAGGATATCACGATTTCTCTCTCTATGATAGTGTATGCGATTATTAACTAAAAGCAGCTAAGGTCTTCGCCTAGCTTAGTGAAATTTAAGGCATTACTTATTGATTTATGGCTAATTTTATATTCATTATTATTAATTAATACATTAAATGTATAACCGTCCAAGTTCCAAACCTAGATATTAATAACAGCCTACTGTGGATTCAATTAATCTTAAAGAAAAATAATTATACTTATAATCAAGCAGCATAAGTAAATCAACTGATCATTTATTAAAATTCTAGATCCATTAACAGGTGCCGTCTTGAGACCTGATTAATAATACAATCAATAGCAGTAGAATAATAATGCTAATTTTGATAAAAAAATAGCCTTATAAGCCAGCTCTATTAGTATATTCATAATCAAACCTTAGATCCTCTTACTGGTGCTCCTTTAGTCAGAAATCCAATTAGTTATCAAACAGAGTCAATCTAATAAAAAAACACACCCTATGGTGTCCAATAAAATGCAAATAGCTATACCACATCATCAGGCTAAATAGGATCTGGTGCAAATACTAATGATGCCTAATTTCAAAAGAATATGATTAAATTTTTTGCAGCTGATGACCCAAATCCAATATAATAAAAATCTCAATAAAAATCCAATAATGCCTTACCATCAGATCCTTAATTTTAAAAGAATCTGGTTAAATTTTTTGCTGCCGATGATCCCTCTCAACCCCAGAAATATAATAATCTTAGACAGAGTAATTCTAGATCAAATAATTAATATCCACAATAAGGAAATTAGTAAAATCAAGGATAATAGACAAAAATTTAAAATGATCAATAATTTCAACAAAACTTAAATAGATTCTTTGCTGCAGATGATCCTACTTAAATTAGAAAAACTCCTTCTAAAAATTAGTATCCAAGTCCTAGTCTTAGTCAACAGAAATACCAACCATTTAATGAAGCTCCTCCTGATCCAAGATTGGTGAATGATCCCAGTTTCTAAAAAAATCTTAACAAATTTTATGCTGCTGATGACCCTTCTTAACCCAAAAAATAGGTTTCTAAATAATCTCAATAATAATAATAATTAAATGCTATTGAGTAAAATAAACTCTAAAGATTAGAATAGGATCCTAGATTCTAAAAAAATCTTTAACAATTTTTTGGAATAGAAGGTGTATCTCAGCAATAAAGGAATGGCTAATAGTAAATCATTTTCTTATTATTCTAGAAACATTTAAGACACTCTACAGCAAAACAACAATAAATCTTCCAAAGTAATTGCAATTACTGATAGCAGTTCAGCAGCAAGAAATCAAGTGGCAGGTTTCTTCAGAGCAAGAGGTGTAGAAGATTTTGACGTATTTACAAATCCTGGAGGAGTCTTTGGGTTACAAAATAATCCAGTTTAAGAGCAAAGTTTGAAGTATTACTTAGATACAATGAGCAATGCATATATCATTAAGGAAGTTTATATCATTTCTGTTCTTGACAACAATAGTGTATATTATATATTCATTATTGTAGAATGTAAGAATATACTCTAGTTTGAATGATAAAAGGTCTCATTAGATAGCAATCTAAGATTTAAAGACGGTTTTGGAGAATAAATTTAATGTTTAATAAAAATTGCATGGAATCATTATAGATTAAAGAGGAGCATCAGAAAAAGCATTTTGAAAAAAATAATCAAATTATCAATATAAATTACGATTCGTAGCATTTTTAAATTTTTAGGGTAAATTGTTAAATCTTTATTTAACTTTATTCATATTAAACAATGATAATTATCCTAATCTCATTAAATCATTTTTGTTATTATTTTAGAATGAATGTTTATTTGAATGATATTCTGTTTTACAAAATCTATTTTCATCAGACTTTTTAGTATCTGAATAGATATTCTTGTATCTTGATTAAGTATTAGAATAAGTGTTATTTTTTGTAGATAATAAGGAACTTAATAATTGAGATTTTCTATTTTTAAATTCTTATCTCTCAGTTTTGTATTCATTTACTACATTTGTGGTTTAAGTTTGACATTATTTTATGAATTCTTGCAATTCTTTCATAGAAAACATTTTCTTCTATAATCCCAATTTTTGCAATGAAGTTTGCACGTATTATTCCAATCTCTGACTTTTTATTTTATCTTGTTCCAATTATTCTTTCAATTTCATTCTCTCAAACTTAATCAACCTTTCATAATCTTAATTACTGAAAGAACCTTCCTAGGCTTCTTCCTCTGAGAATTATTCAGATATATCATTTGAACACATTTACAAATGAATTGGCCTATGATGCAAAGACTTTCTTTGATTGTACTCTTAATATGCTTTAGTTCTCTGTAATATTGAAATGCTTGTGATTATATTGTGTAACCTTTAACTTTTAATTTACATAGAATCTATATATTCCTCTGGTTTTTGATCTTCATTAAAAAATGTATCTGATCTAATCAGTTACTTTTTCTTTGTTTTATTCTCTTAATCAAAATGATGGTGCTGAATATCTAACTTTTATTATATATTTTTATCTAGTTTCTCAACTATTGGCACCATTGAAGTTTAAATTCTTGAACATATCTCTGAATAAGCAAAACTATGTTAAATCAATATTTTTACTTGCATTTTGGCATAGGTTCTAAACTATATTTACAAGATTCTGTAATCATTCCTTAATCTATTTTCTTTTGTATTTCAGATGATTTAGTCATTGAAGCAAACACTTTATTGCATTTCCTACTTTGTGGCATTGCTTGACTATTCTTGCTGTTCATCATCTATTTTCTCGCAATCAGAAGTCTTGTTAAATACTTTAATTTTGGATCAAATTGTTAAGACATTTTTAAAAAATCTTAAGTATATTGCAATCTCCGTTAAGTATAAAATTATATTTCCTCCTTGGTTAAAGCTTTTTTCTTGTTTCTCATGATTTATTAATTAATATTATAAATCATAATTTGATAATTATTCCACTCAAATAAATGTCAAAATATCACTAAATTGCTTTTTTAGATCTGAGCCCATTTAATTCAACATATATTGACCCTATTTAAGCATAAAAGTACTTATAATAATATATATAACCTTTATTTAATATTATATATTTTTAAATCAAATCACTTTTCTCACATTAAAGGTTTTAATATAAGTATAAAAAATTAATCAGATATATGATAATGTATAATAATTAAATGGATATATTAACTAATTAAATTTATAAGAATATTTTTATGTTCTATAATTTATTAACATAATCACTAGACATTAATTTTTTTGGATGGCTTAAATTCTTATTATTCCTGTTGAATAACTAATTTAAAGTATAAATTCTCAAAAAATAGATCAAGTTCAAATCTTTATTTCTCGATATTTCTTAATAGCATCACTTGCTACATTGATAAAAAATTAATATAAAAGCAAACCATTTGCAGAAAAGTAAAGGGAGAGTTATTGGATAAATTATTATTATATTTTGAATGAATTAAATTATATCTGTATGGAAATATGATCAAATTATAGTTTGGTCTATATTTCAACCTTCTAAAATAAAGCATCAATAATTTATGCATAATGGTGATACTAAAAGTACCATCTTAAAAGTATATTCTATTTTGCTATAATTTGTAATTGTTCATACTTCAATTCAAGTCTAAATTTTTGCTCACGAAAATTTTAATTTCTGATACTTTTTGTTACTTTATCTACATTGATTAATTTAATGAGTAATTTGATTCAAAGTTAATGTAAACATTTTAGAGTATTTATTTGTCAAAATACTTTAAATCATTATATCATAGCCCTTAAAAATATTTTAGAGCTTACTACTGTTATGTATTTTTCTAAATTTATAAGTTAAAACAACTTGAAATATATAAGTTTTGTATTAAATTACATATCATTATACTTTTCTAATTCCTAAAAGTACTTAATTTTTGCATAGATTTCAAAATATAACTGAAAAACAAATTCCTTAATTGTTATTTTCTATAATCAAATTATTTAATTACCTTGAAATAAATTTGGTTTTGGAGTAGACTTAGAGTTGAAATAGATAGATTTTGAACAACTATATTTTATTTTCAAAATAACCGATATTACTTAATATTAAAATATGACTTTTAGCAAGAAAATAAATTATTTTTTCTCAAAATAATTATTCCAGAATAATATGTCATAATCAAAAAGATATTTTGAAAGTAATACCAATAAAAATGACCCAAATTTACTTCTTCATATAGGTTTTATCTAATCAATTTTGAAAAATAAATAGATGAATAACTTGTATATTTTAATTAACTCACTTATAATTTATTAGTTAAATACTAAATCTAATGATTTATAATCACAATGCAATTTTCTTTAATTGAAGATAATTAATTTAAGATTCTATGAAATACGCAAAAATTTCAGACGCCACTCGAAAAGCTTTCATTGATAAAGTTAAATAAGGGGTATGTACAATCAAGTAGGCAGCTAAACAATTTGGAATCAAATTTTCAACAGGAAAAGCAATACTATCTCTATACAAACATGAAGGAAGGGTAGGGAAAAAAGAAAGGAGGACAAGAAGATTAAAAAAACATTCAGAAGAAAAAGAAAATTAAACACAGAAATGTTTGAAGGATGAACCACCCGTGGAAGCTAAATAAGTGTAAGTTTAGGAGGTTTCGAACTGCCAAAATAATTAATCATACTTTAATTAGTATTCGTCTTAGTATTACAATTACAACTATCAACAATGGTATTAAACTCAAGCTTGGCTATAATACATGAATGGTCTTTCTTCAATGAACTGTTATAATTACAGAAACATATATTGATTATTCATAAATATTATATTAAATGTAAAGATTCAATCACCTATCACTCTCCTCTTATGTTATTTACATTAAAGATATACTTATCTAGATTATTTAAGACCAGAAAAAGAGAATCACTTTATAAAATAGAGATTTAAATCAAATTAATTGAAATATTAATAAATTCAATATTATTTCCAAAATTGCTATTATCCAAAAAAAAAAATCAATTATAGAGAATCTAATAAGCTTACATTCCATTCTCAAATTATCTAAACTATTAGAATTAAAAGAATCTCTTGATAACATGCTGCACATCTTCAGAGGTGAAAATTTCTCGTTCTATAAGTTAAGACAAAATTAAAAGTTCCTTATCAGCTTTATTATCAAGAAAGGGCACAATAGGTATTCCATTGAAAGGTTCAGGTCTTACTATAAATTATGATCAATACATAAAGCATTAGGGATTGTTATCAATCAAGATAATTTTGGTTAAGTCACTACTAATTATTTTAATATCTTTCACTTAAGTGTTATCCTGTAAGATTGTACAATGATCTCGAAAGAACAGGCCTTGAAAAAGATCCTTTTAAGGGTCTAGGATTTGCATTATCTTAAACAATAATTAATTGATATTTACAGTTGTTGCATATTTAATATTTGAGGATGTAAAAACGAATAAATTAGCATGCTTATTTAAAGTTTATAAAAACTGTGAGCAATAAGGTCTGATGAATGTTCCAAATTAAAGGTTTTAAAAATCGTATCTTCTATTTGGTTTTAACTCTTCCGAATGTACAAGTGTTTCATCTAGATCAATGGCAATCGAATATTTTTTAGTTAGTACAATATTATGCATTTATTTCTTAGAAATAAAGGTTTAGTCTTTGCAAGTTACATTTTTGTAGATTTGGTTTAGTTAATCTATACACATTTATTTTAAATTTTAAGAACTTATTTCTTTACTTAAAATTTCCTTAATTCCTCCTATAAAATAATCATTATATTAAATTTATTTTGTCAATTAATCCTCAATTTTTTATTATTGATATACATGTGCTCTACTACATAGGTCTTTTCTTGATTTGTCACCTACCTTACCTTTTTTATATTCTGAGTCAGAAAATTTATCGAATGCTTTATTTATTTATGAGGTTGATGCTCCACAACATTAAAAATCACCAATTTTTTTAAAAGCGTTGTTTGGACTTATTTACTTAAGGGTTTTTAGGCAATTTTCATCAGTCTTAATTTTAGAGGTTGATATTATACTTTCTTAGTCAATTATGGTAAGGATAAGTTAGAACAACAACCTTAAATTTTATTTCTTTAATTCATTTACTATGAATATTTAATAAAAAAATGGTATATTAAATAAATATAATTAAAGTAAAGAGCACTTTTACTTACCTTTTTTAAAATATTTATTGGTGATTAAAGGAAAACAAGCTAATCATATATGATGTGTCTACTTTTTCACATTTAAGTAGTTTTGTAAGTAAATTAATCAAATATTTTTATTTAAATAAATTTCCTTATAATTTTAAAACATAACAATTAAAGTATTTATAGATAGAAAACATGCAATGGGAGAATAATATTTTAGATTTTAATTCATTTTAATTACTTTAAAGAAAAAAGTTTTACTTTTAAATATAAATGGGTCACCTGATCACGCAAGAACAAAATTTTGATTTTTAATTAATTTTGTTTATTATAAAATTTATCCAAAGAAAGTAAAGATTGGTTATTTTCATTCCGGGGAGAATATAATTTTTGATTTTAATTATAATTTATTGAAAACTAAATTTTAGAATATTATTTATTGTTTTTTTAATAAATGTTGATATATAAAAACAATCCAATCTAGCTTATAAGTTCAAACCATCTAGATTATGCGAACAAAGGTATAATTGTAACTATTTACCATTACATGTATCCCTTCTGCTTAGTTTACTCAAGACGACCATGAGGAGAATAATTTTTTGGATTCATGTTTTATTTATTTTTTTATCAACTTATACATAAACGAATATATAAAATTATCTTAACTGCTTTACACATTATCAAGATAACTCATTAAATACATTATCACAATGTTTTTGCAAAGGTATTCTATATTCTGTAGTATAATAATGATATCATTAAAAGTAATTATGCCATTCCATTTTTCTAGTATGTTCTCAATAAATTGTTTATTAAAATAATAAATATTGATTCAAGAATTTGGAATTGGATTCAGAAATATTTGATTACAAAAATTTTATTAAAGAAACATCAATTCGGATAATTTTATATTCTTTTCCAAAAGTTCTAAGGAGATTTCCTATTTCATCAAATTAAATTCCAGGGAAAACTTGAAGAAGGTTTTGAAGGGACTTGTAATTTTAATATTGTACATTAAACCATATCTACTATCAGTAGAAATGACTATTTAAAAATTAAATTCCATTAACTTGGTATATAAGATTAAAAATAATAACTTAATTTTTATGGGGTGTTCTGTCACTAAAACAAAAGCAAATGAGAATCTTAAAACAAATACAACAGACAAGTTCGAATCATATTTGATAACTCAAAGCCTTGTACAAACTCCGCCAGTACCAATTAAAAAATAATATTCAATTGAAAAGAACCCAATTATATAAAGAAGAAGATTAAAGTCTTAACAAAAGACAAGGACTACTTCAGTCGTCGAAAAATAGGATTTTTCTGTTTGATTTATTTAACCTATTTTACGTTTTGAATAAATATCTATTCTTGGAGTATTTAAAATATATCTACTTATCATCAAATACTTTAATTTAATAAGTGTTTCATGATTGAAAAGTCTTGAAAATCATACATTTTCCTCACTTCAGATTTATAGATGTTTCAATTTAACGCATATGAATTTGGCACATTAAAAACAACATATTCTATACTTCTTTATTAAATTGGAAAACCGAGTCAGGAACAAGTAAGCTTGTGTACAGAGAGTCAGAATGCTTTAAAAATTTAATATATTTCGTTTTATAAAATATTTCATAAAAATAAAAAGTTGATAAAATAATGTTAACTCGTTGATTTGGAAAGTTGGGAATTGGTTTTTTTCTCTTAACAATTTCAAGTGTTATTTTTTTAGTAGAATTGTTGAAAGTGACATTTAGATGAAAATTAATATTCAAATAATATATAGTTCGTAATATCCATAGGTTGGGTCTAATTTCCTTGCATATATGGTTTCGATATGCTCAAGTAACACGATTTCGGCCGTGGTATAAATGATGCATTCGTTGTCGTAAAATGGCAAGTGGCCTCCAATCATTTTTCCTTCAGTATCAGATAAACTAATATGAATATGTTATCCATAAACACTTATTGTTCCAACAAGAGAGACAATTTCAAAATGACCATTGATTTCTGTAAATTCAGGTTGATTTGCAAATCTAATCGAGCATTTCAACAAAGACTTTAAATAAATTTTAAGTAAATACTCCAACACAAGTCGAAATTGAAGCTGCCTTTATTTAATTTGTTTCAATGTATTATTATAATTCTTTAACTATATTTTAATTAGGACGGAATCTTAGAGTATGTGATCTAACTTGGCTTATTGAATTTGCTGAAATTATCGCAAAGAAAATGCTGATTAAAATTATCATTTACTAATTTAATTATTGAAAATATTATCATAAAAAATAGAATGTTTCAATTTGATCAACAATTTCCAGACCAAAATGATTGAGACCTATTTGCATTAATTTTATTATCACCATAATTTATCCATTTCGATTAAAGCAAATAACTATGCAATATTAAGAATTTATATTAATAATAATAGGAAAAGATGAGGTATAGGTTTTCAAAGCCGAGCAACAAAGTCATACCTTTAAATAGGAATTAAATTTAGTAGTTGTCAATCCTTTCTCTGCTAGCCATTTTTGTCTCAATGACATTTCTTATTCTTTCTCAAGATAAAAAGTTGGAATACAACCCTAATGATTATATAGTATTAAGAAAATTTGAAAGAAACTTGGAGGTTTCAGGTCACACTCAAGTATTCAGAAGATTTATTATCAAAGGGATTGCATTTTCTTAATTCTACTCATTTAATTGAATCATGTGGATCATATGAGAATTCAGAAATCCATTATATAAATTTGGATCTGTTGACAACAATATTCTAAAGAGTGAGTCTGGACGATATATATCAAGGTCAGGGAGTGGATGTAATTGATGGATAGATTTATCAATTAACTTGGAGAGAACGTATAATGTAGTGTAATTAGTAATATAAGATTCTTGAGGGATCAGGAAACCCTTGAAGTTTTGGAGAATAGAAGGCTAAAAATAGAGGTGAATGAGAGTCTGGGGATTTCGCATTCTTATGATAAAGATGATACATTAGAAATCTACATAACGAATGGAACTGATAAAGTGTTGATTCTAGACTCGGAATTCCTTTTGAAATAGGTAATTTAGGTGCAATTTAATAATGGTTCTTCGGTAGGAAGATTAAGTGAGATTGAATTTGTCAATGGAATTTTGTATGCAAGTACAAATTTGAATCCTATCATTCTGGCAATTAATCTAACAGATGGCTATGTGTAATTATCATTTCAGTAAATATAGGAAAAATTATTATGATTTTTCTTAACTAATAGATTTTTCATCTGATAGGGATTTGAGTAATTGTATTTGTGGGATCGCGTACAAACCTGAGTAAGATCTGTAAAATTTAATTTCAATTGTTTATAGATTTTGGATAACTGGAATGAATTGGCCTTTTTTTTGGGAAGTCGAATTAAATTGATGAATATATAAGTCTTAATTATTATCTAAAATTAGCGATAATAAAATTAAATGGGTTGTTTACAACCAAAATAACACACTAGAATAGTACCAATGCAAACTAGTCATAACGATTCTGTTTTTACTTCGACAACAGACATCCATTCTCTTTATAATTTCGGTAAGGTACTTGGAATAGGTTCTTTCGGCAAGGTCGTCTAAGCTACTATGAAAAATAATTCAACCAAATAGTATGCCATCAAGATTATAGACAAAAATAATCTTCATGGAAAGGAAGCATAATTGGCGAATGAAATATATACACTCAAAAAATTAGATCATCCAAACATAATTAAGTTTTATGAAGTCTATCAGAGTGAATTATATATTTATATATGTATGGAATATTGTGAAGGAGGTGAGTTAGTAGAAAGAATTGCAAAACAGCAGATAAATTTAACTGAACACTAAGTATAAAGAATTATATCTAAAGTAAAATGTATTCGTAATTTAGATATTATCTGCTGTCATCTACATACATGAACAAGGAATAGTGCATAGAGATATTAAGGCTGAGAACATTTTATTTACTGAGTAAAGTCTCTATTCAGAACCCAAGTTGATTGACTTTGGATTCGCAAATAAATTTGATGTAATACATAGAAGAAGAAAACTAAAGACTTTTATTGGCACACCTCTCTATATGCCTCCAGAAGTCATTGAAGGAGATTACGATGAAAAATGTGACATCTGGAGTCTCGGTGTTCTTCTTTACAGTCTCCTGTGTGGTTCTCCTCCATTTGTAGGACAGTCTAAGGAGAAATTGTTTCTCAATATACGATTGAAGGACGTGAAATTCGAATCTAAAGTATGGAACACCATATCTGATGATGCCAAGAATTTACTTTGTTAAATGCTCTCCAAAGATCCAAATCTGAGACCCTCTGCAAAAAAGTGCATGGATCATCCTTGGTTCCAAACCAAATAAAATCCATCATTATTGCTTACTGACCGACTTAAATCTGCTCAATTACAATAAGATCGAACCATTTATTAAATGCTAAAGACTTATAGAGGAGGGGCCAAGTTCAAAAAGGAAGTCACCAAGGTTCTCATTAACTAGATGAATGAATCCGATTTACAACATCTAAAATAGATATTTTCAAAAATTGATGTCGACAACTCGGGAACTATTACTGTTGATGAACTTAAATCAGCCTTAATCAAGGAGGGATCCATCGTAACTCATTGGGAAATTGAGCAATTAATTTAGACTATTGTTTTAGAAGAGGATGAAGGCATCTAATTAATGGGAGAACATGATGGAGCCCAATTCTAAGAAACCAAATCTCCAAGACCATTAATGATTAAATATACTGATTTCTTAGCTGCTTGTATAGATCAAAGAAAAATATTCACTAGAGAAAGAGTATTTATTTATTGATTTATCCAATAGTTATGGTCTTTATTTAAGTATTTCGATACTCTTAATGTGGGTCACATTTAAAAGGATGATATTAAAGAAGCCTTAGCTAGACATGGAAGACAAATTTCGGAAGACAAAATTAATTAAATGATCAATGAAATCAATCCTAATCATAACAATTAGATCTCGTTTGATGAGTTTTGCTAAATGATGTGTGATCAAGGAGTAGATAAGACTATGAATATCAAGGATGAATTCAAAGAACCACCATCAAGAGTCGATTGATTTAAATTTCAATATTATTTATAATATAATTCCTATAATATTTTAATATAAAATAAATTCAATGACTCATAGAATATTATAAATTGAGTAACTATTACTAAGTATAATGTAGATTGGTGATGACTTCGTTTTTCTCAATTATTGCATTCTATAATTGTCTTTACAGAATAGCACTATTAGTGACGTGCTAATTTATGCTATATACTAATCCATCATTTTCACTTTTTAATTAATAGTATCTTTTAACTAAATTCTTATAATTAACTCTTAAGGTTTCTGTATCATTGGTTTTATCCAAAATGAATGTATTTTATTCCAACAATCTCATATTTTCATCTCCGTACTCTGATAATTTATTCAGTAATCGTTATTGCTCCAATTCCTTTTTCTTAAATTCGTTATTCACATTTTATAACTCATCTAACTGTTTCTATAATTATTGATTTCTCTCAACATTATCACTCCTCTCCTTTTCTAAAAGGTTTTATTACAACTTAAATGATGAATCCAATTACTATATTTATTGTTTTTAATTCTTCAACTCTTCCCCTAATTTTGAATTGTCCTAGACTAATTATTAGCACAATCTATTTTTTTATTAATACAGAGTATCGATATCAACTAACTCTTATTCTAATTTTTGATATCTTATTAGTTTTCCATTTAATATTTCAATTTCTAATTCTTATTTTAAATTAATCTCTTGTTATTGGCTTAGCTTCTTTGATTTAATCTCACATTCATTAGTCAAATCTTCAATTTTTTTTTTATATGAATCCGAAATAGAATTTTAGGTTTCAATTTCTCTCCTGAATTACTTCTAAATGATATTTATTTCATCATCAATCTTTTTTTGATTTATTAGTTCAAAATGTTTAGCTTGACTATCAATATCGAATTGATGTTTATCTTTTAACGAGTTTAATAGTGAATACAATCCTTCATTTTAAATTAATAGTTCTGAAGCATTTAACTTTAAATTATCCAAGTCCTTTTGACAATCAAGGTACTTCTATTAAACCTCTTAATAATTTTTTTTCAATGTGTTATTCTCGTTATTTAACTATTTGTTTTATCTTTCTAATTAATCACAGTATTGCTTTGTTTCATATTATTCTTACTCTTTGAAAACATTGCTCTTCATTTTTTGGACTTAATATTGTAATTCTTAATACTTCTATTTAATAAGTTCACTATCATTGTATTGGATCTATAAATCATATTACAATTAATCTATGATATTAAGTAAGAAGCGTATTTCGCCTTAAGGGTCTTTGATTTGCACTTCCTCCTTATCAAAAGGGTAATGCTCTAAAGATGATGAAACATTGGCAGGAGATTGATGAATGACAGGAGATTGATGAAATTTATGAAATCTAGGACTTGTGCTAATCTTATAACTGCATTCTTGAGAGGAGTTTAATAGATCATTCTCATACTTTCCTTTCTTGCTACCATATTATTGAAGCTTTTCTATTAGCTACGATTCACTCATGTCAGTTAATATTATAATTTTAAGACTAAAGAAATTGAAATAATAAATAGTTAACTTAAATAATAGAAAGATCAAGTTTAGGACGTTGTTTTTTTACATTTTCTTATCATTAACCATTTTACTATTAACCAATTCAGATTGGTCTTCTTTGAATGAATTCATTTTGAGTATCCCCTTGTCATCTCCTTTTGCCTTACTTTATAATATTCTCAATCATATTAAGAGTGCAATTGCCAAATTACTTGAAATGTTCTTGCTATCTATAATTTTGTGTCGAATTTAAGTGTAAGAGATAAACAAAATTATTATCAAATTTATTTAGCCATCTAAAATTCAATTATTCTGATCTACAATATTAGAAGTAGGTATTATATGAGAACGATCTTGAACTTTATCGTTAGTTTAACTTTATTGAAAATAATTAATTAGAGGACTTTGTTCTATATTATTGAACTCTAAAATGGAATAAATTGAATTACTTACTCACATTCTTATTCAATAAATACCCTCTTTTGTTAATTATTTGATTATCCAAATCAACATACTTATTGGTTGTGCAATAGATTGAGTAACCTAGTTCTGTCAATTAGTATTATATAAATAATACTTAATTTTAGAGATATATTGTATACATTTAGATGGGTCAAGAGTGTTAGAAATGCCAAAATAAACAAGAAGGACATGCAAATGAAATACATAAATAAGAAGTAATTAGTTCTGATTCTGATCCTGAATATGAGGAAGAAGATGAGAAACAACCCTGTAATAAATATGGAGTAATAATTAGAAAAACCACCTTCGATGGATAGCAAGTCTAACACTTCTACATTTATTAAGGAGCAATATAATTCTCTAGAATCAAAGCAAGAGTAAATTGAGAGTCCCTTGAATCAACTTAAATTTTAGGATGGTGGAATCTATACAGGGATAATAATTAACAACATGGCCAACGGACTTGGCAGGTTGGTCATGACTAACGGCGATGTACATGAGGGCAGTTTTATTAACAATAAATTAGAAGGAGATGGGAAATGTATTTATGCAAGAGGACCTATTTACACTGGCCAATTCAAATAGGGAAAGTCCTGTGGATTGGGAATAGAAGTATGGCCTGATGGTTCTGTTTATGAAGGGGAGTTTCAAAATGGGAAAAAGCATGGAAAAGGAGTTTATAAATGGAGTTAATAAAGTACGTACAATGGAGAATGGGCAGATAATATGATTAATGGGATTGGCAAATATGAATGGCCTGATGGTAGGGTAATTATTAGTTATTTAGAACATAGTCGTATTAGGGTTAATGGGTAAGAAATTAAATGCATGGTCGAGGATTTTACAAATGGATCGATGGGAAATATTATGATGGAGAATATGAAAATGATAAAAAGAGTGGGTTTGGTATTTTCAACTGGTCTGATGGAAAATAATATTAGGGTTATTGGCTAGATGGAAAGTAACATGGTAAAGGACTTATGATTAATAAAGAAGGGAAGAAAAAATTTGGAGAATGGTAAAATGGCAAATTAATAAGCTGTTCTGATGAATCTAATTTATAAATTATTCCAGATGGTTGGTTTCTAAACACTTTTAATTAATGATTAAATTTTACTTGTATATTTTCATTTTAAATAAATTTTTATTATCATTAGAACAAACAGATAAAAACAGAGTTCTAAAAGAATCTACTTTTCATCCTTCGATCTAGAATAAATTTGATTACTTTAATTTTTCATTCCAAAAAACAATTAAATTCCATAAATAGATAATAGCACTATTCATTTTAATATACATACACATCCTAATTTATAAATATTCTAAATAACGACTAACTTTCTACATTTCAAAAAATATGTGTACCAATCGCTTTTCAACATTTTAGTACTACCTTTCTCTTTATTTGTTGAAATATGTGAGTTTATTCTGGTATTTTATTCAATTAGTTCCAATTTAGTAAGAAAGTAAGTTTGAAAAAATTACATTATATTATATATGATGTTATTTCATCAATCGAAAACACCTAAATGATGGAATCAAGTCAGTGCTTGTTAGTTTTGACTTTGACTAGAAGCACTTGCTTTATTTTCATCAAAGTTCTTTCCAATCCATCCAATAGAACCTTAATATTTTGGCATTATTATAATTTTTTTAGGGCCTCCTATTATGACTCTGTGTCGTCTACAATACTTGAAAATATTTCTTGATATAGAGTGTTTATGGTGCTACTATTTATTTTTTTGGTTTTTCTAATCTTCTTTTTGGTGAGAGGAATCGAGGCATTGAAGTACAATTTGTTAAATTCTTGATCATCTGAGGGTTCTTCTATCTACTATGACTAAATATAGTAATCTTGGTTGTTAATTTCATTTTCTTGTTTAATTTTATGGCATTGACGACCAAACATTATAGGAGAGGACGAGAAATCGAGATCTTCATTTTCATTCCAAGATTATTGAGGCCAATCTTCTTCTGTGGATTAAAATTGATCAAGATTCATTATTATTTATTTAATCAATTATATAATTAAGCTCCATTTCAAAGATTGTGAAATTTGGGCATAATGCGTAATATATTAGATTTAATTTAACTCCATATTTATAAAACCAACTTAAAAATTTAAGTCAATTAATTCTAATAAGAATGATGTAATTTTTCAATAATAATTAATTAGATAAACAAAATTATGTCAAATCCAATCCCCATTGAAATTAATTCTGATGCTGATGAATTTCAAAATTGCTTTCCCTCTAATACTGGATCCACAGCCCCTTAAAGCCTGTATGACAACTCCAACATTTTCAAAATCTTGCCTTCTCAATAATTTGTCGATTAATTGGAATAAGTAGGTATTGATTTTGAATTAATTGAAGATGACGAATTCGATTTACTCAATTAGGAGATGAAGAATGAACTACAAATTGATAATTTCAAACCCTCCCTCTTAGAAGCCTTTTAAGTTGACATGTATAATGAAACCATTTCATTTTAAGGTCATCCTATATTACACATGAAAAATTAACTAAAAATTCTAGACGTATGCAATACGAATACGAAAATGCCAAACCCAAGGAAAGAGAGTATGTTTTTCAGACCTTTATACTAAATTACATCGTCAATCTAAGTTTGGACAAGTATATGCACTACATACTGGAAAAAATTATTGAAGTGGGTAAGTGTGTCATTTATTATGTAGGTCCTCCAAAATATAGAAATATTATTTTAGATCAAATTTTCAATAGCATAAACAAACTTATCACTGATCTGTATGCCTGTAAGGTGATGCAAAAGGGATTAGAAATTATGGCCTAATTCCCTCAAGATTCATAAAATTAATTTTAAAAATATCTCAATTTTATAATAGAAGATAACAATTTTATGAAAAAATTATATACTCATAAAATTGCCAACTAAATCTTCCAAAAAAGTTTAGAAGTTTTTGATGGCAAAAGTTTGCATTCTCTTTTGCTTAATTTGGATAAATATGTAATATCTATAAAATAATTCTTAGATATTAAATATTAATTAAAAATAAATTGAACTTTCGACTGACCAATATGGATGCCTTATAGTAAATAAAATAATCGAAATATTACCAAAACAAATAGACTAAAATTCAAAATAAGTTGCAAATAGTATAATCATGAGAGCCATTGAGAACTCCTCTTGTTTAGTAAGAAGACAATACGCAAATTATATCATCTAACAAATTTTAGAGAGAGGCTAAGAATGCCACAAAAGAAAACTTCTAGACGAAAATCTCATCAAAGATTTTGTATCAATGTCGATGGATAAATATGGAAGCAATGTTGCTGAAAAGGCAATCATTTACTCAGGACCTTAATGGAGATAAAAGCTTTGGGAAGAAGAAGTAGCAGTCTCCGAAGAGTAAATCCAATCCATTAAATTAGGTCTTTTCGTAAATTAGTAAATGATTAGTTTGCCAATTACCCCATATAAAGATTGTACGAATATCTGACTTAAGAGTATCGAAATGAATTCTTTGGATATCTATAAAAATTACATGAAAGCAACTTCTTGAATCATCACGGCCAAATTGTTTGGAAATTTGCCTTAGTCAATCTAAATATTAACCGATTTGCTTAAAGAGCTAATAAAAACTTAAATCCCTAAATCTCTTCTTTTTAAGAAAGGAATATCTAAATATCACAATAATAACTTAATTAACAATTTAGCACCAACAATCAGTATTAATAATATTAATCATTTTTATAATAGTAATAATATTAATAGCAATAATAATAACTTATGTATAATTATTGGGTATAACAATAATAAAACCCATCATAATAACCTTTTGATTATTAATAATATCAAGCATTTTTAATGTAAAATACAATGCTGGTTTAGTAGTCACAATAAATGTATCCATAACCCTAATAATTTTATCCAAATTATTAAAATTTATAATAAAATAATTCTTAAATTATGTAGACATTAAAGATGGTGTAAAACCAATCTGACTGACATTTAAATGACAACATAAAAAATGATATTAATATTTTATTGCACAGAATATTTGTAAAATTATAATCTTTATCAATTAGTTTATCCTTTTTTCATTTTATAACACAATCAATCTATTGAATTTAAATGTATTTTGCCTTTTTGATAATCAGTATAATAAATTAAGAAACAGAATTTATTAGACTGCAGAATTATTAATATCGTTTTCATTATTAATTAAAAGATGATAGAATTAGGAGAAAAAAAATATATTAAAGCTAGTTAAAGAAAAAAACATCATTAGGTGTTAGAATCTGATGATTTCTATAAAACTATCCTCTAAGAGTAAGATGAAAACTCATCTTTTATGAATTGCAAAAGAGGACCCCAAGAATCCATCGATGAAGAATATCTTTCTAGATAAATCAAAGCACCATTTATAAAGTGCTTACCTGATTTTCAAGAAAAATAACATCAAAATTATTCAAATTAGGAGTTGTCGGATTAAGAAATTTGTAAATTGAAAAGTTATTGGTCTAATGAATTTAAATTGAATAATTAATAAGTGGAATTGTTAAATGAAAATTATCTTTTAAATCCTGAGAACGAATAGGAATATTAAATTATCGAAGTTAATTCATTAGACCCATTAACAACATTTTCTTCAAATCATACTGGTTTGACTATTAATGAAATATACAAATAAAATAAAAAAAATTCATCTTAAATAATTCACAAAGGTATTTTAAGGAAAACTATTTAAAAATGAATATTTTAATTAATAATATAATTTATTTTATTACTTTGATATTTGATATTTTCCATCTCACATTTGAAATACCATAAATTAAAATTATTTTGGAAAATTATTTAATTCATGAAATCTCAATTTATATTGATAAAAGTAATACTTTTGCAATTAAACAATTATTTCGAAATAAATATACCATTATCAATATGCAAGAGAGTGCAAATCGGAGTCTAGAGAGAAATTCAATTGATTTTTTCTTAGTTCCATTCTGTTCTTTTGTTTAATGATTCTCCATTTTGATTTGGAAATGAATTATTGAAATGCTAGAAATAAGGATGAATTTCTAAATCAAGTTTTGATTCTGTTATTTTACAGTTGAAATAGAGGTAAAAATTGAGTTTGAATTTTAAGTTTTATTAATTGATTATAAATTATTTTCTTATTGTAAAAAATTAGAATTAGTTTTATTTGATGATTTTTATACAACTATTAATTAAACAACGTGCACATTATTAATATTAATTAATTAAATAAATGTCTGAAAAAGCTTAACTCGCCAAAGATGCTATTAAGAGAAGACAAGGAGGAGGCAAGAGTCGTAAGATATTTGTGTTTACATGATTTAGCATCAAAAACAACAGAAAATGGAGGACAATCAGGATTAAATTTCTATTCTGGAGATGTCTCATCCCTAAAAGTTCAACCAAACACCGTACTTATAATTAGTCTTGTATATTTGGGAATCGTTGTGCTCTTACACATATTCAGCAAACTTAGATCAGGAGGAGCAGAAGCTGCCCCTGAAGGACAATGATTCATATTATATGATATCAAATATCTACGCATATTTTTGTTTTAAATCAACTACAAACTATTCATAATTTAAGTCATAATGCTTAAATGAATATGGTAATCTTGTTGTTGTTTCTATATACACAATTTTCAAGAAACTTTGAATTTCGATTAAAATCATTCCCACGCATTTGTTGATCGAAAATGCAACTACTCATGATTGTCATTATTTTATTAATACAACTACCTGATTTGCAATCAAGTAGGAAATTAATTGTTTTATTCTAAAATTTTTCACCATTGCATCATTGTCATGAATTTAAAATTAGAGTTTTTAGATAAAAAGTTAGAAAAAATAAAAAAATTGCATTCTGAGTATAAATATTGTCTAATATTGACTAATTAGATCTCTATTAATTAATTATTAAAATAAAAATGCATTTGAGGTATTATTTGAATGAAGAGGGAAAAAGAGTTTACACCTTAAAAAACACACTTGATGATGGTTCATATACATTTAATGCTCATCCTGGTATAGATGCGAATTAATTTAATAGCAAGATTCAGTCCAGATGATGTAAATTAGAAATATCGTGTTGAATTAAAGAAGAGATTTGGTTTGTTACCAACATAAGGTGAACCTCATTAATTTTGATATGATCATGATAATAAAATTTATAGTTTTATGTAATATCAATAAAAGAATGTCTGTTCAGAAGAATAGGTCTGGAAATTAATGTAAAAATATGCTTAGTTAAAAACTAAAACAATATTTTAATATAATTCGTTTAAATATGTCTTCAAATATAGAGCTAGTTCCATTTTATTCCTCGCTACTTCGTACAATATAGAGTATGTTTCAATAGAATTTGATTACAGCAGAGGAGAGAAGTGAGTTAAAGAATTTTGTAGTTTCTCATGATACAAAAGATTTAGGGCAATTATTTTAATCATATGAAAAAGGATAGTTGGAGTAATTTATTTTGGAGAATTATATAAATCCAAGAAATAATGAGTAATATGTAGAAGATGAGGATGACTCATGCTATTCTATATCTGAAATTGAATGTTAAAAAAGCACCTTAAGTTGTACTCCTAATTAATTTGTATGGTAATTAAAACAATCCAAGTAAGTAAAATAAGAAAAGGAAGGTCATCGAAAAAGATCCAATTCATTTACTACATTTTAATAGTTATGATGATCTAAAAATATATAAATTTTGAGTTTATTTGTGTATACAAACTATTTTCATATATTCAAATATAAAACAAATAACAAATATAACAAGTCTGATATTATTAATTTATTATAATAATTAAATTAATACTCCATGATCATTATGAAATAATATCAATTTTTGCATAGCACCCTATTTTTAAACTGTTTATAGAAAATCTACCGAGTATAAATAAAAGAAGCATCGATTCCTGATTCATATATATTAAGATTTAGATTTTAGTTTCATATATCATATGTGAGTTTTCATTTAAATTTCAATTTATCATCCTATTGAATATGTTTTAAAATGATTTATCTAATATATGTGATTATAATATACTAATCTAAAGGATAATAAATGAAATTGTTAAAAACCCTTTAATTTACCTGATGATATCTAAAATTTGAGGAATATTAAAAAAGTAAATAGTTATATCATCTAAAAGATATTTAATATGGCAAATCAATTAATAATTCAAGATTCAAGACTTTTTGAAAACAATCTTATCAAATTAAATAATTCAAATAACCAAACTTTTAATGTAAGTAATTCTTATTCAACTAATTCTTAAAAAGTAAAATATTTAAAACTCATCCTCTCTACATATGATTACAATTGAAATGATCATTTACATATTACATAAATTTTGATCATTCTTAATTTAGCTATATTTTTCTTTATTAAGATTAAAACCCAAAAGATGAATTTTAAAATATTTAGATTTTTAAAATAGATTTGATCAATAACTAAGCAACTATACTCTTTTAGGGTTGCTTTGGCAATGTTTTTACAACAAAATTAAGCAAGATAATAAATTTCTAAGCAATATAAAACTTAGAGTCATACTAAGAGCAAGAACTAGAGACAGGGTGTAATTAATCTAATTAATAAAATATGTATAGGGTAAGTCAAATGAAAAAAAAAAATATATTATGTGAGATTATTGTAGAAGTGCCTCTGATGTATTGATTTTAATATAGTATCTAAATAATATTGCTCAGTCCATAAATTAATAATTAATTAATAAATACATTTCTATGTAAATTCAGTCATTCGATGAATTGGCGACGGAGAAGGAACTCAAATTATTTGGAAAGACCACAGCATAGAAATTCTAACGTCTTAAGATTATCATCATCGGATTGTCAAGCGTAATTAATAACTACAATCCTAGCTTGGATTAGAGATTGCCAAACATATTTCTACACAACAACCTGAATTGATTACACTTTGCGATTAACAATCACAAAGACTGAAATAATGTGAATAGCTTCTAAAAATAAACAACGTAACATAAATAGAAACTTTGGAGATGTCTTACAAGGACAATGAAATTCTGTAAAAAGTAGACAAACATGATTTAACAATAATTTGTGATATTTAATCCCTGAATTTTGCAATATCAGTTAGTGAGCACTTACGTTAAAATTCATCTAAAAATTAAAAGTATAATAAGGGAGTGATTTGGACATGTACTTTTGGATTTATTTGTCTTAAGTTTTCAGATTTTGGTTAAGGATTTAAAGTGTTTGATAGAGATGGAGTCTAGCCATTTCCATATCATATCACCAACATCACTAATTCAAATCCAGGTATAGTAAAAATCCATGAATCCATTCCTCACAATTACAAGACTGGCGATTTTGTAAGAATCAGTAATGTTGAAGGTATGACCTAAGTAAATGGGCCTGAAGCACGTCCAATCAAAGTAATGTCACCAACCGAATTTTCTATTGAATACACTCAGCATTACAATAAGTATTTGGCAGGCGGATTAGTTTAATTGACTAAAGTACCTTTCAAGTATCACTTCCAAAAATTGTCCGAAAGCATATACAAACCTAACACACTTAAAACTAATGAGGATAAGGTTGTGTACAGTACTGTCATTGCCAATTTGTAACTTTTAGATTAGACTACTAAACCATAGAATGAATAGGAGATCATCAATATCGCTTTGGCCATCTATAAAACCTTTGATTTAGATCAATTTGATGTGTAATTGTGTTAAAAAACAATCAAATTCATGTAGACAACAAAATATCCAGTCATCAGTCTTTGGGCAGGCTATTGCAGTTTGGAAGTAGTCAAATTCACAGGGAAATTCACTCCATAAGAATGCTCTTTCATTTAATTTGTTAGTGATATCGACAGTGATGACTAGTAAATTAAAGTCAAATTGCAATCACTGAATGCCTTGGTTATAGGAAGTGGAGGAACTGGATGCGAGGTAGTTAGACTCTTTTCTTTGATGGAGTGTTGCACTCAGCCAAATTCAAAACTCACTATATTAGATGATGATATTGTTCGTAAATACACTTTAGGAACTCATTATTGGTTTAAGTAAATTAGTCAATAATAATAATAATAGTTAATAAACTCTTGGAAAGGCAAAGGCTGATGTCGCTTAAGAATAAGCATAGTTCCTCTGTAATACTATGAACATTGAAGTCGATAGAAGCAAATTCAGTGAGAAATCCGAGATCATCGTTAAATAGCATGATATCATCTTTTCTGCCATCAATAATCAAACATCAAGATTGCTCATCCAATAGTAAGCTTAGAAACACAATAAGATTTTATTTGATCAAATTCTAAATGGATTAAAGGCCTATACTTAATTTGGAAAACCAAATTAATAATTACAAATCTAAGAGACCCTTAAGAATGTATACAATGTAGATTAGGACACTTACAAGAAATTCCCTTATCTTCCAATTCATTGTGTCTTATGGGCTAAGGAAGTCTTTGACAACAGCTTTGTAGGTTTTGTTACTGACTTCTAAAAGTTCCTATAGGATCGAAATGGATACCTTTAAAATTTCGACGAACCTGATGTGTATTATATTGTATTAGTATTCATAGGGTTGATAACTATCATATTAGAGCTCACGTAATTAATAGAATATCCAAACCAGGATTCAATTTGACTCTAGACAAAATACTCAGCTTATCAAAGGAATTATATGAATTCCACTTCGAGTTCAAGATCAATGAGTTATTGAAGAAATATCCTACAGATGCCTTGGAATGTGTATGGACTGGGTATAAGAAGATTCCTTAACCAATCAAATTCGATTCCAATAATATGGATCATGTTGCCTATATATAAATAACTACTCTTTTGATATCAAAATTATTCAACATTAGTGCAAGTGCTGTATTCAAATAAGAATATGTTATTGATAAATTATAGCAAATGACAGAGAATTACTGGAATCTAACTAATCCATTAGTTCCAACTCCAGTCGAGTATTCATCCTAAAATAAACCATAATTCTTAAATTTTGATGATGATCAAGTTCGAGGGTTGTATGTGAGATGCATTCATTCATTAACAAATTTAAGATGCAAAAATTACAATCTCCAACCAATTCCCTTATACAAAGTTCAAAAATACGCTCTAGAAATGCATAGAAGCAATCCAATAATGCATTCAATTATAGTGGGTTGGATGGGCATTGAATTAAACAAATATCTTTATGTAATTGATATAATATAATGTTTAGGGTAATTGCAAACAAAGAAATATGCACATAGATATCAATAATAATATTTTAGAATTCATTTGAGAATTACACAGTCATGATATTGATTAAAATATTATTATTAAATATACATTTTTAATATACAATTTTATTCATTAAAATACAAGATATAACATATAATCAATTATCAGAGGTAGATTATTATTAAATATCATCTTTCTAAATTTTATCTATTTAAGAAGTACACTTATGATCTACTCATTTTGACCCCATATTGCTATTATAATAAATAGGATTACAGTTTTTAATGGATTGATTTAATTGGAATATACTAATTGCAAGACATTGTAAGATAGAGAATCAAAAATTGCATCAATTTAATCTTTGTCATGATTGGAGATTTCAAAAAATTTGGCTCCTATTAAATGGGCAATCTCTTTAAGAATAAATAAGACTTTTGATCTTCTTCTTGTGTTGCAACGATAACAGTTTGAAACTAGTCAGATTATACTTTCGCAAGGATTTCGAATAATTTAAGCAATGAATTAAATGAGGATTGACTGTTTATACTATAAAAAATGATGTCAGGTGCAGCACTAAAAATAAAGATACTTAAAGATTATGGATTACTTTTAACAAAAGGTTTTTCTACATTACGATAAATTCAGAACTTCTTGACTAATTAAAATGATGATAGTTAATGTGTCCCATAATTGATTCTGAACAGCAATGCCATCATCGAATTCTATTGATTTTCTCTCAAGCTCCAGTTCTATTGTAAAATCATACTCCTAAAATGAATACGCCTTTGACATATTAAGACAGGAAACAGGACTTGCCAACACCTAAGAATGTTTGATAATTGAACCTTTGCCTCCGATCAATACAATCTTTAAGAGATATTAATAATCTTCGAAATTCATGAATATAATAATATAATAGTTTATATATAAATTAATATATTACTACATAACATGCAACTTGCTAAAAGTAATCAAAACATTATTAACAGTCTCCAGTTCATCCAGATGCTTTAGAAAAAGAGAAGATAAATCCTTACTTAAATGACAATAAGCCATAGAATAAATATCCGAGAGAGAACCTAGTTGAAAACGAGAAGAATATGAACCTTGGAGGATCTTACCAAAATTACATTTATAACTGTGGTGAATGTTGTGGAAATTGCTCAGCCTTTTGTCCATGCAACCCTTTTGTGGAATATCCCTACAAGAAAATAGAATAAGGTTTCGTTGGAGTCTATTTAAGATTTGGAAAGTATGTGAAAACAAGTATAGGATAACGTAATTATCTTAGTGCCCCCAGGTTTATAATATTTTAATCCATGTACCGATAAATTAATAAAAATTGATTGTAGAACCCAAATGATTGATTGCTAGAAACAATATGTCATTACAAAAGATAATATTCTCATATTGGTTGATGCATCTGTCTATTATCGAGTGTTGGAACCGAAGAAGGCTATTTTTTATATTTACGACATTTAAATGGCTATCTCATAGATAACTTTAGCAGCTATAAAAAGTGTCATCGGTGCTTATACCTTGCAAGATGTGTTAGAAAAAAGAACAGAAATCTAAGATTACATCCAACAATTTGTTGACGATCACGTAGATGACTGGGGAATAGATATTGAATTAATGATGATAAAGGATATTCAAATAAACGAAAGGATTAAATCTGCTTTGGCATAGGCAGCCACAGAACTAAGGTATATAGATTGATTAAATTTCAAGAGCTGCACAAGCGAAGATTTTAATAGCCGAATCTAATGTATAATCAGCCAAATTGATGAAATAGGCTGCTGAATTACTCAGTGCCAATGCAGCTATGCAGATTAGATATCTTGATGTCATCAACAAAATTGGTAATGAATAACAAACAAAAGTTATGATAATATGATATATATATTTATATTTCAATCATCTTTGAATACACTAATGAAGGTGTCTTTCCTTACAGTAACTCTGCCGACTTCTCTCATCCTCTTCTTCCCCTCCTTCTATCTATCCAACAGCTTCTTCTTTCTTGTGTAATCCCCTCCATAGCATTTAGCAGTTACATTTTTTCCAGTACTTCCAATCTTCTCTGCTGCTATCACTTTGCCACCAACCTTAGCTTAAATAGATACAACAAATAAATGCTAAGGAATGTTGTCCTTCAATCTTTAACAAATCTTCTTCCCCAATTAATGAGCCCTTTCTTCTGGCACCATAAACGACAATGCATCCACTGGATCATCCATTAAATGAATTACTAATTTAACAATGTTCGCTTTTTCAAATCCGCAGAATTCGTATTCCAATGACCCATACCCTTTAGTTGCACTCTTTATTTTATCAAACAAATCCTAGATGATTTCATTCAAAGGGAATTTAAATATGTATCTATCTTATTTGTCATACTTCTCTTAATCCACCACTCTGCCATTCCTTGCATCACACAACTAGAATATCGAGGCACTGTACTCTTCTGGACACATTATAGTTGCAATAGCCATAGGTTGTTCATAATGTTTGATGACTGCTGCATCTGGTGCCATAATTGCATTTTCAACCATTACTTCCTTTCCGTTCCTCAAGATTGCCTTATAAGGAACACTTGGAGATGTCAATAAGACACTCAAATTATATTCATTCTCCAATCTCTCTCTAAATACATCCATATGCAGAACTCCAAGAAAACCACAACGATATCCATTTCCTAAAGCTGCTGAACTCTCCTTCTGAATAATTACAGCTGGATCAGTCAATGCCAATTTGAATATTGATTTATTTAATTCAGCATAGTCATCAGGATCTTCAGGATAAATACCGCAATAAACCAATGGCTTCACCTACTCAAAACCAGTTTCAGGCAAAGTCTTAGATAGAGGATGTCTAAATGTGTCTCCTATTCTGGCCTCATTAGCTGCCTTCATATTCGTCATCACATACCCTACCTAACCTGGTTCCAACTTCTCCTGAGGAACATTCTCTGGACTTTGAATCCCTACCTAATTTAATGAACTTGACTACTTCAAAAACATCATATTTCTTTTTGAATGCACAAGATAATATCTAATCTCCCTTCTTTAAATACCCTCCTTTCATTAATATCAATAACACAACTCCCTTGTCTCTAGCATACCAACTGTCAATCAAAAAACATTTCAGTTCCTTATGATCCTATGGTGGAGGTATCAATGTAACTATATTATTTAACAACTCTGTAACTCCAGTTCCTTTTTTAGCAGACACCTTAAATATTTCATTTGGATTCATATCGAATTTTTCAACCAATTATGATATTACACTCTCAGTATTTGCAGATGTCATATCTATCTTATTAATAACGGGTATAATCTTTAAATTCTACTTCTTTGCCAAAATATAATTAGATAGTGTTTATGCTTAGATTCCCTGAGTTGCATCGATCAATAAGATTGCACCTTCACATGCTCTCATTGAACGTGATACTTCATATGTAAAATCGACATGTCCAGGAGTGTCAATCAAATTATACAAATACTACTATCTTGATGTATATTACCTCTATTCCATCAACTTTATAAAACATGGCTGCTGATTATGCTTTAACAGTGATTCCTCTTTCTTTTTCAACCTCCAATTTATCCAAATATTACTCATGTTTCCCTTTACTAATCGTCCCGGTGATTTCAAGGAATCGATCTGCCAAAGTAGATTTTCCATGATCAATGTGAGCTATGATACAAAAATTCCGAATCTTATCTATGCTTATTTGATATTTGGATAAGAGATGAAAGGAAGTAATTGAATTTTTAAAAATATATTTTAACATCACAATTAAATTATACACAACACTCAATTTTGATCCTTTTTATTTGGTTTATTCAATAATTGTGATCTTAATTCCCTTGCTAATTTCTTCCTGTCATTTGTCTAATAATGATAAGATTTGATGTCACTATAATAATAACAATATTTACCAAAAATCATCGAAATAGAGGGAATCTATTAAACAAAATGTTGTGCCAAGAACAAAGAATACACCCCAACTTCTGCCTAATAATTTAAGTTTCATCTCTTTCAAACTTAAATTGATCTTTTTCAGTTGCATAGCCTCGTAAGTGTATGCAGCCATAAATGTCATAGGCAATGTGAATATTATTTTATCCTTTAAATTGCTCCAACAGATGGGTAATTCTCTGTATTTTAAAATCCCCCAAGCATTATTATAATTATTTAAGGTCTCCTCTAATGTAAAAATCTTCCTGCCTTGTCTATCAATTGCAGGTATGTCAATAGCTTTATCTGCCAATTATTAAAACTTCTCCTTCTTCTCTTCATCTGTCATTGGATTCTCTTCTTATCTCTTTTTGATCGTATCTTACAACCAACTCATTCTACTCTCAGTTAATCCCAATTAATCCAATTTTTGTTATGCATTCTAAATTTTTTAATCCAACTCTTCAGCAAACTGTCTTTCTTCTTCTGTCATAGGCTCTTCCTGTTATTCTTGATTCTTATCCTCAGGATTGTTGTTCATGAAGTAAAAGATGATAATTTTATTACAAAATTTTAATACATAAATAAAAATTCAAAGTTATTGCTGTTTACACTTTAAGTATTTGGCTTTCCAATATTAAATCTCCTATATTAATACGTCTTTTTCGTGGTCATTCTACTTCAATTTAGCTTAATACTTTAACAAAATCTATTTAGCTTTATCTATAATGGTTTAAAAATTCTCTTCAATTTTAATTTTCTATTCATTTAATGGGTTCTGATGTATTTGAGTGGTTGTTGAATTTGGATTGACTAACTGTCCTGATGAATTATTAGAGAAATTGCATTTGTTTTTTTGTCTCAATCTCAAATCAATATATTCGCTTTCTAGAGATTGCTTGTATGAATAAGATTCAGATTTTTGTTGTGTTTGTCTTTTTGGTTTGCATTACTGTTAATCCTTTACATTAAGTTTCTCAAAGAGTGCAATTAAAGTGCTTCTTTCAGTATTTTATATAGGTAATTAATCAGCTTAAATTTCATCGATAGATCGAACAAAATTCCCAAATTGCTTTTGCATGTCGAAATTGTTACTTGATAGGAATTCACTATATTTGTTTGTGTCTCTGTGCTTATTCGATTTTAGTAATTTCAAAGCATTGCATTTAAGAGTTTGCAGAGAATCATTATTTTCAGTTGTATGATTGCATTTTAACATAGTTCCTTTTGATTTTTGTTAGAGAGTGGCAGATACGAAGTATTGTTGTTTAAGTGAGTTGGTTGGAGACACTTTGAATATCTTATGTGATTCGCTGTTTTTACCCAAAATGTTGAAAAGTTTCTTCTTCATCTGATGACAATCTTATTTATTCTAAATTAAAACAAATATACTTCTTATTTGGGATGGTCCTAACCTTTGGAAGATTGGGGTTGACTATGAATTTAGTGAGAATTCGACATAGTATCCTTGATTGACAGTTTGGATTTCAAGTTCTATGACTTTGAGATTGTTGCTTATTTAGAATACATAATATTTATTTTATTGTATATATTCTAATTGATTATTTTGATATTAATCAATTAACTATATGTCCTTAAAGTGAAGTAAACAATTGATCGATAGAACTATGGATGAATGCAAATTAGAGAATTATATATAAATTTAAATATTGTAAAAATAATCAATTATTTAATAACTCGTTCTCTTACTTATCAAAAGAATCCAAGGATTGTGTTTACTTTTTCAAATAAATCCTGTATCTATTTTTTAGCTTACCTCATGGTGATTCATCAAACACATTTAGAATCAAGACTCCTAATGATTTTTGAGATGGCAAAGCTAGAGAAGACAATCGCAATTTTCCACCATAAGCTTGAATTGATACTCAGTCCAACATTTAGGTGTCAGGTTACCTACTTACAATTTCTTTAGAGCTTCTTAAAATTTCTGGGCATATTGATAGAACTTAGTTTAATGGAGAGAGTAAAATCAATAATTTTAGAAAGTCCAAGATTTTATTTTTCTTACTTCTTGTCCAACCTTTCCTAGTCCTTCTTACTGATCTTTGTGAAATTATATTAAAATTATCTCTGAAAACTCCGTTATTGACTGATAGCAGGTCTAAATGCGGTTGCGAATAATTTAATCATAAGCTATTAATATTTTCTTTTTATTATGGCTTCAAGAGAAAAACATATAGTTAATAAGGAACCAAGTTTTTAATTCTTCGTCAAGAAAGGCCTGATTAAACAAAACAATAAAGGATAAGTTTTTCCAATATTCACCTATCGTATTAATAGTCAACCATCCCCTTCAAAAACGTTTGAACTTTCTGTATTCCCATCGAAGATAGTAAAGAGAGCAAATGTTCATCAACTTAATCCTTCTCCTTTCGTTATAACTAATATCCCCAAAAAAAATACAGTTTATCAATCGTATATTGACAACATCATAAAGAGAAAAGTGAAAGATAAACCAGAAATTCGGAAGAAATACTCCAATACAATTGATGAGATTAAGGGGAGATAAATTGAAACTGTAAAGGATTGTTTTCTCCCTAAACTTAATTGTCTAAATCGTTAACCTTAAAAGTTGAAGTATCGTCATTCATTGCCGAAGCAGGACATCTAAACAGAACCTAATCCTGAACCAAATCCCTCAGATAGATTGCAACCGTGGGATTCAAGTTCAAAGTCATTTGTACTCTAATGAAATTTATTATTTATTTATAGGTTTAATATTATTTAATGTTAATATTGCCATCATACAATGAGTATTAATTCAGAATAATAACATTAGTTTTTGTGTTATGTTTTATATCAANTCTATGACTTTGAGATTGTTGCTTATTTAGAATACATAATATTTATTTTATTGTATATATTCTAATTGATTATTTTGATATTAATCAATTAACTATATGTCCTTAAAGTGAAGTAAACAATTGATCGATAGAACTATGGATGAATGCAAATTAGAGAATTATATATAAATTTAAATATTGTAAAAATAATCAATTATTTAATAACTCGTTCTCTTACTTATCAAAAGAATCCAAGGATTGTGTTTACTTTTTCAAATAAATCCTGTATCTATTTTTTAGCTTACCTCATGGTGATTCATCAAACACATTTAGAATCAAGACTCCTAATGATTTTTGAGATGGCAAAGCTAGAGAAGACAATCGCAATTTTCCACCATAAGCTTGAATTGATACTCAGTCCAACATTTAGGTGTCAGGTTACCTACTTACAATTTCTTTAGAGCTTCTTAAAATTTCTGGGCATATTGATAGAACTTAGTTTAATGGAGAGAGTAAAATCAATAATTTTAGAAAGTCCAAGATTTTATTTTTCTTACTTCTTGTCCAACCTTTCCTAGTCCTTCTTACTGATCTTTGTGAAATTATATTAAAATTATCTCTGAAAACTCCGTTATTGACTGATAGCAGGTCTAAATGCGGTTGCGAATAATTTAATCATAAGCTATTAATATTTTCTTTTTATTATGGCTTCAAGAGAAAAACATATAGTTAATAAGGAACCAAGTTTTTAATTCTTCGTCAAGAAAGGCCTGATTAAACAAAACAATAAAGGATAAGTTTTTCCAATATTCACCTATCGTATTAATAGTCAACCATCCCCTTCAAAAACGTTTGAACTTTCTGTATTCCCATCGAAGATAGTAAAGAGAGCAAATGTTCATCAACTTAATCCTTCTCCTTTCGTTATAACTAATATCCCCAAAAAAAATACAGTTTATCAATCGTATATTGACAACATCATAAAGAGAAAAGTGAAAGATAAACCAGAAATTCGGAAGAAATACTCCAATACAATTGATGAGATTAAGGGGAGATAAATTGAAACTGTAAAGGATTGTTTTCTCCCTAAACTTAATTGTCTAAATCGTTAACCTTAAAAGTTGAAGTATCGTCATTCATTGCCGAAGCAGGACATCTAAACAGAACCTAATCCTGAACCAAATCCCTCAGATAGATTGCAACCGTGGGATTCAAGTTCAAAGTCATTTGTACTCTAATGAAATTTATTATTTATTTATAGGTTTAATATTATTTAATGTTAATATTGCCATCATACAATGAGTATTAATTCAGAATAATAACATTAGTTTTTGTGTTATGTTTTATATCAATTATAATATTTATTATATAAATATGCAATATACGTATATCCCACCTTGTGATTCCTTATTCTAACAATTCTAAAAAAATGGGAAAATAACTCGGATTGATTTGGTTACTATTTTGAAGGTGATGAATTTCAATGAAATGTAAATAAACAACATGCTATCCAAATTCAATGATGATGAAATAAGTAAAAGTAATTCAGTATTTAGATTATAATTAGTTTATGCTTTGTTTCATGGTTCAAAATATGCCCACTTATAGATTCCCCACTCAACCGTAGCCTCCTATTCCTCAGCAGGTTGAGTAAGATTGGAATCAGCAAAAATTTACTTAAGAATAATAATAATAAATCTATGAGGAATTCAAAACACTTTTAAAAGGTTAAGAATATGACAAGGTAGTGAATCTCCTATGTAAGAAGACTTAATGAATATTTTTAGTGTAGTATAAGGAAATGGATTTGGTGAATGTAATTGATTCGCAAAGCAAATAGATCTGTTCTTACATAGTGGTGTAATTTGATAATGAAGGGTTGGCACTGAAATTTCTGTCTTTGTTGACAGAATTTAGAGTTAATTTAAATTTTAAGGATGGTTTAAAATAATCAATACTCTTTTACATCTGCAGAGATGGTAAACTGAAATTACTTGACTTTGTATTATCATAGAAGGCAGTAAACATAAACGATCAAGATTAATATGGATAAACCCCTTTGTTTTATGCAGCCAGAGATAATAAAATAGATATAGTAACAAGGTATACCTAAAGAGTATGTTGTTAGACTTGTATCAGTTGGTGCCAATGTCAATTTGGTGGACACTCTCTCCAATCAAACAGCTTTATTCTATTCAGCCAGAGAAGGACATGCTGAAATCTGTAAAATCTTGATTGACGTAAGAATCTTTCGCTATTTAGAATGGCTGTAATCCAAATCATCAAGATCAACACAAAAAGACTGCTTAATTCTTTGCCAAGAGATTTTAGAGGAAAGAAGTGATGGAACTATTCAATTCGTATTTTGGAAAGAGCAAAGATGACTTCAAACAAAATTCTAATTATAATAACGACAATAGCAAAGGAGAACAACCAAAATAATAGAAGAAGAAAAATAAGGATTTACCAAAGTAAGCATATAAATTGATGTTTACTGATGAATATGGTAATCTGTAGGAAGTTACTTCCACTGAATTTGCGAGATTTCAATAGCAATACCCTTAGATTGCCAATTTAATTATAAATGCTGATGAATTAATTGACGAGAATGTCTTGAATTCCATGAAGGATGATGAACTCTGGGAAAAGCTGGCTAAGAAGGTGTTGCAAATACTGTGGAAAGCAAAAGGAGCCCAATTGTTTCATAATCCTGTGGATGAAAAAAAGTATGGTATCAATGATTATTATGATATCGTAAAAAAGCCTATGGACTTTGGAACTGTTAAGGTATTGAATTCATTTTAATTGATAGCAAAAACTAAATGCTAATCAATACAAAAATTGTAAAGAATTCTATAATGACATCCTTTTGGTGTTTGATAATTGTGTATTATATAATGGATCAGAAAATGATATCGGTTAGATTGGACTCGCATTGAAATAGGAGTTCTTGAATTAAGTAGAATAGACTGGTCTTAAAAAACATTTACAATGATATATTATATGAAAACATATTTATAAAAAAATTTGATTAATCAAAATTTATGTTTATTACTATTATATTTATCTTTCCTTTAATCTCCAATCAAAACCAACTAAAATTAGATCAAACTTTCTAATTGCCATTATACAAAGACAATATTATTGATGTAATAGATGAATCTGGGTATATATACAAATATCACATTTCCAATAACAATAAAGAGATTACATATCAAACCTATTGTTCAGTTAGACCGTAAAGTTTGGACATTGAAATAGAGTCCTAATTGAAAGTTACTCACAAAACGGAGTAGGATTTTGAACTTAATTTTGTGAATGGCAGATTTTATGGTCAATCAGAATTCATTTAATCAGCTGTCATAAATTCCTATGGCATTATTATATTGACAAGCGATAAAAATTTAACATTTGTATCCCACGACGATATCAATCAAAATATTGCCCAGACCTAACACTTCTAAATAAATGAGTCTATTGAAAATTCTTATTTAATTCAAATAGAGTCCTTGAACCTATTAATACTCCTTTTGTAAGACAATAAAGTGTATGAATACGAAGTCCACAATAATACATATTATAATAAATCAATCTAATATATAAGTTAGTATAAATAGGAAACAATTCATGTCAATCAAATTAAATTAATAAATGTCTATTCAACTTATATTTTTATTTTATAACTAGATGGAAATCTAAGAATTTACAATAGAAAAATGGAATCGATTTACAAATTTGACTCCTAGATTTTACATTTTGAATTCGAAACCATTTCTTAATAATTTAGAATATTTCTTTTGTATCAAAATTCAACATTAATGTCCAAAACTATATCATTTGAAGATACAATTACTGTAAATGAGAATCAATAGTAAATATTAATTACAAAACCATAAGCAGTGAATTTCAAATTGTATAATCGAGGAATATTAGTAGTTGTTGAGGATAACAGTTAGGGACATATAATTGTAAATTATAAAATCTATATATGTAGATAGATTATTCATTCAATTCAATAAATTTGAAAGAATTAAATATGCAATACATAAATCAAAAAGTAAAGCACATTATAATTCATGATTTATATGCATTATTGATTGGAGATAAAACCTAAAGCATAATTACTGTTGGAGTTGATGCTATATATCTGAACCAATAAAATTACAAAGTGTAATCGAACCTGTTAGTTCCTCAGATTTTGGATGTTTTAAAACTATCTTAAGTAACGAATTCTGGGACGACAGATTACGTATATGCATATACAAGGACAAGATTTTTAAAATTAAATTTGCTAGCAGTATGTATTTATTTAAAAGTTAAGAGGATGTTTGAAGTAACTTGTGTTTGTTAAAGTCAAAATGAAGCAAAATAATCACCCTTTCATTTTGAATTGGAGTATTACAATAGCGATTGTGATGGGTGCTCAAAAAAGAAGAGTTACACATTGTTCTTCAATTATGCAATAATGACAAAGGAGGATGAACCTCTATTGTATGAGAGCATAATAATTGGAGGATTGCTAGTGGGGGGGATAATAGGGTTTTTAGTTTACAAATATTTTGCATTTCTTCGATACTGGAAAGAGGCTAGAAATAAGGCAACCAATTTGGAAACCACGAGCACTCAACCTCAGATTGACTTTTCGATCAATGATTCAAAGGTTGGTCTTCAGTTGGAAATTGAGAATCATAAAAAGGATGTTGAGTGATATATGACATATATATATAAATATATATAAAAACATCAAATATCAAATGAAAAGGAGTATTAAATAGTAACATCAGTTCTAATTAAAATAACTGTACTGTAAATAGAAACTTAACATCCAAACGGAAGTTGATGACACTCGAAACTCGAAGTTAGTAAGGAAATAGTGTTATGTCTAGATTTCTTTAAATTATTCGCCATTAAACAAGGTAGAACATAGTGTATTCTCAAACAGGTGGAAAATCAACAAAGGATTATTGAGCAACAAAGCGAACAGATTGATGACTCAATAATAATCGGATTCAGAGACAGAATTCCCAAATCAACCGAAAATAATTTAACTATCACAAAGAAGCTAGGTTTAAAATAAAAGATCAATTTCCAACAAAAGAAATAACAGCATTGGAGATTACAATTAATCTCCTAAAAATTAAAATAGATCCTCTTTGTTTACGAGTCAAAAATAAAGATCGTATTCCATTCAACAATAATAACAACAATAAAGATAACAATAATAATCTCTATTTTAGTCTGTTGGTATCAAATAAAATCAAGCAAATGATCCTAAGACATTTATTTAGCAATTTGAATTAACTATTGAGGAATGGGATAAATTTGGAAATAGATTCCCTTTTGGATTTCAAAGGGAGAAACTATTGGGAAGAGGAGGTTTTTCATTGATTTGGTTAGCTAAGGAATAAAAAGGAGGTGCATTATGTGCAGTAAAACAGATCCCAAGAAAGTCTAAACATGAAACTCATTTTAAAGAATTAGCATTTATCACTTAGTTTTTTAATAAAGGAGGTTAAATAAAGAGTTAATATTAGTAAAATGAAGGAATTAAAAATCTATGCAAAATGTTAGATTATGTGATTGATCCGCACGACGTTTTCATAATGTATGAAGTTTGTGGATATTCATTGGGCACTTAATTGTATGACTTTGAATCCCTCAATAATAGTTATAAGGTATAATAAGAATACATGGTAGTTAATTCCATAGAAATTAAGTTTGCTCTTTAAGTAGTTTCCTGTCTTTTTATTAAAATTTATAAAAAGAATCACCTCAACTATAGATTTGCTAGTCAAGACAGGATGGGTCCATAGTGATATTAAAAGTGAGAACATTCTCATCTCCTATGGATAACAAGATGTCGAATACAAAATTATAGACTATGGTTCCTCCTTCAAATTTGTAGAAGTCTTTGAAAAATTCTCAATGGCAACTCCTGAATACATGTCCCCAGAGATGTTGACATTCATACTTCGAGAGAATCAGATGTCCTATGATAATCAATTGATTGAATCCCTAGTCAATTACGATAAATCATGGGTCATAGATATTTGGGGGTTAGGATGTGTTGTCTTGGAAATCATATCAGGATTGCCATTGTGGATGAGTTATGACACATAAGTAATTAATTATAAAGGTCAGAAAGTCATGGCTCAAGGTCTGTTTGCAGTTACAGGAAGGAGTTTTAGTAAAATAGTCGAAAAATAAATTAAAATACTAACTAATCTAGAATTTGTATTGCGAGAATAGAATTATTCTGGTATCCAAGTTTCACCTTTATTAACTTAATTATTAAAAGGAATGTTAGCCATCAATCCAAAATAAAGATATTCACCTCAATAAATATTGAATTTACTTTAAGATATTTGATTCATTTATATAATATCACATTATAAATTAAATAAATGAAGCATAGAAATTTCTCATTCAAATAAGAAACCACCTAATCTGAGTTTTCTAATCTCATGACTAAACAGCAAATTCAGAATCGCTTTACACAGATATAAAAATAACCTTTGACTAGATCAACATCCAGAACTCATTCACTTTATGTTAAATAAACTCAAATTCAAAATATGTGTGCTCTATTTGAGAAATTGATAATTAAATCAAACCAAAGTAAACCCTTAAAGTAGAAGTACCAGCAGATTTGTTCAGATTTTGGAATTGATTTTAATGTTTTATAATAATTTACAAAACTTGAAGAAAAGTAGAATTACTTAATCAGATGTAGTGTTGATGAAATCTCAAAGCAATTTGATAGTATTTAATTACTTAATTAGGAATTATCTAAAAGTATGACGCTCCTAAAAGTGGTATCTAAGTTGTTGATGATAAACAAGATTTATATTGGTGGTTAAAGGTTAAGTCATAACATAAAGCCATTTTAAATAGACTCAAATTAGCCTTAGTATAAATGATACAAAATTCTACCAATGTTCTTGAAAAATAACATAAAATTTATAACTCTGAATCAAAATTAGGTTCAAATTCATAAACTAAATATAATCCTAAAGATATCGAAGTTTAATAGCCAGAAGTTTATTTTGAGTGGAACAAAGCAGTAGAAGCATAATTCATATCAGCAAAGAAAAACTATATATTGCACGGTTATGAAACTATGAAGAAATAATAAGCTAATGGAAAGCTAACCAGTAAAAGAGGAATGATACTTGATAAATGTGAATAAACAGGAAATTATATAACAAAGGAAGAACTATAATATATTGCATCAACAAGTTTTTTAATTAATAGAAATCTAGACAAGGAGTTTATCTAAAAAGCAATCAATTCATTAGAGAATGAAGTATATTGATTGTATATGAATAGATAAAATACTAAATTGAGTTTAATATTTCAGAATAGATTTTACAAGATTATTTTACTTTAAAAGAAAAGTAAATGAAAAAAAGATAACAATATTTTGAAGAGCAGAATGTCATCAAGAGGAAATAAATAGGTAATTGATCTCTTTACCCTAGCTGATAAGACCATAAATTACTAAAAAAAACAATATTTATCCAAGGATTCTCTTTAGATGAAAGTTGTTAAATCGAAATTTGTATAATATTTAATATAGGCTTAAAAAAAAAGATTTATTAAAGAAGCAATAGAATTCAAGAAATAATCTATTTTAAGAAGATTATAAAAGTCAGGAAATCCATTAGCAAACATTTACGTTCAAAAGTTTAAGGAAATTATGTAAAATGTTGTAAAAAGATATAGACAAGTAATTATTATAATGAAATAAGAAAAAAGGGAATCAAATGGTTTCTTAATAGAATTTTTTCGAAAGAAACGCATAAAAACAAATGATTAAACCATTATTTATAAAAGATGGAGAGGAAATACCACTAGAATAAGTCAGACACAAATTTCACCCTCCATCTAAATTAATGATTTTGGCACAAGAGGATAAACAAAATCAAGTTTTGCAAGAGAAATTGATAAAGCAAAGCCAAAATTTCAGATTAGCTATAAGAAATTATAATATAAAGAAAAGTGAGTTTCTTTAATTTTATAGTGGAGGACCATAATCTCGCAGAAGATTTTAAAGCTAATAATTAAAATTTATGAATGAAATTGAATCAAAAGAATCACCCAATTAATAACAGTGGGTATCAGAAGATATAGAAATACAGGCAGCCAATAAAATTAAAATGGCCATTAAAAGATATTTGTATAAAAAGAAAGTATCCAATATGCTTGAATAAAAAGTAGAATAAAAAAATAGAGATATTGAAATCAAAATCTAAAAGTGTTTGAAAGCAAAGAGATTTTTTGAAGAATTGTCTCATGAGTTAAATAAAAAGCAGACTGAAAAACTAAAGGATCTTTCAATATATTCCCCTCCTAAATTACCTCTTGAATAAATTCAAAAGTCTATTTTTGTTCCATATTCTACGCCATCATCTCCATAAACACAAAGATTAAGTCAATAAAAAACCTTAGATATATCGTTAGCAAGCAGTAGAGTTGTTAAATAAGTAAATGAATTGTAATTTATAGAGTTTGCATTTAAAATAAGAATAGAAGAATGAAAGTTTAAAATAATCTTTAATTAATAAAGCAGCAAAAATTAGAATTAGTGGAGAAACTAAAGTCAAAAGTAGAAAGCTGATATAAGCATCCAAAATGAAAAGTGTTATTATTGCAGAATCAGCAGGATTTAATTATGTTAAGGCTGACACCGAATAATATGATTAATATGGAAATACTCCCTTATATTACAGTGCTAAATATGGTGATGTTCAAATGATTAAACTATTGCTAAAGGCAGGGGCAGATGTAAATTAAAAATGTTCAAATGACAATACTCCACTCCATATGGCATTCCAATCAGGGAATAAATAAATTATAATTGACTTTCTAAATAAAGGGGGTGATTTAAATGTGATCAATAAAGACAATTGTACTCCTCTGGCATTTGGAAGTTTGGAATTACTTAAATCGTTAAATCTTTAAGATTATATAGCAACTGTATTATATTTTGATTGATATACACTTAGATTAATCCTAATCTTTAACGAAGGACAGACAATTAATAAATGCTTCATTAAAAGATCATCCCTTTAAATTATTAAGTAGATGATGAACTGCTATTGGAGTTAAAAATGAGAGTCTGATTATTAGTTTACTAAACTCATTTTAATTATTATTAATAAAATGTATACCAATACGATTGTTCAACATGATTCCAAATTTATAAAAATTATTTGAGTCTAAAGATTATCATGCTTAAAACTCAAATTGATAAGATGATCATTATAATCTACTAAATTACAATTTAGGTTAGGATATCTTATCAATACAAGAGGAATTGAAAATATTTAATAATAATTGCTTTATAGTAAAGATGTTTTTAAAAAAATCTATGTTATCAATTTAAATAAGATCCAATGATTGTTGAAGTATTGAATATTGATTGAAAAAATAATTAGCAGTTAATCGAGGATTATATTGTTTTCTAAATTTATTATGTGTTTTTTTAAGTAAAACCAACATTAATAATGATTTTAATTTAAAGCTTGTTCAAGTATAAAATAAATCTAATTAATTAATTTTAATAATAAACCTCCTTTGGTTATTCATAAATTACCAATCTTTAAACAATAATAATTTAATTAATTTACATAAATGGGATCACGCGTCAGTACTAATAAATTAATGTCCTAAAATGAATAATTAGAGGAGGATAATTAAATTACAGCAAATAAACCATAGGCTTTCTAATATTATCCTAAACTTTATTAACAAAACTGTGAAAATCAAATTAATGACAATATGGACACTAATTATCAATGTTTTCTATTTTTTGGAACAATCGAACAGTCCGTTTAATCTAATAATATGGAGGATAGTATTGATAGCCAAGATAGTAAAGAAACTCCTTGTTGGAATATTCCATAAAGTCTAAATAATACGGACATTACTAATAATTCAAAAACTAAAAAAATTCTTAAAAAATCTTAAACCAAGTAAAAACAAGGGTGCAATATAATATAAAGATTAAGTATAGAAAGAATAGTTTGAAATAAATTCTTATGCCATTAGTATTTTATAAACAACGAACTTTCAGATTTACTTTTTTCATATCTAATTTCTACTATTCTCAAGATCTTAATTCTTTATTTATAAAATATATAATTATCAAAATAATTTCCAATAAAGTTGATAACCAAATTGAATAAATGCTAAAAGTACTATACATGTAATTTCTATATTATCTAATCTGTTTACTATTTCTACTTATTATTTATCAAACAACTGTCAAATTTACAGTATACCTTATTATTTAATATGAATAATCTAATTATAACTTCCATAAGATTACTTTATTATCACGAATATAATAGTGCTCTTGCTTTAAATGTTTAGGCAATTGGTGAATCGAAATAAAAACTAATTTTAATAAAATCTTATTATTTATATTTAAAATTATATAATATTGCAGAATTAAGAAATTATTATGAAAAATTTTTAGTTATATTACAATCATCACCTCATAATTTTAGTTCCTATTCGCTATAAAATTCTTTATCTTCTAACTTGTAACTATTACAATGGAAATTAAGAGAATGCTTCTAACAAGTGTCCTCTAATAAATTATCAACAACTTCTAATATCGAATCATCATTTTAGGATTATTAATTTTCACTCAAAATATAAATTGAAGGTAAGATTTACTCTTTATTGAAAATTATATGTGCTCTAAGAGCCTTAAAAATGTTTATCCAGTCATCCAATTTCAGATTTTATAGTTATTTTTACAGATTGTATGTTGTTTCTTAGGAGTCATCTATTAAATCGAATTAAGCTTTATCATTTCCGAGATATATAATTCCGAATCTAGATTAATGCCTCTCCTTATCTGCTAATAGTTCCTTTAATAATCTAATCCTTTTTTTGTCATTTTTTGTTGTTAAATCAATTATGAAGGCAATATCACATTCTAATTTCCATTCTAACCATTATTGCTATTTTTCAAAGAATGAAATTAGTTATTTTGTTTCATGTGGTTGATCTGACTTATTAAATTAATCTATTCTTCTTAAGAAATAAGAAATCCCATTGCTAATGGACATCTTTTAATCGTTTTCATTTATTTATTGAACATTTTTACATTTTCCATTTTATTCATGAGAATTTTAGTTTTGGAAACAGACCTATGATGTTGGTTTTCGTTAAGATGAGCAAGTTATTCCCATTATTATAACTCTGACAATTAATTTTAAGTTACTTAATTAATTATAATGACTCATTTATTGACACTATTTAACTAACATAACTTATATATATTTAAACACATTAATCAGAATCCTTTTTTTGTCGCTTTTGGCTGTTTTTATATGACAGAAAATTTATTCATTAATTATTGAATTTATTTTTCAATATCTCTACATATAATATGAAAAATTATTGTTTTGATATTTAAATTGAAGAACCACACAGAGTATTAAATTAATTGGCAATCATTTTGGTTATTAACCAATTTTAAATTAACAAATCTGTTTAAGAATCTTATTCCAAATTAGAGCTCGTAATATTAAATGACTATAATTAATGATTATCAAAACTTTAAATTATATATTATGAGAATTTTATTAATATAAATAATTTATCTAGCAATTCTTATCATAAAATTAACATATGCTATCAATTACATTTTATAATACTTTGAGTTTAAAATTGTTAAGATCTTAAAAAAATCAATTCAATCATTGAATTTCTTTTGGTTAATTCGATATCAAATGCAGAGAAAGTTATTATTCTTTTTATTAATGATCAAATGGCTATGCAAATTTAAACATAAACTAATGAAGTTTTGGATAATAAGTAATTCAACAAGGAATTTTTATTATATTTAATTAACATTATTTTAAGAAATTATTTATTTAAATTAACTTTGGAATTTCGTATATTAAGAGAATAAAAATAAAATTATATAAGATATCTATTTATACTACTTAATATTGATTTGGTTATATAATGAATATTTTGACTCATCAAAATAGTTTTCACAGAAGTTTTTCATTTTTTAACAAATTATTAATTGTTATTATATTCATAAATTATTAGAAATTTAATGTAATTATCACATATAATCAACTCTTCAATCTAAATTTTATAACTTCAGACCAAAAGCCAATCAAATCATTTGCTGAAGAAAAAGAAAGTAAGCATGCTTATTTGGTAGAATCATTAAAATATGTAACCATTTCATTAAGAACTCTATTTTAAGTGTTACCATTTTGTGTACAGGCTATCAATTGTATTTTGTTTCGTTTTGTTTCCTCTAAGTTCTACATCTTTTCAAGCTCTTGTTCTGGAATAGCAGCTTTACCATCAGTGTAGAATAATAATAAGAATCTATGATATTTATAGGTTTTTACAGATTAGAGGTATTGTCATTTTCAATTATTTATATGGCTTTCTTAATTGGCTTCCCAAAGTTTGTTCCTCCCCCTTTGAAATTCATTTTAATTTTTTCTTCTATATCCCTAGCCCTTTTACTATTTTTAAGTGTTGTTTATTCTTTATTAAAAAGTATGAGACTTATCCAAGATTCTTTATTATAGTTCTAATCTTCTTCCTTGATATTTTTAATGAACCCTCTAACTCCTTATTTTATTATAGTCCAATCCTTATACATAGACTCTGAACTATCCAAAATGAAAATATAGTGAACTTTATCTTTTTTCAATTATTCTCTGTTATAGTAAGGTTTTTTTAATATATCACAGATTTCCTGACCATATTTTTTCCAGATACTATCTAATTTCTCTTTAAATTTTTTTTAATCGTCATTTTATATTAACTTTAAATCCCATTAGTTTTCTTGAATGTTTTCTACTGGCCATTAATTAGAATTAAGCTCATTGCATTAATATTATTATTCATAAAACTTTGAATTCACTTTAGATAAATAAAACATTTATACCTATAAAAAAATGTCCATTTTAGCATTAGTGATCTGATTGGTGATCCTACTGTAAATCACATTTTCTATTGCAATATTTGCAAGAAGTTTGACACCCTTACATCTCTATTTTTTTTTTTAATAATTATTCTTTTATTTTGAATTCATCAAAGTTAAGTTCTATGTATATAGCTTGATTCAAAATTTCAATTAACTATTCAACAAAAATATCTAATAATTTAATTTCAGCATTCTTTAGATTGTCCAAATTGATTTCCACTTCCAAATTTTCATTTTATTAATTAAATATATATTTGTATTTATTTTTTATTAAATTTTTTTCTTTAGAATTACCTCCCTAAAGAAAACAAACTACAATTTCAAACAATTTTTTTTCTAAATCATCTTATGTGTTCTCAAAGTATTCTTCAATATTTAGGTTAGGCACTATATATTATATTAATAATTGAGCATTTATCTTTAATTTTTTAATTAGTTCTTAATATTGATTAGCTAATATGATTTAATATTCCTCCTTCAAATTTTTTTCTAACTCTTCTATTTTATTTTCTACATAATTATTTATAACTTTTTTTTAATCTATTATATAATTTATTATAAAATCTTTCTGAATAACAATATCTGATATTATGAACTATTAATCAAGGGCACACTTTTGATTTTTAATTTCTTAAAAAATCAAAGGAGTATTTTGATTATAAAATTGTAATTAAAAATTACACTTTATTGTTTCAAATAATTCAAGTGCTTAAATCCTACTTAATTTATAGTCATTTTTTTCAAGATAGGCAAAAAACTTCTCTAATAGATTTATTTTCTTTTTATCCAATTAATCTATAATTTTATTTACTGATTACCATTATGACTAACATATAAATCTCCAAATAATTAATAAACCAAAATATATTATGCATCTCTCTCCTAATTTAGTTAATAATACTCCAAAGTATGAAAATGACTTATTAAATCTATTTTGAATTAGATCTACTTTCAATTTCTAAATAACGATATTTATTTTCTACATATCATAACAAGACACCTCTTATTAATTATTAATTTTATTAATATCCTATTTAACACCCATTTCTTCATAAACGAAATTATAAGTTTCTAAATATAATCTCTCCCAACCCTTTTCTTTCTCCATTAAATCTGGAAATATTTTACTAAACTCTTTCAAATTCTAATATATTTATTTTGAATCTAGATCTTTTTTCATATTTATGTAAGCCTCATATTAATGATAATCTTTATTATTGTATTCATACTCTATTTTTTCTGAAATAATGTAAGCTACTTGCTTAAATTATTTTAAGATCCCTTTTACTTAAGAGCAAAGCGACTTTTGCTAATATTCTTCAAATTTTAATCTTTTGTAATTATTCCTTGGAAAGTTTTAAAAGTTACTTTATTAAACTAGAAACTAAGGTATTTATACTAATTTCATTTTCTTTTTCAATTCTTCAAAATAATCATTTTAGTTTTCAAAAACCTCTTGTCTTATCAATTAATTATCATATTCTAGCTGAAAGAAATCAAAAAAGGTTTTAAAAAAATATGTATTTATGTCATTGTTTTAATTATCTTGCAAGAAGTCTTCCAAATTGTTTTAATTAACTTTCAAGAAGTCTTCAAAATCATCTACAATATGATATGCTAAATATATTTTAATCTATTATAGTGTTATTTAAACAACTTATATTTAACATTTATAAAATTTGGGAAAATTAATACAATATTTTTCCTCAAACTATTCAATTTTATCTTTGATAGGTTGATTATAAATATGAAAAAACTCTTAATCTGTTTGAAGGATAGGCCTAAATTAATTTTCCCTTAACTCCTCAATATATATCTAAAACAATAATTAAAATTCCTAATTAGATTCTGCTGCTTGAGTTTTATTTATCTATCTTAATAAATTTAGATATTCGAATTCATGAGTTGATCTTATAATAAATTCATTATAATTTCCTTTAATAGTCTCATATTGCAATGTTTAAAATTTATCAAATTATGAATTTAAAGTCTTAGAAAATTATTATATAATTTAATTCCACTAATCATAAAATTATTTCAAGATTTGATCTTAATCCAGCTACTCATTTCTCTAATTGACATATGAAGTTCTAAAAGTCTTCTCTAAGTTTTATACACTATAATCTTAATCATATTTAATTTTTTGAGAAAGGATTGCTTCTGTAATTATTAATTTACATAGCAATCTTTCATTTTAAAATTACCTATCTAACTATTCTAATTATTTTAAATAAATATTTTTAGAAATCTTTTAAGTTTGCTTAAATTATTGAATTTCCTCATTGATTGATTCTTAAATATCTTTGAGTTTACTATTAGTACCTTTAATTTATTCTTCCTCTAATTAAATAAAAAATTCTTCAGAAGGTTTACTATTTAAAGCTGCCTACTAAATTTAAATTCTAATTTGATTTTTGAAATCAAATTTATCACTTTTATTTTTAAAGATCTTTTAGTATTCGATTTTCATTTTTTTGTTTTAATCATATTGAAGTAATTCAGAAAACTCTAAATAGTCCGGTAGTTTTTCAATATTTTTCCAAGTGTTATCAATTGCTGATATAATTTAAGAGAGAGTTTAAAGTTAAGCAACATCGTTCTGGAATTAAAATTTTTCGACATAATTATTAAGCATCCTTATTCCATTACAATATGCATTTTTAGAAAAAGTTTCATTAAGGCTTGATTAAGTCCACTTTTGAAAATCCCAAATATTCTGAATTTAAGCAAATCCCAAAACCCAAATATGTTTTGTATCAATATCAATGATACTTGCATAATCAATTTACTAATTATATTATTCTTTATTCTCTGATTCAAATTAGACTGGTTGCTGATTTCTCTATTCAACTCTCATAACCAACTATTAAATTTATTCAAAAAAGGGCCCTTTCTTTTAAACGTCGTTATTTTAATTAAAACACCATACAATTTGTTTCACTCCTGAAAGATTTTATATTAATTAGCTATATTGAAATATGCACACTTCAATAAGATTATGGAATTATAAATTGAGATCGCCTTTAACAGTTATCAAAATGATATCACTGATTGCTAAAACAAACAAGGACATTTTTTAATCAAATTCAACATCTGTTTGATTTGGACTTTAAAGACCTTCAGTATCCAAAAGAAGAATTTGATCAAACAACCCTTCAAATCTTTCTTTATTTCTCACTTTTAACAATTGCATATGAACTCCTCTTGTGCATCTACCAACACTTGTCCAAAAATGACATCCAAATAATTTATTCAATAAAGTGGATTTACCTGAACTTTAAGGTCCTAAGACACTTAACACTAATACTTTTTCATTCTTATCTTAATTGAGCTTTTATATAATTGTTAATAAAATTTCTTTGTCAATTGTTTAAGAATCTCCATCCAAAAGTTCAAAAGGTTCCCCTTTCCTGATAATTTAACAAAGTGCTTCAATAGGATTAACTAATAATTAACTTCCTAGACTTCCAAATTATATCAGTTCTCTCCAAAATATCTCTATACCAATTTTTTTAAATTTTAATTCATTTTCTATTTGTTTTATCTAATCTTACACACCTAATACTTATAAATTACATTCTGAAGACAAAATCTGTTATTAGCTTTGATTAGAAGTTCTTATCGATGAAGTACTCTTCATCAATAGAATTTAATTCTTTTCATTTAATTTCTATGTATTTTTCTCATTAAATTACCTCAATTATTCAAGAAACCATAAATACTATATATGATCTTGCATTAAGACTTTCTAAAATAAATTTAGTAATTTTGATGGAACCCTAAATTTTTGAAACATTAAATTTTCTTCTATATCGTCTCTTAACTGCTTAATTTTGGCTTGATCACTATTAGGCTCTAGTAAAATTTCATTAATTTATTATTTTAAGATTTTGTTGTGATAATGAGAGTGACGCAATGAGAAGGCCCTTTAAGCATAAAATCCATCAGGTAATTTAATTAATGATTATAATTCTGCCTTGATCTCTTACAAAATTGTTTTATTTTTGAAAATAACTTCAGAGATTTCTTTTGACTTATTATTATATTTCTATAGAATATCCCAATATAATTATTAAGACTTTTTTGGCTAACAGTAAAATGAAAAAATGTTATTCAAAACAAATTTTGTGGCACTTTCAATTTCGTTTAACTGTAATTATTTATCTATTCCTCTCTATGATAGATCTGAAACCTAATGAAAGTTGATTTTTAATTGGATTAAATCTTACTAAATTTATGGGGGTATTTAATTTTTTTTTGAATTTCGAATTATAATGCAAATCTTGTGGGAATTAAAAATTTCAAGGGACTTAATAGATTGGATATTTTCTTGCAATTCATCTTCTGAGTCTATTTGAATTATACAAATTTGAAAGAGTGGTAATACTTTTATTAATATTTCAGGTGGAATATATCCATGAGTATCTGCAATCATAAACTTTCTTGTACCATTAAATTCGAAATCGAACATTAAATCTATTGTGTTTTCATTAATTAAACAATTATCTCCGATTTCAAACTTTTACATTTTATAGAAAATGTTATTAATCAATTCAGTTTTACCAATTTTACTTTAACTCTTACTTAACGACAAATTGATTATATTAATACTTTTTTGCATCAAATAATACAATTTGTCATTTATTTCATAAAGACTTTCCAAATTTTATATACTCTGAAATTCAGAAGCTTAATAAATCAAGGGCACAGGATAATACTTTGAATAGTACTTAAGCAACAAAAATTTTAATTCTTAATTTGAATTATTATAAAAAATCTAAAAAAGAGCTTTGCTATTGAAAAATCCATATTTAGATTATTGATTAAATATTTCTTCATTAATAAGTTAAACTAGAAGATTTACAGATTCCCCCCTTTTTAAGCTATCAAAAAAATAATAAAATAGATCATATGTAGTATTTGCGTTCATACATTTAACCCAATTACTAATGGCTAGCTTTAATTAATCATTTGTGTCTTCTGGAACTGAAAAACTGAATTGTTCTATTGCTATTTATTAATTTGTTGGAAATTGTTTATGGGTTTTTTTATGTCTTAAACATTTAGGTGTTATTTTAAAAATTTAAAAAAACTGAACACTTTCTAACCAAATTTGATATTACTCTTCATCCAATTCATAAAAACGTTCACAAAATTGTATGAATTCATTTTCATTTTTATTTGTATTTGTATTGTTGAAGAATATCTCCTAAATCAAATCCTAAGCTTGTCTATTAAGAAAATTCTATTTTAAATATAATGTTATTAATAGAATATTTTATTTTTTCTCAACATTTGACAAGCTTTAAGGCAATAGCATTAAAATATTTTATATAATCAAATTTTTATTTTTTGATTTAATTACTTTGAATTTTTCTTCCAATAAGATAGTTGCTTAAAATAAATTTAGAGTTTGTTCTTATGTAAGTATGATATTAATAATTTCAAATAGTTCAGAATTTATTTAAGTAATCCAAAAAAATTTGATTTAATCCCTCAATCCTTAAATATTTATTAATTAACAATATTATAGCTATGAAAGATCTTATAAAATTTAAAATGATAATTCAGAAGAATTTTAATTAATCTTTTTTTGTAATTCTAACCTTTATTTCTTGTAGCTTAAGTATTCCTAGTAATTGATTAAACTCTATTCTTTTGAAAAGTAAAATATTAAATAAACAAAATGTTGTAATATTTAATCATCTTTAGATTTAACTTATTCTTAAATTATAACTTGCATCGTTTGTTCTCTGCTCTCTATAGTATCTTCTTCTGACCCTATGTCGATTGATTTTAGGTCAGAAAACCCTTGTTCTATATCATATTTAGTAAGATATTTCATCCAAAAATAAAATATTATACTAAAGTACAACACTTCAATCTCTTCATTAATATTTTCAATATTTAGGATATGAGATAATATTGATTCAACATTCAATTATTATTGAGTACAATTCAGCAAATTACAAAATTTTTAAACTAAAAGTTATCGAAAGGCTTAATGATCTTCAATAAGAGAATTAACAATAGCAAAAATTTTGAAATCCTTCATTTCTGAAATAGCCCTTTCAAAATTTTCTCTGGATATCAAATGTAGTTATCTATTTTATAATGTTTAGACTATTTGTTTATATGAATCCTAATTAGAATTTTATATTGTTTCTAAATAATATTAAAATTAATATATTTGTGGTGTTAATTATGAGCCAACAATTTACTCTAAAAGATAATGTGTATCCTATATAATAGGATGGAAGAAAAAGGAAATCAAAATCTAAAGTAGCTCAATTTATGGAATGAATATTTTGCCTAATCTAAATTCATTTAGATCTAGTAAATCAAAGATCTTATCTTCTAATCTGCATGTTATTGACTCATTTTTTGAAATCAACTCATGAATTTCATTATCGATATTAAACTGAGGATCTCTGAGTTGTTAAAATATAAGTTATTTATCCTTCTCTCTCCTTGCTTTATAATACAATTATTTGTTATCTGGTCGTTCCACATATCCACTTTGCTTAAGAAATTCTTCATCTCTGAATTCTACCGACATATATTCAATTATTTTTTGCTTATCTTAATCGTCCAATCCATCCATAATAGGTCTAAGATCATTAAGAATAAAAACAGAACGAATATATCTCCTATTCTTTATCTTTAAAAAAATCTTTTATAGACTTTCCTTTGCATCATTGTTACTGATTTCAGGAAATCCTTAATTCATCCCTCAAAATACAAATTATTTATATTTATTAAATGATACATTCAAAGTAATAGATCAAAAATAGGATAAATGATATTGTATTCACTATCAGTATAAATATTAGGACTATAATTTTTACACAAAAACTAAAATGTTTAGTCGAATTTTTGTGGAATATTTTTATATTTAATACAATTATAATATTTTTAATAAATAAATGAGTTTTTAAAATAATGTATTACTAATTTTATTATTTATACGAATCATGATAAAATATATTAATTATAAAAATAATTTACATTCAATGTTTTAGTAAAGTAAAGATGAAAAAGAATCTAAAACTAAACAAAGTGAAAATAAACACAATTAAACAAATTAGGGAAATTAGGAGAAATAATAATAAGAACGACAAAAATTCAATAACAAAAAGGATTACTAATTTGCAACATTAATGTAGATTGGAATGAATGGAGTTGACTTTGAATCCATGTGTAATTAAAAAATAAACTCTACAATGTCCGAGATTATTGGTGAGGTGTGCGTTAATGAAATAAAAAAATGAATATTATAAAAGTTTAAATCAAACTAATGATATCGCACCCTTATGTTCAAATATACAACTAATTTTAAACTATTTAATCTAGTAATTTTATAACTTCCTCTTATAATAAGATAGACACTTTTGGTTTTTCCTAACTTGGACATAATTAAATGCTGATTTCTCAATATTTGAATGTTTATATTTTAATTTTTTGTTTAAGAATTATAATGTTTCTTTATATCTATTTGTTATCCTTGCTATTAACCTTAAGAGGCATTAAAATTAAAGAATTAGATTCATCCTACTAAGTCAGCAGGTAATCTATAATACTGTCAGAAAAGGATTTTACATTAACAAATGGATTTCGATATGGATTGTGGTCGAAATATAATCCCTTAACTAACATACCCTAAGTTGGAATTACCGGGCAATTTGACAGCAATTGCTTGTTCATGCACAGTGCATCTGAAAAAAATACTGAGTCATTAAGTCTGATATATTATGAATGCTTAAATTATGAATAAAAAAAAATAACGAAAATAATTGCATTTATTGATAATAATGAGGAACAACATTAATTTAGTAAGGATATTGATTTTTTTGAATATGAGAATGTATGGTATTTCTTAATGATTGTGCAATGGCCATTATAATCAAAATTTGAACTAATTTTGATGCATTAACAGGAGATAATACTCCAATCATATTTATAAATAAAGTGGCCTTTTAATGATAATAATATATTGCTGACCTTTGGTGGTAGCATGATAGTAGGTTAATCAAAAATCTCATTTATAGACCAAGGGACTAAAATTTCATATTTTCCAGGTAAACTTGTTTTATATGAATTTGAAATTGTAGATATCTTAGCTTTAGAGAACTATTAATAAATATAACAAGAATTTTTTCAATTATATTAAAATTGTCTATGTTAAGAAAATTCTTAATCTGAAATAGGTAATGTTGATATTAGTTAATTGTAAAATTTGGTGTTTGTGTCGGAAAATATAAACTGTAATTCTTTTATTTTATCTGGATGGATTAAAATTACTGAAATAATAAAGTCATAGGCAGAATTTATTTATTAAGTATTAGTCTTAACATCCAATTTTCAAAATTCTTTAGCAGATTAAAATTTAGCACCATTTTCTTTATCTTATAAGATTTCCTCTAGGAATTAAATCATCGTAACAACCTACAGCTACACATTTCCATAAGTAACAATTGATTTTTCTGATAATCCATTTTTGATCAAAAAAGAATTTGAGATTTCTCATTCAATATTTCTTTGGCATTAAGTTTATGTTTAAGTTAAGGAAGATTAATTGAAAATCCAAATTTAATTTTTGGAAGGGCATTAAGTTTATGATTATCCTTTCTAAATTAAGGTATTTTAATTTAAGCAAACTTAATTTAAACTTTAATATGGGAATAACTTGTTATCTTAAACTAATTATTTGAATATATAACTTCGAAACTTTAAGTTTTACAATTGCTATATTTAAGTTAACCAATAAAATTGTCATTACTCTTGTGAGGATTGCGAGGGTCCAAACAAAGATAATTGTCTATCCTGTAAAAAAGGATCACAGAGGATTTACTTAGCCTAATTCAAAGCTTGTGTTTGTCCATATAATACTATAGATGATTAAAATTGTTAGTCATACCAGGATCATAGTTTAGAAATAGTTCAAAATGCAGAAAAGAAATAAAGTTGTTAGTATGGATACTTTGAATATTCTGATAGTTGCTTTAAATGGTATTCTTTAACAATATGATATAGCCCATCAATTATACGGGAGAATTTAGTAACTTGCTTAGAATGTGTATAAAATCCTAAAGGGTGGATATAGAATCCATTATGTGATAGAATTTTGTATTTAAATTTGAATGGATCTGTTGAAAAAATATTTACAGATTGGTCACCTACTTATTTCCTTTTTGATGGAAATGATGCAATTTATTGTAAAAGTTGTAATAAAACCTACACTTTTATTCAAAATGAATATAATATAGAAGAATCAGAAATTTCACTTCCTTCTTTAAATTATTTTTGCTTAGGTCTACTTAAAAACTGTTTAAAATGCTTGTATACTCTATTTGGAAATACTTGCTTAGAGTGTTACTTTGGCTACATATAAATTGAAGGAGTATGTACTTCGTAATCATAAGATCGATTGGAGTATTGCATTCCTCCATTATACTTAACATTGAGGAGAAAATGTGAAGTTTGCAATATTAAATTTTGCAAATATTGCTTTCAATATGTGAAGAACGATATAAGCATTTCCACATTATACAGAGGCTTTGAATTTCTTGACCAGGATCATGAAATAATTATTGGTTGTGCTTTGTGTGAAGAAAATTATATTTATGATTTCGACAAACAGCTATGTTTCAATTAGCATCCATAATTGCAAAATTGTTAAAGATCTTTTGTAAAGGACAGTAAAGAAATTTGCACTTTATCCATGATTGATGATTTTAAATTATCTTCTGAAATTATGAATTGCCAAAAATACTTACTTAATTGTTTGCAATGTCTTTTGACTCTTGAATCTACAGTCAAATGTGTTGTTTGTGATATTGGATATACAGCTTCAATGAGGAATGGAGGTTGCTATTAAACAGATCCAATAAAAACAGTAGGAGCAAAAATAGCTATAGAAGGCTCACATTCACTATAGGATGGCTGGATTTAACGAATCTAAAGTTTCATCAATAGATTTTTGCCCAATCACTATTTTTATCCTCAATCATAATTAACTACAGATATGTAAGAATAAATAGTTGAATGTCTAGATGGATTTAAACTCATAGAGTTTGTTTGTGTAAAATATTGTGATTCCGATTGTTTATCATGTGAATATGATTATCACTAAGGTTTTTTATGCAGCCATTGCCCTTTGAATTACTATTATCAGCCAATTAGAGATTAAATAGATGGTTCTTGCTCTGGGTGCCCTTATTTATGTTAAGCATGCCAAGTTAGATCAAAAAACGAAATATATGTAATTTATCTATGTTATTACCTAGACCTTCTAACCTAATTTTTAATTGAATAATGATAATTTGATATATACAAAAAGATGTTTAAAAGCAGTATCTGATCCAAATATTTAATTAGATCTAGATAATTAGATAGCAAGGTATTGTTTTGATGAACAATGCTCATCTACTTTTTTATATGAAATCAGTTATGATTATTGTGAATTGAGTGATTCATTCTGGGAATTATCATTTAAAATAAACTATTTAAACTAAATTGGAATAGATACTTTAATTATCAAATTTATTTTTACAAGTCCAACACCATGTAAGGTTGCTGTTATATTGTTAGATTAGAAAGTTTAAACTAAAATATTTTCACTCAAAAGCGTTTAATTTATATTAACCTCAGAAATAGATTTAATTTTTTCTACATCTGCACCTATACATATTTTAAATATTGACACTTTAATTATTAGCAACATCGTTTAAAAGCGAAATGCCAACGATGACTTTATTATTCTAAATAATTAAACTTAGACAGATCTGAAATTAAATAATTATACAATTTATGATAGTAACATACAAAATTCTGAATCTCAATTTTAAATTGAAACATTTGGTCAAGTAGAATTTAATAATGTTTCAATACTTAACTCAATATTAATGAATTCATCCTTTCTAAGCTTAAGTAATTCACAAATTAGTGGAGTAATTAAAATTAATAGATTAATAATAAAAGATTGCATTTTGACAAATTCTAAATTATTTTAATTAACCAATAATAAAATTATTTTGCAAGTTCAAAATCTCTTTATTGAGGATTGTAAGTTTTAAAATTCATCAATATTTTTTATCAAACCCCCCATTGATCAATTAAGTTAAGTATCTTTTCAGAATGTAACAATAAAGGCGAGTTAATTTGAATTCTCAAGTTTTGTGAATTGCTTTAACTATGCAATTTTATCAATGATTGACATAAGATTATATTCAAATGAACTACATACTTCAAGTTTAATTACATAAAATTATAACTTTTCAATATAATACCTATCATTATTAGATAATAATATCTAAGAGTCTCATTTGATTTCGATTATTGAAGAAGATTTTAATTCAAATGTTTCAATTAATATTTTTAATTTTGTTAGTAAATAAATTTAAATTAGGAACTCAAATTTATTAAAAATTTACTCAGACCAAGAGTCAAGTAATCTATTTTTGAAAATCTCAAATTTATAATTTGAGGAAATGAAAAGTTTGTATAGCTCTGATTCTAGTTCATTCTTATTTATTATAAAATGCCTTCAATTTACTTCATCAGATATTTAAATCCATAATTTAAACAATATTTTCATCTTTTATATCTACGAAAGTAACACAATTCTTATTCAGAATATTAGATATGAACAACAAGATTAACAATATAAAGTACAATTAAGTTAAAATTGCAACAGCTAAATGATGAATAAAAATAAATTAATGAAAGTAGTAGACTTTTCTACTTTTAAACTTACACATGTATAGATTGTAAATTAATTTACAATTGATGAATCAATTTTAGATTTATCTCCAAAATAACTGTAACTCATTTCAGTTAATACTAAAATAGAAATTATAGATATTATTTTCAAAGGAAATTTATAATTACACTTATAATCATCAAGATTCTTTTCCCTATTATCTATAGATTCGGAAAGAAATATAGATATTACTATTTGTAATATTTAATTTTTAGAAAACATTTTTCATTCATAAATAGATGATACATTATTAGCTTACTCATCATTAATATATATTAATTCATAGAGAAGCATTGTTGAAATATTTAATTTATCATCAAGCCAAAATGGTTTAACAAATTCATCTAATTCTTTTATTTACATAAATTCCTTTAATTTGATGTTTCATAATTATAGTGTGTCCAATCATAATATTTTGTCTTCTGAAATATTATAAAAGTATTATGATTTAGAAGTGGACAATTTAATAGATTAAGAATAAATAAATTCATTTATATCTCAAATTCTATTTATAAAAAATATTGGAGGAGCAGCTAAGATAATAGCATCTAATTTTACGTGTGAAAATTGTCAATTTTATAATATACATGCATTTAAAAGTGCAATTTTTGAGATTATCACACAACTTTAAGGATCAGTGAGACTTATGAAAATAACAGCAAGTAACCTTTAGAGTGATTTAAACTAAATTACAAATAGTTCAGGTTGCATCAGCATATATTCATAAAATAGTCTCCTTGATCTTGAAATCCTTAATTCAACATTTTATGATATTATAAACAGAATGTCTTCCTCAATACTAACAATTTAATCTTCTAATATTTAAAATACTATTCATTTATAAAACATCTAGATTTAGAATTGCCTTTCATTGATACATTAAATCCTTTTAATTGAATTTTCTAAGAAAATTGTTTAAAATAATAAAGTATTTCTTAAGAATATCAAAGTATCTTAAGATGAAAAAGCATGGTAACGCTATTTTACAAAAGTAGGAGTCTTAAGCATAGCCGAATAATCAGATATTTCAAGCAGTGACAATGCTTTAATATACATTGAGAGTTGTTCAGCCTCATTCAAGAATGTAATATTTGAAGGATTTTATATTTCATCTATTATGATATTTGTTAATCCGCCAATCTTAGAATTATAGGAATTGTTGATAACATAAATATAGTCATTTTATTCTTTTACTTTAGTGAAGATAATTTAGCAAGCTGATTTAAAATCTAAAACGATTATCTAAAAATTAAGAATAACAAATTAAACAAATTATTTAGTTAATGACATAAGTATTTAATTTTCAAACTATTTTTTTTAAAGTATAGGGTGCAATTAATTTTAGATTGTCTCAACTACCAATATGATAAATTATTCAATATATGACCTTTTTTAAGCCATCTAAAGGTAATCATAAAAATAAGAATCGCTAATATATATATCAAGCACATCAAATAAAAGTTCGTTTCACTTCAATTAAGTATATATAATTAAAAATAATTGCACTTTATGCAGCGATGGTTTAATCTCTTTTGATTTAGATTTATTTTAGATGATAAAAATTTAAGATTTTCATTGTCATTAGAACTTTGCACAGGAATACGGATGTTTAAAGTTCGCAACTTCAAATGAGCTATCCAATGTAGTTCAATTGTAGAATTCAAATATTATACAAAATGAAGGCAGTAGAGGAATTGCAATTTCTTCCTTCTAAGTACCAATCAACTTAAAATCCTGCAAGATGATCTTAAACACTGCCAAATATGAAGGTGGAGCAATATATTTTGATTTGAAGAGCAATCTATTTTCGATCAAACACAGTTTTATAATATCAAACAAAGCAACAGAAGGGGGAGGAATTTATTTAAAATCGAATAGTAATTTAAATCTTGAGAATTCAATTCAAAATTAGCTCATCTTTAATAAGGCATCTATATAGGGGGCTAATGTAGTAGAATATCCAACTCATATGGCTTTGTTTATAAATTCATTTGAGATGCCCTCTAAAATTTTAAATTCTGAACAACCTTAAACAAAGATTCTTAATATCAAACCGTATACTACTATTGAATAAGAAAAGATAATAATTACAAAGTATCTTATGATTCCAAGTAATCAAGCTATATCAGAGTTTAGCCTCATCCTGCCAAGATTGTCTTAAACAATATTATAAATTAGCGAATTAGCCTTAATTTTTAAGAATAGTTTTAATGAAATGATTTTGAACTCTTTTAATTCAAGTTGCACTTTGATGAGCTATATTGTGATGCTGAACTAAACAAATGAAAAGAGATTTTTAAAAAGCGACATGTTGGAATTTAATATTAACTAAACAGGCTTTGATTTAACTTCGTTAACATTTTAACTTGATCCTTATAATAAAGATTATAAATATTTAGAGATCTAAATAAGTTGTTAAGCAGGACAATAGTAAAATTATTTATAATATTATATTCAATCTAAAAGTTATAAATGCTAATTAGGCGAATTTTATGTTGACTCTGGGTGTTAGAAGTGCCAACCAATTTAGAGATTTTATTCAGTTACTTATGATTCGATAAAATGTTCAATATTCGATAAAGAAAAATTCTTAGAAATTACATCAAATGCCATTTAATTAAAAAATGGATATTGGAGACCAAACTATTTATCAGATTACTCAGCTTTATGTTTTAAAAATTTAAATAATTGTGGAGGTGGATGGAGAGTTGGAGACAATAGTTGCAGTGAAGGCCATGTTGGTGCATTGTGTGAAGAATGTGATATCCACAATATTAGGGGATTTGGAAAACATTTTAAGATTTAGTCTAAGACAGATTGTTTAAAATGTTTTGGCATTCAAGATAGTATACTTCCTGTCTTTTTTAATATTCTCTGGTATATTTATATTTTATGCTAGGACAATTTTTTCAATTGTTATAACTTTAAGAAGTATTGAAAAATCTAATGAACTATTTTTATATCTCAAAATTAGGGAAAGATTTAGTAGAATCTTATTTAAATTAAATCAAGGTATAGAAAATAATTACACTAGATCTTTAAAGTATATTTGTAAAAATGTTCTTAAATTATTTGTGGATTTTTTCAGTAATACTTACATTCAATATCAACTTTTAATTTTCGTTTGATTTTATAAACCAAGCAAGTAATACATCCTATTCATTGGCAAATAATTTAGACTGTTACTTGTCTGAAATCGAAAATGTTGAGTTGATCTATTTTAAAGTAATTGTTATTTTAGTATTAATCCTATGGTAATTTTGTATTATCATTATTGGATACTTCCTCTTTTCCAAAGTTACAAAGAACGAATTTAAGTTTAGTATTGTTTCAAATACTTTACTTTGTCTTTATATTTTCAATTTTGCAGGAATTATTAATATGTAATATGTGATTATAATTAGTTTTTAGTTTATGCTCTTTGATTTCAGTGAGGGAAATCTCGCATTTATAATATATTTAGGGAGATTTAACTAGATTATTCTATACTTAAAATCATCAGCTATGGATTTTGTATCTAGTATTTCCTGGATTAATGATTTTTGGATTCATAATTCCTTTACTATTATTTTTTTTAATGTACTTAAAGCGGAATTTCTTAAATAAATCAAAATTGAGACCTCATATTTGTTATCTATTTAATGAATACTAATCAACAAGATATTATTGGGAATAAATAAAATTGAGCAAAAAGGCAATTATCATACTTTTTTTAACCTATTTTGAAACTCGAATAACTTTAAAAGCCTCTTTAATTGGGTTGACTTTATTATATTATTCAAAACTGGCATTACAAAAAAAACCATATATCTTGTCTAACCTTAATCGATTAGATTTAAAAGCTGGATATATATGTTCATTCTCTATTTTTTTAGCAGCAATTAAATATGAGAATGAAACTGAAAGCAATAATTCTCAGTCTATATTGCTTTAGATTATTATAATAGCCCTGTTTATTATGCTGTCTTATCAGTTTATTTCTAATATTACTTCAATTTATATTATTAAATATAAATTTATTGTAATTAACTATTTATTCTTGATGTTTTAATACATGAAAATGGAAAAAAGTTCCAATAAATTTCAAAGTCTACTAAATGAATATAGCAGAAGAAAACAAAGATTACAATAAAATATAGCAAAATTAAGAAAATACCTTTTATAAGTTTCAAAAAATTAAATAAAGAATAGATCGTAATTTTTAAACAAAATTTTAGTATTAAAAATTCAATTATTTCGACACCAACTGCTTCATCGAGACTTTTTAGTGTTAAACGATCTGATGTACAATAAACATTATAATGATGATATAAATTATAATAAGTTTTAATTTTAAATTCTTTAGAATAATTATATAGAAATATCAATGTATCTTAATAAACAAAAATTATTCAAAGAAACACAGAAAAATTAATGATAGGAATTAGTTCAAAACAAAGAAAGAGCACATGACAATAATCTGCTTTATTTGTCTCTGGAAAGAGTAATAAAAAATGAAGTAAATAGGAACCCAAAATCAACCATACTAAAAGATCATCTTATTATAATAATATAGGTTTCTGTATATTTGATTATTATTTATCATTCCTTTTATAATTTATAATTGTAAAGGTCACAACTTTGTAACTTGTTATTTTCGATGCTATGCACTACTCTATAACCAGAATTAAAATAGAAGATAGAATAATCTTATGGAGGTGATGTTAATTTATCTACAGGATCATAAGTGGGCGCATTTAATTGTGTTTCAACTTCGTCTTAACTATCAGATACGGCTGGAGCTATTACTGCATTATAGATAAATAATGTGCCCTATTTTTAAGTATTCCTAAACATAATTGCTTCTACATTTCCAGATTTGACAGGAGCGATTTATGATTGCCAACCGGTCTAATCAGTGTAAACCAAATTTGTAGTTAATGTTGTTGAAGTAACAGAATTAAAAACTGCTTTGAAGGACATAGGACTATTATATGTACTAAAGTATGTCATTGAGATCATTGAAACATTTGAAGTAGTTGAATGAATTGTCACGGATTGATACTTAGTCCATGAAAGGTTGGGAAAAATATTACCAGTTCTAAACGGGGATACAATATTATTTTTTATAAGAGCATCGATCCAAAACGATCCAAGAGAGAATTCCGTAACCATAATTTTAAGGTATTTCATATTGTCTTAAGCGAATGGCAAAAAAGTGATGTCAGTAATATTGATTTCAGATGTTCGACTGAAATAATTTTTATCAAACACATTCTAAGTAGTTTTAATACTCCAATCTGCTGCTGACATTACTAATGTAAATAATGTGACTTTTGTAGATTAAACTGTAAATATTGTATTATCTGTCCCTGTTATTTTGATCAAGGTTTAATTAACAATAGGGAATTACACAATATCCCCAAATTTTGAATAGTGAGTCTAATTTATGCTTTTGTATGCAACTAAGTATGGAGACTCTCCACTCTTTTGACAACCGATGAAAAAATATCCTGAAATGGGAGTAAAAATCCAACCACAAGTAAAGTTGTTCATTTTAGGAATAGAAACTGAGCTTAATACATTAAGTTCATCATCAATGATCATAACTCTGTAATCAGCTAGAATAGCATCTGTTGTGTTTGAAAGTTTTACATTGGAAATAAATTTGCCATAAAATGAGATATCATACTCTATGTATTCATCACAAAATGCTAAGCCCTTTTGTGCATACGATAGAGTCACGATGAAGGAAACGAAAAATAAAAATTTCATTATTTTAATTGTGCTTATCAAAGTGTATCTTCTTTGTTTATTAATTATATTTGAATTCTATCATTTTTATTCAAATTTATCATAAGACCATCCAAAAATAAATCAAAATCTTTAAGATTTCATTATTTATAAAATATAAGCCAACATCTGTGAGTATTTTACATTTCATATAATTCAAAATAGGAATAATGGTAACTACTTCTTTCTTCATTATAAATTTTTATTATTTATTTCGAAAATATATATCCCAAATTTTAGAGAAAAAAGAAAAATCTCTAAATACCATTAAATAGAGATTTTTCAATAATATAAGATTATGCATAGACTTTATTTTGCCAATAAACCTCTTAGACATGAATCTCAAGAAATTCAAGCGTAATATTTTACTTCATTTTTTGTCATATATTAAAAATTATTATTACTATAAATTTTATAAATGCTATTGCTAGTATAAAAGTTTTATACACTCTTAAATCAAGTTAAAAAAATATCAAAAATTGTTAGAGTAAAAAATATTTATAATATAATTTTAGAATATTAATAATAATTTCAATAATTTTTTATGGGATAAAATTGCAGTGAATGCAGTAATGTTGACAATGAAATAACCTTAGAGAGCAGATAAGTAACAGAACCAGTATCTTATCGTTACTTTACAAAAAGTGAAGCCCAATATGCTTTGAATAATACGTAAGTATTTAAATAATCTTAAGAGCAGAGGAGCTGAAAAATAGAAAGGAAAGAGAAAAGAGGTTTACTTTTGAATTTGATGATGGAAGCAAATATATAGGAGAATGGGTAGGGAATAAAAGAGATGGTTATGGAGTAATGGAATGGAAGGGTAATGAAGTATCATAGAAGTATAGATGGAACTAAATATGAAGGATTTTGGAAAAATAATAAAGCGAATGGATAAGGAAGATTCTTGCATATAGATGGGGATTATTGTAAGTGATAAAAGTATATTAAAATTAGATGAAGGATAGTTTGTAAATAATTTATGCTCTGGTTATGGTATATATCAATATTCTAATGGACACAGATATGAGGGAAGTTGGAAAGAAGATAAATTCGAAGGTTTGGGGAAAGAATTTTGGCCAGATGGAAGCTATTATATTGGTGATTATGTGAATGGGGAGAAGAATGGAAAAGGGAAATATATTTGGGCTGATGGAAATTCTTATGATGGAGATTGGTGTAATAACAAGATGAATGGATTTGGCATTTATAAATGGAATAATGGTTGTATTTATAAAGGAGAATGGCTTGATAATAATATGCATGGGTAGGGTGAGTATTTGTGGCCAGATGGGAAGAAGTATTGTGGAAACTATGAAAATGACAAGAAAAATGGATTTGGTGTTTTTTTGTATAATGATGGGAGAAAATATGAAGGACAATGGTTTGATGGCAAACAGCATGGAGAAGGCATTATTTATGAATAGGACGGTAATTATAAAAAAGGGGAATGGAGAGAAGGGAAGTTAATTAACTATATGGAAGTGAATTGATGAATAATTACACATTTGATTCATATAACATAAATTAAATAAAGATATATTTTATTTTTAAATGGTAATGAATATCACAATTAATCATGGTAGGGAGTAGACGCATATAAGAAGACAAGAGTATAAAGGAATGTTGGAAGAAAAGTAACATCAACAAACCTCTATTTGAAATTATTAATCAAGGTAAACATTAGTGGATTTATCATAGTTATATAAATTCTTAGCCAGAAGAACAGATTCCAATTTCAATGCTACAGTTTTAAGAAGACTTTAATAAACCAGAACTGCCAGATATCCAATTAGTGTAAGCAGACTCGTGAAATAAATTAATACTGCTAAAGATAAGACAAGAACATTGGTTGTAGTTGGGACTGTTACAGATGAGTAAGAAAGTGATTCATGCATTTAGTGTACGTCTTCTAACTGTTCCTAAACTTAACATTTGTGCCCTTAGATTCACTGAGACAGCCAGAAAGAGAATTCTTGCAGCTGGAGGAAAAACATTGACTTTCGATCAATTAGCACAATAAAATCCAACAGGTATCATTATAAACTATAATATTTCAAAGGCACAGGAACAATACTATTGAGAGGACCAAGAGTGAGAGAAGAATTAAAGCATTTTGGCAGAGCTGCTGGTTTACCAGGATCTCATGCAAAACCATATGTTAGTCACACTGCAAGAAGAGGAAAAGGTGCAAGATGATTGTTTTTAAAGTACATTAATATATAAAAATAAAGAAATATTAGTGCATTTTTATTAGAAATTTAAATTTTGGATTAATTTTCGAATATAAATGTTTACAATTTCTCATTCTATGAGATTGAATATTCATATTAAAAATTCTTTCTATTTTCCATGTTGATTTTGAAACCATTCAAACTTGTACATAGATCCCTTTAGCCACAATTTTTCAATCTTTTTCATCGATTGCATTATGTCATGACATTTATCCCCACTATCTTAGATTTAATCGATTCTTAAAATAACAGTTTGAGAAATCTTTGTAAATTTTTTGGTCCATACTGACCGTTCAACATTTTCCTTTTTCTTTAAATTAAGTTATTCAGGATCGTCTGAGTATTTGTTAATTATTTATTATAATGGTACAAATTTATTCTTAGTTATTCTAATATGCTATAAAACAATGTGTTTTAATCTAATTTCAGGAAGTTTTTGAAAAAAGTATTGTTAACTATAAGTAGAATATTTCATCTTGCTTAACTTACTCCCAGAAGAATGAACAGATGATGATTTTCTTGATAAGGAAATCTATTAAAATTTCTATGACAAATACTCTTTAGGGAAGACTCTCTTTATTAATTGGTAATTACTCAACTCTCTCCACTATTCTGGTATAGTTTCATCTAATTGATGATTCATTTCAATTACTCTTTAAACAGATCTTTTGAATTTGACCAAAAATAAGGAAAGTCTTTATAACTTTTAACCTATTATCTTATTCAGTAATTATTTATTGTATTCTTCCACACTCAATATCTGCATAGTCTTTTTATGCAGAATATATTCTTCTTTAGTCATTTGTAAAAAGGATTATGTATAAAATCGAGCCTCCTACCTTTTATAAGCATTTTTTCTTCCTTATTTAGATTTGAAAATTTACTTCTTTCTTCTATGAAATTATTGATGATTAATCTCCTCCTTCTTAAATGGAGCTGTCTGATTTCGAAATCCAAAATTTAACTTTGAGACATAACTCTTCTCAATATTCTAAAGGGAATAACTAAACAAACCGATTTTTTTTAGGCAACACAATAGGTTCCTCTTAATTTCTCTTCGATGGCTTCAAACTCTCCAAAGATTGTTCCCTCTAAAATATTCAATAATATGGTTTTGTCTTTTGTCATAATCCGAATATCTCCTTACAATAAAAAGAAGATTTCACTAGAACTCTGACCTTCTCTATATAACACGAATCCTTCTTCAACAATCAAATATCTTATGTTTAACAACAATAAAGAAGTAAAATTGATATCATATAAAAACAATGGAATTTATTTACATATCTCAAGCATAGTGCTTAATGTTAGGTATAGTTTTAAATTATGGGGTAGCTCTTTGGCCATAGTCTTATACTCCACTAACCAGAATTAATTATGATAGAGATTGTTTTTGACGAACAATTAGAATTTATGCTTCAATTTTTCAGAGAAATTCTAGGTATGGCCTAATTGTTCTATCAAAAACAAAAGATCTTGATCTTCATTTACTTTTGATTTTTACATCATTAAAGCAAAGTCGCCAATAGTGAAGGAGTAGAATGCCACTCCTATGATCATCCAAAGAACTGCGAATTCATAGTTAGTCTTGATATCACCATAACCAACAGTTGTAATAGTTTGGGATGACCAGTAAATATTTGTTATATAATCTCCTGAATCAAAGAAATGCTGCCAACACCCAAATATATGTATCAATAAACAAGATGTTATCATTACGTTTAGAAGGTATTTGGTTCCGCTTTTTAATATAAATTCTTGTTCAGGATTCAATGACTCTATAAATTAAACATAATTTTCTTGTCCTTTATATGTGACTTCTTTGTTATTTAAAAAGTATTTAAGCACTCTAATCATTTTGAACTTTTTAAACCATTCCTTTTCATAATTAATTGCTGGAATCACAGACAAAATATCAAAAAGTAGCCAAGTTTTTAAGTAATGTTTAAAAATGGAGTTAAAATCAATTATTAAATTATTGCATTCATCAATGTATCCAGTGAGGAAATTCATTACAATGTCCATCAAAAAGAGTATGTCAAATACAATAACTACTATATCAATTACATGATTCATTTCGAAACTGATGTAAATTGGATACAAGATGACACTTGAAAATGTTACAATTTCAATGAATATCCTCCATTTTTTAATGAAAAAATCATCAGGGTAAAATGGTAATATGGATTCCTTCTTCCATAGTTTTGAATCGAGTCTTTCTATTTTCTATTTCTTTTAATATTCTTTTAAGGAATTTATAAAGCTAATTGATATTCTCACAATAGTGACATACTTTTTCAACAAGAATATCCACCTTTGAGATTTTCTTGTCGATTCACTTTCATTTTATTATCTGTTTATTTATATAAATTTACGTAAAGATGGAAATAGTGGTGTTTCTCTTTATTGTCTTCGGTCTCTGATATGTTGACATGGCCATTAATCTGTGGGTTGTAGAAACCAATTCAATATGAGGACTTTAGTAGTTGGTTTGCAGGTTTTCTATAATTTCCTTGGAGCTTGGTTAAAAGCAATAGCCTTTCATTTAATATAAAAAAAACTTTTATTTTATTTAGCAGTTGTGGAGTAATAAAAAAGTTATAATAGTTCTACTTTCAAGTAAATTACATTGTGTGTTAGAGAATAAGTAATTATTTAAATAAAATATTAATTAAATGTCAGAGGAATAAGAAATAGATTGGGGAGTAGGTGCTCAAGCATTATATGCGATGGTTAGGGCAACAAAGGATTGCTCAAAGAGATGCGGGGCATTGCAATTGAAAAGGGACCTTAATGACACAGAATCAGAATGCTTAAGTATAATTGAAGATTAAAACCATAGAAAAATGCGCTGTGTTTCATGCAGGATCCTCAAGCACCCACCTGAGATTCTTAATAAATTATGCAGAAACAGTGCATCTTCAGTGAAATCATAAATATACATCTATATAAATCATCATAATCAGTCAATTTATTAATGTTTTAATAAGTATTATGTTAATAAATTATCATTTTGTAAATTCAGAAAATGACCTCTTAATTGTGCTTATTCCAGCCAATATTGCCAGGATTTCTTATTCAATTCTGCCAAACCACTATACCTGAACCTAGTGATCATCATTTTCCAATGACATTCCAACTATTACATGCATAATTTATAGTTCAAAATCTCTTCAAGTCCAGCTAATTTAATTATCTATTATAAGGTGAATGCCACACTATGTAATAGTAGTTTTGGATTCTATACAATCTTTTCTATATATAATCGAATAGTTTCCATAAGTAAGGCTTCTTCTCCAGGCCACAATCTTTTATTTTTGCCTTGCCCATATAAAACTTTCAATCCATCAAGAATTTCATGGAACGGTATATTTCTTGGGATTGGGAAATACTTTTTATTCTTTTCTATTTGTTTGCGTTCATCCTATGGTAAGGTGGGAATCCAATTTTATAAAATCTATTAGTTTGCCTTATTGAGAAATTTTTGAGCTTCAGGTAAATACTTTAAAATAATATCTGATTGATCCTTTGTGTGATCCATCAAAATCAATTATTTCTAGTTATCATTGATCTGTAAGTACCGATTCTAAGTATTAGAACTTTTTTTCATCAAGCCTTGCTTTTTAGGTTAAGTAATAGATTTAATAATATGATCGCCCTTGTTAATTTGAATTGAATTTCGCTGTATCGACATGCTTCTGACGGCTGAATCAGCGAGACTATTATCTTGATTTTAAGTTTAATTTAATTCGATCTACATGGAGGCTCTAATGATTCTATTCCTTTATTTATTTGGCGTTGAATTTCTTCTCTGAGAGCCAGGTCCTCTTAAACATTCATAAAACAGTTGGTTGTTATTGATCATATGCTTATAATATTAATAATAAACAATAAAATTATTATTAACTGTTTCATGGCAATATCCCATTAGTTCTTTTTTAAAAGTTGTCATACTGGGCTGTTCTCCAACTTGATAAACTCTAATTGATTAATCTATCCACTAAATCCATAATCTAAAAGGTTGAAATAACATATTACTTCTTTGTCAGTAGCATTTAATTAGAATCTACTTGTAAATAATTTTAGGTCTAAATTTGCAAAGCAGGGCAAATCTGATTTCTCTACCATAATTTTAAAAAAGTTCTCAATTTCTATCACATACTTCTTCAAAGCTAAAAACCCTTTTGTCATTAAGGATTTGAAGTAGCCAAAGTAATCACTCTCCTTTCCCATCATTAACTCTAGATATTCTTAAGTTAATTTGAATGGAGCTGATTCAAAATTAACTCCTCCTGGTGATGTTTGTAATAGAAATCCAAAATCAATATGTATCACATGGCCTCGATCATCAATTAACAAATTTCCATTGTGTCTATCTTTTACCTAGTAATTTTATTATCTAAAAATTAACCTACATCAAATATGAAAATACAGAATAACTAGCCAAGCTTTCAATGAAGTTTTTTTAAGCTTCCTCAAATGCACTTCCAAATATTTCTTAATAGATTTAATACAATGTTTTAGTACCATTACCAAACATTTTCTTAAGAGCATCAATTGAGATAGTATTCGGAATGTATTCTTGATGATATCAATAAGAATTACCTACAATACCTGAGTTGGCAGAAGTGACAATTATTTGGTAGGGTCTTAAATATAAATTGACTTCAGCTTCCTTGAATATTTTATTAAATTGTTTCATTATTTGAATTGCAAACATTTCTTATCTTAAATCGTCTCCTCCCTTTATAATAATTGGACGTATTCTGTATGAAGGGAAATGAGAATATCTAGAATCTTTTTTGTAATTCTCTATTCTTTCATCCCAACTCTAATTAAAAATTATATTATACTTGCTCCCAAACAGAATGCTTTTTTTTTTTAAATTTTTTCAATATTCGCAACTTCTCAATTGGTAATATTTTTTATAAAGTCTTGTAACATTCTTCAGACTTTTGATCATTTCTTTCTTGGGAATTCGATTTCCTATGATTTTGAGTATACGACAGATTTGAATCAACTACTAAAGAAGCCTTCCGTTTTTAAACATTGTCCAATTTTGAGGATTCGTTTTATAAAGCATCCTTGTTGTTTTATTTTTTCTGTTTATATTTAATTTTTACTTGTTTTTGCATGTATTAATCTATTGTTTGCATAATCTGACTTTACCTCTTGCCCTTCTTTTCCATCTACATTATCTTCTCTAAGGCCTCATGATATAGTTTCTGTTCTTCCTGCTCTATTTGTGCCAATTGCTTCTCAAACCCTTAATCATTTAACTAAGCTTCCACATATCCTACAACTTCAATGTTTGGTTAAGATTGAGCAGGAATAGCCTGATACTATTCTAAATCTATAGGACTACCTGTTATAAATAGATAAATTACTTAATGGTTTCAACCAATATCAGGTAAGGTACTCTTTTCTTAGTGTGAAAACACACTTAATGTTTTTCTAATATATTTACAATATATTATGATTTATTATCTTTGTCTTACTCATCATAAAATGGCAATACTACTCCAAATTAGAACTTTCTCACTATTTTTTATAAATTTTAGTTTTATTTTTGAATTAATAATTTTAAATGATGTTTTCTATCGTCCTTTGGAAATTCTTTCAATACTAACGAATGCTTTATTAGAGTTCCCATAAATTTCTACATCTCCGTAAAATACTCTTGTCTTAGATCTTTTTACTAAAAATCTTTCAATAAAATTTGATTCAATTATTCTTAATCCTATATTTCGAAAGTTTTTTCATTAAATTCTCCATTCACCATAGACATTTCCATTTGCTTGTTAATTAAGTTTAAATCTCATACCCTTAAAAATAAATCTATTTTTTCTTTCTTTTTTTTCTGTTTTTCTAATTGCAAATATGCACCAAGTAACCAATATAACTTAACCTTAATTAAATTCATACATTAAAAAATAAAGTTCGTGATTAACTGCATTTTTTCTTAAAAAAATCGAATAGTTATGGAATTTCTGTCTTGATTAACAATTAACAAAATTATGGAGAATAGAATGAAATTATTTTATCTTCTAAATTTAGCATAATAGTGTATAATAAATTCAGGATTTCTGGTTACTCTCTGTATTTTGAAATATTTTGTAATAGCATCTCAGGAGTAAAATATTCAGAATCAAAGAAATTCTTTAAATTTTTCAATTTATCTGCATTCATTAATAAATATATAAAAATTAATGTATAATAATAATTTATTAGCATTCTTTTTAACGAATTCAATTAATTTTGTTCACACCTATTATAATTAATAATAGTGCTTTAGCAAAGGCAGATATCATATTATACATGTATTCTATATATCAAATTTTAAATATAGATTGATCGATTTTATTACAATTCAAATTAAAATTTATCAATTATGGCTTATTATAAATAATCTATATTCTATAATTATTTGATTCTATGACTGAAAGTCTTATTAAAATAATTCTAATGATACTAGGCTGATATACATTCTTTCAATCCAAAATACTATTATTATTAATTTTATTAGAAAATATTATTAATAAAGCATTCAATCATCTATTTCTTTAAAGTAACTCAATTTGACCTATACCTCAAAATCGTCTTTCTCTTGATGATTTACTTATTGGTCAGTGACTCATTCATAAAAGGTTAGATGTAAAAATTGAATTATTTAACTTATTTAATTAGTTTCTTGCATTTTCTTTTTTGAGCGAAATTTTCTTCTATATATTGATTTATCATATTGATTCCCCAACAATACAAATTTTTCGCTGTCCTTTTATTGCTTCCTTTAATTTATTTAGTTCCTAAATGACTTTTAATCTACTAAACAAGGATATCTATTGATTACTTTTCAATATTAATGCTTTATTATAATCTAATACAGTCTGATTGCAATCAAGTAATTTTAATAACATTGAGCTCGATTCGAATAAATTATTACCATTCATTCTAATTCTTCCTAAATATAGGACTATTTCTAATTTAATTCTTAAATGCATTCTGTATATTTATCGATTTTCTCTTAAACTCATACTATTTAAATAGTTTGTTTGCTTATTCTTTATTTAAAACTGATGACGACTTTATATATTTCTACCATCCTTTACTACAATGAAATTATTAATATTTGTTTGTTGAGGTTTATTGTAAACATCGACAACTATTGCTTCTTGAGTTTTCTCCAATTATTATTTACACCTACTTTATTCCAAGTACCAGAATAAAATTGAATTTTCTCTTTCAGTTGTTTGCTTGAAAATTTCTGATTGTTTTTCCTATTCAACTTTACCTCTATTTGACTCTGAATTTAGATCTATTGATAAATTTTATTTTTTTCCTCTAGTTTTAAGATGTATTTAATTATGCTACCACAATCATAGAGGTCATGAATATATTTTTGATTTCCAAAGCCTTCTTTTTTATTTACTATTAAAGCTTAATTGACATTAAATTCTAATATTAATAATTAAATTACAATAATGAAAATAATTGAGTTTTATTAAAATCAGAACTGATACCAAAAGTGAATTTAATTATAATTTGAGCCATAGTAATGGACGATTAAAATGGGAAATTAGAATTCAAATCAACTTTTCTATTAATATTTATTACAAGTTAGGATTATAGTAAGTTAAATTATATTATTATTGAGAAATGACAAAGAAAATAATTGATATAACAAATATTATTAAAATGTAATTCATATTAGGATAAAAATAGAATATGAGGATAGACAGATTTAATAGCAATAATTTAAATAGTATCTTATAATTAAATGATGAATTTGTTAATATACTATTTTATTAATGTAACATTGTTCATTAAGATGTCTTCTTTAATTCTTCCAATTCAAATGCCTTCTTTATTGCTTCCTATTAATGTCTTGATTTAATTCCAACTTATCCTCCTCCGATGGTTCTCAATAATTCATGGTTTTCATTATAATGTTATCTTAAATCTCTTGCCTTAGAATACAAAAAAATTATACTAAATTATCGAATTCAGCTTGATCTTCCTTTCTAACTTCGGTCAAGGCAACACAAGTGGCAGTTTTTTGATGAACCAAAGATCCTAATCTTGCCTTATCTAAGAAATATATTAATGAATATAACTTTTGATGAAGCAGAATGGAACTTCCTATCTTCTGCATAATTGTGGTAACCAGACAACAAGTTCAATAGGGTCAACATCATAAGCAATTACAACAAGCTTAGCCTTTTTAGTCTCAACCAATGTAGTCACATGGTTTAATCCAAATTTAAGTACTTAGACTTTCTTTGATTCTGACTTTTAAGCTTATGCCTTTTATTCAGCTAATTTGGTTAATCTTTATTTTTTTTCAGTTTTGGTTTCTGGTGAATATTTCTTCAATAAACCCAATACTTTAGATGCTTGAATATAGAAATAATATTTACATTGATTTTTATCAAGTGTTTTGCTGAATTAATGAATAGCAGCTGGTACTTTGATTCTTTGTAATAAAATCTTTTTTTATCTATGAAGTAAGATATATCTAGGCCATCTGACATATCTTGATAAATCTCTCTTTGGCTAAACATCATTTCCGATTCTAAAGTTTTTAGCATCCTTTACAAAAAGTGGATTCTTTTTTCTGTCAGCTACTTTCTTTTATAATTTCTTAGCTTTGCTGGTTTTTGGAGCTTTTGGCTAGAGATTACTATAGATTAAATACCATTGAATATCTTTTTAAATTAAATAATATTTATATAACACAATATATTTATCATTTTCTTTTTGAGAATTTAGAGTTCATAGTTGACTTTAGATTGTTGACTTTAGATTCCTTTCTTCTAATTATTAGATGGCACCGCTAAGTTCTTGTCTATAATATAGGAAAAATTAATACATTTAAATTTAGATAGTTAATCACTTTTAAATCATTTAATAATTCAAAATTTAAATTTCTTCTGTCAAAGAGGTGATCTTTATTAAAATACAAGTGATTGTTTTGCATAATGATCTTACAGTTCAACTGATTATCATTTCTATTCTTCAATTTTTATCTAAGTTAAATAATTTATGCTTCAAAAATTGCATTTTTTTTACTTGTTTAACTTCTTTAGAGTAAAAAGATTGGTCTTATATAATTAAATTTACATAAATTCAAGCAAATATACTATTTATGAACATTCTAAGCAAAAAAATAATAATAAATAGGTAAAATGATTAGAGGAAATATTAGATTTACTTCTTAGAAAAAAGCTTAATCAACATTAAACTTTTCATATAAATTAATTGTAAAATCCATGTTTTTTATTGCAATTTAAAAAGTATATTCAAATTTTTAATTAGTTGGATTTATTTTCAGTTATTATTCATTATTTGAGTGATAATATAAGAAACACTTTTTAATATTATATTCTTAAGCCTATAAAATTCAAAATAGTTCCTTATACAATCATTTTTCAGATATGAGGTCATAGAATAAATTCATTTATCCATAAATTTGGATTAACAGAATTCAAATATTTATGAATTTCATTATAAATGGCATTCGTCAATAAATCACCTTATTTATTGAGGTTTTATATTATTACAATTAAGCACTTATGCACTTAACTGCTATCCAACATGATAACAATATTTTTCTTCATAATGCTAACGAAGCAAATTTAAGTAATTCGATTATAGCCTTCATAAATTCGTTCATTGATTGTTCCCAAAACTATTTAATTAGCCAAAAAAATATTTGTTCCGAATGCACTCAAAATTAAATCTGCTGCCTTTATGTTTACACCTTGATTTTTGGATTCTTTTTTAATTAACAACATTGAGGAGAAGAATAAGTATGTCCAAAAGAAGTTTCGTCTAAAAAATAAACCAGAATATTTAAATTTTGCATTTAAGTTATCCATCCCTGTGCTTCTCCTATCCTGTTTTAATGGCTTATTATAGGTCATACAACAATTCCTTTTTAAAATTTATCTAAATTTTTCCATATACACAGCACTTTAATCTAAATTAAATTTCTTAAAAAATTTATATAATTTCCTAGCTTACAACAATTGTTCTAAGAAACTATTTTTAACTACGTTAACAACCCATTTGACATGATCCTTATTAAGCGCAAAGTATAAATCTAAACATTTATCTACCTCTAAATAATTTAATATAATTAATTTAGCTTTTATTTAGACCAAGAAATCCAGCAATATATGATTAGGATAAGAATCTCTAGAAAGTAGTTTGACAGTTTTGAGATGTCTTAAGTCTCTTGAAAAGTGCAGGAATTTTTAAATAATACATTGTTATTATTTGAGAATCTTTCCTTTCTCTTTTGAGTCTTAATCTTTTCCATTCTAATTTCGAATCTCCTTCTTACTTTCCTCTAAGCTGAGTGAATTTAAATCTAAAATTTGTTCTTACTTAAGATGCCTTTAGATTGTTGCTTAAAAATTAGTAAAATACTGTCATTCATAGTTACACACCATAATTTTGTTCTTATTATGATTTTTTTAATTCCAAATTGAAAAAATTTCTAATTGTTTATAAAAAAACACCCTTATAGAATGGCACAGCATTTCCAAATATTTATAAAAATTAAAACCAATAAGATTTAAAGAAAAACTGTGATTGAGAAAAATTTTCTTAAATTTGAAAATAAAATGGTAAGGCAATTCATAAATGCATATGTTTCCTAAAAAGGAATAAAATTACCTTATATATTATTATTATTATTTTAGTTTCTATCACAGTAATAGCAATCTATTGTTACCATTTAAGAAGCAAGTGCTGTTATTGGTTCCTAGAGAACATTATACTAAACATTTATTTTAAGGAATCTATATGTATCTGACTATTCATCAGCAACCATTAATTTTTAACTTTTTACTAGAAGTTGCTCTCAAAAGATGCTATAGAATAGAGAAAAATAAAGTTAAGTTTGGATAGTTAATAAGATAAAGAACAAAAATCCAATTATACGAAGAACTTCAGAAAATTTGCCATTAACGAGAATAACATTAACGGAATGAGTAATAAAAATAATCAATTAAAATGAATATGATTAAAACCAATATTCCTAGATGATTGTAATTATATTATAAATACAGAGTAAGAATAAATCAAAAATAATAACTTGGTTGATAATACCTTGGATTCATTATGGAAAATATGAATCTGTTTAGAATGATTCTAATAAAAATTTTATGTCAATATTAAATTAATGCTTAACTGTTTATGAATTTGATTGAAACATATAAATTGTGAATTCAAAGTAATAATTATACGGGACTAATTATTGATGGTGCTTCTAGATAGCTATTTATGTATTTGTTTAGTTTCAATTTTCTTTTCTATTGAAATTCTCTCATTTTTCGACATTCAACATANAGCTTACAACAATTGTTCTAAGAAACTATTTTTAACTACGTTAACAACCCATTTGACATGATCCTTATTAAGCGCAAAGTATAAATCTAAACATTTATCTACCTCTAAATAATTTAATATAATTAATTTAGCTTTTATTTAGACCAAGAAATCCAGCAATATATGATTAGGATAAGAATCTCTAGAAAGTAGTTTGACAGTTTTGAGATGTCTTAAGTCTCTTGAAAAGTGCAGGAATTTTTAAATAATACATTGTTATTATTTGAGAATCTTTCCTTTCTCTTTTGAGTCTTAATCTTTTCCATTCTAATTTCGAATCTCCTTCTTACTTTCCTCTAAGCTGAGTGAATTTAAATCTAAAATTTGTTCTTACTTAAGATGCCTTTAGATTGTTGCTTAAAAATTAGTAAAATACTGTCATTCATAGTTACACACCATAATTTTGTTCTTATTATGATTTTTTTAATTCCAAATTGAAAAAATTTCTAATTGTTTATAAAAAAACACCCTTATAGAATGGCACAGCATTTCCAAATATTTATAAAAATTAAAACCAATAAGATTTAAAGAAAAACTGTGATTGAGAAAAATTTTCTTAAATTTGAAAATAAAATGGTAAGGCAATTCATAAATGCATATGTTTCCTAAAAAGGAATAAAATTACCTTATATATTATTATTATTATTTTAGTTTCTATCACAGTAATAGCAATCTATTGTTACCATTTAAGAAGCAAGTGCTGTTATTGGTTCCTAGAGAACATTATACTAAACATTTATTTTAAGGAATCTATATGTATCTGACTATTCATCAGCAACCATTAATTTTTAACTTTTTACTAGAAGTTGCTCTCAAAAGATGCTATAGAATAGAGAAAAATAAAGTTAAGTTTGGATAGTTAATAAGATAAAGAACAAAAATCCAATTATACGAAGAACTTCAGAAAATTTGCCATTAACGAGAATAACATTAACGGAATGAGTAATAAAAATAATCAATTAAAATGAATATGATTAAAACCAATATTCCTAGATGATTGTAATTATATTATAAATACAGAGTAAGAATAAATCAAAAATAATAACTTGGTTGATAATACCTTGGATTCATTATGGAAAATATGAATCTGTTTAGAATGATTCTAATAAAAATTTTATGTCAATATTAAATTAATGCTTAACTGTTTATGAATTTGATTGAAACATATAAATTGTGAATTCAAAGTAATAATTATACGGGACTAATTATTGATGGTGCTTCTAGATAGCTATTTATGTATTTGTTTAGTTTCAATTTTCTTTTCTATTGAAATTCTCTCATTTTTCGACATTCAACATACAATTCTTATTGTGAGTAATTGCATTCTTCTAAGAATTACTTCATCTCGAATTCCTTAAAGAAGTTCTCAAGATCTAATGATCTCTTTGGAATGGATTTATAACTAAACTCTGGTAAATTAGCTATCTAAATCGACATTTATTAGATGTTTCTGTTAAAAATTTAATTATTAATTTTTTTCATTATCAAAAATTTATGTCATCGTAGAACAATTAATATTACGATATAACTAAGTCGTTTAAACAATAAATATCAAGAATGAGCTCTGAAATTCTACTTTAAAAATTAAAAAAATTAGACATTCGCATTTCTTTAAAAATTACCAGTAATTAAAATCATTTTACTCTTTTGTATTATTATACCCTTACAATTATTTCACATAAACTTAGGTAAATAAGAATTTATAAATAAAGTAATCAAATAAAAGAGTTATAATATATAATAAATATATAATATTAATTCAATAATTTGTTCCTATAACTAATATTCATTTAATATCATATTTAAGGCATTTTCCAAATAAAATAGCCTTAAAATTTGAAATTTGAATTGCAATCAGATTAATTATTGATTTAACTTGTATTTGATTGCAATTACAAAAATAATTTTATTATTTACTAATGAATGATTTGCAATATATTTACCATTTATTATTATTTAATAATAACTAACTAAAAAGTAATGCTCCAAAAGAAGCAACACTAAAAAACATAATCAACAGAATTGTCTAGTCAAGCACTAATGAATTATTTATCAACTCGAGAAGCTCTAAATGCTCGAAAGTCTAATTCTCCAACATTTTAATTGGAGTAAAAAGTATAAATTTGTGTACACAAAGAAGAAATCAATTGGCCCACAACAAAGTCCTTTGCTGAAATCTAATAATTCTTAACCAAACTTAAAAACATCATAATAGTAGTAACGAAATATATAATATAGGCAAAACTCAAGAAAAATATAACAATAAAATGTGCTTAAATCGAGAGGGTTCATGTCACCTAAAATAATTAGTTAAGAAAGGAATGATTAGAAAATATAGGTGAAAAGCAATGGAAATCACATGAAAACACAACCACATTCGCATCAAAATTCATAATCAAAAATCAAATCAATAGAAAATGTATTGGATGAATTTACAATCACATGTACTTAGATATATTATCATTACTCAAAGCTCCTAAGCAACTATTATAATAAGACATTTTAAAAACATTACCTTTTTCTGCATCCACCAGGGCAGATCAAAATTTGAAATAAAAAGCATAATAAGCAATCCAGGATATAAAATAGAAATAATCATTGGATTTATTATCTAGATTGAATATTTAAAAGACTTTAGCAATCTAAAGTGCCAAAAATTAATCTTAATAAATACCAACCTTAGGGCAATTAGAAGCCCAATTAAAAGTTCATTAGAAATCTAATAGTGCCTAATTCATTGAAACATAAAAATTTTAAACCCATGCTAGTTCTTAACCTCTGATTGAATTCACACCAGATAAAAAAAAACCAACGACTACTAGGTAATAAATTAATTAACTTAGAAAATGTTAATAAGATTTAATGGCAATAATTATTTAGTATAAGTCATTTAAATAAAAAATGACTATTGATATCTCGACCAACAAAATATCTTGGCTTTTGGACACAATTAAATAAGAAATGATGAGTCATTTTGGAAATACATGTTAACCTATAATTGGAATTAAAACCACTAATATTTCTATTCCTGTTGATTATATTCTATCAAAGATTGAAAGGCCTTTGTCTTTATTATCGAATTGTCCAGTATAACCATTGATTATCGAACCTATGATTAATGTGGAATAGGAAATGAAATAATCTCGAGTTAGTTTGAAAGATTTCGAATTTATTCGATGTATAGGAGTTGGAGGATTCTCTAAAGTTTATTTAGTAAGAGAAAAGAAGACTGGCTAATTTTATGCAATGAAATTGATTGAGAAAAAGCCTATCCTATAGCAAAACAAATAGAACATAATTCAAAACGAGAGAGATATCATGTATAATTTAAATCATCCCTTTATTGTTAAAATGCAATATGCATTTGAATCTAGAAAATACTTGGTTTTTGTATTAGAATATTGTTCAGGAGGAGAATTATTTTATCTCCTAAGAAAAGTATTATTTTAAATTAAAGTTAGGTTAAAAGAATGAGTGAAGAAGAAGCCTTTTTTTATTTTGCAGAAATCTGTTTGGGAATGAAGAACTTACATGATAATAATATTATTTATAGAGACATCAAACCTGAAAACATTTTAATTGATTTTGATGGACATGTTCGAATAGCAGATTTTGGTTTATCAAAGCCTCATATGGAAAATTAGGAGGTGGCGTATTCATTTTGTGGATCTCCTGAGTATATGGCCCCTGAAATGTTATTAAAATAAGGTCACACCTTTTAATTGGATCTCTATTGTCTAGGAGCTTTGTTATATGAATTAATAACTGGTTTACCACCTTTTTATTCAAGGAATACAGATGAAATCTATTAGAAAATCCTAAATTAAAAATTGAGTTTTCCACCTTAATTATAAATGTCATAACTCTTAAAAGATTTGTTAAACAATTTGTTAGCAAAGACTCCAAAAAAAAGAATAGATAATATTGACTCTCTTTTAAAGCACCCATGGATGACTTAATGGAGTGATAAAAATCTATATAAAGATTTTTTAATGAAAAAGATTGATCCTCCATTCAAACCAGATTACTTTTCATTCAATTTCGATGAGGAAGAATTTGGGAAGGGAGAAAACGAATTTCTTTTGCAAATAAAACCATTGCAATTAAATTTGTTAGAAAATTTTCCAAAAGAAATATTCCTTAAGAATTTTTATTATAATCAAAATGAAAACCATTTTGCAGAAAGCACTGGTGGTACAAATTTAAACTTGAAATTGTAAGAGGAATTATTATAGCAAGGAACATAGAGACAAAAGTCTAAGAGACTAAATACTTTTGATGATGAAAATACAAATTATGTTAACGACTAAAAAGTCTTCATATTAAATTAATTAAGATTATAAACGGAGAATGAAATAAAAAGAAAATCTGCATTATGAATATTAAATATTAGATGTATTTTTTTATGCTTTTTACTTTAATAAATGTACTTTCAGAATCATTATTATCTTCTTTATCCTCTTCTTGGTTATTTTTATTATTTTTCTTCGACAACAGGCTCATCAATGGGAATGTCAATTTCCAAACCAGCTTTTTCAAGCATTCTTTTAACATCTTGATCTCCTCTAAGATTGTCAATATCAACAGATGATTTTTCAGGGACGTAGTCCAATCTTCTCTCTCTTTCTTCTTCTTAAATCTATAGTTTGAAATGTGACCATTACTTTGAGTGAGATGCCCTTTACTGATCCAGTTTAGATTCTCTTCAAAAGATGTGTTGCAAATCCAGCAATTTTATTTCTCAATTTTTTTGATGGTACTTATCCAACTTCTGAGAGAATCTTTTTATTGAAATGAAAATCTGAAGTGAGTTTCATGTAGTATTTTTCAATGAGGACTTTAGCTGCCTTCTTAACTGTCTTATTTCTAACTCTTCCCATGAATGAATTTGAAAAAAATTTATATCTTTAATTTATGAAAAATAAATCACAGCAAAACATTAAAAATGCATTTAATACATAAATTCTTAATTCTTTTTTACTATTGACTTCGAATACATACATTTTGATAATCCTTAAACACTTAATAAAGTATTTATTAGTTAAGTGATAAATATTTTAATTTCTATATATTTATTAATGTTGATAGTACAGGTTAGAACGCCGAAAATAAAAATGGCAACACATCGAGCATAAAATAGTTAACCATCAATGCTTAATTATGGTAATCTAAATAGTTTCCATGAATTTTTTCAAAATTAATCAAGAAGCTTACAAAAAGGTGAAGGTACAAAGGATAGTAGATGCAAAACTGAATCAACATAAATTGAATTAAAAGCTAATCACGCTCATAAAATATCAAGCCAATCGACAACAATCAGTTTAACAAACAGCACTAGTTATAATTAGAGATTATCTAAACAAAATTAAAAATCTAACAGTAGTCATAAAATAATAGAAAAAATATTACCGAAATCTGTAAATCCATTTTAAGAAGATGAAGGCACAGTTAATCAAAAATTATAATCTTAGTTAAAGAAATTATTAATCAAAACTAAAGATATCATCAATTCATATGAAATCACTTAAAAAAAGTAATAAATAACTGAATCATAATTAAAGCAAGAAATTGTTTAACTTAAAAAGATAATAGAAAATTAATAAAAACAACTCAAAAAACATAATATCTAATATTGAAATGTTAGTCTGAGCAGGATTTTTTCCTTTTACTTCCTAAATGATTTTTATAAATATAGCTATATAAATTAATTAATTACTCAAATGGGAAATACAGTTTAACATAAAAGGAGAAATCCAGCTAATTGTCTGGGATGCATGGCTTAGGATCACGAGACCTTTGATCCGAACGAATTGCAAATAGGACTTGAAGTAGACAAAGCTAGAGGTAAGTAATTTAATATTTTTAAAGGTCGAATCACATAATAGTCAACTGCCTATTTAACAGAAAATGAGAAGAACTTTTTCAAGGCAGCATCAGGACGTAATTTAGGATTAATTCGATTCTACTTAAATAATGGGATTAACATCAACATTTTGGATGAAGATAGAACTTCTCCCTTGTAAAAATTGAGTTTATAAGTTTTTACTTAGACATATAGCATCCAGATATGGTTCAATTCAAGTAGTCTAAGAACTTATTAATAATAATGCTAATATAGATATAACAGATATGGCAGGATGGACTCGTATAGATTATTGTCTAAATTTAAGCATTACATGTAGCAGCTTTTTACTAAAGAGCTTAGGTTTGTTCAGTCTTACTAAAAGCAGGTGCAGATCCAAAGATAAGAAATCGAGAAGGCAATCTGGCATAAGATTTAGTAAGGGACAAAATGACCTCTGAAATATTTAAATCGTCTATAGAGATATAGAACTCTTGTGTTGAGAGACAAGTTAAGAGAATTGATCCTGCATAAAGATAGCATGAGGAATATTTTCAGTTTCTCAAATAATAAAGACTGTAAACTAATTTTTTATATTAGAAAAAGTTAGGAATGCAACAGTCTATGTGAGAAAGTATCATAAGGAAAACTCATAAGTCCAAATTTATCTCCGACTAAATTGATTTCAAAAGAAAAAGAAAATTAAGGATTTTAAGATTCTATAAGCAAATCCATAATTTCTGAGTAAGAACACAAAGACATTTAGGATTGTTATAAGGATCTGTCTTCTAAAATAAATCGTAATTTAGTCTCCCACTAAAATTCAATTCCTAGATCCTTTGATGAAATGGTATAAAATTTATTATATGATTACAGTATTCATTAAATCAGTTAGTGTTAATGTAAAATTCATCCAGAGAACTTGTCACCTTTCTCGATTAAGTTAAACTAATTAAGCATGATTACAATTCTGAAAACTTATCACTAGATTTATTCAATCACAATTCCATAATTGGTATTTCATTTATGATTGCTACTTAAATTATTAAACCTACTCCCTAATCCATCATTAACTGGTTATTCTAAGATATTGAATTAAAAAACAAAGTGCAAATATCAAAGTACTATCGAATTATATTTACAATAGATTATTGTGCAACATCAATTTGCAAGAATAATAACAAATTCTAAAATTATTTGTTGATAAAGTCGTGATGACTGACAATCTAATTGATTCTTTATAAGGGTTATTCAATAAATTGTTAGTTCAGAATGATCCATTTATATTAGACATTCTGGTTAAAGAATTTAGTCGACGATTTTATGAATTTAATTGTCACAATTCGAAATCTCAAACTTTTCCATTCAAATCGGAAGAATCATTACATATGTTTACTTTTGCCCTTGTTATTTTGGATGTTGAAAATGATAAATATGATAAAGAAAATGCTTTCAAATGTTTCTTCCAAAATATCCAAACTATTAACAATGGAGATAACTTGAGTTCAAAATTTATTTAATCAATCGTTGAATAATTATAATCTTAGTAAATTGTAAGATTATGTGAATAACAAATTGATAATTCATTGTATCATGTTTTCAATCATTATTGTACTCCAATGCTCCTAAAAGAATAAAAAGAGGTATTTTATAAGCTTATTATAGATCCGATCCGAGAAATGGAAATTATATGTAATTAGTGATGTTTGCATATTGATTGCAGATGGAAAGATGAAAATTCTGTCGAGTTCAAAGTGTGACATCATTATGAATAAATAAGAAGTCACAATTTAAGGGAAGTAGAATTCTTAATTAATCTATTTTGTTTGCAAAGATGATCAAACCTTCATTTTAAAAATAAAGAATAAAAAATTCAGATTTGTTAATCTTTAATGATACTATTTAAAATGTATTTATTTATTAATTACATTTTTAATAAATATGTTATTAATATTGTATTTTGCATTAATCAAAGCATAAATATATACCCACACATTTTTAATATTAGATTAATAAAATAGTGTAAGAATTATTTTATCATTTACAGATAGGAGTGCCAAATTATTTGAATAGATAATTGATAAGTACAAGTCACAATTATATCCCAAATTTACAAGATTAAGAGGTTAAGAAGAATATTTTGAATTCTAATTTTTCTAACTATTTCAATAACACAAGATTTTCATATGGAAAAACAAAATTAAACCCAGAAATAACATTTGTTAAAAATTAAGCCATTGTTGTTTATTATCAATATTAAAACTTATTGTCTAATAGCGAATTAAAGGAATAGTATAATGAATTGAAAAAATATTATTTTACTGACGAATTTTACATTATCATACATCATAAGGTTGATAAACACTTAACAGAAAACATTTTGTTCTCAACAAACCCTGCTAAGTATATTAAAGAATTTTCTTAAAACTTGGATTTCATAGAATTTCAATAATAGTATAATTTCACAAACGAGGTCATTAAACTAGTTAACAACAAAAGCTAGTGTTAGGATTTACAATCTTATATATCTTCAATTAGAGATTATAATTAGTTTAAATAAATCAAGGACAAATTTCAATAAATTAATCAAATTTAATAGTGGATTGATGGTTGGATTATTAGCAATAACACTAAATTTGCTTAATTGTTGTTTGATTAACACATTACAGCAATTGAAGAATTATTGAATCAATTTCAGACTTCTTGTTAATCGAGCGATTTAATATTTTAATTGAATATTGATAATTACTAATATACAATAATATCTATTTGCTTGATAATGTTCATAGTAATAAAGCATTTTGCTAAATAATTCACATTTAATGATGATAAGGATAAGTTTGTTTGATCAAAATATTTTTGTGTTTAAATGAGATTTATAATATAATTTAATATAGAATAATAAACAATATCATCATTTATTTAATAGCAATTTAGCATCATCCATACTTGTTGTCAGATATTCAAATCTTTTTTATTTCTCTGTAAACCATATTGGAATTAGTCTATTTTTGTTTATTACATATTCATTTGATGATAACTCCTCTATAATTTAAATACAGTTCGATAATAATTCTTATTATTATTATTATTACTTACCAAATGGTTGTAAATAGAAACAATACCTTTTGTAAAATTAAATAAATTAGGTAAAGACTTTGAATTAATTTTGATGTTTGGTTATTTTAATTCTTGAAAGAAAGGATGCAATAGAATTTCAAATGCAGATATTCTTTAATTAGGATCATAAACGAAGATTTTTTCTAATAAATCTACCAATTAATCATTTTCAATTTCTTTAAACCGTTTAGCCATTGAAAACTTAGGAATCTCAGGCATTTTGAGATCCAATATTTAAGACTTTAGATTTTTCATCTCTTCAAGAGTAGGTGTTCCAAGTAATCTTATAATATCTGCCATAGTTTCTACAGTGTTAGATCCAGTGAAAAGTTATTTGCCTAAAAAGCATTCTGCTATGATACACCCCAAACTCCAAATGTCAACTTATTAATTGTATAATTTAGACCCTAACAATAATTCAGGAGCTCTGTAATGGCGTTCACCAAAATAATTTGGAGAAGCTATGGAAGAGAATAATTGTTTGGCACTGTTAAAATCACAGAGTTAGACACTTAGTGTATCAACATCAATCAATATATTTCTAGGGTTGAGATCTCTATGAGTAATGTTTTTATGATGTAAATAAGATATTGCTCTGACGATTTAATAGATAAATAACTTAAATAAGATTTATTTTGCTTTCTTTTCCTACTTAATTTGATTAATCAATTTAGCATCTGTAGTTTCAGTATTTTCTTAAACATTCTAATGTTTATAGAAATGCTATAAAAAGGATCGTAAATTGCAACTCATCAAAGGCATAATCTCATACAACATCGGTCTATTATCCTATATTATTTTAGAGATCATACATTAGATTAATCATGAATTATATAGTGATGCTTCAGTTCAATGATGTTTGGATGTCTTAATTACTTCAGATAATAGATCTCTTTTGTGCATTTACTCTAATTAACTTTGCTTATTTTAAGGGCATAATAATTAAAATGTCCTTCAATCATAATTCGATAAACTTGAGTATTATTTCCATCATAGAGAACTCCTTTTCTTGTGATACTGCTTTCAGATATGACACTTAAAGAACTCTAATTGTATTTTAAATTGCGCCCACTGGATTTCATTTTGTAATCTACAGATGACGACATCATACTATTGTTATTAAACATTTATCTGGTTGATTTTTCTACTGATTTTGATAGTATTTTATTTATTTTTGATTTTTTCATCTAATTATAATTCTTTTTGTATTGCTGATATTCAAAAAGAGTCTTATGAACAGGATTAGAGTATTTAATCAATTTGGTTGTATCAATAAGTGTTTTAGAAGTATCAATCGAAGCTAATTTAGGTTAAAATTTAGAGCTCCTTTTAAATAGACTGATTTAATTATCAGAAAACATTATTATAATATATATAATTTAATGTAATAAACTAATGTACATCCACAAGTGCTATTAAGCATCTCTTCATAAATTTTGGCCAACAAAGTCAATTTCCCTGGCAAAGCACTTCATGCTGGTATATTATTGGGCTTCTACAATGCCAAAATCAATAAGACTGATATCTTGGATTCATTTGAGATAAGTTATTCAGGCAAGGAGGAATTGACTCAAGGTGAGATTGAATTTTTGAAGGAAAGATAATAACTACGTTTAAAAGGAGATAAGTGGAACCTGTTTAAAAACTTGGATATAGTAGGTTTAATTCATAATCGCTATTATAGGATGGTATATCACAGATAGTAATCCACATAATTATTTAAAGCTACATATGTAAATTTAAACCTTGGCTGAAGCAGAAATTTCAGAAAATCAAACATCCTTCTTTAAATATCTATTGTGCTTTGATCCACGTAGTACTTAAACGAGTTTATTTGAACTTGAGGATAATAAAATGCAAGTATCCTAAAGTAAGATTGAACCACAATCAGAGGAAATGATTGGCATCACCTCATTGTTTTCATAGTAAAAATCAAATAAAAAGTATGACTTAAGAGTTAATTCATAACTTTAAATGATTTCCTTCTTAGAAGTATTATATTATTTCTATAATCCTTTTAGAAAATGTTATAAAAATTACTGCAATCATTAGATGATCCATAAATCATAAATAATCCTTTGGCTTTACTAAAGATAAATGAAGTACTGATTTCATTTCCATAAATTAACCAATAAAATATTGAATAGGACTACTTTAAGCTATTAATAATCAGTTATTATTGTGCAATTTTAAAGATGGATGTATAAAGAAATAAATCATGAAATTGATAAAGTAAATAGAATAAAAATTATAATCAAATCAATAAAACAAACTAAGTTAAAGTAATAATTCCGATATATCCTCTTTATTATTTATATGAGTGTAATTAAACATGATGTTGACGTATTAAATAGCAAACTCTTATTGTTTTGGATTTTCTAAATTGAATATCTTAAATATGTGATTGGATCTTTTCTCTATTATTAACTTTGCTTCATCTACTTGGTTACTTAGCTCAATCATATTTAGACAGCTAGACTATTGTACATCAGCGAAATACTCCCATTTATTCTTCTCGAAATTAAAGAATGTTGTTTCATCTTAATTTTAAACTGATAAATAATCTGCTTTCAAAGAAGATGTATAATTAGTTTTACATTGAGAAGATAATGTATTTGAAATCTTGGTATAATTTTGCTCATTTTCTTCTAATAGTAACTTTGAGAGAGTGTTGCTTTAAACCTTATCTTAAATAATTTAGTCTTTTAAATATTTCTTCGTGACCTTGAATTGTTCTTTTAATATTAGAGACAATTAAGTTTCAATATATTTAAAAACCGATGGATAGATATAATAAATGAGTACTTATTCATTTAATAGTTGATTTAAGAATCTATTTTCCTTTACATACTTAAGTATTGCTTCAACTTTGTTATAAAATGATCTATCAAATTCTTCATTTAACAATTCTATTAGTTAGTTTAGGAAATCTTGAAACCCATTTGAATAAGTAAGTCCTACATTTCCTAAATAAGTTAATTGATATTCGTTGGTTGATATCTCTATAAAATCTTTAAAATATTGTATTAATTCTTTATTATTTTTACTATGTAATAGATCATAGATTTAATGCTTATTCAATCTAGGTTAAATGTTGTTTCCCCATATTTTATACATGAACTACTAGAAAGTGAAATCAAATGGAATTTTTTGACATCGACCATCATTCATAAACTCAAAAGGAAAAATAGAGCTCAAAACATTGATATTTAGTTTGTATTGATTCCAGAGAAGAGAATAAAAGAGCATATAGTATTTTGAATTGATTCTTGATAAAAATAACTTAACCTTTTAGCAATAAATATCAGTTGTGTTAAATAGGTTAAGAATCTCAAAAATAAAAGTGTTGTTTTTGTATTCGTCATTAACAATATAATTTCTTAGCTCTTCAAAATTGTAAAATCTAAAACTTCTAAAAAAAAGTGACTATGATTTATATAATTGGCAATCATTCTGAATTTTAGAACAATTTAATTATTGTTCTTTTTGGAATTTGAGTCTTTGAGTTTCTAATATTGATTCTTCCTGAATATTATTAAGGAGGATATTATAAAGTATTTAGGATGCTTTAGGAATTTTATCTTTAATCAGTCTTGTGCGTACTGAGTGTAATTCACTAGATATTTGATCAGGTAGATTTTATTTACTCACTCTATGATAAAGCTAATAAAGATTCTTTATTTCAATTTCTTCTTTCTTACATGCTGCAGATCCCATTCAAGTATGAAACTTAAATTTAATTATATTTGATATAATGTGAATAAAATTGTTTAACTTTTTTATATTTATAGAACAGTCTATAAATTAATCACGGATAGTAAATATTTTATTCTCAAAAATTGGTATGGGGGTCAATTATCAATATTAAAATTATTGAAAATCGAAGTAGATTTTATATCTGTATTTAGAAAATTGGGATAACAAGACTTGTCAATAATATAAGGTTATTTCAAAGAATTGTAAATGGGAAAATTTAATTAATTTGCTATGAAAGCATTATGCTTTATTTAATAAATCATAACTAATAAATAATAAATTTAATCTTAATTTAATTATATATTGGCATATAAATGACCTATCCTTCATGACTATCTAAATGTAATAAAATTGACAATCAAATGTCCATGCGAATTAGTTAACTTAATAATATATTTTTAGAGTGATTTTGCAAAGATTATTGGGTTTTTTAGATGCATTTAGAGTTACCTGCCTATCTACATATACAATTTATTATACAGAAGATTCTATAAAAAGTATTTTAAGAAATAAACGTCTAGATGGACTTGCGTGATGATGTGTGATAGATTGGAGAAAAAGATTTCAAATGTAAAAAGAAACTGGACGTTGGAGTAGGCACTGGACATCACATGAAATAGATAATCAATAGGATTCCTTCAAGAATTTGTGTGGTTGGGGATAGGCATAGATTCAAATTATTTGAGGTAAAATAAAGTATTAAAATCCTAGATATGCAAGACAAACTTTTTAATAGAATGAGAATATAGAAATAAGAGAATAAAACTTTTATGATTTAGAAAACTCGAAAGAATAATATGTTGCTGTAATATTCTCTTCATCTTTCATGATAATGCCTGACAGATTGAGAGTTTTGAAATTGCAAAACAAAGATTGAGCAAAAGGTGATCTATTTTCTTTTTGTTGACCTTGGAACCTTATAGAAACTACAAGATAGTGAGCATAGAAAAAATTAAGCCTTACTTAAAATACATCACGACCATTGATTCGGAAGTATGACTTTTGAAAAGGATTTCGAAATCATGCTAAAAGAAGAAGGACTATAAATTATATCTAAAAATAAAGTTGCTAGATATAGTGTGTTTTTAGCCATATTTAATATGTTTTTAGTAGAAGCTGAAGTAATTTTGAATATTCATAATTTTTTTATAAATACGAATTCTTTTATTGAATCGTACACTTTATGGCTCAATCTATTATTAACTCTTTCTCATTAATATTATTATTATTATTAATATGAAATCCACTAATACTTATTAATACATTACTAATAATTCACATTAAGAACTTATAGATTATTTGAAATAAGAAAACAAGCAATTGACTGACTAACTCAAGGAGCTCAACAATCTACTTCAACTCAACAAAAAAGCCTTAAAAATAATGACTCCTTAAAATAACGAAGAGTAAAATAAGGCCTTACTTATGGTCCTCAAAAATATTTAAGAAGAAAATGCTAAATTAAACTCATAAATAGAGAAACTTATAAATGAAAGAAATCAAGCCTAAAACTAAGTATTAATCAATTAATAAATCACTGAAGAAGCACAGAGACATGAAAAAGAATTGATTGTATCGCTACAAAACAAAATTACTACCTTATAAAATAATTTAAGCAAGGCCGAATCTTAATTATGCAAATTAGAATTGTTAAAGCCTGAATTTGATGAATAATCTGGCATCTTGATTAAATATAAATAGATTACTGACACCAACAAAATCAATAAAGAATTTCATGATTAAATTGAAACACTTAATGATCTGTTGATTTTATAAATTAAAAAGAATAAAAAAATTGAGGCCGAAAAAAGGCAATTACAAGGCCTAAATCTAGTAAATTTTATTCTAAAATTAGAAATTGATTACAAATCTTATCTCAATTAAAAATGCTGCCTTGACATCAAATGGCAATAAAGTGATTTTATAATAACAACAGTAGATGGATCCATAACCTCATCAATTAATTAAATGTACGTCTGTATTATTATGTATTTAGTTTAATAAAATATCCTTTATGCAATGAAAAAGGATGAAAATGTAGATTCATCAGAATCAGAAGGTCTATCTTCAGTTGATAATTCTCCTTTGGCATCGCCGTTGCCAGTCAAACTAGAAAACTGCAAACCGTAATAAGAGAGTTAAAAGCTAAAAAATGCATAGGAAATTCCTAAGCTCAATCTCAGCCAAGCAATAATAATATAGGAATTGAATGCCAAAAGATAAAGTTAATAAGCATAAGATATGAGAAAGACGAATGATGCAACCTTATTGGATAAATTGAAATAGTATGATTAAGCCTTAGAAGAACTGAAAAAGAACTACCAAAGAGAAATGACTTTGAATAAAACACTAGAAACTGCCAATAATGAACTAGAAAGACGTTGTGATAATTTGGAAGTAATTTTTAGTTTTTATGTTTTTAGAGTTAAATTTAAATTCTTATTAATTCTAATATAAGATATTAAGAGAAATAATAGAAAATAAATAAGTAATACCATTTTCTGCAATAATTTTACTTAAATAACAAGGATCAAGTCACAACTACACAAAGTCATAACCATAGATTCTCATAAAGTCCTACTGAGTTATCTTAAGAAATAGTATTAGATACTTCATTTATAGATGCGAATGAAGCAATTTTATCAAATGAATAGGAATTTAAAACCATTTAATAGAAAATGATGCAATAATAATAGATTTAGCAATAGTTGTTATAGCAATAAAATTTTTATTAATTTTATTATGCTAATAACGTGGAGGATGCATAAAGATTCCTCTTAGGATTGGCTGAATAGATTTATGGTGGATTTTCAGAGAAAATTGAATTAATAATATAGGGTTAGAGTAAAGTAAGAAGATAAGATGAAAATAGAATTAGATCACTAAGTGATATAGTTGAATAATAAAATAGAGTATAGTATAATCAATAGTAATGATAATATGATTTAATAACTTGTATAGATGTTTTATAATGATATTAATACATCATTTCTTTCTATATATTGTTATCTCTTGTTATTTAAAATATCTTCTATCATCTTCATCTACTAAAATCAAATTCAGAATGTATTTAACACTAAATTTGCCATTAACATTCTTAACAGATGGTGTTATATCAACTCCACTTAAATATAATCTGATTGGAATGACTTCTCCTTTTTAAGGACAACCATCCATCAATTCGTATTTTACAAGTGTCTCATTGTCTGTTTATTGTTATTGACCTTGACCATATTGTTCTTTTCTGATCACTGCCAATTCCATATATTTAATTTTGATTTTCACCAAATAGAAATTAACCTTTCCTGTTACGACATCTCTCAAATGATATTTACTCTTGAAATATTCAAAATCGATATGCAAACACTCTTCAATACCAACCTAATTTAAGAGATGATCTATACTTCTAATTTTAAAGATGTTTAAGGTTGTTCTTCTAATTCTGGTTAGGAGATTAATACTGCAAAATCCACTTCCTTTTATACTTTGCCATAACTTCTGGTCATGTAAATCTTTAAGTAATATCTTAATCTCACGGTATTGCCATAATAACTCTCATTTTGCTTTTCGAACTTCTAAAATTAAAATTTGTATGCTTTGTCTTCAAATAGGATTCCTTGAGGTTCTAATTCTCTTGACATTGACATAAAATCTGAACTCTGTTTTTAATCATTAATAATTTCTTGATCATTTAATTTTACTATTACCTATACGTCCAACCAATTCGATTCTTATACCCATGTGTTCTATTTTCTTCTATTTATTCATCTTAACTTCCACAACACCAGAGATATCATCGTCACCCTAAATTTTAAGAATCTATAATCTAATTACAGTGTAAACTGGTAATCTCAAAGCTCCTAATTATTTGTCCGTAAATCTTGTGTGTTTGCGAGTCTCTATTCCATCTAATGTGACTTCAATTATCGGTTACCCTTAAACCATATTCAAAAGAGATGCCTAAAATACGTGGAATTCATCAATTTACCATCCTATGTCAATTAATGATATAATTTAATTACAATAATTATTATCAATTCAAATAAAATAAAAGGTTTTACAATTGAAGCTATCTCTATAATTAGTGTAGATCTAGTTCATGAGACTATCATATTTTTCTAAGAGGAATAGCATAATATAAAAATGATATCCCTTTAGATTTATTAATTAGATAATATACAAATTAATCACAAATATACTTTCTCATATTCAATCAGATATTTTTTGTACATACCTTATTTGAATAATTCAAATGGAATAGTTTGCTTATAACCATAGGATAAGACAGCTCCCCAAGTGGTGAATAACACAAATATTGATAAGGGCTTTTTCACAATTGCTAACCTTCCCTTTCTATAGAAATCATAAAAAATTCTCCTTTTGCTTAATAGTAATTTATAGAAAAATAGTGAAGCAACAGTGCAGCCTGCAGTAGCATTAACTAAACTCAACATAGTATCATTTGTCACTTTGTCAATTTTCTCTTTATCGACCTTTTCAGAATAAGGATTGTACCTACGATAAAGCAGGGTGATTGACAATAAGATTGGATTTATCAGTTGGTTAGAGCATCATATATCGCTTAAAATATTATTCGATTAATGTCTTATTCGTGATTTTGGCATTTGGATTATTAGTCTTGATCTCCTATATGAGTACTTCTCGCCAATCTTTCTATTCCCACCTAGAATTAGATCAACAGATTACAATTTGGCATATGGAGATGTATATTTTTATGTCTCCATTTCTTATATATAAATATTAAATATTTTAATATTTCAGTTACTATGAGTGGTATCAAAACACAAACTGTTCAGATTGTTTCAAAGCTGAGAAATGGTTATTAATAAGAAAACAATTTATAGGAAGCTAATAAGATTACAAAAAATGTAATTGAGCATTATGACGCAAGAGATTTAAGATTGCAGGATTTACAGGATTGCTAAAAAGTTTACAAAGTGATTAAAAAAGAGACAACTACAAAGTGGATTTTATTATCAAAATTGGATGAATGCAGAGCATAAATAAAATTAGAATTATAATATTTAAAAACATTAGTGATTTATGTACAGAACAATAGACATGGAATGAATAAATAGCAATAACTAGAATTGAATCAATTATAGATACTCCTAAATATCTTTGAGACATATGTAGACTAGGTCGAAAACAATACGTATGACAAGAAAGAAAAACTCAAACGCCTTAAATCTTCAGAGTTTGATGACAAATAAAAAACCATCAATGAATGGAAAAAATAGATTAATAAAAATGATATCCTCTTAGATAAAATGTAACCATCCATCTCAGAATGGAAATAGATCCCATTAAAGCTTTTAGACGAAGTTCTAACTGCATCCTATGATCTGAAACTCAAATTATTACAAGAGCCAGACAGTATCAGTTCTGACAGAACTTTGAAATACTAAAATTTGATACAGGATCTTAGAAAGAAGTTGAATCTTGATTAATACAAGAGAAGTAGAAATCAATTTGATGAATTCCAATAAATGTAATCCATTATTTATTAACTATGTTAGAATTGACAATTTCAATTATCACATACCAAAATTATAAGAAATGAATCAATTAAATTTGGCTTAATTGAAGGAAATGAAAAGAAAACTTAAAAACAAATCTAAATCCAATATTAGCCAAATGAACTCTACCAAATCCTCTCCTAGAAAGGAGGAATCTACACTACAACAAAGTGAAGTCGATAACTATTTATAACAATACTAGAAGTAAATCTATTATTTGAATTTTTTAGAGAAAAACAAAGAATAAGTAGAATCGACAAAGCACAATATAAATAGAACATCAAGGAATCTTAAAGGGAAGTTTTCATAGCCAGAAACAATTAAGGCTCTATTCAAAAATTACAACAGAGTTATGATATCAATAAATTGAATACAAGTAAGGGACATAGAGAATACATAATATCAATGATTGATGGATAATTATTGAAACCCTACACTCCATTAGTTAGATTAAGACAAGAAGATTCCAGAGAAACATGTCAAAATTCTCATATCAATGAAACCTAATCCAGAAAATTGAGTCTTAGAAATGCTTCTCCTTAATCCTTTGTGGATAGAATATCATAAAAGATTAATGATGTTACCACTTGCGAAGAGGATGAAATCTATTCAAAAATGGAATTCCCTGAACTTCATTTGTCAAGATAATAAGGTTATACAAGCAAATAAAACCATAAAGTTGTAAAACAATAATACAATCAAAAATTTATTTAGAAAGTCAATAACAATGAAGTTAAACTAGTGAAACAATGCTAAGGTATGTGTTCCATTTATATCTAGATTTCTATACCACTAGAATGAAATTCAATGATAAATTCACCTAATTGGTTTCAACCTTACATAAGGATCGCCCTTTAACTTCCAGCATAAGATCAAGGTCTTTTACATCAAATTAGAATTAGAGATAAGAGAAAATCTAAAAATTGAGAAAGGTTGCTGAAAAGGCACGACAGAATTTCTTTTCGCGAAATAAGGAGTAAAGAGAATGGCATTAAAATTTGGTTCAAGAATTTAAATTGTCTGATCCAACTACTTAATATATTCTGGAACAATTGTAATACATTCTTGAAGGTATTTTTGAATAAAATAATTAGAAGGATTATTCATACAAGTTGATGACATTATAAACATGGTACAACAAATTGAAGAATCATCTGAAATGAAAGTGACTTCAAAAAGTTGTCAACTTCTTAATACAATTTTTAACTACTTTGGAATATAGATTTCTGAATTAAATTAACATAAGAAATTTAAGAATTTCCATTCTTACATTGATTGAATAATTAATTAATTATATTATTTAGTATTTATAACAATCATCTTTCAATCTACATAGCTACATCTACTAAAGATTCATTCCGATTTTAATTCTCATTATCTATTTCGATCGTTTGCATACCATCATTTTTTATAATTAAGATATCTTTGAATGAATTATTTTTCTATTCTAATTTGTATCCTTTATTCTTAGCAACAAACAGAAGTGCTGCAAATAATTTGCTCTTATTTATCTTTTCATTCATAATCAAAGGCATAGTTTTTTCGATTTTAATAAATTCAACTTGACCTTTGATTTCATCAATTACTTTTTCCAATATGACTTATAATTATTTAATTGTAATAGGTTCATTATTATTGTTAGCATATACTTTAAATGGTAATATATAGTAATCTAAATTATTCTAATAAGTCTCTATCATTTAATTGGTCTCTTCTAACTATACTTAGATATTTATTTCATCTAATCCAAAGCTTTCCGGTTCTGTAAAAGGAACTGGTAGTTATTGTTCTTCCTCTTCCAAAAATCCTGCGTATTCCCTTGTAAAGTATTCAAAATATCGATAATAATCAAAATCCTAACAGTTATCAGCTAAGCATTTTAATGTTAATTCTCTTTAACCAAAATCCCTTTAAGTATTTCCAACAGTATTTAAAATAAGAAATCTATTTAATTCTGCTGCATCATCAAAGTTAAATGTATCTGGATACACTTTCTTTTGTTTTTTCTTAACGTTTCCTTATTGCTATTAAACTGCTTGCGATTAATTATTATTTTTTAGTATTTATTACTATTCTTCATAAGGTGCAAGATCTTAATCAAATTCTTCTTCCTATTCTAAATCCCATTCATCAACTGGAGCATTTACATCATTAAATATATCTTGGAATTATTACTAATAGCTAAGTTATTTCAATTCTTCTTGAATTTGGGATTATTTTTCTGCTGCCTCTCTTTGTTGCTTTTAAAATTATTCCTATAAAGCCTTTTTCTTTTCTTAATAGACTTAAAACTATTCTTATTGCAATTACTTCTGTTCTTCAGTTAACAAAGGGTTATTATTATCATTTATTTAATCTTCTGCAAAGGATTCTGGTATCAATTCAGGCAATTAATTATTGAATTCCTCAACATCCATTTAATTCATTTGTTGAATCTAATTTTAATTTTGATTATCGCCTAGAAATTGCTGTTCAAAATTCATTTACTCCATTTTCTTCCTTATATATACATCTTATTAATCATTATCTATTTCAGTTGGATTAATTTTAAGTTATTATTAGTATTGCTGATTCAGACTTAAGAATTATTGTTCCTCTACACTTAATTAGGTTAAGGATTATTATTATTGATCTATAGTTTGTTAGGCCTACATCAGTTTTTCATCGTAAACTCGAAAATCATTGAGAAACTTTTCAATGGCAGTTTATTAGCTTTTTTCAATTTTGACAGTTTAAGCATCTTTTTTATTAAGTAAATACTTGTATCTCTCTCTGAAATCATTGATTTCATTGAAACTCATTTTGAATTATTTGGACATTAAGTTAGAGTAATCTAAGACTGAAGTATCGATTTCTAACTTAATAAAACCTGTCAAGATTTACTTGTTCTATTCATTTACTTTTAAGAGTTAATCAGGATCAATGATAATGGCTAGATTCTCATCGAATTAAGGGTTATAAATAATGAGTGTGGTCAAGTCTTGCATGTCCAAAGACTTGCTTGTTTAATTGAAGAAGGGATTGATTTGAAGTGTATCATATTGATGAGTATAAGGTTTGAAATCAAGAGTAGATTCACCATACTTGGTAATCTCTTTAAGTTCCATGTTCCGATTGATATGAATAGTCTTTTAAGTGACTTATTAAGCTAGCTATTGTTTGCTCTTCTTTTAGGGAGGAGCATTTGGAACTGTTGTAGTGTCATACACTCTTAGTAAATTAACCTTGAGTTTAAGACTCTCCACGTAAGTTCTGTCCACTCGGTTAGAGTAGAGCCAAGCCAAGGCGTCAAGATAAAGGGCACTTTTATTCATATCATCAATATCGATCAATCTGATTGAATTGCCTATCTCAAAGTCAAAGACCCTTTCTGATAATCCTTTTTGCATGCACTTAAGTATCTCATTAAGAATTTCATTCTGCTCATCTTCTGAATCATCGCTATTTTCTGGTTTATTGGGATAATCGATCTAAATTTCAATTTCTTCTTCTTAATGGGTTTTAAGGTCAGAGAGGTATTATTATAATTTGGACATTGAATAGATGATGATAATTCTGAACTTTAAATGCTCAAAAAATCATTAAAATATTTATAGAAGTTATAATTTCAAATAAAATGAATAAGTAATACATACCAGCCAAAGCACAAGAAAAAATATTTGGTTTAATTCTAAAAAGACCAGAAAATTTAAATTGTGCTGACTGTGCAACAAAGGGACCTCGTTGGGTTAGTTTAGACTATGGAATTTTTATTTGCATGGACTGCGCAGGTTTTACTTTATTTTTCATTCAATAGGAGCCCATCGAACATTGGGTCCAAGTGTCACTAGAGTAAGGTCGACTAATATTGATGGATGGTATTAAGAAAATATTGATATTATGGAATCTATCGGTAATGGGACTGCAAATTCATATTGGGAAAATAAAATGCCAAAGGATTTCATGTAAATGATTCCAAATATTCATCCAATAGCAAACCTACTATCAATTAAGGACTAGATTCATTAATTAGATTTGTCTAAGAGAAGTATGTTAGAAAGAGATTCATACCTTAAATATCATGTCCTGATCCCAAATAACAATACATACTAACCAAATCGTAGTATTTATCTGATATTCTTAATTAGAACAGTCAAGCCTTTTTATTTTAATTAATAAGAAACAAAAGTAGAGGAACCTAAGGTAAAATTGGGTGATTTGATTGATTTAGATGATGACTTCTTTGGAGTTAAAAAACCAGTTGTCTAAGTGGAGGAAATCCAAGGATAAAATACTCATTAAGGTACCACTCGATCCTTGTCACCTGAGAAGGATTTCAGTGAATTTGTACAATCAACTCCAAATATTGATCAACCAATCCATTCACTGCCTTCTCTTGATATACTCACACTCTACAAATCAGAATCGCAATAGACATAACAATCATAACAAATAATACCTAATAAGAACTCGAATTATGCTTATTTGTCTAATTTGGGATAATAATAAAATAATGGGATTTATAATTAGCAATCAAATTATTAACACTTTTATTAATAATAACAATTGTAGTAATAGCAATTCCAATATTAACAATAAAAATAATAACAGCCAATTCAATCAAATGGGCCCATCAATATTATGGATTTATATTCAAAATGATATTTATTTAGATGACAATAATTTAGAAAATTATTATAGATATAAATAGTCATAGAAATTCTAAGTCATTTCTTTCTGCACATTGAACAATAAAAGTTCATGTCTTATGCCATTTAGGCTTGAACACCAGCACATTCGTAATGTAACCATTTAGAACATTTGTCACATTGAATGTACGATTTATCAGGATTTGATATTTGATTGCAAATGCAGATTCTTGTCCACTTTGAAATCGGAGGAGTAAACTTATCCTTCTCTACATTATAATCTGCCCTCGTAAAATATGTTCTCTCATTTTAAATTGTCATTTCCTCATATTCCTTAATTGATATCAACTTTATTTCATGATCAATCTATGTGCAAAACAGCCATTCCTCCATCTCTGACTAAAACAGTTCAAACTCACTTATCCCTTCCTATAACTCCTTTAACTTTGAGGGCAATTCCAATTTATTAATATACTTTTACACTTTGATCATGGGTATCAAATACTCATCCACTTACAAATTACAAAACCCTATTAACTTTCCATAAGTTTTCTTGTCCCTGTTCCCATCAATCGATAATTGAACTATTTAGCCCACTGAATAAATTATCCCATCATATTTCATTTTCTAATACTATTTCACCAATCCTAATTGTGAAGCTGCTTCGATTAATTCTTTATACTAATTATTGTCACATCTACATACCTTTTTTGAATATAATAACTATTTTATGACTTAGTCGTTTGCTTAATTAGCCTCCATTTTTATTAATTAAAAGAAAATAAAGGGTGGGAAATATTAATATTTTATCATTTTAATTTTCTTAGTATTAAGTTTTATCAATTTTGAATGCGCTACCATGTAAGTCCATCTCCTTTTGGTCTTCCACTTTCTCCATATATTGGAAATGGCCATAACCAAGGATTAGTACCCATAACTTAAAACCAATTCTCCTTAACAATAAAAGATAATATAATACTATACCTAATATCATAAACATTTATTGGGTTTTATTAATCTAAATTGATAACAGTTGTATTAGTGATCACTAATTAAATTTTTATTATAAATTATATTGAGGTTATAATACTAGCAACAAACAAAAAAAATGCTCTATGATCTATGAATTTATTACAATATGAGAGTAGGTATAATGCTTTTGCTTTGAAATTGCGGTTCTTAATCTTTAAAAAGTATATCAATTGCTTGTAAACTTACTATTATTAGGCTTAAGATTGAAGACAAACTAAAGTAGAATTATCCCAACAAATCAAATTTGGAATTAAAAAACCCTATGCAATTTCCATACCAAAAACTATGAACATCCATATTTAAAACGCATCTTTGACACCTAAGAAAATAATATTTTTATTTACCAAGAGCAATGACAACAACGTTCAGGCTTAAATTGGCGACACATTAGACAATATCTTCTTTTTTTAATTTCTTAATCCCCAAACAACATACCATAATTCTTGGGAACCTGAAATTAATATGAAAAATACTCTCCCAGGATCAGTAAACATAGATTTAAAAGCCGACCAAAAAAGCATTACATATAATAGATGTAATGGAATCCAAAGTGTTTGTGTGATTTAAATCCTTGCATTCGAGTAAGGGTTGATTAGTGTCAAATAAAGAGTAGAACAGTATTAAAAGAATAATATGCTTACAAGGCTGGCTGGGTTTGCTAATTTTTTATCAAGTCTCATATATTCATCAAAAAATAGCCTTAAAAGAATGTTTTGTTATTCTGCAAAACCTATTTCTTCATTCATCATTTGTTCTACAATAAATATAATTATATTAATTAATAGTATTTGCAGAGATATATAATTATTTATAATATTTCATTTAAATTATAGAATATGATTAAACATTATAATCATATATTGATAGCTTATAGAATTAAAATTAATAAAAGAAAAATAATAATTTCATAATAGAAGATACCTACAGAAGTTCTTTATTTTAATTCATCATTTTTAGTTGTTTAGTTTTATTGTGCTACCAATAATTTCATTTCCTAGAAGCTTCCACTTTAGCAGAACATTGAAAAAGTGTAACTCCAAATTCTATGACTATTTATTGATTGTATCGAAATCTAGGCTAATTAAATTCAATATAATTCATTCTTATAGAAGAATTATAATTGATCGATGGTGTTTTTATTTTTACAAAATGTGAATAGATAGAATAATAAAACTCTTAATTAACTGTTTTCAATAAAAAAACAATTCTCTTGACAAAGAATAACTAATAAACTATTTATTATTTTTATTCTTAAACATCCAAATTCCCCCAATAAATGGGAAATTAAATTAATTATAATCATACTTTACAAGAATTACCAGTAGTAAATTGGATCATTTGGATATCAACAAATATATAAATATTTGTAATAAAACCATCTATATTATTATCATATAATTAGAAAGTCTCAAACAAATGATTGTTGTTTAATATTTTCTATTGTTTAATCTCTCTATACATTTAATTATATAAATATTTTATATAATTAAAATATTTTTAAAAAAAGTAAATACACAAATTTAAAAAATCTAGTTTTATGAGTTTTGAACCATATTAAGAAAATAAGAAGGCAGTGAAAGTTGCTCCAATTAAGATTGTTCAAAATTAGCATGAATAGAGTGGCTCTTTGAATCAAACAACTAAATATCCATAACTTAATTTATAATTCCCATTTTAAAAATGCTACAGTCCAGCTGTTACAATACCTTTAAGTTTTTTATAATAGCTCATTTAATAAGCGTAGCAAAACAAGATTCTGAATCAGATTGGGGAAACTAAAGTTGTTAAGCAAGAATAGTCAGAAGCTGTCAATAATCTCATTTCTTAAATATAATACCAAAAATAAGGAACCTCAAGATAATAAGATAGTAATGAAGATACCTTAATAAAATTATATTTAATTAAGAGTCAAATGAAATTTATTATTGAAGATACATCTTCAATTGAAAAGGTAAAGTTATATTTTGCTGATAACCAAAACCTATTACCACATTTCTGGGCCTGGATAAATTCAATAGAAATTAAAGCATTAGAAGAGATGCTTATGTTATGTTATTCAAATCCATCAAATACTAAAAGAATATACGATATTTTTAAATCTCTTTTTTAAACTTTGTCAATTGAATTTTTTTAAAAGCATGCATATGCACAAATATTGAGATCGAATCTACAAGATAAAATTAAATATCTATCAGTAATAGGTGATATTTTGAGTAAAATAATAAACCCACAGGATTATTTCTATTTTAATAAGTCGTGACTTATGTAAAATATTAAATGCGTATATGTATTATAACACAATAAATCAATTTTTTATGATTTTCTTTATTAATTCATAAGCCATATTATTGTCCATAATTAATCTCTCCCTATCCTTAGTGACAATATGATATTCTACTTAGGCTTTCTTGAATTGCTGATAAGCGAAAACACAAAACAACCAATTGAAAGCCAAAAATAAAATTTGTAAAGTAATAAAAGTACCTACTTCTTCTTCAAAGACCTAGATTTACAATAATTTCATACTGATTTTATTGTATTAAAGTAAGAGATGATGACTATAGTAGCAATTGTTCTGAACGCCAAACTGATTCCTAAGCTGATGGGGAATAGATGTAAGATCTAAATGTATTCACTTAGCAATTACTTTTTAAGATTTTTGATATATTCCATAATACCCAATAATCGAAGCTACAATTGTGCATAACTAAGCTATATTCTATGGAATCAATATAGTTTCCAATTTTCTAGCCTATTCTCTATTTGATAAATTTTGATCTGTCAGATAAGTTCTAATTCTAAAGATTTAAGAATTGCTTTCAAGAGTGATGGCAGAAAATAAACTAAAAACAGCCAATCCCAATAAACAAGAATTTAAAGTAAAGAATATTACTTTTCTTCTATCAAAGGAGAACCTATTTTTGATTATCTACTTCAATTCTGACAATTCTAATTGTTTTGATAAAACTGGTGATTCCATAAATTATATTTTAATTATATAAGATAAAAATATCACTTTGCTTATTGTTTTTCTTCTTCTTCTTCATTTATTGGAAGTAAAGGATTGCTAGTCTAAAATTCTTTTGTATCCCTTCTCTAAAAGCTATTAATGCATTTAATACATAATCATTTCTCCCTTATTATTGATTCAAGTTAATAATTAAATCCCTCAATTAAGTCTAGTTAATCCTCTTCTCATCTTCACTAAAATGAATTTATGGGGATGCTGATTTAAAATAAGAAGTGCCTTATCCTACAGTACTTAATTATAGATCCCAAATTTCTATCAAATCAATCTAACATGAATAAATGAAAGACTTACATTAAGCAAATGTATGTCTTCAGGTAATATCGAACCACTTTAAAATGTTTTGTCTTCTTCCACAAGTCTACTTGCTTAGAGTTATTTACCATCTATCCAAATTCTGTGATGATCATATCCACTACCTCCTATACCTAGTCCAGGCTATTTTGGACCTTATCTAAGGGGGGAATGGAGAGTTTGGCTTTGTCTCTTTGTAATTATTGGAACAAGCAAAGCAAATTTACTTTATTATTGACCATTAGTTGAGAAGATTTTGAATTTGGGATGGATAGAGAATATAAAAGATCCCTTATTTCCAGAAATATCAGGCGAAACTCTCCATTAGGAGGGTGAAAAATAACCAAACACATATTTCTCTTATTTTTCTCCATCTTTATCTTTTTGGGAATGTCTAAACAAAATCATATTTGGTCCTTTAGCTTAAAGTAAACAATTTCCCAAGACATTAAAATTATATTGTTATCCAGAATCCACTTCATATTTATACATCTAATTAAGAGCAATGCATTTCTAAAACCAAGGTACACTTAAATTAAGTAATGCTTGGTTTATTTAATTATTGTTTAATACCTATTAGTTATTTATTCATAAGTTCACTAGGATTCAATTTTGGTAATTAATTCCTCAGAACTTTGTTAATAAATTTTCCTGCGATGTAATTTTTAACGATCTTAGAAATAAGAGGAGTTTCTGATTTAATTTTATCATTAAATGCTTTATAATTCAATAAGGAATGATCTGATCAAATTGATATTAAATTCACTTACTTTCAAAAATGTTATTTATTATTAAAATTGGTGCTTGATCATCATCATGACACAAAATATCTCCTTTATCACTCTACATGTTGATGAGTTCCTAATAATCAATAATTTTGTATACTTTAAATAGTTTAACTGCATTTGAATAACTCACACTTATTTTGTATACATTATTTAAATTGAATGTATCTCTTTGCATAATATCAGGACATGACAAAGATACCAAGGTGAATAGTGCAGATATATCTAAGTTCTTGAGTTAGCTCTATAACTTCATTGAAACCCTTGTAAATAAATCAACTAAAAGTCCTATTTGTTAAATACCAACTGTGAGAAAAGTAAGGCTATCTACATAACTTTAACCCCCATAGTTTCTCATGAAAATATACAGCTTTTATGCTAACACTGGATTCTCTGTGAAATATTGTTTGAACCCTTCAAAACTAAAATGTTCGTCTGTTTTCCTGTTATAAAAATTATAAATACCCTGGTTTTTGTTTTGTCATCTTACTAAATTTTTTTAGTGCATAATCATAATCACTTTAAGAAAATCCAACCTTCTCTCTCAACTCCTTTTCTCTCGATCCACAACCACCCATTACAATTTTATATATAATATTTATTTACTATTATATTGTCAATTAATCTGGTAATTTGAGTAATAAACATTCTCAATTTAATAAACTGTGATTTATCAAATAGAAGAGATATTAGATAATTCAAATATATCAATAATCATTAAAGAATTTCTTAATTTCCAATAGGTAATTATTAAATTAAATTAGTATCTAATCATACCACTCAATTTCTATCATTCAATATTCGTGTAGTTCTTCGAGAATACCTTTGATCCTAATTGATATCTAATTACTTGATTCAAAACTCTTCCTCCCTAAGAGAGTACATATAAGTACTAATATACGAATTTAAATAAATTGTTTTGTATCTAAATTACTCATTTGCTAAGATAGACATTTTCTTTATTATTATTAGAATATTTGATCAACTCAGTTTCACGGTCCCAATATTTTGGTTTGCTTTCTTATTCTACAACATAAAGTTGGGTTTCAAAGTACGCATAAGTATTTTATAATCGTGCTAAATTATTTTTAGTTCAATTTTTTATTCAGAACCTTTAATAATAAGGCAATTTAAAGTAACGGATTTTGAGTCTTATGATTTGTATTAAGGTTAGGGTACGGAACAAAATTATAAAAATAAATTATCATGTCAATGAATATAAATATATTTCCTATTTAAACGTAAACAATAAAATTTAATCTCTTGTTTTTTTATGGTTTCTGCCTATTCAATAGGAACTGGGAAAAGAGATAACCCCATTAAAAATGTTGTTCCAGCTCCTAACGCTTACTCCTTAAATAATCATTCTACTTCTCCTCATTGGACGTATTAGATTTTATATTTTTAGAATAGGAGGCAAAGTTAGGAGGGAAATAAGAATAAAATCATGCACTCCTGGACCAGGATAATATCCTTAAAAATCTTTTATAAATGGAACACCCTGTTGTACTTTTAAGGGTAGACTCAAACAAAAAGTTATATCTTAATCTCCTGGGCCAGGCAATTACAAAGAAGATTCATTCTTTAACATTCAAAAAAGAATCCCGTCATATAGCATTGGTGTAAAGATTGATAAAAGGATCAAAAATTTTGTACCAGGCCCTGGAACTTATAATTTGAGTTAGACTCATCTAACAACGAATTCTAGCAAATTTCCTATTGAAAAGAGAATAAAAACTATGGATGATGGAGCTAGTTCACCTGGACCAGGATGTATACTCTCATTTTATTTTAGAATACGATATAGCAAACCTTAATAAATTTTCACTGCATAAATCATAACCCTCATGGGGATTTGGATCGAAAAACAATTTTAAATTGCATTAATCATTGGATATAAGTTCCCCTGGTCCTGGAATGTACGAATTAAAAAGTACGTTAACACAACATAGTTTTACATTGAAGCCAAAATTAAAGACATAAGAATGTGATAGATCAATACCTGGACCAGGAAAATACTCTCCTGATGTTTCTTTTATTAAATCGACATAACCTGTCTTCAAAATAGGCAAGGAATCTAGGATTACTTAATAAAAAGTTTCTCAAGGTCCTGGGCCTGGAAGATATTACTCAGAGTAAGCTGAATAGTTATTCTCAACTTAGAAATTACGACGCCAGAAGTAAGAAAAGATAGCCTTGTTACAGTTTAGGAAAAGCAAATAGAATTTCTATGACTGACAACGAATCTTAGTTTGTGCCAGGACCTGGGGCTTATGATAGCCCACCTTAAAAATTAGGGAATATCACAATCAAAGGAGCAAAAACTCAAATGCGATCCTAACAAATACCAGGACCAGGTTTATAATTAAATTTACATTAGGAACTTATAATCCTAAAGACACATTATGTTGTTCTTATGACGGCTCTGTTAAGTTTGTTAAAGAATCGAAATAAGTTAAAATGCTATCTACTGAAACCTTGCCAGGACCTGGGGAGTATGATTCTAAAAGTATTTTAATTGGACCTAGTTGGGGATTTGGCAAATAGAATAACAGAAAACCCATTTATAATATTAATAACAGTCCAGGTCCAGGAGCTTACAATGTTCCATCTAAATTCGCTGATGTTCCAAAATATTTAAATTGTAAACCTAAATTTTAAGTTTGAATTCGTTTTATATCAATAAACATATCACATCTATTGGAATTATTTATTAATATGCATAAAATTATATTGATAACAACTGTAAATTTGTGAAAATCAGAATAATCATTTGAATCAATTTTTATAATCTGAAATACTGTTAATTTGGGAAGAAATCCATGTGAATTATGAAGTTGTTCACAAGAATGAAAAAATATGGATTTACTTAAAAATTTATTTGAAGAAATTGATTTTATGTTATATTAAAAATGCTTAGAGATTTTAGTTCAAACCAATTCAAATATCAAAATTAAGAGAAAAAAATAAGAAATAGTTTGGAAAATAATATGATAGAATGGTAGGGATAAGATAGAATGGTTGATTAATAAATTAGTATTCAGCAATTGGATAAGATTTGATATTATAATATAATTTGATATTATTAATTCACACAATTATTTATTTGATTAAATTAATTAGACTAATTATTAGAATCGGCATTACAGTTAAATATTAAATAGATTTTGATGGTTATTAGTCATTGTTTATCTGATTTAAAATAATTGTTAATTGTGTCAAACAATAAATGAAACATACTAAAATTGTGCATGGCCATATTATAGAAGTAGCACAATCTGTAATGAGTGTCACAATATTGTAGAATATGGCAAACAACAATAATGAGACAACCCAAAACCAATCAAAATGCTATTGTAACTAAATTAATGCTGCGATTTCAGTATAAATAATGGAAACATAGTAAATTATAATGACGGCTACCCATTTTTTAGATCCATAATTATCATCACACAATCCAGGTATTATAAAAATTAGGAATGACAATAATAAAATCTTCCAAACAAACAAGGGCAAAATAATTAGGATGGGATTCTGATTTATGATTCCATCGAGTTGTAAACAAAGGAGTATTATAAAAATAGGCAATAATCCCAGAGTAGAATTTTAGGCTATTGCTAAAAACACTTTGGCAATTCTTGGATATTACTATTAATCTAGTAAAATATTTATTAAATACATAGCCATTTGCTACTCAAGATCCAAATGACTGAATCGCATAGGAAAAATATAAGTCCAATGATAATCCATTTGATTTAGTATTCAATTCGAACTGCTATTAATTGCAAAATTATATAAATCGACAATGCTATGAAAATGCGTATACTCTTAAACAAAACCTCCTCCTATTTTCTTCCGATGTCCGATTCGGATCCTTAGAAGTCATCTCGATCTTGCATTATTCGTTTTTCTGAATAATATATTATTATATATTATTAATTCATATTCCAAACATTCGTTCTTTCTCTATCCAGCCATCTCTGATTCCTCACAAATAATTAAAAAGAAGATTTAATCCAACCTTCCCAATAAGTAAAAAATTAATTAATTACTTAATCTGAATATACTATAATTCTAGTTCACTATTATTAATGGCCATTTCTGGGATTCCTTTCATTAATAATTCAATTTGTTCTTATAAGAAAGATAATTCAAATACAAATATTTACAGTAAATAAGTAAAACATATATCATTTGAATTTACTAAGATTTATGTCTCTCTTACATACGGGGCAGTGTTTTTCCCTCGAAAGCCATTCAGAGATGCATTCCTGATGAAACACATGGCTGCATTCCAGCTCAATTTCAACAGGACTTCCACTGTCTTCTAAGCAGATTGTACAACTAAAATCTACAAAACTTCATACCAATCGTTGATTTGTTATTTGATTTTGCACTATTTCAAAAGTAATTGAATTTGGTTTTGGAGCAGCCCTCTGCTGACGAATCCCATTTTTTCTTGCAATTCTTGTAATTACTCATAGCTCATTTCATCAAGATCTACGTTGTTTTGCATTCTAGAGAAGGATGAATAAAAATATATACTGTGCTAGACGATTTTAAAATTCCATTTCTTCTTGCTATTACAACATGAATGCTAAATGCATTGATTTTTCTTCCTCTGTCATTTCTTCTTATATTTCATTTTACTATTTCTCAACAGAAACTTGTTCCTAATTCTCTTCTTCGATTTGAGGATTTTATTGATTTTGTAATTGAGATTCCAATTCTTGAATTCTTTATTTCAAATCATTGACTGTATTTTTTAAATCATAATTCTCTTGGCGCAATTCATTTATGATGTCAGATTTAGATTATTACTTCTGATTGACTTTCTGAATTTATTGGGTTGGAATCTTGAAGAACTTGTCTACGATTTCCTTATGTTCTGAAGAGGAATTCAATTAACTTAGCTTGATAGGATTGTCCATCTATTTTAACAATAAATTTATTAATAATTTATTTTCACTTATAAAAAGGTTTATTAATATTATTATTTTTATATTGAATGATATAAATGAAAATCATTTTGGAACGAAGATCTTGACTTCTCCATAATTTAAATATAATGTGAATTTTCCATTAGCAATTTTGATACAATCGGTAGTTGGATAAAAGATATTGCAAAGAGTTGTTCCTAAAATTTCGATGAATATATTTTATACCTTCCGCATATGGATGATAGGTGATAGTCTTGACAACTTATCTGTCGTATTTACTCGAGAATGCCGCAAACAAAGTACCTCTGGTGAAGGCATAGATTTCAGAATCTGAATATCTTTGAATTTGATCTTGATTTCCTGCATTTGTAGCCTTACGAGCATTATTGATTGCTTGGATGAATTTATACATTTCAGATGATCTATTGATAAATTAAATTCTTACTAGTCCAAATTACCCCACAAAACCTCTCTGTTTTATGGATCATTACCACCAGCATAGAGTTATTCACTACCATAGTAAATCATAGGGATTCCTACAGAAGTCAAACAAAATGCAGTGATGGCCTTGAATTAGAGCTTTTTGATAGCAGAAAAGGTCAAATGAGGTTTGTCACTTAAGAATACTTCATCTGGAATGTATCCTGAGACTTAGTCGTTTAAGAACCTTGCATTGTCGTGATTGTCATTGAAATTGCCAGCATATTGAATATTCTACTTACCCCAAGAGTTGATTAAACTATTATAGTAATTTTCAAATGTGTTCATGTCTCTCCAATGAAGGAACACATCTCTGGCTGTGTAGAAGAGAGGATAATTCAATAGGGCATCAACAGGACCAACAAATTGTTTCAAGAAATTCATGTCACCATCGAATACTTCTCCAACTGTATAGACACCAGCAGCATTGGAAAACTTATACCAGAAATCAGTTTTGACCATCATGAGAGTATCAATTCTGATTCCATCAAATTTAAATTCTTAGACAAGCCATTTGATCCATTATAATAATTGTTCTGTAACAAATTGATTATCTTAATTAAGATCAGCCAGCCCTGCGAGTCTACACCTTTCGATATTATAAAGATTATGTGAGTTAAAATCGTTGTCTGTGATATCACACCAGTCATGATAATGAGAGGATTGATTGAAGGGGTAGTTCTAATTGAAATTTAGATTTGTGTTTCCCATCTAGTTTAGGATGAGACAATTACATGATTAGCTACAACATCAACCATAACCCATATGTCTCTGGCATGACAGGCGTTGACTAGAGCCTTCAAATCGTCAGCAGAACCGAAATTACGATTGACGTCATACATATTCCTGGCCCAATATCCATGATATCCACCGTCATAGTTATCTACGACAGGTGTAATCCAAATAGCATCAAATCCCAAATCTGAAAATTATTATTATTATATTTACTCTGAATATAATCAAGTTGTTGAATCATTCCCTTATAGTCACCACCACAGTAGTTGCCTAAATTGCATGAAGTTGATTTGCCCTAGCTTGTAGCAAATCTATCAGTAAGCAATTAATAAACTGATCTACTCTTCCATTCATCCTTCGTTTTACAATGAATGAGTGCAACAAAAACAAACAAGGACAATAACAATCTCATGTATTAAATTTAATGATGTCACATAAGTAATAATTCAGGTGCCACATTTATATATATGATATTGCATATTATAAATCTGCATTACATAATATGGTAATTTATTAAAAAAATACATCATTTTCCTAAGAATTTCAGATTTTGAGACTTAATTTCGATAAAGTCTTTAAAAAATTAATTAAATTTCATTTGCTCGATCATCTATTCGTGTAAACCAGTGAAATACAGTTCTCTTCCACTCTCTAAAATCAACACATGCAATTACTTAACAAATTATCCATTATAACCCCTAACCGATCCAAGGCTTGTTCATCTAAAACGCTAACATATCTAAAACTAAACACAATAGTATCTATCTCCGGCAATCGTTTGATCTATTCGACATGATTCTTTCAATATAACAACCAATTACTTTCGCATTAATGTAATTCAGTGACCCATTGAATCGATATATGATATATTCAGTATTGACATCATCCAACAGATCATTTTCAACGTCCACTTGCACTCTTTGCTCATCCTCCCCGTCTTGCTATCTAGTCATGGAATGCCTTAACTTTACACTCTGAACTCCTTGTTTAAGAACTATTTCACTGGCAGCTGCACTCATTGTTTCTGCGAATTTCAACAATGCATATAGACTTCCAATCAAAGAGGCAGGTATAGGACCATAATATACTGATAATGTGGCAAGAGCCACCACCTTTAGAATTGTTCTATACCTCCTTGTTGCAAGAACTCGGTCATAAAAACTCCATGTCGGACATTAATAACCAGAATACAACACTTATCCACCAATTATGAATAGTGGGATCTCCATAAAGTACTTACCCAATACTCCATAAAATATTAAAATAGAAAACGAATTCAAAATTGATGACCATTTATTCACTTCCTTCACTTTTATGTTCAATACATATAATCTTTGTTGGGCATTACATGGAATTCCTCCTAGTAACCCTGATAAAATATTACACACCGACACACATTCAATCTCTTAATCATAATCACACTTAACATTTATCATTATCTCTGCTCCCTTTGCACAAATCAAATTCTATGTCATTATAAACAACGCCATTGGAACGGCTTCTTAGAATAATCTATAGAGAATATTGAAATCAATCTTGAATATCTCACCATAAGTCTCAATCCAATTAAAAGACAAAGAGACATCTCCGTAAACACTTCTCAGGCACCTTTCATCTGGATAAAATTATCCAATAAATATCCCTATAAAAGTACTTACGATCACCCAAGGAAATGGTTTATGCACCTTATTCCCTATGTACAAAAATAGAAAAACCCCTATTGTTGCTAATAGATGATGCATATCCCCTCGCTCAAAGTAACTTTTATACATCTCAAAGCGATTCTCATACATTTAAAATCCTGTGTTTGATTGTAAATCACTAAGACCGAACCCATAATCAATGTAGTTGTTAATGATTAAGAATCCCAAACCCCAAAAATACCCTTCGATCACATAGCTTGGCATGAATTCAATTAAATGATGCCATTTGAATAAGCCACAAATGTATATTATAATTCCAATCATTAAAGTAACCCAAGGCACGGCCTCAACTCCATACTCCTAAACTATGTGGTAATTAAATCGAGTTGCCATTTAATTTGGAACATAAATTGAGTGGTTACTTCCGCTAAACAATCCATTTACAAAGCTTCCAATAAATGCTGATGTTAGTCCAATACTTGCATTTAAGCCTGAATAACTTCCTGCATTCAATGCAAAGGGCATAATTAAAAATGTTGTGGCCATCCCACTCCTCCAACTCTCTCGGACATAAAATAAACCAGTTTTTAAGTCATGTACTGATAATTTGCTTATTCTGGAGAATCTTGAAAATCTTGATTTTCTTTGATTCTTCTTTTCAGACTTCTTAGACAAAAGGGCTGAAGCTATTGACAATTTTGGCTTATCTAGATTAATCAGCTCTATTTATGGCTATTGCATTTTAATCAAGGGAAATTTTAACTATAAAAATATTCACTTAAGTTTTCATAAATAATTCTGATCATATATAAAGATATGGATAAATTATCATTACATTTATAAATTTTTCTTGGCCCTTCGAACGTCACCATAAAATATATCCTTTGGAAACCTTTTCAAAGCTCTCAGTTTGTTATATTGCAAACCAAAAGAAAACTGCATTATCTCCTCTTCCTTTGCTACATTGATTTAACTATTATGTAATTATGGTTTCTATACTCCAGTTTTGTATCACTATAATCTTGAATCTATTGAAATACTGATCTTCTTATCGGAGTTACATCATCTGATCGTATGTAATTGCTTCTTCTATTTCTGTACTCTATTTTGTGTTAGAAGTAGTTGAATTGAGGGTTCTCATCGACATTATTTGGAGTCGACTGCCCATTACGATTATTTTCTGATATTTGATATCATTTTTACTTAAATAATTATTGGTCTTTCTCAGTATTTGATCTTAGAGATCTGGTTAACTAATTTACTTGGAATGATTGCAATCGTAGATTTCTCTATAAACTATATATATTATAGAGAAGAAACCTTCCTTGATTAACTTTAACTGCCTACAATCGATTGCCCTTATTGAGGACAGTCTTATTCAGCACATTCAACTTGTTCTTTTGTATCTCCACCTTATCTATCCTATTAACCTGAAATTCTACTTAAAAACATTTAGATCTCATTCGGATAGAATCTTTTATTAAAGTCATTTGGCTTGTCAATCTCAGTCTTAACTCTTTGATGAGAAGTCACCGATTTTTTAGATTTGTTTATTTCGTGAACATCTATTGAGGTCTGCAAATATTGATTATATCGATTAGGGTGATCTATAAATATGAATGTCAAAATAAAACTTCGAAAGAGATTCACAACTTTTGGCTGACTTGAATTTTTATGAGTAAAGTTTTAGTACAATTTATTGGGTGATTCCCCACCTCTACATTTATTGGCACTTTATGTTTTTCTACAATCTTTGTTAACAGCTAATTCCATAGGAAATTGATATTGCATAATATAATAATTACTAAATTTATTATAATACAACAATCATAATTACTCTGCAATATAATATCACTCAATCTAACTTACTTTGAGAGAACTCTTTCATTTTTTCTCTCTAAGTTTCTTATGTTGCATTTTCTAGTTTATTTTAATCAAATTCCTTAGCTAAAATGCTTCGATATTGTCCTATGCCCTTACTAAATCTTACAATCTTATATTAATCCTTACTAATTATATTCCTCAAATAAATATGACCAATTATGAATAGAACCATTTAAAATTGCATCTGTATTTTCTCTATTTCCAAGCATTTCTCTGAATTGTAATTGCAATTATTAATTCTACTTAGCAATAACATTTTCTAATATATCTGTGGAAGGATTTTCGTTTAAAGGGTTCAGTAGCTGTAAAAGAACTAGAATTGCATTTACGGACTTCCAATTTGTAATGTTCTAATAATTTGAGGATGTTCAATTTTATATTTCCACCCTTCAAATAATTGAACTTAAATTTCTTCAATATCTTATGAACTTTATAAGTCTTAGGTAATTTAGTTGAATCTTACATTCAACTTGTGATTTTAACAATGCAGACAAAAAATACAATAATTTTTTGTATTTTTCTGTATCTTTTCCAATTAATTATAAGAATTTATACATTTAAATATATTATAATTTTCATTCATTTAATTACGTTACTAGAGCAGTTCCTCTCTTTACCCAATGGCTAACACTTAATTAAGTTTTAATAGGAATGGAAATAATCTTAAATGATAAAGAAAAACTATTACGAAATTAGTAGAATGACCTGTTGTTGACAAGGTACCTCTTCTATCTAGAGTCTTATAGACTGGGCAAATGTAATCTTCATGATTTTCAACGAAGTTTTATTTTGGTAAGAGTTAAATCTAATATGATATTATAATATTTACCTTGGGGAAATTCTAATAGATGACTCCATTAACAGGCTCATCTATCACTTATTCTTCTTAATTCCATTTACCACTTTCTAGATATAATCCATCAATTATAATTCCTTCTTCTTCTTTAATGTCAATTTAAAAATCAAATTTCAATTAATCTATAGGTATTCTATGTTTTCTAGCATGATTTTGTAAGACTCCTGTGAAGAAGGATTATGTGAAATAGAATCCAGGCAACCAAAAGATAGTTGGAGTTCCAAATTATATCCATTTGTTAAACATTTCCACTCTTAATTGCAAATCCTAAAGATAATTGTTCAAACTCTTCAGAGATGGATATGATTTCTATTTCCATAATTCTGGTAGGATATTGTTAAGTAAACATTCTCCCATCTTCTCTAATTGTTAACTCATCACAATCAAACCTTAAGCAGCCTTAATTAAATCCTGCAATGATTTTTATAGAATGTTTAACAGATTATTGTATCTCAATACTTCTTGCAATAAGACAGTATTCATGCTTTCATAATAGTCAATTTTGAATTTCTCTTAGACCACATTGATATCAAATTGTTTAGGAATGAGTGTGAGTAGACTTTCAGCCTTGTCTAATAATAATTTATTTTTATCTATATTCTCTTCGGCTCCTTATTCGACCAATCCAACATCTAGGAGACAATTTAAAATGTGCTTTGTTTCTAATTAGGCTTGAGTGATGGATGCATTGGAATGCAAACCAAACAATTCTGGCGATGAGGTCTCAGGTAATTGATTAATGAAATCGATTGCCTATTCTAATGTATTCAATTGTTGAGCATCTGGTATGCAATATTCTTGGATGGGACTGAATTTATAATTTTCATAAAAGATGTCCATCCTATAGAATGTGGTTAATAGAACTCGCAAACATCTTCTATCCCAGTCATCAGTGACCTTTCCACCATAATAGCATTCACCAGTTAGATAAATTAATGCTGTGAATGGGATTTCTTAATAATCCATAAGCATTTATTTCAGTTAGCGAATGGATATTCTAAAATCGGAATCATTAAAATCATAAGTAATATTCCATCCTACAGGCCCATATCTTCTTCTTTCTCTGACTATTGCATGGAAATAGCATAAAGCTAGGTAAAATTGCTTAAATTCCTATGTCTTTTCTCCACAACTCTCATAGAATTTCTTCTCATTCTTTGAACTATTCTAATTCAAATAGATCTGTTAGATATTGTCCTTGACTCCTTTAGGGGGATCCTTGGTCATTTTCACAGCATCCATCAATAATTACTATGGGAATGCGGGAGTACTCATGGTAGTCATCCACAATCTAAATTCTGTATTGATTTTCATCAATTTGTCCTTCTCCTTCTTATGTAATTCACTATTGATATTTTGTAATAGATTATCCAATTATGGCAACCAACTAATTGCTAAATGGCAATTTTATAATATGACCCATTGACCCAAAGCCAAAGATTCCATGATCAGATTGGTTGCATTCTCTCCTTATCCTTTCCCCAAAGATACGAAGGTCAAAACTTTCCCTCTCTCAAAACTGAACTTCTTAACTTCTTCTTAAGGATCATCACCAGGCTATAAAACAAATATCAATGGAATAGTAGTATTGCTATCTTCAAAACTCTCTTATAAACCAAACAGAAGGTTTTAAGTGAAATACTGTCCCAAATCTTCGGCTATCAATTCTCTCATGTAATAACCAAAATATTGTGGTCTGGCTGCTCTAATCAGCAATAGTCTTTAGAAGGTTGATAAGTGTTTGATTTATTCAGGTATTTGATTTTTTTATGGATCATCTAAATATGAGATCATCGATTGGCTATTAGCTATTTATAGTCCAGGAATGATGGAATGTAAATTGTTTAGCATTTCCCATTAATTCTAAGTGAAGATTGTTGGATCTGGATTTTCAATATTGAATTTTTCTCCATTCAAGACTGATCCAGTCAATAGAAATTGTAATTCATTATTAGTTATGAGATTGTTGCTATTGTACCATGTTATCAACAACATGAATGAGAACAGATTCTTATGTTTCACAAATATGGATCTGCTAATCTCCTAAAAGACGACTCTTTTTAATGACTCAGTTATGAACACAATTCTCTATTTGATATTTTTTTAATGGGGCTTTTCTGCTATCCTTATTGCCTTCTTAAATATTCTCTAATAGAATTCTAATGAGAATACGTACATTGGATCTAAATAGTTGAGTTTCAGTATCGTGAAATACGTATGAGATGCAAATGTAGACAAAAGATCATAATGCAATCTATTCTGATTAATGCGATCCTCCGTTTATTTAGCTTCTTTCAATCTTAAGGTGATTTCTTCTGATAATATCTTCGATTGTTGTAATTATAAAATTAATGCTTCATCTTCTAACATTTATGAACCTTCAGTCTTCGATAACATCTCTAGAATCTGGGATTCTATCTATTTCATTTTTTGTTTGTAATAATTGTTATCGTTCATTATTCTAATCTTCTCATCTTCCAATTAGGCATCTTCTTCTCTGACTAGTATTGATGTCATTTGATCTTTTAAGGCCTCCTAAGTAATAGTAAAGTTAATCAAGGTCACTTTAGTCAAAATAGATGGAGTATAATGTGGATTTGATAATGAAGTCACCAAATATAATCTAAATCCAGGATGGACATAAACTTGATTACCACCTATACTTAACATAGGTTTGCCATTTGCCATCTGGTATTGTTTACTTAACACTGGATCCAGGATTTGATCCAATTATTATTCAATGCCTTAAATCAATAATATTTAGCCATCTCTAACTGCGGTTTCTAAGATATTTCCTAAGTATCTATCTTATTTAGCAACCTTAAAGTTTTATTCATTTAATTTCTTCTCTTTTCTTTGAATGAATTTATTCGCTTAGCCTTGAGGATCTATGATTAAGGGATAACTATCAGCCTTTTGCATGATGATAGCATTTTCTTTACTGAAATCATCCAAAGGGAGACCACAAAGTATCCACTCTTGCAATTCAAATTGTGTACTTAGACAATCAAGTAAGGAATAAGATTCTGAAATGGGCACATTCTACTCCTTGATAATCTATTACCATTTATTTAAAATGGTTTTTCTAAAGGAGATGGTAAATGCACCCATATATGATAAATATCCAACAGATAATAACATGTCTCCTAAAAGTGACTTGATATTATTTGATAATTTAATGGATTCTTCTTTCCATCTATTTTTTTCTCCAGCCAAACCGCTAGTCAATTCTAAAGCTCTTTTCAATTTGACTTCGCAATCTTGGATCTATGCCTTAAGCTTTTACTTTTAGAAATTTTCATTCTCAAAGGTTTCTCTTAATTCTTGACATTTTTCTTCGACCTCATGCAATAATTACTGTTTGGCAGCAAGTTCATTTTAGGCCACTTTTAAGGATTACTAAGCTTTCTCAAATTCTTCTCTCAATGGAGTAATTTCCTTGTAAACAAAATGGAACTTATAGATGGCCAAAACCCATAAACAGAGTCCTTCAGCAGCTTAACTAGCTTTAGAGATAAGAGCAGGTTGGAATTGCTTATTTTTATCCAAGAACTAAGTCATTTTAGTAATGACTTTCTCTGGAATGTTGTTTCTATTGTACTTCTCAAGCATTTTAATAAATTTACCAGGATCACTTAACACTTTGCCAGCTTCTTCCCAATAGTCTTCCCCTCCATCAGGTGCCTTCTTGGGTTTCCTCTCCAACATGATACAAACAGAATCCATAGTCAATCTAATAGGTTTTGGAGGATTTTTCAATGCTTTCATTTCAACAAAATCAGATATTTTAAGAGTCTTAAGAGCTTTGATTGCAGCTTCCAACTGAGGTTCTGCCTCACTCAATCTCTCCTAACATTGATTAGATATATTTTGTGCTATTTCTGCCTTCTTAGAGGTTTCAATTTCATCCTCCTTTACCTTCATTCTTTGATCTTCTGCAATGGCAGTTTCCTACTCGACTTTCTTCATGATCATATCAGTCTCATGAGTTTTCTGAACCAATATAGGTTACAAGGCTTCAAGTTCTTCTTTCATTTTGTCCACAACCAGG